CAACCGGCCAACGGACATTCCGATACAAAATATCCGTTCAAGTTTCAAAAAGGATTGTCTTGCTGGCAACCATTCCGGACTTTCACCACTTGAATCCAACCAGAAGCTCAGGATGTCTCCTTTGCTGCGGCTCGGCCAGCTGCGGGCGGTCGCGAAGAGGGCAAAATGACCGTTTTGGGATAAGCCCCGCCAAGCTCAAAGCACTGGCACCACGGCAGGGGTGCAGACAAGGGGTCCGGGAGAAGCCGCGGAGAAACGGTAACCAAACCGTTCGTCCCGTAACTTCTCATGTCCTTAAGCTTCAACCAAACCTGCACACTAAGGCATGGCTTAAAACGCAGGGTAACGACAGTAGCGTCTCATGGACTAACTAATCGCAAGTAATGTTCTCGATCTGCAAAGAGAATAATGCTGTGCAAATCGATATGGATCATTTGGACATGTTAACATGTTCCCCCTTTCTCTAGGATTGTGTGAGCTGCCCCTGCAGCCCAAAAGCCGATCATTTCTCCACTCCCCACCCAAATTATCAGAAACGATAGATCGATGTATCAGGTACATAGCCCATACTCAAACGCGAAGCTCTATCTATATGATACACCTCATAGAGATTGCGCTCTCAGAATGCCAGACGTCATAGATGAACTAGGCGTAACACAACGAATTTTATAAACATCCAGTCCTACGACGTAGTCATTTTCTGGAAAGAATTGTTTGGACAAATCGGTGCAGTGTACCAAAGCAACCCTCGTAGGGCTGAGTGCCCGCTGCGCTTCTCATGCCGCGAAGCATCAAAAAATGCTTCTTTGTCATCTTACCACCACAGGCATTGACATTCTGCATATGACGAACAGCCTCGATTACAATGTTGTAGGCCTCTTGGGAAGCTAGGTAAGTGGTGTATTATTGACTGAATATCAGCCAGGACAACAGGCGTAGCCTTTTGAGGCTTTAATTTTCAATACCTGACAAAGCAGTCAGGTTAAGATATCAGACTGGGCAACAACACTGCCGCGGTCCAGGAGCATTGAGAGCAAGTCGGTTTCAAGAATTACCGACCTGAACGACCATATTTCAAGCTGTCACAACTCATCTGGCTTGAGGCGGTCGACAACTGGAAGAATCCACGAGATCTCTTTTGGTAAAGACAGCCGCAGCCGACCGGCTCCAGATATCACAAGTACTATACCAAACTCCAGGCAGCAGTAACCAATAATGCTACCATGATGTAATTTGTATCACCGGCGACCAAGGTGTGTAACCGCCACCACGATCGAGGTTTGAGAGAGGGCCAGCTGCCGCTCCCACCACTCCGGAGGTCTTGCAAATCAAGAAAGGGTTGGTTTCCCCCGAATAATTTGGCAACCGATTGGCAGAAAGGGAGATAGATAGGAATGTGGCCAAGGCAGCGCGCGTCTAATAATGGTAATGACAGGCAAAAAATGGGAAAGACTGGCGCCTATGTGGATGTGGTGCGACTTGATATGGAGGAGGGTGTCTGCTCCCTGCCGCGTCTGTACAAGAAACGTGAGGGAAGTGCGTGCAGATCGTGGCACTAATTTGTAGGCTTAATGGGTTCAATATCTAGGGACACGCTTTTGCGTAGCTATGGAATAAGATAGGACAGCCTTTGGCGCTCATGGTGGGTATCTTTTGCCGTGCCGATGGTGTTTACTGTATCAACATTCTGCCGCTTCATAAAGAAGCAGAAGGGCACCGTATCTTTACGAGTGGGAGAAAGTCGTTCTGCAACATGAACGTCGGCTACGTCGGCTACGTTGGAGAAACCACAGATGGCAACTGGTGATCCAGGTACTACTCATGACAGTTCACAGGAAGATACCCGGAACTTAGCATAAACAACCGAAAGCATTGATCCCCATTGGTAGATCTTGGGAGAAACGAAAAAGTGCCGGTAGAATAGTAGGTAAGAGTGGGAGGAAACTGAGCGCAGCCTCGGTGTCCATGGAAGTGCAAAGGGTGCGAGCTTCTCACGGCGGTTGGCGGGGGCCAAATCACGGCCACCCGCCGGGTCAGTCGGGCAAAGCCTGGCGTTTGGTGAAGCGACAGAGCCAGAGCACCTACCTACAGTCCTTAGGCGAAGCCGGCAAAGTCAGGTATCAAGACGGAGCAGCGAGGATGTACATACATTAGCGCGGTGTTGCAGCGCAGCGCATTGTGCAGGCCGCATCCAAACTTGGGTTCAAATGCCAAGGCCCGCCAGTTTTTGCTGCGACTTCCTCAAGACGCAGCAAAAATGGGCGGATTCCGGCGGGGTGGGGCACCGTGGGACACGGTGGGGTAGGACAGGGGGTCCCTTGCCTTGGCCTAGCCTGGGCCAGGCCAAGACTGGGTGCGGTCTGCTGCCAAGAACTGCCACAAATCCGGGACCCTGGTGATGCAGCTCAAGCAGTTGCGGTTTGCCAAAGCCCGAGCTGTTTGTCTCCCATGGACAAGAACCGGCGCTGGGTGACACGGATATCATGACGACGGCAGCATCCATGTTATCCAAAATATCACATCAGTTAGAAAGGCATCAAGGTTTAGAGATGTAAATGCTATGCTATATCTATAGCCGCCGAAGGATTCAAGTTTTCAGCTTTTAACCGCCTTTCTTGCTGGTATTTCTGGGAGCAAGGCTCTTCTTTTCTAAGCGACAACTTGCTACAACCTACCCCCATTCAGTGAGAATTTGGGGAAGGCACTGTAACCTTGTGCCTTTTCCGCAGACTGAACGACTTCCTGTCCCAGAGACACCAATATACACAGTTGGGCGGCTGATTATTCTCTGTTTCGTCGTGCTCTGCATATCATGCTGTCACCGCCAATCACGAAAGCTCGCAAAGTTCCAGTCCAGGCAAGCAAAGCGTCGAGGATGCTATTCCAATACTACGGTGCTGCTTTCTGCCTGGCATGGACACCGAAATGTCGGGCTAATGGATTAGGTACCTATTGATGAATGTTTCATTCTGGATTATCTGGCCTTTTGATTCCGAAGTTACCTTTCTTAAGGCTCTCTCCAACTGGCTGAGCCAGTAGTCCAGCCCGGATATGGCATCTGGGCACCTGGGTTACACAACGTATCTGCCCTGCTTGGGGCCGTGTTCATTTTGGATGTCCTCAACTTTGGCAAAGCCACGGCGTTTCACCAAGTTATCATCCTCCTCGGCTGGTTTGGCCCGTTTGGACATACGAAATACCGCTGTTAGAACGTGTTGAAGGACAGAGCGCCCCGGATACCCAGAGTCTAGTAGCTCTTTATCATGCGTTCTCATCCCTCATTTCCTAAGGCCTGTCAAGCCACATGCCAGGCTCAGTTTATTGTTGCTGACAAAGTCAAACCAGCTTTGATACGGCTTAGCTACAGTTGTTCGATGACTTTAAACAGTGAAGTATCCAGATCTTTGGGTTGCCTACGCTTATGAACATTCCAGGCTGGTGCCCGTTACGGAGTCAGAAGAACGACCCGGCGTACCGGAACATGGCATCCACAGTCAGAACCCAATTAGAGCCCCCCCGTGAAACAAGCGCCCACCGCTTTCCGCTTTTGGGATCGTTAGCCGGATGAGCCCCGATGGCGTGCATGTTCTTTTTTATGTCCCTGTGACAAAACTGGCCAAGTGTCTGGTGTGCCAAGTGCGGCTGGCAGGCTTGTGTGACTCCAGGCTTGTTGTGATGGCAGGGACGGCTTTGTTCGGTTTGATTGCCAATTCGGACCGCAAACCCATTTCAGGTTGTCAACATAGATTGGTAGTAGAACGAGTGAGAGAGAGCAGAGCGGGGAAGATGATCATCAGAAAGAATCAAGCAGCAGCAGCAGCAGCAGCAGCAGCAGCATCCGCTGACTCGACGATCAGAGGATTTTGTGTTGTTATGCTAATGTGAACCTTGATGCACCTACATCAGGCATCACAATCAAAATCGCTTTGTCACTTCCAGCCATGTGGATGGAGATAGAGGCGCGTGATGTAACCCATCGTCCAGCCCAGTTGGCCATAATATCAAGCCGACTTTTCTGTGTCCTCGCTCTATTCAAGAATGTACCCCCAATTTTTTTGGGGGCCACTAGCTACTGCTCTGCTCGGTTCTTTGAGACACTGTCAAAGCGCTGTGTAGCGTTTCTTAGGAAAGAAGGCGGTCTGCAACGGCGGCTGAATTGGATGGATCAACACCCCTTTTGTGGTGAATAGTAGGAAGATATATAGGTAGGTAGTATAACAGATTAGACATGTCATGATAAACATCACCGCCGCATAGCAGCGTCATGTGTTGACCGAGGGACACACGTTGAGAGGGGGGAAGACGGTCGTTTGCCCAAACAACGTTGTCCTGTGTGGGCTCGCTTGTCGTCAAAGTTGCAGTACACATACACGCGGGTGAACTACGGATTTCGAAGGACATATGAGGATCATCCAAATCCTACCTGTGGCTGAGCAGCGAAGAACACAAGTTCCTGCGTGCCATTATGGTTGCCCTTAGACCCAATGGCCGTTGATTTGGTCGAGAAGCTCAATACCGAGCTACGTATGTAGATCCTTCTCATACCTTGCTCGAGTCACATAAACCTTACGGGCATTCATCAAGGCTCACCGGAGGAGAACCGTAACGCCATCATAACATCAAGTACTGCTACGCCAGGACATCAAGACATTAACAAGAACTCAAGGCATGTATAATATGCAATTCCACACATCATTGTATTGTACAGAACAAAGGAAACAGACATAGCTGGTAGTTCAATCAAGAGACTGCCCGTATGTGTAGTAGTAGTAGTAGTAGTAGTATCAGCGTTGCTCATTTTGTCTTCGCCGCCACACATGCCGCAATGTTTTCCCTTCCAGAAGAATCCCCATCTCCCCGAGTGATGATTAAGGATCAATCTCAATGATATCCCAGGGTAACTCCAAAATTATTGTTTCCTCCCTTCCAGAGCAGCAAGCCAAAACAAGCAACCATCCATGCATCCAACGACATTCACGCATCCATCATTTTAATTCACTTTACTGGTTCCCACCGCCACCGCCTCCTCCGCCGCGAGCCCTCTTTCCGCCCCTCTCGCCCTGGGGCTGTCCGCCTTCCCCATCTCTCTGTCTCTTGTTTCCCGCATTCCCGGCACCAGCACTGCCGCCAGCTCCTCCAGCAGCAGCAGCAGCAGCAGCAGTAGCAGTAGCACCCCCAGGGGTGAACTCGCCAGCATTGGGGTTCAATCCGCCCGCGGCGCCGCCAGCGCCCCGACCAGCCCCAACAAATCCGCCGCCACGGCCGCCACGTGCACCGCGCGGGCCGGCCTGATAGAGACCGCGCGCGGTACGAGCACCACCAGGACCGCCTCTACCAGCTGGGACAGGAATGCCCATCCTCTGTGGTTGATTCTGACCACCAGCTTGTTGCTGGCCTTGTTGTTGTTGCTGTTGACCTTGTTGTTGTTGTTGTTGTTGTTGTTGTTGTTGTTGACCTTTCTGCTGCTGCTGTTGCTGCTGTGGTTGTTGAGGTTGCTGAGGCTGGGTCTGTTGCGGCTGTTGCCCAGCCTGAGGAGGAGCGGGGATGTTACTTGTAGGAGCTGGGGCACCGAATGGGTTCAAAGGAGCAGTGAAGGGGTTCACTGCAGGCTTGGGTATTGCACTAGGAGGAGCAGCTGTAGTGGTCTTTGCCTCTTGCTTAGTCTCTTCCTTAGGCGGCGCTGCTATAACACTGTTGTTAGTAATGACGTTCCACTCTTGATATAGGACGGTGAACTGTAGACGTACCTGAAGGAGCCTGAGCAGGAGCCGCAGGGGCTGCGGTAGCCGGAGCAACAGGCTGAGCAGGAGTAGGAGCTGGCGATGGAGCTGCCGAGGCAGGGGCCGGGGCTGGGGCCTGGGCAGGAGCCGGAGGTTTCGCGTCCTTAGCGATATTCCAGACCTCGACGACGGGCTTCTGCGGTGTTTCCTTGGCCGCCGTCTCGACAATTGCCAGCTTGGCCTGGGCCGTCTTGTGCTGCCTGTCGAGCATGTTGATCCGGAGAGCAGACTTCTTCTCGGTCAAGGCCGTGGCCTGCTCCTTAGCATTGGTGATCTTTTGCTCATATTCAGCCTTGAGAGCAGCCTCTATCTCCTCTTTGATCTTCTTCGTCTCGGCAGCCACCATCCGCTTCACGTTGCTCTTCACAATGGCCGAGATAGTCGGATTCTTGGCAACAGCCTCCCGAATTTGGGCGTCGGTCATGTTGGTGATATCGGGCACTGGAGTTCCAGGAGCAGCATTGGCCTCGGTCTTGACAGGAGTAGCAGGGACACCATTCTGAGGGCCTGCCGTCTGCTGCTCAGCCTTGATGATGGCCAGCTCCTGCTGAAGCTTGAGGTCAAACTCAGCTTGCAGCTTGGCCTTCTCCTCCTGAATTTGTTTCTCCATAGCCTCCTTAGACTCCTGGAGTTTCTTGTTGAGCGCCGTCTTCATCTTATCAGAGCGCTGCTTGACGATGTTGTCAGCTTGCTCCTCAAGCTCCTTGGCCCTCTTCTCGAACTCTGCAGCCTTGGCCTCGGCCGCAGCGATCTTCTCTTCAAGAGCCTTGCGCTCTTCATCCGACAGGCCTGCAGATGGCTGAGCAGACACGCTAGTCTCAGCCGTGGCCACATCGCCGCCGCTGGTCGCAGCCAAGGCCCGGTCTCGTTCAGCAATAGCAGCAGCAAGCTCCTGCTTGAGCTGCTCGACTTGGGCCTCTGCGGCCGCTTTCTGGGCAGATACAGATTCGAGCTGCTGCTTGACGGCCTGCAGCTGCTGTGTGAGTTCGTTGATCTGGTCTGATGGCGCGGCAGAGACTGGTGCTGCCGCGGGTTGTTCAGTCGATGAAGCAGCAAGCTGCTGCTGAAGACTTGTGTTCTTCTCCGTCGCAGTCGCTAGCTGTTGCTTGGTCGTCTCGAGCTCCTTCTCCAAAGCCGCCAGTTGTTCCTTAACACCATCGAGAGTAGCTTGCAGAGTGTTCTTCTCATTCGTGGCCTCGTCGCGCTGGGTCTTCATATTCCTAAACCGGGCCTTGAAGTCCTCCGCAAGCTTCTCCCTAGTGGCCTTCCACTCATTGGTCTTTGTCTCCAGGGCATTCTCTGCCTCCTTAACCTTCTGCTGGAGGGCCTGTTCGGACTGCTTGAGCACATCCCGTTCGCCCTCCAAGGCCGCGATCATGGCCTTGAGCTGTTCGACCTCCTGAGGATCGGCCTGGCCATACTTGCTGAGGATCGTCTCAATCCGCTTCTGCAAGCCGTCGCGAGCCTCCTGCAACTGCCGAATCTCCTCCTCCTTGAAGCCCTTATCCAGCTCCAGCTCGGCAATGCGGGCCTCGAGAGGCTGGATCTTGGCCTCAAGTTCCGTGATCCTGGCGGCCTTCTGCTCAAGCAGGGCCTGGGCCCGCTGGTTCTCGTTCCGGAGAGTGACATTGCTCTCGCGGATGAGGTTAAGCTCATTCAGTTTCTCCATGAGCTCCTTGTGCGTGAGCGAAGTCCTCGTGCTGTCGGCTTGCGAAGCACGCTCCTGCTCGAGTTTGAGGCGAGTCTCATCCAACTGCGACTGTGTGTACTCGAGCTGTTGCTGAAGCCTCTTGGCCTCCTGAACCTTGATATCGTACTGCACCTCCAGGATCTCCTTTTCGCGGCGCAGATAGCTGTTGAGCTCGCGCAGGCCTTCGGTCGCCATGTCAGCAATCGCGGGCGCCGCGGCCTCACCAGACACGTCGCCCTGAGTACGCTTTTGTTGCAAGGCTGTGATCTGAGCAGTCACGGCGTCGAGCTGCTGGTGAAGCAGCTTGTTTTGGGCTGCCATATCGTCGCGACGAGCCTTGATTTCGGCAATCTCTTGCTCGAGCCGTTGCCTACGCTCCTCCCAGGACTGCTCGCTCTGGGCAAGCGAAATCTTGGCCGAATCGGCCTCGGCCCTCCAGGCGGCAGCCTGGGTCTTGAGCTCGTTGTGCTCAGCACGAAGCTGCTGCAGTAACTTGGCGGCTTCGGCATGCTTGACGAGCTCCTGTTCGTAATCCTGCTGAGCCTTCGTAGCGATCTCGGCCTGAGCGCGGAGATCCTGTTGATGGAAGCGCGCGGCCTCCTTGTACCGTTCCTCCTCGTCCTTGAGACGAGCGATCTCGGCATTGAGCATCCGCTCCTTCTCCTCGAACTTCCGGGCGACATCGCTCTGCGAATCCCGAAGCATGTTAAGTTCGTTGTTCGTGTTGCTGAGCTCGGCGGTAAGGGCCTCAACACGCTGCTGCAATTCGTTGATGGTGTTGGCCTTGGACGCCAAGGCGGCGTCCATTTCTTGACGGTACTGCTCGTGGGACTCGTTGAGGCTCGAAAGCTCCTCCTCCATGTCCTTGCTGAGCTGTTTGAACTGCTCAGCCTGCTGCTTGGCATGTTCGAGCTGGACAGTAAGAAGATCCAGGTTGTTCTTGAGCTCCTGGACCTCGCCCTCCAACTCTTCGATGCGCGCCTGAGCTTCTTCGCTGGGCTGCTCGGCAGCTGCAGGGGCCCGCGGTGTCGGCAGAGGACGCAGTCGCTCGGCACGTTCCTGGGCATTCCGCACCTCGATCTCCAGCTCGCTAACACGGGCTTGCAGATGGTCACGGGTGGTCTTGACCTGGATGTTTTCCTCCTTAACTTGACTGATCATGGACGTAAGCTCGTCGATACGCTTCTGGAATTGCTGAGCGTCGAACTCCTTCCGGAGCTGCACCTTCTTGCTCTCCTCGATCTCCTCCGATAGCTTGCGCTTGGTCGTCGAGAGCTCAGCCTCGAGAGAGTCGATCTGGGCTTGTAGTCGGCGCTTCGTTTCGGCTTCGCTCAGTTCGCGCTCGTTCAACAGCGACTGCTGGCTTGCCAGCAGGCCGTTGAGGCGAGTCTTCTCCTGGGCGAGACTCTCGTTATCCTGGGTAAGGCGTTCCTGGATAGTCCTCCACAAGGCCTTCTCTGCCTTGAGGTTGGCGTTCTCGCTCCGCAAGCTCTCAACTAGGCCACGAGCCTCAACCAGATCCTCGGCCACTTGCTGAGTGCGAATATCCTGCTTAGCAGCAGCCTCGGACAAAGACTGGTTCCTCTTCTGCAGCTCCTGGTTTTCAGACTGGAGGGCCTTGAAGTTGGACTCCAGCATGTTGTAGCGTTCGGTGGCCAGAGTGAGCTGGCTGGAAAGTTTCGTCACCTCGCTCTGGAGGGAGCCTTTTTCGCCGGACAGCTTGTCAATTTGTTCGCGCATCGCGTTCCTGTCCGTGACCTGGTCATTGCGGTATGCATCGAACTGTGCCTGCAGCTCCCGGAGGGCCGCGGCAAGCTGGGCTTCGTTGGCATGAGGCTGCTCGACGCTAGGGAGAACCTCGCGCTGCTCGCCATCGGCCTGGGTGCCAAGAACCTTCTGGATCTCTGCAGGTGTCGCCCGTTGCTGAAGCATGCGACGGAACATATCGCGCTCCGTCATATGACTCTTCATCCGGATAGTGATGGAACGAACCTCGTCCTGGAGGGCAGCCACCGTAGCGCGGAGCTGCTGAACCTCCTCATGCTCCTGGGCTGCCTGACGTTGGGCAGCCAGAGCCTCCTCGTTCTCCATCTTGGTCGCCAACTCCCGGGTGAGCTTCAGGAGCTCCTCGTTCTTCTGCTGGAGCTCGTAAATGTCCTTGAAAACGGTGAACCTCTCGGTGATGAAACGGTGAGTGTCCGATAGATCCTCAAGGGCACCCTCCGAAATCTCGCCGCGCTGGAGACGCTCGAACTGAGCGATCTCCTCCTCCGTAAGCTGATCCATGCCCTTCTCCTTAGCATGAGCATTGAAGATGAGCACATGGATCTGTGTGCTAAGATCACGCAGCTGCGCCCGCAAGATCTTGACCTCGGCTTGGGCCTGAGAAGCAGCAGCCTCGGCCTTGCGAGCAGCCTTGACAGCAGCGTCGCGTTCTTCGTACGACTGCTGCATGATCTCGGACATTTGGATGACCTCGTTCCTCAAGCGCTCCGACTCGGCGTTGAGCTCATCGATTTCAGGCAGCTTGGCCTCCAGCATGCTGACGGCGTCATCAAGATCCTCCTGAAGCTTCTGGCTGCGTCGCTGTTCGCTGGCCAACTGCGCCTTCACCTTCAGAAGCTCCTCCAGTGTCTCCGTAGCGCGCTGAGTAGCCTTTCCACGGAGAGAAGCCGGTGTACCAAAGGGCGACGACGGGCGAGCCAGAAGAGAGCCATTAGCTCTCGGTGTCTGAGGAACAGAGCCCGGAACTCCATCGTGTGATTCGACCAAAGTCCTGAGGCGATCGACCTCAGATTGAAGATCCTGGACTTGCTGCTCGCTCTGCGAAAGGTCCTCCTTGGCTTGTTCAAGCTCGCGGCGGACCCGTCTTATCTCCTCAGCGCTATCGTCCTTCACCTTCTCCAACCGGAGCTCGACTTCCTTCAAGCGGTTACGGTGAGTCTGGGCCTGCTGGTCCTTCAGCTCAACAAGGCGTTTTGATGATTCCAGCTCCTGGCGGAAACTCTCTTCGGCACGGGCAGCAGACTCTTGGAGTTGCTGCACTTTTGTAAGGGCCTCCTCCGCCTTGGACTGAGCCTCTTGCAGCCTCTTTCGAAGTTGTTGTTCGGTCTTCTGCAGAGACTGGATCGTGGAGAGGGCATCCTCTTTCTCGCGCTGCAGCTGCGCAATCTGGGCACCCTTCTCCTTGCGAATCTTCAGGTTCTCAGCGGCCTTGGTCTTCAACTCGTTATCGTACCAGTCATTGTTCTTTTTGGCGAGTTCGAGTTCCTGCTTCAAAGACTCCTCCCGATACTTGGCCGAGTTCGCGGCGGTTTGGGCAGTCTGAACGGCTTGGTTAAGGTTGTTGATCTCCTGGTTGAGCTTCAGAATTTTCTGATGCTGCTTCTGAAGTTCCTCGGAAAGGGCAGCGTTGGCGCTTGCCTTGGAGTCTACGATGGCCAAGGTTTCGCGGTTCGAAGTTTCGAGAGAAGCAATACGCGCCCGAAGGGTCTCGATCTCCGAGAGCGATGCGGAACCCGAGGACTTGAGGGTCTGAAGTTCATTTTCGAGTGTTCGCCGGGCGGATTCTGATAACGGCGACAGGTCAGACAACTGTACTCTCAACCGAGAAACCAATCGCTAAGGAGAAAGAGCCTACCTTCGCTCTGCAATTTCTGGCGAAGCTCCTCCACTTCTTTCAGCGCCTTGTCCGACGTGGCCTTGAACTGCTCGCAGCGGGACTCGGCGCCCCGAATTGCGCCCTCCAGCTCGACATTGAGATGAAACTTGTCCTGCTCGAGCTCGCGGATCTTTGAGAGGACTGCTGCGAGCACAGACTTGACGAGGTCGGCGGTCGGCGCTGATACGACCGTTTCGAGGTCGACTTGCGAGATATTGGCCTGCGCTGACAGGTAGCCAAGGTCGACCTCGGCTGCCGCCATTTTGAACGCGTTTACCTTCGTCGACGTTGCTCAGCGCATGAATGGGAAATTAGGAAACGGGGTTGATCGTTCAAATCGAAAAAAAAATAATGGGTGTCGCTGAAAGAAAATCTCACGCGCAATAGTCAGGGATATGGAGAAATCAACGCGACCTAGCCTGGGCGAAATGGGGTCGCGTGTAGATTGGTGTTGAGTTTCTTTAGATTTCTGGAAGAAAAAAAAAGGTTGGAAAGATGAAGTCTAGGGTCGAGAAGTGAAGCCTTCTCCTTCCTCACCACTGTCACTGTTTTCGGCAGGATGCAAGCAAGCCAAAGCAGGCGCCGGGCGGAAAGGAGTTGTCCTACGCGCCCCTGCCACCAGTCAGCAGCCGGGAAAGCTCCAAGTGGGTCCAAACCTACACAGCGTGGCCAGCGACAAACCTGCAGCTTGGAGCATTGACACGTGTGGTCTGTGCGCTTCGCTGATAGTAGCCGTAATTTTACACGCGTCAACAGTGTAAATTACACCGTTAGTTACGGATTAACGGTTTGGACAATGAGGCTTTTTGTAATTGTTGCCTTTGTTCAATGGCTGCTGGTGTTAAGCGCATGCGGCAAGCCCGTCCTAACTGTAGTTACATATCAGACGTGGTTTTATGGACAACGGACAGAAAAGCCGAGTTATCCGTGCGACACATGAGTCAAATCATGTCAATTGCGCTATAATCATATACGGTTGTGTTTTTTTACGTTAACTCTACGAGGTATGCAATGAATATCATTGTAGGTCTGCCCCTCTCCGGACCTCCCACGCTGCTGAACTTGCCTCAACCCCATCCCCCCCCCCCCCCCGCCCCTTTGACCAAAATACCCTTACTCAACGAGAGTCGCTCTACCGTTCATCAACTCGGACGGACCCCATCCCTCCCAGCGTTCATCTCGTAGTACATCGGCATTGGACCAGACTGCCAACCCTGCTGCGGTGCACCAGGTTGATACCCTGGATGTAGCGAAGCAGGTACCGGCGACATCTGCGGAGCGTAGTACCCCCCATCTAACTCAGGCCTGTTAGGATGAGGGCTACCCTGCCCATATAACTCTGCAACACTGGGGTGTGGTGAGGACGAGGGCACCGGTGTCTCGCCCTGCAGCTCAGCGACTCCATACGGAGAGTGGGGAGGAGGGGGGGTTATGCCCGCGCCGAGATGGTGAGAAGAAACAGGAGACCCGTTGTTGTCCATGCGCGACGAAACGTTGGGGCTGAGGGGACTGGGCGTCGGGCTCGGGGGTGGCTTGAGAGCCGTGATGGGGACGGAATCGGCCGGCAGCTCGTACTTCCCACCCACAGGGTCGAAGGACTGGTTATTGTCGAGGAGTGGCTGCTTTGCTCCGGCGCCCTTGCGCTTCTTGCGGATGAACCAAAAAGCGAAGATGCCAACGGCAATGGCGACGAGCACACCGGCGAAAGCGCCAACAATCGTGCCGATACCGACCTTGCTGGAAGATGAGTTGTCGCCACTGTTGTTAGACTGTCCGCCATCTTCACTCTTGTCCTCGTCGTTGGAACCACTAGAACCAGAACCGCCAGTCTGCTTGGGCCCCGAGTTACGGCTGCCAGACGTTGGCAGATTATCTTGGGCGACAGACACTTTGACATCAGGTGTCACCTTTGCTTCGACGGCGCTGCAGAAGTAATCGTACACCTATGGAACCGTTCAGCATTTCTTCTTCGGCGGTCTAAGCCTCTGCGCAATCTCAACTCACCTCTACGGCAGATGCGACGTCCTCTAGCGCGGTCGAGGAGCAGCTGTACTTGACCGACGCGGTAATAGTACTCAAAACTTCTGAAGGCATGCCACTCTTGAAACAAAGGCATGATGCGAGGAACTGAGGCCCCGACGGACAATACTCGTATGTTTGCTTCAACCGTTGTCAGCATCTTCTAGGAGAGCTCGGGGTGTGACAGATTAGAGGAACTAACATGAAGTGCCCCCCAGCGCAGACCGTATTGCGCACAGGGAGCCAGGGAGCTGTACTGGGGCAAGTCGGTGATCCAATAAGTCACTGGAGGTTTTGTCAGTCTTTTTAACCGTCTCAGCGCCCTAGGGCATATCCTCAAGTCCTTACCATCACCTGGGGGAAGCGGCGGCTCGGGAAAACTGGTGGTGCCATCAACCATAGCGCAGTATGCAGCGAACATCTGCTGCGCAGAAGTGACATCATCCATATGCTTATTGCAGGAAACCTTTGCTGTCGAGGCGACCTTCTGCGTGATACTATGGGAGAGGTCGTTCTTCTTGCACACACAGCTCGCAAGTTCCGCGGGCTCGGCTCCGCAATGCTCCCGGCTCTGGGGGCCACCAGTCAGCTAGGCTGAAGTTCATGTGTAAGTTTTGGTGTTGTTGCTTACAAAATATCTGGTTGCATTGTTAGCATAAAGGATCTGATGTTTCCAAGAGAGACGAGGGCAGTAGGCATATGTGAAGCCAAACTTACGCTACTGCCTGCTTCAGAGCGGTTCCCGCACATGGCGCGAGATAATTAAACTCTGGTCTGTCTGTGATATACTCCGAGATAGGAGGAAGAGGGGGGAAGGTATATGTGCTGTCGGGATTACAATAGGCGCTGAGAACCTAGGAGAAGGCATTAGTCCCTCTATTCGTGTGACTATTCTCTTCCTTTTAACTCACCGTTGCCGCCGATGTTTGGTCATCCGTCGCAGCCGAACCACAGGAGCGACTGATAGAGGACGAGACCATCCTCGTTATCGATGCATAATTGTCGTTCTTAGTGCAGACGCATGACTGCAGCTGCGTCGCGTCCTCAGGACATGAATCTTGCGTTTGTCTTTGGACATGGTATGAAACGGCAGATTGGGCGCAGGGAGCCTAAACCGACCATGGTTGCGCGCGCAGTCAGTCCCTTTGTGGGTTCAAGACAGTTGTGAGTTGGAGTGGTAAGTTCTGCTTGGCCCACCAGTGAACTGAACAACGGATGATCAGTAATGTAATCAACTGCCGCAATGCCTGGCAATTTGGCGGCCAGGAAGACTGCGGCTGGTGATATTATCCTCCGCATTTCGCGCCAAACGAGGGACGGAGGTAGGCAAAATAGGGGCCGTAGAATCGGTCACACTCTGAGGGAGTCAAAGCATTAGGTTGGAGCTCGCGGTGTAAGCAGACGAGAGGACGGGACGGGGCAGCAAGTTCGTCCCGGAGAGAGAAACAACTTGAAGTATAGAAAGAAGTTGAACCGCAAGATATGCGCAAAACAAAAAAAAAAAGAAAAAGGAGAGGAAATCTCAGTCCGAGGAAGAGCCAGTCGAACCACCTGCACTTCCCTCCTAACTAGCTAGGCAGACACCCTCCCGCCAACCAGAAAGGTCTCAGCAGGCCTGTCACTTCGCTCTCCCCCGGGAAACCCAAAGCGGAAGCGGTGCCATGATAATGAGGAGCCCCAAGACGTCTAAAACACGCGAACGGCCGCTCCCGGGTGACTTTTGCCCTGCCCTACGGGTCTTGGCTCGACCTACTCTCGCTTCTGAGCGGAAGAATCCGTGATGTTCTGGGGGCTGCGGTGCATATGTGGGCTCTCAGCCTCTGTGGACAGTGAGATGTCCGACGGCTGGTGATTGGGCAATGATGGTATGTTATTCTCATTCATTGGCTGAGGCTCAACCACTCGCGCTGGATAAAATACATAAGCTTGTTCCTGCGACACTCTATCAAGCAGGGGTTCTTGAGGGGCGTCTGATCGCATGCCAAAGCTGCCAAACCATGGATGAAACTTTGGGCGGGAAGCTTGTGCAACGGTGTGTTTTCGGTTACCAGGAAGGTGGTTCGCAGGGTGTCATTAGGCAAGCGCTGAAGGATGTATTTATTTCGAGACTTCAGCTTGTTTATTGAGATAGTTCTAAGTTGAGATTGTCCTTGCGTCAAAGAGCAACGCCCTGGGTCTTGGTTCCTGAGACCATGACAACCCTCAATTTAGCAAATGCCATCGCCCCAAAACGTTCGGCGCAGAGGGAAGACAAAATCGCCATTTGATTGGTCAAGGGCTCCGCAGAAGTTGGCAGGCTGCGTCGTCCCATGTCTTCGGTCTTGGACAGAACGTGAGACGGCTGATAAAAGTACCAGGTGTTGTTCGGGTCTTGAATGTGTATCACAAAAAGTGTAAATAGTATGCATACTGCAAGTATCGGTTGAACCCGAAGGTCCCCTCAAACATGAAGTAAGCAAGACCGCCAAACTCCTGAACCTATATTTCACAACGCTTTTGGCCCATCCATCAACCACTGGCTTGCACATTCGAGGCCGCACTCTGTGCCTGTTGGTGCGCCTGAGCCTGAGCAAACATCCTAAATCTCGCGACATCCAGCGGTAGACGTTCGCCCATCCAAATGGCGCGGCTAGTATGGTTTTTGAGCTCGCGCTCCGCAATCGAGATATCTTCTTCAGTTGTGTTGGGATGAACTAGGACAGACAGTGGCCCACGCCAAATGGCCAACCAAGGGATGAAGGCGCCGAACTGGGCGGGAGTGAACAAGTTCACTTCGAACATGGCGACGGGATGGGGGCCGATGGGCCGGTCCCAGAAGGTGTAGATGCGCAGCTCGGGAAACTCGCGACGGATGCGTTCCCAGAGTTCACGGGCGTACTTGGTCTGTTCGGGGTTGTTTTGAAAGTAATAGACGTGCACGTCGCTCATCTGGAGTTAGCTGTTGGAGTCTGGGTGAAGGGTGAGAGTGAGAGGGGGCCGTTAAGCCCCCGACTCTGCTTACAATCCGCCCCGGCGGCCGTTGTCCAGGGGATCGATGAATCTTTCATAAGCCGGGCTCAACGCGCCGGTTTGTGGGTTTTTGAGGCTCTTGCCGTCCTCATTCTTCTCGTCGGGGAGCGGCGGGGCCGACTCATATCCGGCTAGGGGAGACGGCCAGTTGAACTCGAGCGACTGAAGTGACATAGGGAGAAAGGAAAGGCGACAAAAACAGTGTTCAGATCTTGAGCAAAACTGGCAGAATATTGCACTTCAAGTTCGCTACAAGTTTTGTTTGTTTCTTTTTCTCTACCTTTATAAGAGCATTCTCCTGGGAGCAATTACCTACCATGTCCCAGAGAAACTCGGTGTTTATCAGCAAACTCGAGGTCCACAGCTGCGCTGACCGGGCTGCTGGTGGTGGGGTTGGCAATTGGATGAGGGCGCCGGCCCCGCGTTGGAGTGGGCAATGACGTGATTCGAGCCAGTATTGAGGATCGTCTCACCGTGCACCACTGCATCGTTATTGACCATTCGGTGTGTGCTTGCATGTGGCACAGTCATCTGCGATGGAACAGGGGCTCGTCGACACTCGGGTGGCTCACGAGATGCATACGGAGTGACGGTGGGCATGGATTTTCTCCGTGAAACATCCCTCCTTTCCTTCCTCCCTCCCCCCCCCCCCGGCCCGGAAACAGGAGCAAAGCCGGCCCCGCATCGGCACTACGGGGCAGATCGGGTCCGAGCGGTAACGGTACGACTCGGACATAACGCCGATGCCATACTGAGGGAAGCGAACTTTGTAGATGGTCTTCATTATCAATGATGTGGTTGTCCAACTACAGCTCAACAACCAATGATCCATCGTCTTTTCTTTGTTTGGGCAGCCGATATCGAGGGCTGTTGTATGAAAAGTGAAGAGTCCCGGTAACGATGGCTTGATAAGCCTGGATGAGTCTCTTCAACTCTCCCTCGATGGCTTCTCCATGGTCTTGGACGGCCTTTCTCTGAAGGGCGGCGCTATTCGCGTCAAAACGCTGGATGCACTTTTGCATCTCTCGGATGGCATGAGCCACAGCTCCTCGAAGGTCCAAGTTGTGGGCACTCATTGTGGCCGTCACCATGTTTGTGACAGTTTCATCTTTCTATCATTGGAGGGAGGTAGAGGGTCAGTTGAGCCCAATCCGACGGCGATACGCTGACGAGACTTACGAGTTCCTTCTTGAGGGAGAAGAGGTCGTTCACACTGAGCGATGCTTGTTTAGTTTGGGACTCTTTAAGACCTGATGATGGATCAAGAGCACTCACATCATGCCTATCTTGGCCACGTCCAAGGCCATGTTGTCCAATTCACTCGACTCCAGAACATCCTGTGGTACAGATATCCGGTTGAGAAGCCTATAACTGTCAGCCTTTCGTCGCTGCATAGAAATCGAAAAAGTTGCTCACCTGCTGAGCTCCAACAGCGGCTTTACCGATACCGTTTTCAATCTCACCGAGTAGAATTCATCCAAGCTCTGCGCCTGCCCAGACATCTTGCACCTATACTCTGCCATGACACCTTCCATAAACTCCGCTAAATGCTCGAATAGCCTCCTTCTCTCCTTCACATCCTCAACATACCGACGAAGCCGGACCGCGACGTCTCTGAAGCTGTCACATATCTTTGTCGGCGCTGCCGGCTCTTCTATTCCATGATCACCTTCATCAAGCCATAAGTGATGTCTCACAAACCGCAGCGATGCCCAGCAATACTCTTCTGCCGCCAGCGCAACATTGTCAGCATCACCAGCGGCAGGTCCGAGCCGATCGATGGCATCATCCCATAAGATGAGCCAGATAGAGTACAAAGCTGCTGTTTCTAGCGCATCATATGTGACATCAGGGAACCATCTATTAATAAGTCAGTCTCGGCGTGTATTGCACTTGGAAAGGGGCCCCCATACGCAGCAGCACATAACCCCGGCTCTGCCCTTTTGGCCTCAGCTAATGCCTTCTCATTGCCCACGATCAACCCCTCAAGCTGGGCATCCACCACAATTTTGACCCGCATGTATTCCCGGTTGACACCTCTCTTCCAGGTTTCAAACAGGGGCCATAAATCTGGGATGCGAAACTGCTGGCCGCGAAGCCGTGGTGCTAGGTCGCTGCCGAGGACTGAAGGCGATGAGGGTGAGACTGTGCTAGCAGTCGAAAAGGCATGTTTTCGCGAAATCACCGGTTGTGATGCCCTTGAGAAGATAGGAGTCGCATGGTGGCTAAGCGGAGTCCTGAAATATTGCCGTTGAAGACCCTCAATCGTACGTCTCATCGCCCAACAGTCTGCGCCTGCGACTCTTGTTTTTTCCATTGTTGTTCGTCCTGCACGGAGATTCAAGTTGTTATGTCGTGAAAAAATATGTCGAGACCGTAACACTGTCTTTTCCATTGCCGGAAATTGTATCTCGGACTGTCCGAATGAGTAAGATGCTATCATCAATGCCTCATCGGTTGTGAGTTCAGGGGTTGTTTTACAGAAGCCGACAGCTAGTTGAAGGAAAGTTACGCAATAGTGCATACCCGAGGCTTCAACTGATGCATAAGACTTCCTGGTTCCCCTGGCGAGCGTGATGATAGTCCAAACCCAACACCATAGGGCTGACTACGACAGATCACTGACAGGACGAAACGCTGCTGTAGCAGGCTTTTTCAATGTAATCCCATTTAAATAACTATACTTAAGCTGCCCCCAATGCCGTGATATTCTCCTGACCATACTGCAGACTCAGCCATCCAAGCCCATTCAACCGTCCCAGAGCAAAACAGCCAACAAAGAGCGCGGTGCAACCGTCATGCCCATGCCAAATGCCATAACCATGCCAATGCCCATGCAATTTGCCCAACATGTCATGCTCAAAAAAAAAAAGGAAATCGGAGCGGGGATAGGTGAAAAAGAAGAGGGCGGTCATCGTCGGTCAGAGAAAGTCAGCGAAGTAGGGGGGTAAGTAAAAAAAAAAAAAAATAAAGCGTGGGAAAGAAAACAAGATAGAGTAAAGACCCGGCCCGCGGTACTTTCCATCCCCCACCCCAGAAACGCCGCAGCCAACCCAAGGGTATGCGCTAAGTACACAAAGACTTGTATGATTTAGGCCCTCTTTTATACATCCCTTTAAAGGTCTCATGATCCCGTCGGCAAACTTAGAATGCGATGCCCCAACCAAAACCTGCTGCTGCACTAACACCTTGGTCAACAAGTCCCAGGCTATTTTAGTATAGACAACAAGGGAAGAGCCAATAAGAGGCGCGATTTGTTAAGAGGGCACAACAACTGCTTTTTTTTTTCGGTCCTCAGTGAACATGAGACGAAAGGGTGGAGGGTACATGCGAGAGCAAAGTTAAAAAAAAACAATTCGGATGAAGCAATTGTACAAGCAGAATTGGAAAAAAAGTGCCAGACATCGAACCGCCTTTCAAGTAGTAAGAACCGATCAAGCCTGAGGACGAGCCGCACCGTTGGCGCCGCTGGTACCCTCGCGGTACTCCTCGGGTTCGTTCTCCTCGTAAGGGTACTCGTTGTTGACAGTCTCGCCAGTAGCGGTCTCGACAAAGTTGTCGCCCTGGACAACAACTTCGTGGGCGGCAATGCGGCGCATGAGCTCGAAGAACTTGGACTTCTTGAACTTCTCGGATTGGTTACCGGCGACAGACGCCACGATCTCGTTGGCGGCGCGAGCCAACTCCTCGTCGTTGCGGCGCTTCTCTTCCTGCTCGCGAGCCAGCTCCTCCAGGTTGTGATCGATGACCTCCATCTCGTCGGCGGTAGGGGGGCCTGTCTTGGCGCCGCTGCGAGCCTGCTCGGCGCGGGGACCATGCTCGGCCATCCACTGGTCCTGGGCCTCGATAAACTCGGCATTAGCAATCTTCTGTTTCTCCTCGGCCAGGGCCTTGGCGAGCTCGTCGTCCTCCTTGGCAACTTGCTCATACTCCTCGAAGGCGCGGGCGAAAGCATCGTCGTTCATAAGTGCTGCCTCAATCGGATCCTGGACAGCCGGAGCCTGCTGTTGGAAAGCGAAATCGGGGGCAGGAGAGAACATAGGCATGCCGAAAGGCGTAGCCATGGTAGGAGGCATAGCCATAGTCTGGGCAAGGGGAGCTGCGGTAGCAGGGGCCGGCATAGCAGTGCTCGGGCCTGCAACGGTGGGAGCAGAGAGGTTCATATTGTGGAACTGGCCGACCCAGTCCTGGTGCGAAGCGCCGCCGGTAGCGGGCTGAGAAAGCCGGGCAGCGGGGGTGCTGGGACCATGGTGAGCGATGCCAGCAGGACCGACAGGCCGAACAGAAGCCGTGTGATGAAGCGCATTCATATCCATGGCGGGAAGCATAGCGGGCTCCATGGGAGCGATCCCCTGCTGGAAGTTGGCAAAGGCCGCGTCAGAGCCATGGGAGATGGGGCCCTGCGAACGGAAAGTCTGGAAAACAAACAGCAGAAGAAGAGTCAGCAATCCATGGCCTCCAGACCGGACGAGGTCGGGCGAGCGAGCGGACGGGTGAGTATGCGAAGCGCGACTTACAGAGCCAGGACCAGCCTGGGCGCCATTGACGAGACGGTCTTGATGAAGCGTGCGATCGCGATCGACGTGTGCCAGAAGGTTCTTTGCGCCGTTGGACGGGCCACACATGCTGTCTGCCATCTTGATGAGTCTTTGGCGATGAGCTCGGGTGAAAGCTGGAGAGCGGGAAGATGCGACGGATACTGAGTGGTCTAGCAGGTGCGGGAGCTTGCCGATGGCGATGATCGCAACGAGAGAGCGAGGTTGAGAGGTAGGATAGTGTTCGAGAATCGCTTGTTGCGCGGAATTATGGAAAATGCGGGCGTGGTGGAAAAGCCGAGGTCCTCCAGGGCGAACCGAGCTGGAGGATTCTATACTGGTCGGTTGTGTGGAAGGAAGAGGACAGGGGCGTCGAACTCAAGAGGCATTATTTATAGAGGGAACAATAGAAAAGGTGATACTATTCAGGCCATTCGCATTTGGCTTTGTCTGGTTCATGGGTGTGTGGGAGCAGGAGTGGGAGTGGTGCGGGTGCAAGCTCTGCCGCGGGGATGAGATGATGACGGTGGTGATGGTCGTGTCCTATGGTGGGTCTTGCGCCGGCCGACGACTGCTGCAACAGCCGTAGCAAGCCCGTGACTGCGGGGCCAGGACGACAGTAGGAGAGGCCCAGAGAGTGTAATTTTTTTGGGAGATGACAGCATTGTGCGGGGCTCTCCTCGCGTTCTCGGTGTGGCCTTGGTCAGCTAGGTGTGCACGGGGGCTCACCTTGGGCTTCAGGCCAGCTGGACGCCCAAGTACTGGCAGGGGTCGCCACTACACACACGCACCCCCCCTGGCACGGCAGCGACCTATCGCGGTGCACCGCCATTGACAACAGCTTTCAAGATCCCAACTTTCCTATTGAAGGAACTCAACAATAGTTAAACCTGCGCTTTACATTGTTCAAATTGCATCCGCGCTCTCCTTCCCAAAGCAGTCCCGCAGTCCTCCTTCTTTCTTAAATTCGCAATAATGGTGCGTAAAACCACCCAAACTACCTGCCCGGTTTCGGTCCTAGGCTGCTCTATTGTCTGCTGGGCTGCCCGCATGTCGCCTGTCGCCATGCGGCCAGCTCGGCGACTCTACAGACCTTCGCGGCCCGCCCTTAGCCCATAGCTGATTACTGACAGTGATGTCGCAACAGGCCTCCGGAGCGCAGGTCATTACCAACTCGGGCCATGATGACATGATTGTATGGGATGCCCTCTATATACCAAACAGATCGATTGTTCTCTGGCTGACCCCTCTCTAGCATGATGCAGTCCTCGATTACTACGGCCGGAGGTTAGCAACTTGTTCGTCCGACCGGACCATCAAGATCTTCGAGATCGACGGCGACTCGCAACGGCTTACCGAGACGCTGAAGGGGTATGCGACGCTTCCGTTTTCCATCCCGCCCAATCCCCCACAATAGCCACATAAGACTTGGGGCTCAATGCTGAGACAAGACTGCGTTACTGCGTAATTTAGGCACGATGGGGCAGTTTGGTGCGTATCGTGGGCGCATCCCAAGTATGGCAACATCCTGGCGAGCGCCGGCTACGATGGCAAGGTATTCATCTGGCGCGAGTTGAATGGCGCGTGGTCGCGCATCTATGACTTCGCCCTGCACAAGGCTAGTGTCAATGTGGTGTCGTGGGCTCCCCACGAGGCCGGTTGCCTGCTGGCCTGCGCTTCGTCCGACGGCAGTGTTAGCGTGCTCGAGTTCAAGGACAACAGCACTTGGGACTACGTCATCTTCCCTGCCCACGGCCTGGGCGTTAATTCGGTCTCGTGGGCGCCCGCCACCAGCCCGGGCAGCATCGTCAGCAGCAAGCCGGGCCCCAAGGCGACAGGCAACCGCCGGTTCGTGACGGGCGGCTCCGACAACACTCTCAAGATCTGGGCCTACGACCCGGCTACCAACACCTACAAGATGGAGCGCGAGCCGCTGACTGGCCACACTGACTGGGTGCGTGATGTTGCTTGGAGCCCGACGGTGCTGCAGAAGAGTTACATTGCGAGCGCCTCGCAGGACGGCACGGTTCGCATTTGGACCAGCGACCCGGCCAACCCTCTGGCTTGGAATTGCAAGGTCCTCCACTTCGACTCAGCCCTCTGGCGTGTCAGCTGGTCGCTCAGCGGCAACGTGCTGGCTGTCAGCGGGAGCGACAACAAGGTCACTCTCTGGAAGGAGAATCTCAAGGGCGAGTGGGAGTGCGTCAAGACGATCGAGGAGTGATGGAGCGCAATGATCATGGTGGGGCCTGAGTTGCTGTTAAGGGTTACAGTCTTATCTAATACATATCCCATTTGGTCTCTACCGTGTGTGTCTCTGTGGTGTGTACAGAACAAGCATGCTACAAAAGAAACAGACTTAAAAGAACCCCTTTCGCCCTCTATAATGAAATGGATGCCGTGAATGCTTCAAGTTCCTCATCATACAACGGCCACCCCCGTCCATATTAAAATGCTTCCGGCAGTAAGAGCAAATGCCAACGCCAATCTACCCACATATTCCCTCCCTGCACTGCTGTTAGGGCCCCCACCTGTGCCTAAAAACCCATCTCCTCCTTTCCCGCTCTGTCCATTCTCCGACTTATCTTCCATGATAACCCAGATCTCGCCTGTATCGTCGCTCGAAACGAATAATCTTTCACCAGTGCTGTCAAACGCCAATCCCACGGGTCGGAAACATCTGGTCAGACCACACTTGGTAACATCGGCGGCTGTCATAATGTCCACGAGGCTATCGACGCTGTCGGCTGCCGGGATGGGCTGGCCCGTTTTGGCTGAGAAGTTGACGTAGGAAAGCTTGTACCCAACCGGGACATCGCGGTTCCAGCTACCGTCTGTCGAGGGTGTTAGTTGTCATCCGAAAGGGATACTTTGCCGTCCAGAGCAGGGACGGAAGATAGTGACGGCAAGAGAAACACTTACGGAAGGAGATGAAAACCCGCGATCCGTTATTCTTGGGATCGAACTTAATATCCAGAGGGGCCATATGAGCCTGGAAGGTCAACCGGGGAGAAATAAACTCATCCGCGCACTTCTGATCGCCCGTTTTGCTGTCCGGGTTGGACATGAACTGATCACCGACCTTCAACTCGCCCAGTTCCGGGAAGTCGGTCGTGTTCCACAGCGCGTAGCAGAATGGATAGCCATAGTTCCGATTTTTCGACTCCAATGCCTCGTCGGCTTTTTCCGAGAAAATGCTCTCAACCGTCCCGTGGTAGTTGAGCTCCTCGCCAGGATTGTCTTGATGGACGTCCTGCCCAGCCCGTGCCATGTCGTCGGCGCTGTTCTCCACGCTCCAGATGGATCCTGTAGCAGGGTGCTCGCCCATACCGACCGAGTTGCGCAGGCCCCAACCAACCAACCTGCCTCCGGACGCATAGTCGACAGGCGTCGTGGCCTGATACAGCTCAGCCACGTCAAAAGCGCGGATCTGCGAGATGCCCGAGGTCGCGTCTCCGGCGAGAGTGTCGACGTTTGCGGAGCTGCCGCGCGAGACGAGCAAGTATGTACGGGGCGGCATTTCCTCACCATCATCTCCTGGGTTGCTGGGCGGTGGCTGATTGCGAGTGAGAAGCAAACTGCGCGTGACGTGTCCCGCGCTGGTCATATTGCGAATGAGGACGCGCATGCTGTCCTTGGTGATGCGGCCGCGCTCTGAGTCGTATAACCATGCGTGCACAGCTTCGCTGGTCGAGACGAGTAACATGCGCCCGTCGGCCGAGATCTCGATACCATGGTTGTAGCCGAATTGGTCTTGCTGGAGAAAGAGAGCGCCGCCGGAAGAAAAGGGGGGGGGGCGTGTGTGTGAGTTAATGTAATCTTTGGGAAAAAAAAAAAGAAAAAAGAAAGAAAGAAACTACGACAGAGACACAGACAGAAGCGGTGAAAGAAAAACTTAGGAAACGGCTTTGGCTATAACTTACCCCTTGGCTGTCGGAGAGGATGGTCTCGCTCGTCGACATCCAGATGCAGGTGTCTCCGTGGTCGACCAAGTCGAGGCGCGTGACGCCGACGCCCTGCTGCACGACCAAAAGCCTGCCTTTTCTGTCAAAAATGATGCCCCGGGGTTTCGTCAAGCCCTTCGCGACAAGTGCGGCTTTCCAGCCCGGCGCCACAACGGGCGATGTGTAGGATGGCGTCAAGACGGTTTCGCATGCTGTTGTTGTTTGAGCAGCAGCGACGGCGGACACCCAGAGCGCCAGGCCTGAGACAGTGGTGAGAGCCCTCATGAGGTTGCCGACGAAGGCAGAAGTGAGGCTCATGAGACTGGATGGTCGTCCGGAGATGAAGTCCGACTGGGCGTTTGATGTCGGGATACTGCAGATGATGGCGCGCTCGCAAATTTGAGGCAGCCGATCATCATGATCGGGGAAAACGGCGACGAAATCGGGCACTGAGTCCGTCAATCGGGAGTTCTAGAGGCCGAATCTTAGGAAAGAAAGTGCCGGCCTGTCGCAGCCGTTGGGGACCAGGAAAGCAGGTTTCTACCTTGCTGGATCGGTCGGTCGGGCGGTCGGCCAGGTAGGGATCTCAGCGGGTGCCAGGTTTGCTGCTTTGATGTGTGCGAGCTGACCGCAGCAACCGCTAGAATACGAAAAAAAAAACCAATCAGTTGGAGTCACAGCGCGAGCTTGTGGCGCCTAGGGGGCAATGGCCCCTCGGCCCTGATTTTTTTGGGGGGGGGGGCCTTTGGGCCTTGGGGCCAAGAGTAGCGGATCAAGCTAAAATAATGAAGCAAGAAAATGAGCGGACTCGGCGGGCTAGCTGTATTGGATCCAATTGGTTGAGCAGCGGACAATGGAAACGCTTGGGCTTGGGTTCGGTCTTGGTTGCGGGATTAGAGTATCAGGCGCAATGCGGTGACATCCGTACACTAAGCCAATGATGGACGCCAGTGACGCAATGGTGCAGTGGAAGTCCCCTAGCAGCAATGCGTAGAATGCATGGCATCCACATCCATGGATGCGGGAAGCCCGGAATGCTCGAGAATGAAACTGTGCACGAGGCATCATTAGGCATCGCAAGGCGCAGTGTATTAAAGTACTAAGTAAAATGCATCCACGAGAGAATGAATCGAGAAAAAGGCAAACCCGCCAGCATCGCAGCAGCATCGCGGCATCGCAAGACTCGGACATATACGGATAAAACAACAGCGACCAAGGTCATGTCCCCAATTCCCCGATTTCCCCGTGTCCCTGTGCCCCCATCTTGTCCCCCTTTCTTTCTTTTGATGATGAACGAAAGCAAGACGTCGTCCTTTCACCCAATCATTCATCCATACACATCCATCCCCCCCATCGCGTCACCTTACCAACCCAATCATCTACCAAAACACATGATCAGACCATACACCGTGAGAACACACACATACACCCACACACCTACACCCACCCACCCACACACACACACACACACAACAACAACAACAACAACAACAACAACAACAACAACAAAAAAAAAAAGAAACCCAACACAGACCAGCGCAACAGTGCATTTTGCCCTCTGTACGCTCTCTTATGTCCCAGGGCCTTTGTTCCAGTTCGTGAAACACCAACAGCATGAAACAGCATGGCGCTTATCCAACCCAACCATTCGTCATCATCCTTCATTCACCCTTCACAGCCTCAGTTCCTTCACGATCTGCCCTGCCATCGTCTTGTACTGCCACGTATCACCGCCAACCCGCTTAAACTGCACGCCATGCAAGCTGACAATGGGCACCTTGACAATGACGATTTCAAACTTGATCTCACCGTCAGCGACCCGTTCCCGATCCCTCGACGCGTCATGCTGCGACGAGAACTGGAATGAGTTCCGCCGCTCGCCAACGTCCCGGTCGCCGGGCACGATGACGCTTGGCCGGTAAGTGCAGCTGAAGCCGCCCCTAATCTCGGTGAACTCGACGGCAAGCATCCTAAGCACGCGCTTGATGTCAGCGCGGATCTGCGGCAGCGGCTTGGTCGACGTGGTCGACACGCTGAAGATGCCCTTGAGATAGACCGGCCTGACCAAGTCCGGGTCTTCCGAAGAGCTGCCCAGCCGGTCGTGCGAGCCACCGCTCGTCTCGCCGGCGTCAACACCAGCATTGACCAGCTCGGCATCCGTCTCCTCGCGGACAGAGGGCGGCTGATGCATGGGTGACTGGGGATTTTGCGCCTGTTGCTCGCGTGCCTCGGCCTCCCTGCGAGCCCGACGCGCCTGGATACTTTCCCTACGCGCATGACCAAGGGACTTGGCACGCATCGAAACAGACTTTTGAATGAGGGTGCCCGACCGGCCCTCCGGGTTGCCGGGTTCTCGCCTCCTATCGCGAGTGCTGAGCCTGCGAAGGAGTGACACGGGACCATTGCCACCGCCACCACTCGTCTTCTTAGTCTGCGGGATCATTTCCGGTGTGAGAAGGCTGTTGTTGACTGCCTCCCGGACTTGGTCCTCACTATGAGACCTTGCCCGGTGCCGCGTCCTGCCATCACTGCCTTCAGTGTGTGCTGGCTGCGGAGGAGCAATCTCGGCCATGGAGTGCTTCTCCTTGGGCCGCACGACAGGAGATGGAGGGACATGAGCATGGCTTTGGTGCGGAGATGCTGGAACCTGCTGCACAGCAGGAGGCGCCGATAGCTGCTGGGCCTGGGCCTGCCGTTCGCGTTCCAGTTTCTCCTTCACGAGGTAATAAATGGAGATCAAGGGGTCATAGGCGTTGAGGATATCCTCTCCAAGAGCAAGACCCTCTGAGCTTGTGGTTGTCAGAGTCTCCTTGCTGGTGATGGAATTTCTCCTCTTGTAAAAATCGAAGCCGAAGCCACGGCGCTTCTCTGCATCCTTAGTCACGGACTGTGCCTGCTCTCTCTCCTTCTCCCAGCGACGAGCGGCTGCCTGATACTTCGGCGACAGGATTAAGTTGGTCAACTGCTCGCGAATTTGCTCTGGAGGGCCAAACTTAAAGCCAGTCATGTGTCTGATGACTTCATCGTCAAGAGGGAGCTTCAGAGGCTCGCGGTAAGGCATGTAGTTCTCGGGTGGGCCGTTGTAGCCTTTAACCATCCACGGATGATTCATGACCTCATGCATGGTCGCGCGTTGCTTCGGGTCCGTCACCAGCATTCGGGAGATCAGATGCTTGCACTCTGTGCACACAAAGTTAGTGGGGGAAGGGGGGAAGGGGGGGAAGTTCCAGAGTCCTAGTCCGACAGGAAACTTACCGCTCGACAGCCAATTGGGATAGTCGACATGGCCCTTCTTGATCTTCTGGTGAAGCGCCGGCATGTACTGATCATCAAACGGAACTTTACCGCAGACCAAGACGAACAAGACGACGCCAAAGCTCCAAATATCAACTTCAGGCCCTGTGTACGGCCTTGCCTGGAGCAGCTCAGGAGCAGCAAAATAGAGACTACCACAATACGTCTTCAGCTTCCTGTTCTCGTCCGGCGAGAACAGATTGCTCAGGCCAAAGTCGATGATCTTGATATCCCCGGTCTTGCTGATGAGGATGTTTTCGATCTTGAGGTCACGGTGAACAATGCTGTTGCGGTGGCAGTAGTCAACGGCGCTGGCAATCTGCCGGGCAAACTTGCGGGCCTGTTTCTCCTTAAGCTTCCCGTGCGAGATGATGTAGTCCAGCATTTGCCCGCCGTTGACATATTCAAAGAGCATATACCAGTGCCATCTTGTGCGCAGGTTATCGCGCAACGCACAAATGTACTGGTGATGCAGCAAGCTCACAATGGCCGCCTCGCGCGCATTGCGGTCCTCCCTGGCAGCATCGGCCTTCTCCCGCTCCTCCTTGCTTGTACGTCCATCGTCAGGGGAGACTCTCTCGATGATCTTGCAAGCAACCTGCAGCGAAGAAAAATGACCGCGTTAGAAACCAGATCGAGACAATAAGACAGCCAAGGGAAGGCGATCAGAAACTTACCAGTTCGCCAGTACCCTCCTTCTTGGCAAGCTTGACCTTGCCCATGCTTCCCTGGCCAATGGTTTTGATGAAGGCATAGTTTCCAGATGGAGCAGGAATGACGGTACGGTATCTATGCTTGCTGGTGCGCTGAATACCGGGATCGTCGGCTTGATTGTATGTATGCGTAGCCGAAGAAGGGGGAGCAGGCGGCGGCATGTCTGACTCCTGGGGGTGCCGAGGTGACGGCGCGGCCGTGCTCGTGGATCTCTGACTGGGGCGGCGGTGTGGACGTGAAGATTCGGCTCTTGTGGATGATTCGGATCGCGGGAGGGGCTCGGGTCGCGAGGATGTAGGAGGTCGCCGAGGAGTGCGGACGGATTGCGAGCGGATGGGCAACTCAGCCCTATCGACGCCGGCCGGAGGAGCGCTCGCCATGGCGGATGGAGGAGGAGGTGAAGGAGGTCGCAACGGGCCCAAGCACGGACTGTGGAATGCTTGTTACGGCAAACCAGTCGCTGGGCGCTGTGTTACAGTGTAAATCGCTGGGCTTAACGAACGCGAAACACTGGTGCTCAACCGATTGTTCGCGGCGATAGGCCGGGGCACTCAATGGCAATCGAACGGAAGGGGTCTCACGGCTGCAGAGGTAAGCAAAGGGACGCGTAGCGCCAAGCACCCGAGGAGTTGTGGCAACAGGGTGCACAAATAGGCGGTCGCGGTTTGGTGCCAGCTGAATGACAGCACAACAGAGCAAAGTTGGTTGGTAATGATATGATGGTTCTGTGACGATTGCAGTCAATCCGAGTAAGGCAGCCCTTGGAGATACCGAAGACAGGTCGGCGGTAAGTTGTTGAGTCGGTAAGGTAGGTGACCGGGAGCGGTGGGTTGGCGACTGAAGACAGCGGGCGGGCGGATATGGAAATTGGGGGGGGGGGGTAAGAAGAGAAGAGGGGGAGCCAGATGGCAGCGTAAAAGACGGAGGACCGCTTGGAAGCAAAATTGTCTAGTCGATTCGATGGATCGATGATGGATGGCAGTTTGTGCACGTCCAGGACGTCTAAGGGAACCGACGGCGACTGTCTGCCGGGCACACTGCGGACTTGAGTTCTCGCTGCTGGAGGACTGCCGCTGCTACCGTCAGATTGCAAACCCGGAGCCTGCAAACGAAAAGCTGCAAGTGCTGGTGATGCCCGAAAGATCGGCAGGGCTCCGTTTCGACCGAATGTGCCGCTCAAGAGTTCAGTGAAGCGTGGCGCTCCAAGGTTGGGCGGCGTGACGCAGCTTTTCAGAGACGGGCGTGCTTCATGTATTAAGTGGTTGAATGGGTTGATGGGAGTCCTGGCCCAGGCTTTGAGGGGGTCAAGTGAGTGTCCAGGAAAGGCCTCCTCCATCCGCTGTCCGCTGGCTGGCCCGCTGTGTGTCCAGCCCAGGAGAGCGGCCAGGGTGCTTGGAGCACCAGCCGCCAGCCGCCATCCGCCAGCAGCGGCCTGGGACCCACTCACTCCAGCTCGCCCGTGTTTGGGCTGGCCCCGATTGGCGCAGGGGTGTAGGACTCTCCAGGCTGGTGGCCCGGGTGGCAGCTAGTACGTAAGATATGTATGGTTAGGTATCGGTCCTGTATCACGGACACAGCACTCAAGCTGAAATCATGTCCTTCCATAACAGAGAGCAGGTAACTTTCGCCCGGTGATTGCAATTACAATGAGATTCAAAGGCTTTTACAGCAGCAATACTAGATATTTTGCCGTGATACTGATAACTGTCTTAACTTGGTTGATCATGTCCATGTCATAGGCCAGAGAATGCGGCGAACAGAGAGCCGGGACCGTTGTTCTTCACTTGGCGAACCCTACACCCATGATTGTAAAAAAAAAAAAGAAAAAAACTGTAAACTTGTAACACATGCAATGTCAGAATCACACCCCACCAGCAGCAGATGGACCGGGCCCTGCGCTTTCGCCTCAAGCTCCCACACACCCGCCCACCCACCATGGAGGCAGTGAAGGAGAATATTATTGTCTTCCGGGGTCAATGGGCTGCCGGGCCCGATGCCTGATCGCTGGCCTCCCCACCTCCCCGGTAATCTTACAGACAACGGAACTCAACAACCGAGGAAGACTTAGGCTCTTCTTAGGATTCAAGTATCGTAGTTAAACACACAGGCAGCTGTTGGGGCAATGACAACCGAAGTACTTCTTACGGCTGCCTGTGAAAAAAGCAACCTATAATTGGGTGTTTGTAAGTAGTCCTGAAGCCAACAATGCCCCCCTTTCACGCAATGGCTTAACAGCTCTGTAGCGTCCTGCGAGTCTGGCTTGGTGGCTGTTTTGATCGCTTCATGATTGGCCTCAGTCTGGTGGAGATTTTAATATCCCACTTTCTAGCTGCCCCAACTGGCACGAAGAGAGAGAAAACAACACAGCTGCATTCGGCGCTAGTGGGGTGTCCAACTGGGGTTGACTCGCTTCCAGAACACTGCCTGTCCACCGAGCTGTTCAAAGCCACGCAATGGCATGCCTGATCTGTCAATATCTACGTCTCTGCTGCTAGTAGGATCAACCTTGGCAACGGCACAGATCTGCCGGTATTTGACGTTTACACTACTGTGTGAACAGACTCTTGCAAACCAGAGGCAGAGTCAGCATCTCGGTGACACTGCATCTCATGAAGCTCAGGCGATCTTAAGTCCGTGTGATCGAGCTGCAGGCGGCCGTTTTGGAGACTGACGCTCGCTCTTCAGACGGAACCTGCAATTAGCAGCGTAGGCACCTGACAGCTCCATGAAATCAGCTTTGCTCTCAAGATTCGAGGCCCGCTGGAAGTCAAAGCTGCTTTAGTCCTCGGTGCTGCTTTCGACGAAGTAGCACCGAACCGATTGAACACTGAGAGAACCCAATTTTCCCAAATAAATGTCAGGTCTGACACAGTCAACCCTGAGGATCCTTTGGTTTCAATGCTCTCAGTCACCATAGAACGTTACCAAGCGCCAAAAGCTTGAGGACGAGGGCTTCCCATGCCGTGGTGAAATCTTTCCCTTCTGAGAGGCGTTCGCGATCTTGTGAAAGGGGCAATGGCATCACCCAACAGGGACTTCAAAGAGCCGGGGTTTGGTCGCAGAGTTCCCTGACGATGCGGCCAATAAAGACCTGGACGCAACTTGGGATTTCCAGAGCGAAGTTTCCGAGCTTGGCATCTCGACTTTTGTTCCCCGGTGTCTCCGCTGTTACTTACCGTGCTTGTACTGGAGATCCCCGCATCGGCGTAGTGGGTCAGTCAAGACCCTTCGAAATCTTCACCGCCTTCCCGATAAGGATGCTGATCCGTGGAATTTGCGATAAGCTCGGCTGCAGAGCAGTTGGCACTGCTCTGCAAGTCTTCATTCCGCTTTCGATCCATGCAACGGCGACGCGATGATCAGCAATCTCGAACACAACCATATTTGAGCCCCCAACATCGCACAACGTGGTTCTCACACCGTGACGCTACCGCATTGCTCTTCAATGTCCCACAAGCGATCGCGCGCTGCTTACGAGGCTGATTTAACTGCGCAACAATCTCCCTACGTCTTCTTCGGCACGCCGCTTCCACCGCTCGATCCCGACGTCCGGGACGACGGCTCCTACGTACCGATATGGAAGCAAGAAGCACGGGATGAGCGGGGGAGGAAGCGGTTCCACGGCGCGTTCACAGGCGGTTGGAGTGCAGGGCAAGTCTACCAAGGCTTGGGAGAACTGCCTACCTACGCAGCTAGGTAACGCGCTGAGCTGACTGACTCTGTTTCCCAGATACTTTAATACCGTTGGCTCCAAGGAAGGATGGACCCCCTCGAGCTTCGTATCGTCGCGCACGAAACGCTGGAAAGATGACCCCAACAAAGTCGAACAACGTCCAGAAGACTTTATGGACGAGGAGGACCTGGCAGATCTTGAGGAATCCAGGAAACTACAGACAAGGGAGGCCTTCTCCGGCCTCGGATCCACGGCCGACGATGCTGTACGCGCGAGTGGGCTGATGGGCCTATTCCGCGTCGAGGGCGAAACAATGGGCGTGAAACTTCTCAAGAAGATGGGCTGGAAGGAAGGTCAAGGGATTGGCCCAAAGGTCCGCAGGAAAGCCCGCCTTGGTTTGGGTAGTGACGCGAATATCACCGAGGAGACACATCTCTTCGCTCCAGATAATGTTCCAATGATCAGCTTCGTTCGAAAAACGGACCATAAGGGACTCGGATACGCTGGCGAGACAGGGTTAACGCCACTAAGCAAGGCCAATGGTCAAAACGAGTCAGACGAAGAGGACGAAGACGATGGTGGAATTGGAAGCTTAGGCAGGCCCAGATTCTCTTTAACCACCGAACGAAAGAAGGGGCCGCAGAGGCCTCGAGGCAGCATCGGTGTCGGCATTCTGAACGACACAGGTTCTGACGACGAAGATCCATACGAGCTGGGCCCCAAGATATCTTACAATCGAGTAATAGGCGGTGATAAACAGAAGAAGAAGACCGCGACAGCTACCAATCCGACACTGAAATCTAAGCCAACGTTTGTTTCATCGAAAAGCAAGGCCCTGGGGAAGGTTGCCCTTGGAGTTCGGAAATGCCACGATGGACGGCTGCCGTTGGATGGGTTTGTTTTTGGCAAGGAGCCGGACCCCCTTGATATCCGAGATCATCGCAGAGGGAAAGTATCCTCCTCCTCGCATCCCTCCAGGCTGGGTTTCGTCAAAGAAGCCCACATCATCAGCTAAGCAACCGGCTGGCTACGTCTCGACAGCAGAAGCTGCCAAGTCGTCGACCTTGGACCCTAGGGCCCGTGCAGCAATACTTGGTGAAAAACAACTGCCAGGGAAGTCCGTCTTTGACTTCTTGTCACCAGAGGCTCGAGAGCGTCTGGTCGCTGCGACAGGCAAGAAAGATTTACCTCCAGCTCGTGGGGAAGTTCCTGCAGAATATGCGCTCAGTGAAGACGAGCGATTGAAGAAGCTGTTGGCCCAAGTCCCGCGCTTAGATAAAGAAACAGCCGTGGCCGCCATCACCAGGGGAGCTAGCGGCGCGGCACCTTATGCGGACGACGAGGCCAAGCGGTCCCGTTATCTGTCCTTCCTCGAGTGGCAAGCCGGCTTCAAGTCATCCCCTGGAGCGCGCACACCAAAAATGAAGGACGATGACTGGCTGAGGGAGCTCCATGAGTTTTACAATTGTGCCAGAATCTTCAAGCCCATGACGGGCTTCATGGCCAGCCGGTTCACAACCTCATCAGCAGCGAAGCCCGGCAGCAGCTCGGATGGCGGAGCCAGCAATAACTCTTGCTCACAGACCCCGACTAAGCCCCAGGATCCTACCGAAGAAGCAGCCAAGCTGGGCATGTTTGGACCAATGACCAGGACGGTCACGGAATTTTATCCCTCTCGCCTGCTGTGCAAGCGATTTGGCGTGAATCCTCCAGAGCATGTACGGTCGGATGAGTATCCTGCAAACAAGTCGAGATTTGATGCTTCCTCGATTGGGGGCTGTTCGGCTGCTTCGACCGGGCCAACAGAGGAGGGAACAAAGCCAGCTTGGATGCCTACTGGAAAGGCAGTTGTTGTTGTCGATCCGAGCAGAAACGAAGCCCTTGAAGCGAAGAGAGCTGGCGAGGAAGTGTTCAAGGCCGTATTCGGCGATAGCGGTGACGAGGGGTGACAAAACTCTGAGTAGATATCTTACACCTTAGTCTAATAACCAACGTCTGGCTATTTGGGTAATGTTAGGCTCATCGCGCTGAACCGTGCCAACTGCATGACGTGCCGCCTTGCTTCGTCGACCACATTGCTGCAAAGATGGGAGGGGAAGATTGGATACCTAAGACAAAAAAAACAGAAGAAACATGTACTTTTCACAGCACGTACAAATACGTATGCCGTTGATTCCCCATGTATAAGAGCCGCATCCCATTTTTTCATCACCAGTTTCTAACGGCAGGAGTTGGCTCGATGCTTGGCGCGGCGTCCCGAGCATGCGAGAGTGGAGTGAAATTGCTCAGCTCCAGCAGCGATCGTGGTTCAGCATGCTCTAATTGGTTGGATGGCAGGGCGGCTATGGAGACCCCACCGTGACTGGCCCCGCTGCTTGAAATGAGTGACCAATCGGCCAGCAGCTGCCCAGCAGTGCTGGAGCTGTTCTGGGGCTTCTGGCATTTTTGGAATTGGGGCTGCCGTCTCTGCCATGTTTGGGGGGGCCCCTGTTTTTGGTGCTTGGCCCAGCGGCCGCAACAAAGGGAGCCCTGGCAGAAGCGACTTATCCATCTCCTGGCAGTATTGCGGATGGATCGCTGCCAAGTCACCGTCTCATTAATCCGCCCCCCTCCGGCGATATTGTCTGCTTGCTGTACCTAACATAATCCAGCGTCGAGCTACACCGCAGTCGCTCAAACTACGCTAGACTAAGCCTAAACCTATGACTCTTTTCCTCTAAGATTGTCTTTCCTCTGCTTTTACTGTGTATCCCGGTGTTTTCGTCCATTGATATCTCACTGGTGCGCGGCCATCGGGCGCGTCCAGCAGCTCCCGTCTCCTTGACCTTTGACTGCGGCCACTAAATCTAGCATCCAGCACTTCTTAGCACACTGCACATCTCCTGAGCCCCCGTCCATCCAATCCCAGGCAGGTCCTCGCTCGACATCGACACTGCAGCCTGCGCCTCGCACAGAACCTATCCGTATCTAACCTTCCATCCCGCCAGATCGAGCCATCCACGAGCACAACGAGCATAGGCGAATAACGAAGCGAACGAAACAAGGGCGAGCCGAGACATAACAACGCGTGCTGTCAACCTTGTTCGAATCCGGGTGCCCGTTAGACCAAGGCCAACCTTCATCTCTTGCCTTCAATATCCGCCAGCCGGCAACATCCTGACCCGCCACCACGTTGTCCGACTTTAAGAACGCGAGCAGCTCGTCGTCCGGGCCATCACTTCGACGCAGCGTTGAGGAGTACGCAGGCATCCCAGAGGACCCGCTCCCCGATACCAAGCCCGAAAAGGGGACAACACATCTAGCCTGCTTCACCGCCGCCGCCGTCGAGGTCAACAGCGACACCGACCGAAGATTTCCTTCGCGCGAACCGTCCCCTCCGCCGAAGTATTCTTCGTTTGAGGCTTCGAGCCCCAACCTTCGGCCGCCGCCCCCGTCCTTTTCGTCTCTCTATCCTTCGGCTGACGACTACGATTCTGCTGCGCCATCGTATTGCTGCAAGTCTGTTGCCAGCGGCCCCGACACAGAGCTCGACCCGCTTCCTCCTCCCCCTTCTCCTCCAGGCGACGCGCCGGCGTACGAACCGTCTCCCTACCGCGACTCCAAGGCACAAGTAGCAGCAGTAGCAGTAGCGAAAGCATACCCAAAAGAGGTATCATCCACCGATCCTTCGGACTTTGCCGTTCTTCGGTTCCAGGACGAGACCAAGCGCGCGCTCCCAGAGGACACAAGCGCCAAAAAGAAGGGCTATTACGACGACGACGACGACGACGGTGCTGGTGAACCGTCGCGAGGAGCAGGCCATTCTTCTAGAGACGAAGACGAACCGCCGCCGGCGTATTCGGAGGGTGATATCCCCCTCCAGTCGTTCACATACCTAATGGCGGCCGCAGGAGGTCCTTCGAGCATCATCACGCAGGTCCAGCAGGGCGGGCCACCGCTGAATCCGTTAGGAGGTAGGGCTCTTATTATACATGTGTATCTTTCTCTGCGTCGCTGTGGTGTGGACATGGGATATGGGTGAGAGCAAATGGCTTTGTCTTCATCCTACTCCTCCTCCTTCATTACCATCATCGCCATTCTCATTTCGGGGTCGCGCTCCGGGGCTGATCATTTGCGTGCTATTCTCCAATCTAGATGCCCCTAGCGATGAGACCATCACACTGGATCTACGGTAGGTTTCTGGCTCTTGATCATGAGTCTTCTTCTCCCGTAGGATGTAGAAAGCGCTGACACATTCACTAGGGGTACCCGTTTCACCCTAACCAGAGATGAGCTCTTGACACTACCTGAATTCGTCCTCCTGTCGCTGTTCCCCAACGGCCTGTTCCCCGAAGGGCATATGGGCGGCTATGGCTCGGAGCAGGATCCGATACAAGTCGATGTAAGTTCCATGTCGCATTGCGCAAACAAAAAAAAAAACTCAGCTACTGAACTATAATTTACAGTATGACCCCGCTGGTCTGCAATACATGCTCGATTTCTTCCGTAAAGTGGCGAACAGCCTGCCACCCGAGGGTGAGGCTGATGACGCCAAGGACGACAGCCAGCGTCGTGCGGGCATCATCGTGCTGCGCGAGGACCTCGACTTCTATGCGATCCCACCGTGGCGCGACATCGAGCATCACGAGATGCTCGAGGTCAAGCGTGCCGCTGCCCGGGCTCTTCTCAAGCAGGATGGCATCTTTGCTGGTCTCAAGAAGAGCGATGAGCCGGGCACCACCGAGGCGCATCTCATTGAGATGCTGACAGCTGGGTATATATTCCCCTAAAGCCCTCCTCACCCCTAACCTTCATATAAGCTCGCTAACATACTTCTCCACAAAGCGGTTTCAACCACGACGACTGCTGGGGCCACCGTGCAGGTGAGCCAAACAAGGCGGTGATCTGCTCGTTGGCACTGGCCCGCCTGCGCTCCGACATCCGCGGCGACGGCCTGGGCGGCGCGTCCGGCCCCGTCGGCATGGCCCAGAAGCTGCTGCTCTTCTGGCGCAAGCCAGCCCGCCGCTGCTGGTGGGAGGGCGTCGAGCTCGAGAATGTTGAGGGCTTGCCCAAGGGCCAGAAGCTCAAGGTGTGGATCCGGAGGGTCTGGACGCTGGAGATGAGTGTTATTGGGCTGCGTTAAGTTAAGAATTTAAGGATGTGTGTTCGTGTGTGTGAGGATGATTGTCAGGGTGTAATGGAATGGGGCTAATTTTTTACTCCTCTTTCTCTCTTTTTTTTTTTCTCTCTTCCATATGTTTTGCCTTTTTTTTTCTCTTTGTCGTTTTAGTCTGCTGTCGCGTCTGTGTCTGTCTGTTGGTTTTGTTCTCACCGTTTTGCTTGAAGGGTACGCACTTGCAAAGACGAAGTGTGGGGGGCATTGGAGGGGAGGAAGAGAGAAAAGGGGAGCATGTGGATTGGACCTGTTGAATGCTGTTGTTGCGTGGCGTGTGCATGTGGTCGTCACTCTGTCAGATGGCCACTCTACTCTAGTTCAAACTCAGCCTGCCAGCCCGCTATTCTGCCTCGTGGTGTTGCATGGCCTTGAGTGAACAGAACGCATAGCCCATCCATTTTGCAGCACGGCATCCTGCTCTGGCTGTTATTGGGTTGTTAAAGATAGGGACCTCTTGATTAACCCTCAAGACGTAATGATAAAAGGAGTTCTGGTTGGGTTGTCGTCAAACACTTCTAGCACGTACTGTCGTTACTGCTGTTGCTGTCTCTTTGCTGTTATCTCGTTCACCTTCGGTTGACCCTACCTTGACTTTTCTCTCCGCCTGAGTTTTTACCTCAAGTACCTGTGGTCCCTAAACAAAACCAAGTATTACATACCACCTTGAGAGCTCAATATGAATTTTGGGGAAATCAGCCGAGGTAATGAGAACAAAGACGAAATCCCTTGGGAGCGAGCAGTCTATATATCAAGCTACCAAAAAAAAAAAAACCTAAAGCTCATCAGCCCATTACATTTTACCACCTCGCCCAGGTTTATTAATCGTCAATGGTTTAAACGGCTTCTTCAACTTCTCAATCGGCGTGATACTATCCCTTCCTAGGCCAGCAGGTCTCCTAAACACACTACTGCCGAGCCCCTTGGGCACGGTTGTGCACGTCGTCGCGTGCAGACAAGCGGCTGCTCGCGTTGGCTGGGGTGGTGGCCCATCGTCTTCATCGTCGTCGGCCGCCTCTGATATGCCATTGCCATTCTGCTCTGAGTCCGGCCGCGGCGGCGAGCTGGAGAAGCAAGGATAGGCTTTCCCCTTGGAGCCATCGTTGGTAGAGTGACCAACGGTAGGACGAGTGGGCATCTTCTTGGGGCCCAGCTTGTGGCTGGCAAGGTCCGGCTGGATGACAGGCTGGGGCTGTTTTGCCACAAGCTGCTGGAATCCAGGTGAAGACTTTTTGGAGAACGCGTTGCCTGCTGGTGCTGTCTGCCCTGCTGAAGCCAAAGCGGCTGGGGGAGGAGCAGGCTCAGATCCGGTCTTAACGAAGGCCATGATGCTTTTTTGTTGTGGCAGGCGTAACTTTTGGGCTCTCTCCTCCTTTCGCTTCGCTTCAGCCGCGGCGTTTGCAGCCACGAGAGCAGCTTGATGAGCTGATGCGCTGATAAAACCGGGTAGATTTGATATAGTGAATTTCGATGCTTGCTCCATCGTTGTTAGGTAGTCTTTCTGCCAAGGCCGTTCTTCCTCAGCAGCCTTTCCCATGCCAGGGCCATGAATTCTCGGCCGTTTAGCCCGCGGCCCATTGAATACATCACCCTGGCCGTCCCACTGTAGGCCCCTCACATGTTCAGGGTCAACAGGGAAAAGATTGTCCTCGGTGCTAAACCCGGGCGGCAAGGCCCCGAATATCTTTTCGTCCGAGGGCAACTCTCTCCCGAGGACCTTGGCAATTTCCTTCATGACATGACGATCAAGACAAGGTCCTTTTTCGGCAAATGAACGGCTTATTGAGCTGACAAAAGGAGACATTTCGTTATTCTGGTTAGCCTCGCTGGAGGGGCGGACCGGGTAGCTAAGATAGAGCAAGCTCTGAGCTCTCGTCATGGCCACGTAGAGTAGCCTTCTTTCCTCATCGATATCATCGGATCGCGAGTGGGGAATAGAGCCATCGTAGACGGCAGGAACAAAGACAACAGGCCACTCAAGACCCTTTGCTGCGTGAATGGTAGATATGGTAACCCGCGGCTTGCTGTCTTGATCGTCGTCTCCCGTCTGTGCATCTGTAGCCAGGGCCACGTTGGCCAGGAAGCGCGGAAGGACGTCAACTTCTTTAGCTTGCTCAATACCTTCAATCTCTGGAAGGGATTCGTCGCCTTTAAGTTCGAGCTCCTTTACAAAGTCTCCTGCCAGAGCGACGAACTCCTGGACGTTTGCCCACCGTTGCTCATGGTCCTCTGGGTGAACGGTCTGGAGATGCCTCTGGAAATCAAGAGAGGAAAGAAGCTGCTCGATTATCTGAACAAGGCCGATTGGAGTGTCGTTTGGCCCATCCACTTGACTGATCCTTCTCCTGATGTTTCCAACGGTCGGATCAGCGTAGTAGTAATACGCTGTTCGGTGTGCTTCATTATCTTTGTCTTCGCAGTGCGTTCTCCCCGGCAATGCTTGGTCAGGACAGACCAGACGCTCATTCCAGATGTTTCTGCCTCTTCAAGAAGCCCCCTGATTGTAATATCCCCAACTCCTCGGCGCGGAACATTCAAGATACGAGCGAGTGCATCGTTGTTTTCCGGCTGATGGATGACGCGCAAATAGTCGATGATGGTTTTGATTTCGGCGCGCTCGTAGAATTTCAGGCCGCCGACCATCCTGTATGAGATCCCCGCCTTTCCTAGAGAGCTCTCGATGTGTCTTGACAAGTAAGCGGAGCGAATGAGGATTGCAACATCGTTGTGGGTTATCATAGAACCCGACATCATGATGATCCTCCTAATCTCAGAAATGATCCAATCTGCTTCGGCATCAGGACTGATCAGCCGCCGTAACACCGGTCGGGTTCCCTTGTTGTGAACGGGCTTCAAGGACTTCTTGTAACGCTTTGTGTCCTGCTCGATCACCTGCAGTGATAGATTGAGGATGAACTCTGATGAGCGGTAGTTCTGCTCGAGAGAAACTTCTTCAGTAGCGCGGAATTCACGCAACAACTTCCACAAGTTCCCAATCTCGGCTGACCGCCAGCCATAAATGCTCTGGTCTGGGTCTCCGACGATGGTTATTCTTCGGTGTTGTTGCGCGAACAACTTCATCAGATCATACTGGATTCCGTTGGTGTCCTGGTACTCGTCGACGAGCACAGCTTGAATGTTAGAGACGCAAGCGGGAAACTTGCGGAGGAGTTCAGCGCAGCGAACCAGGAGGTCGTCGTAATCCAGTAGGTTGGAGGACTCCAAATGCTTCTGGTACTCCCGATAGCAGGTCTCGAGCTCCTCAAGCTGGGGTGTCTTTTTTGGCTCCTTCTTAACTACTCTGGACGGCATTTCTGTTCCCTTGGCTTTCTTCTTGCTAATCCACGCGCGCGCATGCGCAGGGTCAACCTGCAATTGTAGCCGCTTGCAGATACGAACGATGATGGCGCGCGAGTCTGAGTCATCAGCAATGCCAAACTTTTCATTGAGCCCGATGAGGCGGCCATACGCGGCAAGATATCGACGGGCGATGCTGTGGAAAGTGCCAAGAATAATTTTTGTTTCTCTGCCGTCACCGAGAGACTTCCCAATGCGCTCTTTCATCTCACGGGCCGCCTTGACAGTGAAGGTGGCTACGACAATATCTTGTGGATGATAGCCCACATGGTCGATCAGCCAAACCACCCGGGCTGTGAGGGTTTGTGTCTTTCCGCTCCCCGGACCTGCCAGAATTGCAACCGTATCTGCAGCTGACGTCACAGCACGGCGCTGGGACTCGTTGAGACCGTCAAAGATGGAGTTATTTGGCGCTGGCTGGGCCATGGCAACGGATCATCGTATTGGACTGTGGACGCGTCCAACACGGGGGCTGCAAAGTCAGAGTAGTTTTAAAAAAAATTGCGAATAAGTAAAATTAATTGAGCAACATGCTTACAGTACAGACGAAGCACTAACACAACTCAACAGTGACAAAGCGCCATCGTTGTGCTGAGTTCAAGTGTAGCCTCAGCCAGCGCCAACAGCTCCACACTTTCTCGACGCGTTCAGCACGCGCTCACAGTAAATGCAATGGAGCATTTTCGCGAAAGCACGTGACTCGAGCAAGCGAGGGATGTTATTTGCCAAGACCAGGTGGGGACCGGTGCCCAGAGGCCCGCGATCTCAGCCCCACCAACCCTCTTAACCATCGATCGCTCTCTGGAGCCCAAGTTCTCTTGACTTTGAGCCGGAATCGAGTCCCGATCGGAGAGTCTAAAAGAGTCTGCGGACGGGAATATGAAAGACACTTCGGAGAATCTTTGCTCAAATATTCCAAAGATCATCTGTCTTTATTCTTACCTTGTGACAAATACAGTGCTCCGTACCATGATTGGACAAACGTAGGACAACACAATCCTTTCCCACATCACAAGTGTCCCTCTTGAACCGAAAGAAAAGTGATGGAGGATGGTGTGCTATTTTTTTATCGCCACGCGATGCTGCAGGACGTAAAACCTTATAGAACCTGTTCCTGATGAAAATTTTTGTGTGTCCTTAGTTTACCCACGCCGTACCACGTTTTCTGTGCACAGTTGTATGACTTTTTGCCTCTGAAAACAGCCAAATGTCCGTTGACATGCTATCTTTGAGAGGGGATGGGCACACGAGGAGCCACGAAGTGACGGACCCAAGAGCAAGCAATGGCAGGGGTTGAGCGGGCTGATGGCGGGGACAGGCAAGCTCGCATGGTGCCAGCCAATCAGGATGCTTATTTTGCCGCTGTCTGCCCGTGCTCCACCATGGATCGGGCCAATCAGTGAGCACTGTGCCCTGGATACCCTTAACGCCCACCTTTGACCTTTTGTTCATCGCTGCCGACAGGCTGCTGTGAGGTTGCGCAGCGCCAGCGCTATTCCGAGCGAGCCATGCCCATCATGCATGCAGCATGGTATCTGGAAACATGTTCAGCAAGTCAGAGGACATTTCACACAGTGTCCAATGCCAGCGGCGCCAATGGCAGCGCCGGACGGGCTTCGGCACACCGTGATTTGAGTGATGACATTCGCTGCTTGTCTCACCAGCCGCTATATACGCAGTGAAGCCCCGTATCACATATTCCCGTCAGCCATTTGACTGAAGTTTCGGGATTAGCGATCGTCGTCTGCACATCTCAATCACAGCCCGTTCCAGGTTGACAACACGGCAGATGCCATGAGCCACCTGTGAGGTCCGACGCCTGCCCTACAAGGTCCTTCTCATACATCTGCGTGCCAGCTCCCACCCCTTCCGGACCATCCTGCTTCTCAACGCCATGCCATCTGGTGTTCTGTCGATCTATAACTCTGTCCCTGTGATTGTTCGGCTTCCACTTTTCTTTCTTGTTGCTGCCTCATCTGGGGCTTCGTTGTGTGTTGCCCTGCCTTGGTCAGGACGTTTCTCGCGCCGGTCGCCGAACCTCGACCTACCTCCGCTGATCCTCGACTACTCTCCTGCTCCTCCTCCTGAGGAAGGACCCCCGCTCTCCAGAAACGCAATCCGTGACCCAGCCTATCTTCCGGCACAGATCGGTGGCATTGTTGGCGCCTACGCCTTTTCGCTGCTCCTCGTCGCCTGTCTGCTTCTTGCCCTCTCCAAGTCACGCCGCGAGCATCTAAGGAATCGTGACAATCCTCCAGAGAACCCTGTCATCGCTTTCAACCCGTTTCCGCAGCCATTCCTGCTTCAGTCAGAGGAGGAATACCAGCGAGAACTCGAAAAGTTCCAGACTGAACAGGCTCAGCTTGAACTACTAGAACAACAAATCGAGCAGTCCAAGAAGCTCACCCTTCAGACCGATCTCCCAAGGAACTTCTCGTTCCCATCAAACGTTCCGCCACTAAGCCCGAGCAAGTCGGGCTTTCTGCATCCACCGCTTAGCCCAACCAGGTCGCTGGTTACTTCGACATCACCGACATCAACCATCCTTGCTGCTGGTATTGATCTGTCAGTCGATCAGTCAGTCGTACATCGAGATAGAGCCATGGCGCAACAACAGCTTGAAGAGATGTATAAGCACGTGCTCGAGTTCGAGCAGGCGAAATTGGAAGGGAGGGAGTATACAGTTCCCATCCCTACCCCCGCCAAGACGAAGAAGGAGAAGAATAAGCCCTCGAGCCTGAACCTTTCTCGTGATGAGAAGGGCCACTCGCGAGGGTCTTCAATCCTCTCCTTCCTCAAGTCCCCGCGCAAGAACAAGACATCTATGGGCTCCTTGAACATCTCGTCACCGATTATGACGCCCATGTCTGGGACATTCCCTCGGCATGAGGAGCAAGAAATGAATCCCATGCCCCCCCGACACTATTATGCCCCTCCGGCCTTCCCCACGGTCCCTGCAGAACCTCCCCGCAGACCCTCAGCTGCTGGCGCATCGTCTGCAGCTGCGAGCCAGCATATTCCAACCCCTGATGACTCGCCCGTCAGCGACCAGAGTATTGACGCACGTCTCGAGGCCGCCAATATCCAGGCTCGTGAGTCCCGGGAGACACGTGAGACACAGGATGCTCATCCTCTCCGCCGTGCCACTCCCGGTTTGGCCGCAGAGCACTCTCGCGAGCAGTCAGTGGCCAGCACACCCGCCGACCACGAGCCTGTGTCTGCCGTCTCGGAGAGGTCCACCACGGGTCTCGTCGGCCTGCCAAGCTCACCAAAGCCCGGCGTCAATCGCTTCCCGAGCCTCAGCTCGCTGCCAGCGTCTCCCCGACCTGGTCAGCAGACCTTCCCGCTTCAGCCCCTCCGTCGTCGAATGCGTCCAACAATGGGGATTCCAGGGCCGAAGGCAGCAAATCTTCCAGCAAGCCGACCGCTGTGCGTGAGGGTGGCATGTTGCCGCTGCGTGCATACGAGCCGTCCGCTGCCAGCCCCACAGCTCCTAGTTATGCCACCAAGCAGACCGTGTTCACTCGGACTGGCCCGCTGTCGCCCGGCCTGCTCAGCGGCGTGCCCCGCACTCCGTGGACCGGTGCCCCCGTGCCGTACACGCCGTACCAGCCATTCTCGCCCGTTGTGCCGATCACCCCCACTGTGGTCACCCGTGCTGATCGAAAGAGAATGAAGAAGCTGGAGCCGAAGACACCCACTGTGGAGATGGTCAAGAGCCAGGAGGAGATTTGGGGATGTTAAGGGGGTTACGGGGTAAAGCTGGGGTAGTCATTTTCTTTCCGTTCTTGTCACTCCTTTGTGAAACACTTTTGGCTTCCTGTCTTTTGTGTAATGGTCAGACAAGGTTGACTCGGTCAATTTTGTTGGTGAATGTGGCTTTTGGATACTAACTCAGGTAGCATATACTATTGTCTTTTGGGTTGTCGGGAGTATTTTGATACGTATTAAGAAGATGTCTTATAGTGATATCCTTACCCGTCAGATATGATGACGATATCATGAATCTATATCTTGTTTCTTTATCCTTGCATTATTGTCGTTCCAAACAGATAAAGCGTTGATTGGGTGTTAGAGACGGGCAGGGGTTGATGTTTCAGGGCCCAATGATTTCATGAAACTGCCATCCTTGCACTTCGACCCAGGATGAAGCTCGTCGACGAGCTGATATGAAGCTCAAGCTCCTCCCCCTATTGCCTATTGCAACCCGCACCACATGCCTCTTCTTCATCCATCAGCCGACCCAACAAGCGACACCACGGACTCCTGTCACCGGTGAAGTTGTCAACTTGCTCTCTCGGACATCTCGGATGTTTCAAGTCCGCGGACCTCATGACGTGCCTACCTAGGATAGGTACCTTTTACGGAGATAACAACCCAAGGACGGAGGACGTGCACGCGACGCTCCCGGCAGTTCAGTGTCACAGCCCACGGCTATCCTCCGTGTTGGTAACATGCAGAGCAGGAGGTTTAAGTCCACTTCCCCAGATCGTCCGGTTGTTCCATAGTCTTGTGGAATGATGTTGCATCATCCGTTCCTGACATCATCATCTCTGTGCTAACTTCCAGGAGCCCTATCCAACAACAACCGCGCTGGAGGCAGGGTTAATGTAGCTTGCGGCGAAGCGTTCATGGATGGCTCGAAGACGCAAGGATCGCAGCTGCAGAGCCGGCCGCGTCACATGCTCAACAAAGCAACTCTCCATCCAGCTGGGAACTGTTTTACAGCTTGGCTGCTTTGATTTTCCAATCCTGATCAATGATATACCATCTACGGCCGCTACGAAGCACGAAGCACAGCATGATCTTGCATCCGGCGAACTGTCAGTGTTGCTGTTATGCAGCCCTGGATCTCGCAACCGCGATCTCAATTGCCGCATGTCCGATGTGTTGAGTGCCGGACCAACCAAGCACACGCGCTAGCCTAATCATTTCTTAGCGGCGGTCGTATTTGGGCTGTCAGCGCCCCAAAAATTTGATACCCCTTTTGCGTACAGCAGTAGCGCTCGCCTCCTCCAACTCCAAAATAACAATGTGTTCTGTATACAGCAAGTAGCCTTCCAGATAGACAATTGCTTGCTTTGCTCGGCGCTCAGTTTACAATCAGCATCTCTTTCATGTGCTTTACCCCGTGGACGAAGACAAGGCTGCGGCTCTGCCCTATCGCAGCGCTCGCATCGCTGGTTGGGGCAGACCAAGGCTTTTTTTAATCGCGGGTCGACTCTTGGTCGACCCCACAACGCTGCACCTCTGGCCAATCGCGATCCAGAATTGACATTCCATGCATGCGGATGCACGTGCCATTTGCGTCGGGGCAGTGCTCCAATGTCAGGGTCCTGGGATCCGCCGCAGAAAACTCGGCCCCAGCCGTGCTCTTCCATCATACGATTCTGGGGCAAATCGTGCCACACATAACCCGATTTCTGTCCTGCAACTCCAACGTCAGCTCCTCTCGCCAAAATTCTCGACAACTCATCCGCCCTACTGCCTGCGCGCATTGCGGTGAGAACCGGTGTTGCGTGTACGGCCCAAGCACACCAGAGGACCCAAGAAAGCAAAGCAGACGATCCGAGACGATCAATCATTGGCCGACTGCATTCCTGTACTGGTTCCCCGTCCCTGCTCGCGTCCCCGCACGTCCATCCCGTCGCGAACCAGAACGCCCATCCGCGCCCACTGCAACACTCTGCGACGAGTACGCCCGACCCGCGGGACCCCCCCCCCGTCTGTGCCCAAGCATTCCGACACGCAGCCTGGACGCCTGGACACACTGACGCTGGGCACTGGACCCTTGGCCCGCACATGCAAACACCTAATCGCATCCACGGACGGTTGTGAAAGCATTCACCATCCCGGTGTGTACTGGTGGTCATCAGGGCACCAGGCCAGGTGCCAGACGCTACACTAGCGTAGGGCCGTAGGGCAGAATAGAGACCCAAGAGGGGGCCAGCAAGGGAAGAAATAGTAAAGGGGAAAAGGGAGTGGGGGGAGCACCGTATTATGGAAGCAATGGCCGGCTTCGACGCGGCCACGCAGACCCTGCTCGCCGCCCTCAGCGGCAGCAGTGGCCTGAACAACAATTTTGGGCTGAATCCCGACGACAGCCTCGTGGATAATTTTGTGGACAATGGCTCTGGCAACGGCCTCGGGACTCCGGATGCCAACTCTGTGGCTGCGACACTGGGCGACACGCCTGCCAGTTCAGGCTCTGCTGTGCCTGGCGCTCGTTCTGGTTCTGGTTTTGGTGCGGTTTCTGCTGCTGGTCCAGGCGCTGGTGCGGGAGGAAGTGGGACTTCTTCTTCGGTCCCGCCCTCGGCTGTCACCGCATCGCTCCAACTCCAGCAACAACCCGCATTCTTCAACCCAGTCCCTCCGACGCAATGGGTCTTTCAGGACACCCCCCCGTATGACTCGCCCTCCAGCGCTGGAAGCCCTTTTGGAAACGTCCCGCCGTCCGCTCCCCAGCAGTCCTGGGAACTCCCGGTCCATCATCTCAACCTTGCTCAACAGCTTCTCCAACCACAGCCATCACCGTCCCCGTTTTTCCATCCCGCTAGCACGGCTGTCTCCAGCGCCAACGTCGCCGCCGTCGCCGCTGCCACGACGGCCAATGTCCCCGTAACCCAGAGCTTCGCTGCTCCGAATCTACCCGTATCTGAGCCCGAGACACAGCGCAGGATCCAAAACACCCTCACCCCCGCTCAGCGCGAGCGCCTCAAGACCATCACGATGCCGCCGCACCTCCAGTACCACTTCCCCAAGAGCGAGGGAAGCCCCGACTCGGCGTCGAGCCCCCAGGAAGCCAAGGGGGTGACCACCGCGTCGCCGACGACACTTGATCCCTCGAAGCAGAACCACGACCACGCCAGCGGCACCAGCCACAACGCCGACGACAATGCCAGCAATACCAACACCAACACCAACACCAGGAAGAGGAAATCATCAGCTGACGACGACGACGATGATGATGATGAAGAGATCGAGGTTCCTCCCCCGGTGAAGAAGACCGCGCACAATGAGATCGAGAAACGCTACCGGACAAATCTCAACGACAAGATCGCCGCCCTGAGAGATAGCGTGCCGTCGCTCAGAATCATGTGCAAGAGTGCCAGAGGCGAGGACACAACAGAAGACAGGGAAGAGCTGCACGGCTTAACGCCGGCACACAAGTTGAACAAGGCCACGGTAAGCTCTCTTCGTTCCCGCACGTCGTGCACGTTCTGGTGGAGACAGGATATTGACTGCGGGGCTGTAGGTGCTAAGTAAGGCAACTGAGTACATTAAACATCTGGAGAAGCGGAACAATCGCTTGATCGAGGAGATCAACAGCATGCAGGCCCGCATTGCCACTTTTGAGAAACTCTTTATGGCTGGTGCCATGACGGGCCAGCTCCCTAACCCTCTACAGCAGACCCAGCCGATGCAGTTCAACCCTGCGAGCAACCCGTACATGAACAACATGAACGGTATGAATATGACCGCCATGAACACGCCGATGGCGACACCACAAGATGCCAACCCTCCGGGCATGATACCCATCCCCGAAGACATGAAACGCATCATCACAGCCCAACAATTGAACGCCGGTCGTCCTTACCCTGTACCTCCTGCTGCTGCTCACTTTGTGCAGAACCCGGCCCTGCTCCGCCAGCAGCACATTCAACAACAACAGCAGCAAGCACAGGCCCGGGGTTGGAGTCCATACTTCGGCAAGGTTATGGTGGGCAGTTTGGCTGGCATGATGCTTATCGAGGCCCTCGTCGAAAACGAAAAGGACCGCGAGACCACCGAAGGCCGGGGTCTGTTCGCCATCCCCGTCCAGCTCTTGGCGGCCTTTGTCCGGTCCACCCACTTCAGCATCGGCGGTTATTATATTGACGCGAAGAGTATCATCGCAAAGCTCCGGCTCTTCACGTTGCTCGCTATCTTCTTGTGGGTGGCGTGTTCATCGTTCCTCGACAACATGTCCTTCTTCCGTCCTCCTCAAAAGACCAAGCGCGCCGCTACCGCTGCTGCTCCCGTTCACTTTGCCCCAAGCCTTTCTTCGCCGCTCCACGTCAGGAGAACGGCTTGGCTTACGGCAATCCAGACCGTTTGGGTTCCCCAGCGCAACGCCTTCTTTGAAGCCGCAGCTCTGCTGCTCAAGGCTTCCAAATACGCTCTCCGGTGCCTGATCGGCGATCGCGCCTATCTTGCTTTGACTGGGTTGACCGAGGAGCAAGAGGCTGCTAGGGTCAAGGCGTGGTCCATCGCCTTGGATGCCCAACTTACCGGTGGCGATGTCGACATCAACAAGAGCCGCCTGACGCTCACTCTGTTTGCCTCGGGCACGCTTCCTGACACTCCCCTCCGGCTGATGCTGAAGGCGTTGCACATCCGACTTCTGCTCTGGAAGCTGAATGGTGCCTCGTGGCTGGCCAACTCGGTTGCTACCACGCTGGCCAGACGGAAGTGGAACGAAGCTAGGCAACTCAACCAGATGATCATGTCGCTCGTTCGTAAAGACACTGATGACGTTCTTCCCGAGCATCTTGCTGTCCTCCTTGAGCAAGACTGCGATGATGTTCTGAACGATGACATCGTTCAAAGGGCTCACAATCTGGCGTTCAACAAGCCCACGACGGATGACGTGATGGGCGGTATTCCCGGTATGGATTCAGTTGTCGAAGATCCTGCCGTTCGGTCGCCCATTGACGCCGTTGCCGCCTGGTATTCGACTCTGCTCGTCCACCGCGCCCTCCTTAACAGCCTTCCGAAGCCCCAGTCCCCCAGCGATGCGGCCCCTGCTCCGACCCGTTCCATCCTCAACGACGTCGAGCTGGCCATCAAGCTCGCCCCCATCGGTTCCAACGCGAAAGTCCGCGCGCTCATCGCCCGCGCCGTCCTCGTCGACGGCAAGCGCGGCACCTACATCGCTGCCGTCCTCCAGGCCCTCGGCCCTACGACTCCTTACGTCAAGCACACCAGCGCCTTCCTCTGCACGCCCTACGGTCTGGGCGCCCTTGACGCTGACTCCCACATGGCTCTGCGCTGCGCTATGGCCATGGCCCAGCTCGGCAAGTTCAAAGGCGACCTCCCCCGCGCCGCGTACATGCTTATCGAGTCCATCCTGCCACATGGTTGCGATATTAAGACGCTGTCGCTCCTTGGGTACACGGCTGCGTTCCATCTCATGGAGGAGATCAGCCGTCATATAAAGCGTGATACATGTACAGATTCGATGGAGCGGCTGGCGGGCCAGCTGCGGATCTGGATTGGCAGCGAAGAGTTTGGCGGCGGGAAGGTCGCTGGTATGACTGGGGAGATGAGGATGAGGATGGTGAGCCGGTGCTTGGCGGTCACTAAGAGTGTGGTCGGCATACAGGGCGCGGGGTGCGCGGTTGTGGATCAAGGGTATGTTAGTATGGAGGATGAAGACTCGTTGGAGGATGATGGAAGTGGGTGTTGAGGTTTTGTTTTTTTATTTTTCTTTTTCTTCCTCATCTCTGCGTTTCTTTTTGTTTTTCCTCCTCGGTTGAGGAGTTCTGTGACTGCTTTATTTTCCTGTTGAAAACATCTATCTCTGGTGCTCGCCTTTCGTTTCAGTCGTTTCATCTATCGTCTCCATATACCTCTTATTGCACAGTGATATCTGGCTGTCGTTTTGCTTTTCCTTTACTTGCTCTGTTCCATGCATGCTACAAGAGAGGATTATGGGTTTGAAGGAAGGAGGGGTACAAAAAGTCGGCATTTCCTATGTTTCGCTGTTTCCCTAATCCTGTCACTGATGAAGAGGTCTCAACACTCTCCAGTCAATTCGGAAATCTCTCGGCTTGGGAGAAATCTTCGGGAGACGCATATGTTACATCCACGTTGATACGTCCATGAAGGGAAAGAAGCGGTTTGTTAGAAAACGGGAAACAATGAAGGGAATGAACGGAGTTATAAGAGCGGGTAGGCAAGTGGAAAGGAGGAGGGAGGGTAGGGAGGAAGGGAATTAATCTGTATCGTTAGGTATTCCACGTGTTGTTAGCTTATCATCGGGTGCTGGGTGGAATCGAGTTGCTATGTTTTTGCTCCCAAAGGACCCTTTGGAACGAAGTCAAAGTAGATGCGATTGATGCCCTTCTGTCCCAACTCTCAGCTTTCTGCAGGGAGGCCCAAGATTCTGCGTACACAGTAATCCGTAGACATTGTTCTGCTGAACTGCGTCTGCGTTAGGGCCAAGGTTGGGTAAGGACCGAAGTGCTGCAGAGCCAGAGAACGGCTAGGTTCAACGGTCCGAATTCCTGACCCCGCGTCGGGTTTATGCCTCAGTATGTGAAGGCCAAGTTTGTTGACGTTTTTATTTTATAATTCCCTCGTGGGTGTCATTCGACGCTTCGCTTGCCTCCTCTTCCCTCCCCAGCCGTTGGGCTGGTGTGGCCCGTGCGTGGCTGGAGGTTGGTCGCTTCGAGGTTCGGCGCCACCCCCCAATTCTGCCCCACCCGTCCCGTAGGAACCCCACTTTTTGGACATCTCTTGTGGGTCCGGCGATGGCTCCGGTGGGCGGTCAGTTCAGCCAGGCAAACGCCCGCGCTTTTCTCTCTGTTATTGGCAAGCTCGCTCCTTCTGTCTTAACGCCCAACATTTATTTTTTTTTTCTTATCTGGCTTTGTTTTTGGGCTGACTTGGGCCGAAAGATAGCGGCGCTATTAAAAGAAAATCGAATTCGGCGGACCAGCTTCCGTTCGAAATGTGGAGGGACCACGACCTAAGGTCGATGAGGGGTGTCCAATGCCCCTGACGGCTGCTGGTCACAGTAGGTGACCCCGACTCAGACGTCAAGCGTTATCGGTCCGTTGCTGCAGAGTGACAGGAGAGTTGAATCTGGGATTTTTGTTTCATTCTTTTCCAAGGCTCAGTCGCCGGTAATTTGGCACTGGATTCCAGCTATCTCTGTGCAATATCGCCAATCTGCATTTTTTTTCTCGAAACGAGCGTCTGCTGTGACGCCAACCTTCCCCACATCGACTCTCGAACCCTCGCGGCGGCGCGGCCTCGAGTTTCTCGACCACTGCAGTCTCGTGTTGCACATTACCCAGCAGCAGTGGCTCTCCTGCCTTGCTGCCCGTTTGCGACCTACCAGTCTGCCACAGTCTGCCACAGTACCTGCTTGTGACGCTGTCTATCTCCCGAAAGGCACAGGTTCCGGTTTTTTTTTTTTTCTTGATGCTGTCATCTCAAAACCGCGCAGCGGGAGGGCTGCATCCAGCACATCCAGCACATCCAGCACATCCAGCACATCCAGCATCCAGTGCATCCCCAGTGTACGGATTACGGAGTATTCGGCGCTTTTCTTGCCGCGCCATTGGTTTTTTCCCCCAGGTCGGGTAGCACTGCGCCGCTTGGCATGGCTCCTGGATGACGCCTTGGGCAACGCTCGTCTAGATAAATTCCTGACCAGCAACTTACATACGGGCCGTCTCCTGGCCCTCCTCCTGGCTTTGGCTTCTTTCCTAGGATCCTCCTGGATTGGCGTCGAGGACACGCTCTGCCTTGCCGTCTACGTCTTCCTCTCGAATATCAAGATCAACAAAAGAAAGACTCAGACTGCACGTCTGGCAGAGCGTGGATCGGCTAGATCCAAACCAGGAACGCCCCCCCGCCCTGGAGCTGAACCTGTCCTGCCCGTTGCTTTCGCCCCTTGTCCAGCTCTCCCGTTCATCGTTGTCGTCTTTTTCGTCGTGGGTGTCGAGTGAAGCAGACAGGTTACCAAAATGAGCCACACGACAAGGCAGTTCATCCTCCCCCCAATCCTGTCCTTCCGGGACTTCATTGTGGCCGCGGCCAAGGCTCTTTTGCGAGCCAAGTCCCTCCTGCAAGCCCTCGTCCCCTCTTGGCTGTCTCTTCCATCAGTCAGGAGGAGGGCCCTCCTCACCGATACTGCGCTCGAGTTTCTCCGCGAGAGCGAGGAGGCCTTCCTCGGCCCTCTGCGCTCGAGCGGCGGCCTGGCCAAGCTGTGCGCGACGCTGAAGGCTCAGTTCCGCGAGGGTCTACGCTCAAGCCCCGAGGCCATGCTTCCGTCCTACAACTCCAAGCTGCCCAGCGGCCTGGAGAAGGGCCAGCACCTTGCTCTGGATGTGGGCGGTTCGACGTTGCGCGTGGCGCTAGTGGAGCTGGGGGGCGACTCGAAGCATCAAATCGTGCGCATGAACTCGTGGAAGATTGATAATGAAGTTAGAAAGCTCAGGGGGCGGGAGTTCTTTGACTGGATCGCTGAGAGGGTGCGCCGTGTGGTGGGAGACGAGAGCGAGCTCGGCAGCAGTGCCGAGAACCCGCTTCTTGTTGGGCTGTCGTGGAGCTTCCCCATCGAGTAAGTTTTAACAACTCAGAAGGCTATCTTTCCAGGGAGAAAAATGAAATAAGGGACTAACACATCACAGTCAAACCTCCTCCAGCAGCGGCAAGATCCTGCCCATGGGCAAGGGTTTCTGCGCCGATGAGGGCCTGGTCGGCGCCGACCTCGGCGAGGTCATCCAGTCTGCCTGCCTCCAGCAGAGCCTTCACATCTCGCTCGCCGCCATCGTCAACGACTCCAGCGCGACCCTACTCTCCGAGGCCTACTCCACGCCCGCCACTCGCTTCGGCCTGATCCTCGGCACCGGCGTCAACGTTGCCGCCCACCTCCCCGTCACCCTGATCGGCCGCGAGAAGTATGGCATCCGTCCGCGCAGCTGGCACGAGAGTGCCACGCATGTGGTTGTCAATACCGAGATCGGTATGTTCGGTCGCGAGGAGGGCTCCTTGCCGCTGACGAAGTGGGATCGTCAGCTCAAGGCGGCTCACCCGAGGCCCGACTTCCAACCGTATGAGCAGTTGGTTGGCGGGTATTACCTTGGTGAGATTTGCCGGCTGGCGCTGATCGACGCGATCGAGAGCGTGGGTGTTTTCGGCGGGACGGTGCCGGAGTCTCTGAGGAAGGAGTACGGTCTCGACACAGAGACACTGTCGATTGTCGAGGCGTAGGTGAATCCCTTTCGTACTGGCTATCATAGCAACAGGCTAACCTATGCCACTTACAGCGATACCTCTCCCTCTCTCGACAAGGCCCTCAAGGTCTTCACCTCCCGGCATCCCTCTCCCGTGACCCCGACCGTCGCGGACCTCAAGTTCCTTCAGACGCTCTCTTCACAGATCGCCCGGCGCGGCGCCCGCCTCGTGGCAGCGGGAGTGGTTGCCCTCCGCGAGCTCAAGATTGAGGCCGAGAAGGAGATGCTCACCCTCACCAGCGGCGACGAGCAGCCCGTCCAGGGTCTGGAGGATGTTCCGCTCCCCAAGGAGGCTGCCAAGGCGGCGGCGCAGCGCGAACTCGAGCTGCTGGAGAAGGAGAAGTTGACGGTTGCATGGAACGGGTCTGTCATTGAGAAGTACACTGGCTTCAGGGGGTACCTGGAGGAAGCTCTGGATGAGCTGGTCCAAGGCACGGGCGTTGAGCTCGTGCAGGCTGAGGAGAGCTCGCTTGTTGGTGCGGCAGTGGCGTTGGTTTGCTTGGAGTAAGTGAAGGCTTGATTTGGCGCGGGGCGGTTCAGCAATCAATGGGTATAAAAAAATTAGGTTACTTGGGAAAGCTTTAACGTGCATGCATGTCATGGGTTCGTGATTTTTCATATGGGCGGAGCGCTGATTTTGTTTGTCTGGTGTTTTTTTTTTTTTTTTAGAAACAGCTGATTTTTCACTTAGTAGCTATATGGGTAGAGCTAAACATTTATTTCATTGGGACTCAAAACGAAGAGTGTCTTGAGAAATGAAACTTTGGCTTCGTCGCAACGGATTTACTGGTCGTCCTTCTATTTTATATCTCCCCTCATTCCATTTTGCAACGGCCACCCTTTGCCAAAGATGAAGCTGAGCCTTGCATCACACTTCTACCTGTATAGTTTGAGATCTGATCCAGGAACATACGGAGAAAACAGCAAAGACCGCACTCCAACTGAGCGCGAAACCCCATCAAGGACCGACACACACCATCTCCGCGGACATACCTAACCAGGAAGAAGGCCCCCGAATATACAACACCCGATTGGCTGGAGCCCTCCTCTTATCAGCAAAAACTCGGCTATCTCCATCCACCTACCCCTTATCTCGTCCACATTTAACTGCTTTACCATAAAAGCTATGTTCTGTTCACACTGACCAAAGTTTTGCCAATCCGCCGTGGAGATGCAAGGGCATGAACACACTGGTACAACGATACCTGGCATCCCGGCGGTGCAGGCATCTCCGCTGAGGAATGGCCGGAGATGCAAACGACGTATGCCCGCGGGTTGTTTTATATCAGGTTACTTATGTGGACACATTGTTACCATGCCGATGGTGAGAGAGATTGATGGAGGAGTGAGTGTTTGCTCGGAGATTTGTAAGTCATATATATGTATGTGAGGACCTATCTATAACATTTTCGTGGAGGTAGCGGTGGGATGGGGTCAGCGATAGAGCGATGCTCTTCTGTTACTTGTAGACTGCAGCTCCATAGATGCCTTTCTAACTTTACTCTCATTTCGCGGCATTTCCTGACTGCAGAGTTTCTCTACTTTCCTCCTCCGGATCTTTTTTTTTACAAAAAAAAAAAAAAAAGAGCGAAGGATCGTTCCAGGAGTAGCAACCATCTGCCGTTATCTGTCTGATTCATCTCTAGCTGCTCACCAGCACCACAGAGCCCAGCATGGCCGTGATGCCCCAAAGCCAAAAGACGATCGTTGTTGTCGGCCTGGGAATGGTCGGCATCAGCTTCATGTATGTCCTCATATGTCTTGTCGCCCTCAGGAATGGGTAGACTGGCTAACATCCTTCTAGAGAAAAACTCCTGAAGCTCGACGTTCGCACACGCCAGTACAACATTATCGTCTTTGGCGAAGAACCGCACGTAGCATACAACCGCGTCGGCCTAACCACCTTCTTCGAGCACCGTAAGGTCGAGAACCTGTATCTCAACCCCGCGGAATGGGTACGTCCCTATTTCCCCCTCTCACGGCCCATTCCGATGTGCTAACATCGAACAAGTACACCTCCATCCCCGATAACGCCCTCACATACCACATTTCTACACCTGTAACAGCCATCAATCCAATTTCCAAAACAATAACTACTTCAACCGGCACCACCGTACCATATGACATCCTGGTTCTAGCAACCGGCTCAAACGCGGCCCTGCCCCGTAACACCCCTGGCATTGACGCCCGCGGGGTTTTTGTCTACCGTACGGTCGCCGATCTTGAGGCCCTCATCACACACTCCCAGCAACTTCTCCCCTCACAGGATCAGGAAAAGGTCGGTGCGGTAGTAGGAGGCGGACTCCTCGGCCTCGAAGCCGCGAAAGCCCTACTCGACCTACAAACGTATGACCGCGTCGTCGTTGTTGAGCGTAATGGCTGGGTGCTCGCACGTCAGCTGGACGGGGATGCGGGCGCTCTAGTGGTCGAGAAGGTCCGGCAGTTGGGGGTTGAGGTATTGTTAGAGAAGAGGGTAGCTTGTGTTGAGACAGATGAGGGAATTAACGTGACGGGATTGAGATTCGAAGATGGAACGGCACTAAGGTGTCAAACTGTGGTGTTTGCGACTGGAATCAGGCCGAGGGATGAGCTTGCGAGAACGGCTGGGCTTGCTGTTAGCGAGTCCGGGGGGATTGTGGTCGACTCGCAGTTAAGGACGAGTACCCGAGATGTGTATGCTATTGGGGAGTGTGCTAGCTGGGAGGGACAGACGTTTGGGTTGATCGCCCCTGGTGTTGAGATGGCGGATGTGTTGGCATGGAACCTGACACAAGCTGCTGAGCATGGTGGGCAGGAGAGATCCTTCAGCCAGCCAGACTTAAGCACCAAACTCAAGCTTTTGGGTGTCGAGGTTGCCAGCTTCGGGGATTACTTCGCCGACCGCGATGGACCAAGGAGGCTGCCCGAGCAAAGGGGACGCAAAAAGGGGGAGACCGGGACAACATGCAACAACACCAAAGTCAAAGCCCTAACCTACCGCGACCCCTTCCAGCACATCTACAAAAAGTACATCTTCACCTCTGATGGCAAGTACCTCCTCGGCGGCATGATGATCGGTGACACGCAGGACTACGTCAAGCTAGTCCCCCTAGCCAAAAACCTCAAACCCCTAGACACCCCGCCAGCCGAACTCATCCTAGGCAGCTCCAGCAAGAAGGACTCAGACGGTACAGACGACCTCCCCGACGACACCCAAGTCTGCAGCTGCCACAACGTAACCAAAGGCGCCATCGTCTCTGCCGTGCGCGACGGCACAGCAACGACCCTCTCGACCCTCAAATCCTGCACCAAAGCCGGCACCGGCTGCGGCGGGTGCATGCCGCTCGTCACAACCATCTTCAACAAGACCATGGCCTCTCTGGGCAACGCGGTGTCTAATCACATCTGCGCACACATCCCACGCTCGCGCGCCGAGCTCTACCACATCGTCATGGTCAAGCAGCTCAAGACCTTCGCCGAAGTGATGACCGCCGCGGGAACAGACCCTCAGAGCATGGGTTGCGAGATCTGCAAGCCGGCGGTGGGCAGCATCCTGTCCAGCTTGTGGAACGGACATGTAATGTCGCGTCCGCTGCACGGGTTGCAGGACACGAACGACCGGTTTTTGGCCAACATTCAGAGGGATGGCAGTTTCAGCGTTGTGCCGCGCGTGCCTGGAGGGGAAATAACACCAGAGAAGTTGATCGTCCTGGGCGAGGTGGCGCGCGAGTACGGGCTGTATACCAAGATCACGGGCGGGCAACGGATTGATCTTTTTGGGGCCCGCAAGCAGGACTTACCGGCGATTTGGAAGAAGTTGGTCGATGCGGGCATGGAGAGTGGGCATGCGTATGCCAAGGCGTTGAGGACGGTGAAAAGCTGTGTAGGGTCGACGTGGTGTCGGTATGGGATTGGTGATAGCGTGGGCATGGCGATAAGGCTAGAGGAGAGGTATAAGAGTATTAGGGCGCCGCATAAGATTAAGGGAGGCGTGAGTGGGTGTGTGAGAGAGTGTGCGGAGGCTCAGAGCAAAGAGTGAGTAACTTTATTTCACCCGTTACTCCTGAGGTGTTTACCTTGGGTCCCAACCCCCAACCCCCGAGTTCGGTACACTGACAATCATCTAGCTTCGGCCTCATCGCCACAGACAAAGGTTTCAATATCTACGTCGGAGGGAACGGCGGTGCCAAGCCTCGTCATGCCGAACTCCTGGCGAAGGATGTTCCTCCAACAGAGGTCATTCCTATCCTTGACCGGTACCTCATGTTCTACATTCGGACTGCCGATAGACTCCAACGCACGGCACGCTGGATCGAGTCTCTTCCTGGCGGGATCAACTACCTCCGTGATGTTGTGCTGAAGGATTCCTTAGGCCTGGCAGCCGAGCTCGAGTCGCAGATGCAGGACTTGGTCGACTCATACTTTGATGAGTGGGCAGAAGCCGTCAAGGATCCAGAGCTCGCGGCTAAGTTCGCTCAGTTTTCGAACGCCAAAGATGGACAAGACACTGTGGAGAGGGAAGACGAGCGAGGGCAGAAGAGGCCGGCGTGGTGGCCGAAGCAAGCAGTCACCACTACAACGACTACTATTGCAGTGTCTCAATCCGACGCGGCACGTGGCGAAGAAGCACGCTCGTCAGTCTCAGATTCGTCATCCGACTCGGCAACCCTCAAATCTTCGTCCTCATCGGACTCCCTCTCCTCTGCAACGACAGTATCTACCTCTCCCCCTCCCTCATCAGACTCACTCGAGCCCCCTAATCAAATCCCCTTTTCATCACTCCGCACCCACTGGTCCTCAACAACATGGATGCCCCTCATCCCGGCCTCACACTTTGACGGCGCCGACGACCTTCCCAACGGCATCAGCGCGACAATCCGGGTCTCTGATACTCAACTTGCCATCTTTCGCGTCCGTGGTCGCTACTACGCGACCCAGCAGATGTGCCCTCATAAACGGGCCTTTGTGCTTTCCGACTCACTTGTCGGAACCAACCCTCCTTCCGAGGAGAAGCAAGAAGGGGAGGTATACATCGCCTGCCCTCACCATAAGACTCCGTTCTCTCTTCCCACAGGGGCATGTCTCACCTCAACGGGCAATAACCCTAACGAGAGCATGTCTATCGCAACGTTCGATGTGGAAGAGCGCGAAGATGGTATGGTGTATGTCAAACTACCACCGCTAGACGAGCTAGATGCTGCGCTTGGAACATCGCGATGGATCGTTCGCAGAGGGGAGACTGGCGCCGCACAGCTTGAAGAGATGGACCAGAAGTTTGGAGGGTTTGGAGACGGTCGATGGAAGAGGCCTGCAGCTGTGGTGAGAGGAAGGGCCAGGAAGCCAGAATTGAGACAGAAGAAAGAGAAGGATGAGAAAGGCGTCGAAATGATAGTAGAAGGAGGTTGTGGGGGATGTGGGGGAACTCCAGATTGGTAGAAGATAGTCGTTTTAGTTGATTCCTGTACTCTCTTCCCCCCCTTCCCCCTTCCCTTTTTTTTTTTTTTTTTTGAGATACGAGTCAAGAGTTGATAGAACCCTGTGCATTGATTAACTTGGCATTGTATCATGTATTTCCAAAGATCAGACGCTCAATCCCAGGCGAGAGCCAGAACCTAGTTGCGAAAACACCTATTTTAAAAACCACAAGCGTGAGGAACCGAGACGTATTCCCAATAGTCATTACCAATCATACAAGAAAATGCCCCATGCATAACAACGCTCCATACTCCTAGACGCCAACCATCCGAACTCGTCAAGAGAGATAGCCAATAAGTAAAAACCAAAACCCTTCTACAAAATGCCAACCAAAAAGACTTTATCCAAAAGCAACAAGACTCAATTATCCAACCCCTTACCGCCAGCTTGCACAACCAGAACACTAGCCTTGACTCCGGCAGCGACAAGTTGCTCCGCAACAGTGCCGATAGTCTTCTTTAGATCCAGTCCCCCACCGACTGTGCTGCTAGAAGCACCGCTCTCGGCACTAACCTCCCCTGGGACACTACTCTCATCCAGCCGGGCATTCCGCCGACCTAGCACGACCACATCACCCGCATTCTTAGGCCTCTGGCCGACGGACTTCTGGGCGAGAGCCACAACCTCAGTGGGCGCGGCGGTAGGACTGGAGACACGCTCCTCGGTGACAACGATGCGACTCGCGACGTCTGCAGGAAGTGAGGAGTGAATGCTAGTGAGCAGGGCAAGATCCTGCTCATCCTGCACCACCTCGTCGTTTGTGCCGGCACCGATGCTAGTGCCGGTTGCCGGCCTAGTTCCGCTGCCGTCGGTACTTTGCGACTGAAGCTTCAACACGGGCCAGATGATTCGCGCAACGGTGACGGTAACATGCTGATTCTTGGCTAACTGGAAGACGAGCCGCAGGGCAGCGCGGTCATCGGGGCCGCCAAAGAAGGGAACGAAGATATGGTGGTCTTTATGAGGAGCCGGTAGCGCAGGGGGTTCGTGATGGCTTCGGATCGAGATGTTGCTCTTGCTACGGATCAGAGAAGGCCGTTCGGTAGTGGGCTTGGTGACACCGCCAAAGCCATTGTCGATAAAGATACCGGTTGTGCAAACCCGGACAGCCTGTTGAAAGGTTTGGTTGATGAAGTCAAGGTGGGCGCTTGACCTGAACCGCTCGCTGGCGCTGGCAGCCATGAGGAACGACTGATCTTCGGAGACGGTTCCATACTCGCCCCATGGAATTAGAGCAAAATCGGCAGAGACATCGGATGCCTGGCTAATGAGTGTCTCGGCGTATGAGTCAGTGGGCACGACTGCCACCCGACCGGAAACCGCGACATCGTGGAGCTGAGAGAAGGTCTTGAAGGCGTTGACAACAGGATCGCGCTGGGAATAGAAGTCCTCACCCTCGGTAAGATGCATGACAGACGATGTACGGTCTGTGAGCTCGATAACCCGCAGACCATACACCTCAAGGGGGCGCTTCTTGATCGGAAGTTCCTGGCCGGATGACGAATCCCCAGACGCATCTTTCTCCTTGTGAACGGACGTGCGTGTCGGGTCCGAACCAAGAAGGGTGATAAATGTAAACAAGCTGGGCAGGCTGTCCAATCGGAGGTGAACCATGAGTCGCCGAATCTGAGATTCTTCGCCCTTCTTCGGCATATCCTCGTGGCTCGAGTCAGAGTGGACGAGAGGATTGCCATCCCAGTCAATCTCGCCACGCCTCCATCTCTCAACCTTTTTCTGGTACCATGGAGGATACAGGGCCTTGGTAAGAGGGGTTGTGGCGATAGTCGTGACCAGAGCCATCACGACGAACATACTGAAGGTCGTTTCCGACAAGATACCAGCTTGCAAGCCGATGTTCTGACGGGTCAGTCTCCATAGTCATCCGTGCTGTAGTTTACCAGTACTTACCAAGACAATGAGCTCAACCAAGCCCTTGCAGCTCATCAGGCTACCAATGGCGAAGCTCTCGCGCCACAAGAGCTTGTTTAGCTTAGCGGCAAGCGTACCACCAGCGATCTTGCCCACGAAGGCGATAATGATGACGGCGATGGTGTATCCCCACGTCAGACCGTCTTTCAAGAGACCCAAATTAGTGTTCAGACCAGAAAGAGCAAAATAGAGAGGCAAGAACAAGACCGAGATCAGATCCTCAATCTTCTCGGTCAGCTTAATGGCAAAACCGCCATCGTGAGGGCAGATTAAGCCGGCCAAAAATGCGCCGAAGATGGGATGCACGCCAATAGCTCCTAAAAAAAAGTATGAGCGACTTGGCAGTGATTTGAGCTCGTGTTCGCTTGACACTTACCAGTAAACCAAGCCGAAGCTAGCACCATGAGCATGGTCAAGGCGACCATTCCCTGCGTAGGACCGCTCTGCAGACTTCCAGTTCGGCGCAGCAGCCACATAAAAGGGGGCCGAACGACGAAGACAAGCAGCAGGGTCCAGCCAATGCAACAGAGCAGAGCCCAGAGGGCGGACAAACCGCTGCTGTTGTTGACTAGCGCAACGCAGAGGGCGAGCAGCACCCAGCCGGTGACGTCGTTGCCAATGCCTGCAGCCAAGACTGTGACACCGACGCTGGAACGCAGCAGGTTCAGCTCAGACAGGATACGGCACAGCACTGGGAAGGCAGTAATAGCCAAAGCAGTGCCAACGAAGAGTCCGAACACGCCAAAGCCGATGGGCTTCTCGGCAACACCCTCATGGAACTCCTTGTAGAGTCCATAGGCAATACCAAAGCCCAAAGCAAAGGGTATGGCCATACCTGCCAGACCGACGCTAAGAGCCGCTTTCCAGTTCTGAGTGAACATACGCATGTCAACCTGGCATGCTGGTTAGCGTAGGGCCTACTACTAGACATTCATTTAAGTTTGGCTTGATCTTGCCTCCAGAGCAACTAAGAACAAAAAGACAATGAGACCCAAGTTTGCCACATTATTGAAAACGGGCATGGACTCCGGGGGAAATATTGCTGGCAAGCATGTGTCAGAATATTTGATGACATTGAGGGATCAGCGTCATCAACATACTCTCTCTGAAGTTAGGGATGCGCATCATGACAGTCGGACCCAAGAGAATACCGCCAATTACCTCGGCGATGACTCGAGGTTGGTTGATCAGCCGGAGAGGGTCTGGGAGAGAGTCAGTAACTAGCAGGACGGTTTGAACAAGTTGAGGTCAACCCACAGTGAAGCAGTTGGCAGAAAATGATAACGATGGCGGCCTGAACGATGAACAAGGCGATGGGGTTTCCCGGGCTGTACTGGACCGGGTTGACGCCCTCCAAGATGCCGGCCTGGGGAGGGACCCCGGTCCCGTTGCCCGAGACGTCGCCGGCCATCGGACGAGACTCACGAAGCTGGCGTTGAGGATAATATGCCCAACAATGAGGATAGAGGTCCAGAAGGTGGGCGTCTAGGTGAGCTTGGACAGGACAAGACCCAGTGGGTTGGACGTTCAGGTATGCGGGTCGACACCGCTGATATCCAAGGCAAATGACAGCAATGACGACAATGACGATGATGATCTATAAAGGGTCGAGGAACGGCCCGGAAGGACGGTGGGCTTTGAGAGGGTACTGGGGATCACACAACACGAAGTCTCGCAGCACAACAGGAAGCAAGCAGACCGCCACTGGCTAAGTATGAAAGGCAGTTAGGATGGAGAGCTTGGACAATGAGGCTTGGAGGCTCGCCGGCTAGCTGTCTGCAAGGGCGGATGTCGCAATGCAGGGCCAGAGCGGACTACCAATGCAGATGCATCCGACTGGGGTCATGGTTGGCTCCCTGATCTACCGCAGAGGCAAGATATGTGAGGGGATGGCTGGACGATGGGATGAAGGCCGATGCGCGTCCAGCTCCACGTGATAACACTCCCAGCGCGTTTCACCCCATCATCGTCGATGTTTTATTTGGAAAATAAGCTTGTTGCAACGAATGCAATGACACAATCTCCGCCGATATGGGTGGGAATTATGTTTGGCTAGCCCCATGGCTCTTGTTCCAACCACCCCTCCCCCCCCAAACACCCATGACGATCATGTCTTGGTGTTTGTTGGTGGTTGGTGGCTGGGTGTGGTTGGATCCGCCTTTGCGTCTTGAAACGTCCACATCGCGGCGGGCAAAAGGCGACTCCGGCGGCGCACGTGGGGCGAGCTCCCTCACAAAGCAGAAGAGCATTTTCACCTGCCGTCACAGTCAGCTTGGTTGGTCCAGCTCGCACCTGCTTGCTTGGGTGCTGAGCCCCCCTGCTGATGAGCTCGTTTCCGGTTTGCCTACCTTGATAGCCTTGGATGTTTCCAGGATTCAGTCTTTGTTCACCGGCAGGCAGACTGTCCTGCTGACCGCCTGGGCCAGAACGCGCCTTCCACGGCTTGGCGGCCAAGCAGGGAGTCTTCTTCAAGCTGTTATCCAATCGTGCAATTGTACCTGCCCGAGCATACTGTTGGGAAATTACACTTCCATGCAGGGAAAGTTTTGTCGGATAATTGCCGCATCGCTGTTTACCTCTCTCAACTTCAGCCTATCAAGGTACTGCTGTGTTTCGGTCGTGGTCGAGCCATCGAAAGACCTCCATAGGCTTGGAAACCTGCGACGTCATCGCGGTGCGTTTCGCTACGGAGGACGGTATCGCACAGATTTGTCGAAGTGCCACGATCGCTAAGGCCGCTTAATGTATGTAGAAGTCTCTCCGCAAAGCCCCTCCGCACACCGTTGCAGATGCTCGCGAGCTAGGGATACCCTTCTTAAAGGGCTCAACTGCGTTAAGAGGCGCTAATAACATTAATGGAATAATTCGCAGGATTCGATCGCTACAGTTAGAATTGACTTAAGCAAATCTTACTTGAGACCCCATCGATCGCAAAAGTCCGACATCTGTCCGCGTCATCCTACAGCGATCCTGTTTTGCGCCAATGCAGCTGTTGATTCCTTGACAAGTATGGGTCTCTGTAGCATAGTTTAAGATCCAGTCTTCCGTAAAGTGGGGGTGGACCCTGAGCTGGACCCTTGACCACTAACTCCGATCCCTGTCAGCCACTGACGCAATGCATTACAACCGAGCTGCACTTCACCCCTGTTCGACTGTCTCATGGACCATGAACATGAGGAGTTTGTGCATGTGATCGCAAGAGGAAATCGATGTGAATGCTTGGTTTTTCAGAGATCAGCAATTCTCTTTATTGTCATTCTCTGGATCCCGGCAAGCTGTCAGGAGCAAGGCGAAGGGATTCAACTTGAGCGTCGGAGAAGGAAAACGGGCTGTCTTCAGGTGAGCTCGCACCAAGTTAATTACAAATAGCGTTGTGAATCGTTGGATGCTGGCTTGCATTGTTGCCGACGTTATGGATTTGGTAAGACAAGCCATGGTAAAGTAGCCGTGCCATACTCCCCGAAACACTTGTCATCCTGTAAGCATGGAATATCTTAGATGTCCCATGTGCCGCATGCTGCAACTAACATCCCAGCACCAGACAGAAGCGTCGATATAAGAAACGGAGGTCAGCTTCTGGCCCTTTCCGGAAATCTTCTAGGATGCTAGTGCCAGTCAATTACTTGGGCTGATCTGGCCGGCGTCGGCCAGACCAGCCAGTCAGACCAAGATTGTTGGTCGGGTTCGACGAGCCGTCTCAAAGTTTTCTTCACAAGTTGTTGATACCTGTGCTAACTTCACAAACCAAGCTGGGACAGAACAGAAGGCCGCCAGGAAGGTCAACAGTAATGTTGTGTTATTTTTGTAGCCAACGAGTAGTGAAATAATGAGCAGTTTGGCATATCAGGATTGTAAATAAGTGTTCTTTCGGGTTTAAGGCAGGCTAACCCTCAAGTGACTCGGTTTGTGCCAGTATCCTCTCTCCCAAATGCTGTCTCTTCTAGTTCTTAGACGAATCAATCGTGTTATTTTCGCTCCTTTCCCCCACCCCCCTTCCTGTTCAAGAGACTTGAGACCGATTCTGGTTCCTGAAGCTTTTGTCGAAGATCTAACCTACTGAGAAAAAGCACAGCAGACCCGGAGTCAAGCCAAGATGCGCCTCGCTAGCCATTTGCCGTCCTATATGACGGCAACTTTTATCTTCTCCATCATCACTCTTAGTGCACCCGTTCAGGCAGAAGGCGTGCCAGGCGCCAGCAATTATTGGCTGAAGCGGTCACTCATCGACATTGGCTTCGTTCCAGGGATGTCAGGGGCAGGTGTGGGCAGTGCTGGGGCCGGAGGAGACGTTGTTGCTGTGGGCGCTTCTGCTGGAACTGGCACGATCTTTAGCACTGGCAGCAGTACAGGCCAGAGCAAAACTCTGATACTATCGCTTGGTTCTTCCGGAATCATAACTCCGGGAGCGCAGCGTGCCTGGGAAGGTAAGTTCAGCATCTAAACTGCTTGTTAACCGTTCCTAAGTCCTGATATGGTACAAAACAGACTTTTCTCAGCCCCCAGTTCTTCTCTTGCCAACAGCTGATTCAACAAAGACCTACCTCGCCATTGGAGTCGAATTGTCATTGGGTTTTCCTTCCGCACTTAATAACCCCCTGTCTATCCTAACAATGGCAACCTCGACAACGACGTTTCTAGCCTACCTTCAAACCGATCTTCGCCCGAAACTTTCTGCCATCGGACAACCAGCGATGTTACTTTCGGAGACAAACCCACTTGTTCCTTTCCAGCTCACTGGCCAGGGGCAAAGCCAGGGTCGGCTGCTGATCATGCTGTTGTTCGTCCAGCCACATCCACTTATCATTGAGGAACGGTTCCGAACTGTGTTTGCGGCTATGGCGACAGATTCGTCTCAACGAGCAAGATTTGGCATCGAGGAGTTTTGCCAAAGTGCCGGGATTACCAATCTGCAGGCTGCAACCTGGGTAGCCATTCAGGGAGGTGGTGTCGCGACAGCAGGAATTGCCGGAGGTGGGGCTGAAAATGGTGTTATGACAGTTGTGACCACTGACATATACGGATTGCCGGTCACGGTACTGTCAACCCTGAAGAATATTGGGAATGCAGGCACTGAAGGTTCAGGTGCTGGCCCTACTGTCACGACCATCACAACTACCGACGCCAATGGCTTACCGGTTCTTATTCCCACCGTACTTACTCCTGCAGCAGCCGGCCTTCCAACTCCAGGGCCTGCTAGAGTATTGACGACCGTAATGTCGACCACTGACTCCAATGGAAACCCATTGGTCTTCACCGCGACCATAGCTCTTCCAGCCGGACCGAACGCCAACGGAACCGGTGCCGTTCCTACCCCATTACCTTCTCCCGTCGCGACACCGGCCATGGCTACTACCGTCCTGACTGTCACAGCTGCCGGCGGCGTTCCAGTGCTGGTTACAACCGTGGTTACCCAGGCGCAAGAAGTTAGCGGCAACGGTGAAAACAATACCAGCAGCGTTGCGAACCCGGGTGTCGGAGGGGAAGGGACGGGAAGCGCGACCCCTGTGCCAATGGTTATCACTACTACCGACACTGCTGGATCGCAGGTCACTATCACGACGCTCACACCGGGCTCTGCGTCCTCGACAGGGTCCATGAGCATCGAAACGGGTATAGAGCTGATTGCTGCTGAGACGTCTTTGACTGGGACTGCTGCACCGTTGTCTGCAACTGACATTGCTGCCATTACTATTGCTAGCGATGGTCTCGTTGGTGGCGATGGTAGTCAAACTGCCGACCAGGAGCAAGTGACTGCTGCCTTAACAAACACCACAACCTCCGATGGCGGAAATGGAAGTTCTGACAAAAGCCTGGACAGTAGTAGTATAATCACAAGTTTAACTGCGGGCACAGGGATAGGTCAAGAATGCCAGCCAACTGCGACTGTGACTGTGACAGTTACCGTCAGCCATAGTGGGGCTGGTTCTAGTGATGGCACAGAAGGAACTGCTACCGCAAGTCTGACCACTGCCTCCAAGAACAATGAGAATGTCACCGGGAGTAATGATGCCACATTAACGAAAAGCCTGACAGAATCGACAGCAACGCCTTTGTCTACGAAAAAGCAGGGTGGTGCAGAAGGAAACCCATGTTCCATATGCGACGACTTCAAAGATGAAGAGGGATCCTCTGAGGACAAGAAGGATGATGAACCAGACAATAATGAAAATTCAGGATGCTCTGCTGGCTGTTCAGGGAAAGGTGGCTGTACCCAGTCAAAAGGATGCTCTGGCTCTAGTAAAGGGAGCTGTGCTGGGTCAAAGCCGGCTGGTTGTCCGGGAAGGGGAAAAGAAGACTCGGACGATGACAGGCCTGGAGCAAATAGTTGTTCTGGCTCAAGTGGCTGTTCTGGTGGCGACGAAAGTAGTTGCTCGATGCCGAAATGTCCCGGCAACAAGGAAGGTTTTTCGAGCGGCAGCAAAGGGAAGTGTTCGTTGTGTGAAGGAGCCGATGGCAAACCCCCCATGCAAGGTGGTCGCTCAAATAATGGCTGCTACCCTTGTGAGCAAAACGATGGAAAGGCTCCGGACAGCAAAAGCTCAGAGGACCAAGGAACTGGTTGCTCAACTTGCGGTAAGGGCGACGATGCTGGCGAATTATCAGCGTGCGATGGATGCTGTTCGAACCAGAACACCTGCCAGACCTGCGAGGACTGTTCAAAAGGCAAGGGTTCATCCCAGAAGAGCTGCCCCAGCGCCGGAGGTTGCTCTGAAGAAAGCCAGCATTCTAGCAAGGAGGACAGACCTGAGAGAGACTGTGCGGCATGTCCATTGCGGAATAATGCTGGATATGACTCCTCGGATTGTCCGGCTTGTCCAGACAATTCTACCTCTAACGGCGGAGGATGCTCCAGTCCGGGTGCCTGCACAGGAGGGAGTGACTCGAGCGATGGCGACGTATCCAGCAGAGGACATTGCGCAACTTGTTCTGCGACTATGAGCAGAACATCGGATGCGGATCAGACGACGCACACTCCCGCGACTTCCGCTTCGACTCCAAAGTCAACCCTAACTCCCGGAGAGGATGCCATCTGCACTGACTGCAACAATGTCGAAAACAGATACGAAACACTAACAACGAGTCAAACCACATTGGAAACGAGTATAACGGCGTCGATCACAAGCCAAATAACCAATGTAGCGCCAACAATTCTCGCTGGCGACTACAACAGCGACACGTCGTTGACCACGAAACTGACTAAGGTTTATCCCCTACCTGAGGGAAACAGCACAAACACAGCTGTCGATGATCCAGCCCAAGCATCAAATGCACAGGTAGGCTCTGACGCCGACGCGATGCCAAACTATGGCACAAGTATGCCAATCGTTGTCATCGCTGGGAGCCAAAAACGGGCGTTGCCAGGGGGAAGCGCTGAACTCCTCATCGTTGCGATTACGATGAGCTTGTGTATGTTTATGTGATGATTTGAGCATGAAACAAGTACTATAGGTGGATTTTGTAAATCAGAAAGAAATACCTATATGGGAATCGGGAGGTGGGAATAGAGTGTAGATCATCATAGAGGTACAGGTATAGACTACTAGACTGGACCAAGGTACGTGAGAAACGGGTTGGACACATTAAGTGTTCGGTAGGTCATTTTCGCATGCTTAATATCGATATCAGTCTCCAAAACGCCGGATCAAAGTGATGGTACATCGCGATACGTGAAACAAGCGTGTCACTTCTTTCTTTGCTTCAAGAGCTGACAGGCGTATTTGACGATGAAAGAAAGCTCGCCTTCGGGCTGACGATCTGCTCGCCAGCTGTCAAACGCTCTGCCACTGTCAGTACGGCTCTTGCCAGCTGGCAGCCTGAAACAAGCACGGTCTTGGGGGGGTCTGCAGCTGGTTGCTTACCCCATACATGGCACGTGCGTGATGATTTCCCCAAAGATGATTCGCCCGTCATGCTGCGGCTCTCTTTGGTGCCCGTCCTCTTTCCTCTCGAACCCGCGGGAAGTCATCATCCCCCCACCACCAGCCAACCACCCTAAGCATCCAAGCATCCTGGCTTCTGTCTCCCACTTCGCAGCTCTCCCACTTTTCCAAGCAGCACGCTCCCACTTCATCTCCCACTGTTCATCAACGTGTAGTCGACACGGCGACACACGCGCAACCCTATTCAGACCGCAAGCAACAACCGTGTGTATAGACCCTGCGCATGCATACTGTTCCCGCCAAGTAACAGGCGAAGTTGTTCCTGGGACAAGCGACAAGCTGACGATAGACAAACGACTTCCGTTCAAGACAAAAGACAATACCAACCACGTGCAACTGCTGATTCCGTCCGGCTTCTGGTCATTCATCGTTTCTCTATTGTCTATTGTCTATTGTGCGCCGGCATACACACTAGCCGCACCATACCAGTTATTTAATCCATAATCCGCAACCCATCCATCCTTCTTCCGTCGCAAACCTATTAACCCGTTCCGTCCGTTCTCGATTCTCGGATCTAGACTTTTCCACACTTTCTCTTCCACGCATCTACCAGGGACACGCCAGCCAAGATGATGCCAAATCCTCATGCCGTCTACGGCCACCACCAGTACCCCCAGGCCGAGTCAGCCTGGAACTATCCCCAGACGACGCATACCCACCATGCCCAAGCTGCCGCTGCGGCTGCTACCGTCGCCCAGCAGCAGCATTACAATCGTCTCGCTGGCGCCCACAACAGCGTTGGCGCCTTGGCCCAGACTCATGGCCCGGACCCCTCGCTGGACGTTTCCGATGAGAACAGGCGGACCCTGCAGTACATCGCCGACCTCTTGAACGAGAACACTCGCGAAGCTGCTCTATTGGAGCTGAGCAAGAAGCGCGAGCAGGTTCCCGAGCTGGCTTTGATCTTGTGGCACTCGTTCGGTACGACCGTCTCCTGTCTCCTGCCGTTTTTGCGTGACGTGCGTCTACGTGTGTGTACGGAATATGCTTACACCATCCAGGGGTCATGACGTCGCTGCTCCAAGAGATCATCAGCGTCTACTCGCTGTTGAGCCCCTCGCAGTTGACCGCCGCTGCTTCTAACCGCGTCTGCAATGCCTTGGCTCTCTTGCAGTGCGTCGCGTCGCACAACGAGACCAGGACCCTGTTCCTCAATGGTATGCAGGCTTCTATGGCAATTTTGGCAGCCCTGTCTCAGCTAACCCGCCTCCTGTAGCCCACATCCCTCTGTTCCTCTATCCCTTCCTCAACACGACTTCTAAGTCAAGGCCGTTCGAGTACCTGCGCTTGACTTCTCTTGGTGTCATTGGTGCGCTCGTGAAGAATGACTCGTCGGAGGTGATTAACTTTCTCCTGACAACCGAGATCATTCCGCTTTGCTTGCGCATTATGGAGACTGGCTCTGAGCTGAGCAAGACTGTCGCCATTTTCATCGTACAGAAGATTCTCCTCGATGACAATGGCCTGAACTACATCTGCGCCACCTACGAGCGCTTTTATGCTGTCGGCACGGTCCTGAGCAACATGGTGGCCCAGCTCGTTGAACAGCAGACTGCTCGTCTACTCAAGCACGTGGTGCGCTGCTTCCTGAGGTAAGTTTTTTTTTTTTTCCCGGTCCATCTTATTCTTTGCTGAGGTGTGCGAAATGCTAACGTAAAGCAGGCTCAGTGACAATGCTCGTGCTCGCGAGGCCTTGCGCCAGTGTCTGCCTGAGCCACTCCGTGACCACACTTTTTCCAACGTCCTCCGCGACGATGCAGCCACCAAGCGCTGCCTGGCACAGCTCCTTATCAACCTGTCTGACAACGGCAATATGATGGAGCCCGCTCCCGGTCAGCTTGGACTGTAGAGCAGCACAACGCCATCCGAGAAATCCCCAGAGACAACAACAACTATAAGCGACACTACAAGCGACAGTGACTATCAGATCAGAGTGCTCAATAGAAGAAGGACGGCGCGCACGCCGAGCTATCGGTACCTTGGCGCTCTGTTCGGCTCGAGCTAGCGGTCTCCGACTACAATTGAGCTTCACTTAGCGTATCTGCAGGGCGGATCACGTTGTTTGAAGGGAATGCAATCATTGGTGATGGGCTGAAAATCGACCTCATCCGATGCACATGCATGACTTGATAAGAGGGTAAATATGTGCATATCGGACACGGGAAGCGATGCTTGTGGGAGATGACTCCTGTGGACGAACGTCGTCATTCGGTCTGGTGTGCATCTGGCGTCGTTTACACGAAGTATAGGCGACTATGTTCCCTCGGGAACATGAACGATGAAATGGAGGATTCATGATCAGAGGGTATTTCTTTTTCTTTGGCACGGTTGGTCATTGGGGGACGGGAAACGGCATGGGGAAAGAGAAAAGTTTCATTATAACGGTTCGGATCTTTCTATTATCGTCATGATACCTCGGATACCTCTCCAGGGTGATGTCTCGGGGCGGACCGGAAATGGAAATGGGATTGGGCATTGTGGTGAAACGGAGTAGTTGGATGATGGCAAACGGTATGGGGTGAGTGGGATTATCAAGAGAGCGCCGAGGAAGCTCTATGAGGGTCTTTCTGCTCGATGCTCTCCTGACATTTCTCCGTCGCTCCCCTGCCTGCCTGCATACCCGTGCATTCGCCTGCCTGGCAAAGCGTGCAAGCAAGTGAGCAAGCGAGCAAGCGGTAGGCGTTACGGAATCGCTTTCATATTGCTATACCTTGCTATTCACATGTCATTATACACTATTTGGTCATTTTGTTGCATTACTCAAGTATATATACATGATATCATCATCTTCTTCTGTTAGTGTGTTAGAATTTTCTGATCTTGGGCTTTCTCATCGGTAAGAGTGTGAGTGCGACAATTTTCTTTTTCTTTTTCTTTTTTTTTTCATGAGAAAAGTGACAGGATCATGGTCGGCCTGAAACTTCGGGCTTCTCTCGCGACGCATCATAGTGATGATCAAGCATCTTCGAAAGTTGGGGAAGAGATGTAAAAAGGACAAAGAAAAAACGGACAAAAAGAAGAATCGACCTGAGTGCTCGCGACCGGTTATGCCGCATGAAGTAGGACAGGTGATGGCCCTCAGGAGTCAGAGGCCTCGCTCGAGTTTGGTTTTTAAAGAGATACGTAGCAAGTCGGACAGAAACATTGTGTTAGACAGATATCCTACTTCCCCCGGGAACCATCGAATGTCTCTTGATCCTCCCCTGAATTGTGAAGCCAGATGGTAGCATGACCAAGGTTTATTTTCAGCATTCAAACGTCTGACTTTGTTCTCTATTTATTCTGTAGACTGTGCCCGATCACGAGCAGAACCGTTGTTGATAAGAGATGGTTATCATTTAAGTAACGGCTGTTCGGTCTGACTAGGGCCTTGAGCACTTTATCTTCCCACAGTCGTGTTTGCTGTCACCCTTCCCCGCATGGCATCACGATTCGCGAAGGGCTTCTTGTTCGTTGGAACCGTGACATGGTGGCATTGGTGTGGGCGCGTATCGGTAATGGTAACAACGATACGTACCGCGGCGTTACAATCCTGCGCAGCTAAGTTACACAAGGTTCGGGATTTCTTCTAGGCTTCCGCTCCAAACCATGACCGGAGGAAGCATCACTCCGTTTCGAAAGCGGGACGTCAAACCTACATTACTTGTTGACCGACTTTTTTTAAAAAAAAAAAGAACAATGCCGCACTTTGCTGGATTGAACTCCAACTCGCACAGATCCAGTCTCCCTTGTAACAGAAATCTAGGTAGGTAGTTTGTAGCATTATAACAAGTTGGTCTCCGCATACCCTACACCACCAAGCACAAAGTTCCCAAAGTAGAATGCATGCATAGGTAAAGGTCAACACCGAATGCAGCCTTGCATACTACACTAAAAGATGGGCACGAGCATCAGGGTATCATCAGCAACGCAGACCCAGTCAGTCGTGTGACTCCCCTTGTCGGCGCCTCCCCTGTTCAAGACGTCATCTCCCCTCTTACCGTGCAGGCCTTAATCCTCTGCTTTTCGTCGTCCATCTTCTGTATCTGTCATTCGGCGTCGAAGAGGTCAACCCTTAAATTACCAGTTCCTAAAACAACTTGGTTTCCTCTGTCCAATAGGAAATCGTGCCCTGGGTTTTGCGGGTGAGGCGCCAGGTACCGCTCGCAGACGAGGGGCGCGCGGGGAACGCTGATTGGGGAACTTTCCCCTCTTGCTCGGGCGCAAGGGGCAGAAGAAGCCCGTAGCGCGCAGTGGATGGCGGCCGCGTGGCCCGGGGGAAGGGGGGGGGGGGGAAGGGAATTCCTCTCTGAATGCTTGGAGGTGGATGGTGGGCTGCCGTTCCCGGCGCCCTCCAACCGCACGTCGCCGAGCGCATGCCAACCCCGGAGCTGAAGCCGGGATTGAGCTTAGCGCGGACGCGACAAGACAATATCTAGTCGAAAGTTGCTACATATTGGACAGTCAAAAAGAAGTTTAATGTTGCTGAGAAGCATGGGAGACCTCTAGAATAGATTGGGCCACAAAACGGGCCACTCTCACGCTCCCTCCCCCCTGAACCTTTAACATTGGGATGACTGGTCAGTGTATAAAAGATAGCGGTGAGGGGGACAAGGAGGAGGGGGAAAGGAAAACGAAGGGAAGTGTGACCTACTTCCCCTCCCGGAGAGCTGTGGACCGGGCGTTACATCACAGACAAGTTTGTCACAAAGGGAAGGCTCGCCGATCATTACACACACGTTGACTTCTCTTTGCGAGTTCGCCGCCCTCGCCGTTGCTTCTTGCTCTTCAGAGTATACTTTCTTAGACTCGCCCGCCGTCCTCGCAGCACTAGCGTGGCCTTGGGACCTGCTTTGTGCGGGGAAGTTGGGCCAAAAACTGTTCGAGGCACGGTCTGGTGCTTCGTCGACGACAGCAGTCAGCAACAATTATAATAATAAGTGCTCGCTTCAGGTCAGGCTCAACGGCTGGCGGCTGGCTGGATTCACACAAACTGTGCTACCCCCCCCCCCCAAGGTGTCTCTCCGATGTCACGGGCTGAAGGACAGTAACTACCTTACCCCTTCGACCTCAGCTTGGCGCCGGTATAAGTCACACAGCATACCTCGGGGCTCCTCTCACGACCTACGTACCTCTCTTATCTCCCAGCTGCCTGGCATACAGGGACGGACAGGACGAAACAACAGCCATGCCTTTCCCTCACCGTCACCGGGGCATACCACCCCCGCGAAGAACCATGGCATCCACCATCTCGGCCATCTCCCTCTTCCTGCTCGCCCTCTTCGCTCTAGCCCATTTCTCCTCCTCCGTCCAAGGGCCCAATCGGCATGTGGCCCGCCTGGCAAAACGCTTTGATCCTGTCGAGCATGATACTCCCATTGTCCCCAAGGCATCTGCCGCTGCTGCCGGCGACAAGTACCTCCTTGGCGTTGGCAAGGCCGATATCACCGGCCCGGTCGTGGAGATCAACTTTGCCGGCTACGCCGACACGGAGCAGAGAGGGACCGGCCTCCGGCAGCGCATTTACTGCCGGGCTTTCATTATTGGGCAGGTGGGCAAGCCGGAGAATCGGTTTGTCTACCTTGTGCTGGACACCATGTCGGGCGACACCGCGGTCCGGAATGGGATTTTGGAGGGACTGGCGAAGTTGGGATCGGAGTATGCGGTCTATGGGAGGAATAACGTTGCCGTTACGGGCACACACTCGCATAGCGGGCCTGGAGGATGGTTTAACTACCTGCTGCCGCAGATCACGAGCTTCGGGTTTGACAAGCAAGGCTATCAGGCTATTGTTGATGGTGCCGTGTTGGCTATCAAGAGGGCTCACGAGTCCTTGCAGGAGGTGAGTTTGCTTGCTTCATAAGAAGGTTTTTGAGATGGAGATGCTGACGAACCCAGGGCTACCTCGACTTCGGCACCACTCGTATCGAGGATGCCAACATCAATCGCAGTCTGTACGCCTACCTTGCCAACCCGGAGGCCGAGCGCGCGCAGTACCCCGACAGTACTGACAAGACGATGACGCTCCTACGCTTCCGTCGCGCCTCAGACCTTAAGGCTATCGGCGTACTGACCTGGTTCGCCGTGCACCCGACCTCCATGCTGGGCAACAACACCCACGTCAGCGGCGACAACAAAGGTGTTGCCGCATACCTGTTTGAGCAGTCGGTCAAGGGCAGCGATGCGGTTGCTGATGGGTTCGTTGCTGGCTTCTCTCAGTCGAATCATGGTGATACCAGCCCGAACGTGCTCGGTGCGTGGTGCGATGATGGGTCAGGGCAGATGTGCGATTTCCAGACCTCGACGTGCTCCGATGGCAAGTCGCAGAAGTGTCACGGGCGCGGGCCGCTGTTCTACAACCTCGATCTTGGTGTGTCGAGCTGCTATGAGCTCGGCCGTCGGCAATTTTTCCCTGCAAAGGAGCTCTTTGTACGTCCTCTCTCTTCCTTCTTAGAAGAACTCACCTTTACTAACTACTCTTTCCCGCGCCCCCCCCTCCTCCGGGGCCCCCTTTTTTTTCAAAACAGCACTCCCTAGACTCCGAATCGACGCCCGTTGTCGGACCAACTGTCCGTGCCTTCCACTACTGGAACGACATGTCCTACTACAAGTTCCCTCTCCCCAACGGCACCATCGTCCAGACCTGCCCCGCGGCACTCGGCCACTCTTTCGCAGCCGGTACCTCCGACTGGCCTGGTGCCTTCGACTTCACCCAGGGCGACTCTGGCGAACCCAACAACCCCTTCTGGTCCGTAGTGGGCGGTCTCCTGCGTACCCCCAGCCACGCACAAAAGGCCTGTCAAGCCCCCAAGCCCATCCTTCTTGATGTGGGCGAAATGACGACCCCTTACGCCTGGACTCCCAATATCATCGACGTCCAGACCCTGCGCGTCGGCCAATTCTTTATCATCGTTTCACCCTCTGAGGTGTGCACCATGGCCGGCCGCCGCTGGCGCAACGCGGTGAAAGCAGCCGCTCAGGAGGCCGGGATGACGGGTGACACCGAGCCGTATGTGGTTATTGCCGGTCCTGCTAACACGTATGCTCACTATGTCACCACCCCCGAGGAATACGCCGTCCAGCGGTACGAGGGCGCGTCTACGCTGTATGGTCAGTGGGAGTTGCCCGCTTACATCAACCTCACGCTGCGCGGCCTTCCTTACTTGGCGCCCACCGCGACGGGTAGCCCGCCGGCCGGCCCAACCCCACCTGATAACCGGGCGAAGTCGCTTAGCTTTATCACGGGCGTTGTGATGGACGGTACGCCGATTGGCAAGAGCTTTGGGCAGTGCATTAAGCAGCCGAGCTCGTCATACTCGAGGGGCGCAGTGGTGAGCGCCACCTTTCAGGGGGCTAATCCGAGGAATAATTTAAGGCTTGAGGGGACGTTTGCGGCGGTTGAGAAGCTTGGTGCTGATGGGAAGACCTGGACAAGGTGGTTGGATGATAAAGATTGGCGGCTGGTGTATACGTGGAAGAGGACGAATGGGGCGTTAGGGTACAGTGAGGTGACGATTACGTGGGAGACGGATGTGGATTTAGATCCTGCAGGAACGTATCGGATCAAGTATTATGGTGATCAGAAGCCGCTGATTGGGAGTATCAAAGCTTTTGAGGGGACGAGCAACTCTTTCACGCTCAATTAGGGTACGGGCTTAGAAGGAGGGTTAATGAGTAATGACTGTACACACACACATATATATATTGATCATGGCATGAGCTGATACGTGGGTTCTTAATCCTATATTGTAATTTCGAAGAGTTCGCCATGACCGCTTAATCATCTTCGGCTTCCCTCCACTTAAATTTTTGTGCTGTTACACCTCAAACATCAGATTCCTGACAACGTCTTCAGCCATGTAAGACACACATCTACACATCTCCTTCATTGCTCCCAAACACGACTGAATCATTTTCCCAAAGTCTCACGTCTACTCTCCTGGCTCTTGACACAATGCCGCAAGGCGGGAAAAACAAACTCGCACATAAACATCTTCCGCAGTGCACCGCGGAGATCTCATGCCCGTGAGAAGCAATACCACACAGGCAGTAGTTGATACGATCAGGTATAGTAGTCGTCCCGTTCTCAAACTCGATAACCCTTTTTTCTCTTATGTCGGAGAATGTGATCGCCATCATCAAAAGAGCGGCAACGATGCCGAACGAGATACCCCCGTGGCATATAGACTGTCCTCATCCAACTCAGTTGTCGTCCGCGGGCCGATTGTTATCGGCCCAACTATGGCAACAATAGCACCCGGTCAAGTGGCCTTCTTTCCACCCTGGGAGGAGGTACGATACAACCCGTACCGCCCCTCTCCCTTATTACGACTTTTACCGTCGTTGTTGGATTGGGGGAAAGGAGGGGGAAGGAGGGGGAAGGAAAGAACAGCTTCCACATAAGCATTATAGGGCATAACAACGGATGGTTTAGTTTTTTTTTTTTTTTTTTTTTTTTTTTGTAGAAAGCGAGCTAGGAATCGGCGTAGTGGTGAACTCATGTCCTTTGATTGAAGAGGGGGTGCCACTTGATCTCCATGAGCAGAGCCAAAGTGACTTTACCATAAAAAAAATGCAATGCTAAAACAGTTCACAATCCCATCAACCAACAAGTGAGTAGCAAAACAACGCCAGGGTATTTCGACTACCTCTACACTTTATTACATTCCCCCCACACCAACCAAATACAGGTCCCAAGACAAAGAGAGTACAAAAGGAAAAACACGATGATGACAATGGACTCCTGTAAACGCAGATAGAAATAAGACATCAAAAAAGAAGAAGAAGAAGAAGAAGAAGAAGAAGAAGAAGAATGAGAAGACCAACTCCATTTTCATCCACACCCTCTCTTTCCATCGTACACTCACTTACTTCCCCAATCCCTCTCCCCCAAACTCAGCAGGCACCCAACCCCGACTCCCCCTCCTTACCCTCCTCCTCTTCTTCCTCCTGGACAAGGATAGATAATAGAGGTAATAAGAAGCAGCCCCCTACATCCGCTTCCTAGCCTCCTCATAATCTTCCTCGGCAACAGCCGTCTCTCCGAGGCTGCTCTCCACTCCCTCACTCTCGTCCTCATCCTCGTCCTCGTCGCTGCTGATCCCATCCTCATCTACCAGCGTCTTCTTGCGCGCCTGGCTTTTGCGCCGGCGCATCTCTCCGCGCTCTCGCATCGCCTGCCGGATCTTGGCCGCCGCCTCCTCAAAGCCCTCCTTGGTATCCAGCAACGCGCCGGTGGTGAACGCCGTGACCGGCACGTTGACACTGCTGCTGCGGCTGGGCGGGCGCGTGGCGAACAGCGGCGCTTGGCCGATGTTGCTGAAGGATTCGTTGCGCGGCAGGGCGCGACCGGACTGGGTGGTGCTGCCGCGGCGGCCGGGGTCGGAGTGCGTGGGGCTCTCGGTACCCTCAGCGTGGAGGTGAGGCGGCTGCTCCGACGAGGGTTGGTGCCGAGTACGAGGGGGCGAGGCCGATCCAGCGCGCGCGACTCCGTCGAAGACCAGCCGCGTGTGCTCGAAGTCGGGGAACAGGTCGGGGCCGAGCTGGTTGACGACTTCTGCGACCTGGGCGCTGAGCTCAGCGCGACGTTCCCGCAGACGCTTCACGCTGTAGCTGGACGACGGGAACAGACACAGAGCGAGCGGACGAAGAGACTTGAGGATGTCCATCCCGACCTCACCGAAGCGCAGGGCCGCGAAGGTGATGGTGGGAAAGATCACCCAACCGGCCAAGAAGACGGCCCAGATGGGCACCCAATCCGGCACACGGCCGCCCAGGCGGTTCCGGTACACTTGCCAGGCAACCAGAGAGCAGTAGAAATTGTAGAGGATCGGCGCAAATGCCATCGAGACGAGGAGCTTCCAAGTAGCCATGACGTCCCGACCCTGAATCTTGACCGAGGAAGCCGCAAGCGCCGACTTGGCCTTCTTGCGGCTGATGACCTTGGTCGCGATGAAAACCGGAGCGAAAAGAACCAGACCAGGCAGCACACCGGCCGAGAGGAGCAGCAGCTTGATCAGGCGATAGAGGAAGGTAAACAGCACGATGGGCCACGACATGGTGGCGTACTCGACCTGATGGTCACGCAGGCCAAGGTAGCGCAGCTGCCGGTTATACTCGGCGACCGACTCCTTGAGCTGAACAATACGCTCGTCCGTCTTGTACTTCGAGTAGCCGACAGCCAGGCGGCGATTCAGCTCGACGACGACAGGCAGCGGCAACTTCTTGCCGGCCGGGTTGTACAGACGACGAGCGGCCTGGATGACCATCAGGGTGTCGTAATCTGGAACGGAAACCGTAACGGCGTGCAGCGCATTGTGAACCATATCGAGCAGCTCGGCGATGGCCTGACGTCTTTCGTTATTCTTGTACATCTCGACAAGGCGTGGAGGGACCTCGAACGGTGGACCGAACTCAATGACGGCGCGTGAACGGAACTTGTGGGCGTGGAAGTAGTTCATGCCAACCGGCACGATCTTCAAGCCGCAATCAGGCGCCTCTGCGAGGGTACCCAGGGCCATGATGGCAACACCGGCCTTGAGGGGGAGCAGCTCAGTGCGATCGTGGCTACCGCCCTCAGGGAAGATGCCGATGCAGCCTCCTGACTTCAGCCGTTCAAAGACGGCATGATAGACCTTCGTCTGATCGATGTGAGGGGCCAGCTTGAATTTGGTGCCCTCGTAGCCCGGGGCGGGGCCTGAAACCGAGGTGTTGGTGAACCTCCCATCCTCATCGATGTCATCACGACCTGTCAGCTGGCTCATGGCCAGCCTTCCTGTGAAGGGACGCTTGATGCGAAGAGTGTCGGGGCCCAGGATTTGAGCAATATCAACACTAGCGCCGCTCTGGCCCTTAGCGGACGGCAAGAAGATCATGCCGCCGACCTCAGCTTCTTTCTCAAAATCGGTACCAACACCACGGATGAGCGTCGGGTCGTTGATGTCGGGCAGGTAGAGAGTACCCGTGGCGGGCTTTGCCAAATCCTGGGCGCGCCCGACAGGTACGGAGCCGACCTGTCGCGAAGCCCACCCGATGAAGCCGTGTACGGACTTCTGAGCGATCAACAGTGACACGCGGCGCTTGGCGCCATCCTTCAGAGTACGTTGCAGAACGAGGGCATCAACAAACTGCGGAGTCAGCTTTGGCTCATGGTCCCAAACCCACGAACAACTGCCTACGTACCTGGTTGGCATGAGGCGCGGCGACAAAGAGGACGGGCCCATGGCGGGGCACCTTCCAGACGCCGCGGGGGTGGACCTCTCGGAAGAAGAGATCCACAAGGACCGACATGGTCCAAAGAAATGTGTCGTACTTCCAGTTGCTCATGGGGAAGGGATCTTGGAATGTGGGGGGGGTTTTGCCCGCCCCGGCTTCGACACTGCGGAGGAAGCCATGATAGCAGTCTGCCTCTTGGTGTCGAGGACTTATTCTATGAGTTTTGTGCCAGACTCTGGCCTTTGCCTGAATATCTATATGTTGGGCAAAACACGGATGGGCCGGAAGTGTAGTGTGGATTCGGCGAATTCGGCAGTCAGTTGGTTGTTGATTCTGGGAAACGGCCTCAATCTTATCGAGGGCACTCTCGGAAACGAAACAGGCGTCCTGAAGAGATCCAGGAGTTGAGGTTCAGTCGTCGATGTTCTTGTCAGAGCAAGCAGGGGTTCTGCGACGGCCCAAAGGTGATAAGAGGTTAACAGTAGGCTCTCAGTGAGCATTGGGAAAGAGCGTATATAGGGGAAGGCCTGTGGCCTGCTTGAGCCGAGGGAGGGGAACTCACCGAAAATGATCGAATCAGATGTCGCAATCAACTCATTGAATCCCGAGCCAGGCCTTAGATGATGCAGCGGGCCGGACGGACAACGGGTGAGTGCTGGAAGCGCAAGGTGGGGGGGGGGTAAGAGGTTGCAGCAGCAGCTGAAGGTTGTCCGCTAGCGAACAGCAAGGGAAAAAAAAAAAGAATACTCAATATACTCCGTGTCGCACGATTTCAGAATGAAGCGTACTGCATCGCCTCGGCACATATGCTGGACAAAATCAGAACGGACCTCAGATAAGTTGAGGCTGAAAAGGTCGGCCCTTGGGTGAAGCTGGGTAAAGGGAGGCAAAAAGCAGAGGAGACAAAAAAAAGTTATCAAGAGGCGACGGCAAAATTGCGAAATGCGGCAGCAGATGGGAAGCAGCAGCAGTGCTCCCGCAGCCACCACCACAACCGCAACGAGCCTGAGAGCAACCGACAGAAAAGCTGTGGGGCAGCAAGATGTCATTCTTGCAGGTGTACACCTCTGCCCTCGCTCCGAGCGGTAGCTTCTGAACCGTTCGACCGGGGTCCTCGGCGCACAAAGTGGGGTACTGAGGCATCGCGCGTGGGGCGGTTGATCTTGTTGGGGCGGCGCTGATTGGAGGATGAGATGGGCCCATCGCGAGCTCGGCGTGGTGAGCCTATTCTGTTTGGGCATCTGCATCGCAGGTCTGCAGCCTACCACGCACCTCCGTGCCAATCTGGTCTCTGCTGGGCTGCATGGCTTCAAAAGCAGGCCAACTACACTGCACTAGCGGGATGCAGCCATCTCAACAAGATCTGGTTGCAGCGCGTGGCTCGTGGCGGTAGACTGTAAATGGTCTTGGCCATCCGTATCGTGAGCAGATCGATGCCAGATCACACCTCCCATGAACTGTGTCCACAGGTGTCCAAGGCACGATAGGATCGCACGGTAGTACGGTAGCACCTCATTCCTGCTCGTTTACCCCCATCTCAGATCGAGAGATCATCTCCTGCCCTTCATTCTTCCTGCGGGGCATCACCCGTTATCAGCAGCATTTCCGGGGCAGCGGGCTTCCTGTTCTGTAACAAGCTCTCAGCCTGCTGAAACCGGCTGCGCTCCTTACAACTCGGCTTATCAGACATTTTAGTCGCTGCAGCAAGCGGCAGGAGCGGTATCTCGATCCAGACATCAATCAGGTAAGCAAGGTATTGGCCGCATTCATTAATGAATTCAGGTTGCTGTGTCAAAAAAAAAAGGAAGGAAAAAAAAAAAAACTTCAACATCATCAATCATGTCGGGCATCAAAACTGGAGATGCGTTCGTTGGGCGCAAGAGCATGTGAGAACGCCGTTTCTGGGGGTTTATCTCCGGGCCCTCGGCTCTCGGAGCATCGTCGATCGGGCTAAGTGCGTTAGGGCAAGGGTGATCGACGGGGCCTGCCCCATGCAACCGTCTAGGGCTCCCGACGAAGCAACACACGATACAGCTATTTTTTGCTCCCAGGTTGGCAGCCTGCCCGCAATCAGAAACACCGAGCGGCTTGGGTCGTCCGAGGTCATGGGGTTCATTTCTCATCAAACCAAATCACCGTTCCCTTGAAATGTGCATGTCTTTACCGTGTACCAATCATTTCTTCCTCCCCTTGCCCTTCCTCTTGCTCCCCTCCTTCTCCTTGACCCCCCACAACCCCAGATTCCAGCTCCCCTTCTCCAACTAGCCCCTCTCTCTCCATCTCCTTCAGCTTCTCTTGCCCGCTAATAAACATGGTCAAATCATGATTCATCTCCTTCAGCTCTTCGTTTTCACTCCGCAGCTTCTCCATCTCCTTCCCCTTCTCCTCCATCTCCTTTTGAAGATGCTCGATCCTCTTCATCAATCCAGCACTCACCTCTCTCTCCTCGCGAAGCGCCTTGCTCAGCTCACGCGCCAGATCTGCCGATTTGGCTGACTTCTGCTTCTCGCGTGCGAGCTCCTTCTCCAGGGATGGTACTGTCTCTTCGCGCAGCACGCGATGCTCCTCGCGTAGGGTGGCCAGCTGGTTGAGTGCATCGGCAGCCTGGGCTGAAGCGGCTTCAGCTGCTGCTGCTGCCTTGGCAGCCTTGTCGGCAGCTTTGTTGACCATCTCTTCGAAGTAGATGCGTTGACTCTCGAGTTGGCTGGTAAGAAGATGGGTGTATTCAAGACCGATGCTGTCGAGCTTAGAGCGCGGAACATATTCTTCGTTGTTCGTATTTTGCTGGTTGTTGTTGTTGTTGTTGTTGTTGTTGTTGTTGTTGTTGGGCTGTATTGTAGTTGCATTCCGCGGCAGCTCAACAATCTTGCCGTCTCCCTTATCCCGAATGAGCCGGTGCACCCACTTATCACCTGCGTAGTCCCAGACATGTTGCGTTTGCAGCTCCAGACTGAAACTATGTGCTGTCAGCTTCCAGTGCTCCTTAGCATGACCGCCATTGTATCGTCCGCAGCCAACGTTGCCGCAGATGAGGCAGATCCACAAGTCGTCGGTGCAGTTACACTGGTTGCAGATGTTAGCTACGCCCTGCCCGAACGGCCTTGCGCTGTACGGGTCGTCTGGGTCAGCGTCGATGGGCTTTGGGTTGGTTGCCCGACAGACGGGGCAGCCTGAACCTTTCCATGTTTGTAGACAGGTGCAGTGGAACACGTGCTGGCACAGGATGGTCATGAGCCCCGTAGTGTCATCCATGCGCTCCAGACAGACTGCGCATGTTGGGAGCTCAATGAGGTCTGGTGTTGGTGGAGGGAATGGCTTGAGCGAGTTCACGGGGGTTGGACCATTTCCAGCTGACTGCTTGCGCTCTTTCCGGTTCGGCGTCTCAACCGTGATGGACTTAATGAAGGTAACATGGCAGATCTCAGTCTGTGTTTGTTAGCATAGCATTTCTCGGGACCTAGGAAAGGCTGACGAAGGCTCGCTCACCTCTACGCTGTCGAACGGTTTACCGTCAAATTCCTTCCTGAACTGCCTGGCCCTCTTCGCGTCCCGGAACTTCATCAACACCATGTATCTGCTCATCCGGCTGGTCATAACCATGCGGTAATGGCTGACATCGCCGCGCCACTTCTCGCCGACAAACCCCAAAAAATCGCTTGGCGACATGTAGCTGGGAACCGCGGGGACACACAAGATGGTCCCGTCCTCACCAGACGAAGCATCCTTCCCGTCCCCTCCATCCGGCAGCTCCCTCAAGGCGCTGGTCTCATCCCCCTCCCGATACAAATGCACAATTCCCCACCCAGCCTCAGTATTTTTCCCTTCGAGAGGGACATACCTTGCCTTGGTAGCCTGGCCCATACCTCCCAAATTCGGCCCCAGCGAAGCAGCAGGCTGAACTTCCTGCTGTTGCTGTTGCTGCTGCTGCTGCTGCTGCTGCTGCTGCTGCTGCCCTGTCGCCCCATCTTTCTTCCCCGAACTAGCCGCCATCTTCTTATTATTATTATTATTGTTGTTGTTATGATGATGATTAACAACCAGATCAAAACTCTCAATCCTGACCCTCCCAAACCGCCAGTCCCTAACGGCAGTATGCGGCCCAATTCCCCTTTCAACCCTCGGCGGCGGCGACCGTTCCAGACGAGCGCGATACTGTCTTTCGCTCAGGCGCACGATATTCCTCCCTCTTCCTCCGTCTTCGTCGCCGCTCTCGTTGTGTGACTTTCCGCGGTGCGCGCCACAATCGATGATCTTCGATCCCGCGGTATCGTCTGCTGCGGCAGCGCTTCGAGCTCCCTCGCGCGAACTGCTGCTCCTCGGCCACTTGGCCGGCGTGGACTCTTGCTGCTCTCGATCTCGGCTACGCGGGTGCGAGGGGAGATCGTCGAAGACGGAGGCGCCGGGCTCGGGGTTCCAGATGTTGTTGTTTTCGTTGCGTAGGATCGTCGCTTCGGCCTGGCTCGCCGTCGGATCGGGCGTTGTGTAGAGCTCAAACTTGAGGTGGTAGTAATAGGGCATAGCAGATGCGTTTGTACAGGCGGCGTCTCAAGCCCGTCCAGAGGACTCTGTGTCGCGGCTGTGATCGTCTGTGGATGCTGCAGAAGCACTCGCGATCACTGACTGGGTTTGGACTCGCCTGAGACGAGTTAGCTGGGCCTTGGGTGTTGGTCGTTGGTCCTGCGGGTGGCAAACGAGTTGAAAGAGTCACGGAGGAACAAGAGGTTGTGCTGATCGCAAAACGTTGTTTCTCATCATTATGGGCCTGCCGATGCTGCCTGATGGTTTTGGCGGCTCCAGCAGCCTTGTTACGAAGTCTGTGGTACTATAGCAGGACGGAAGTGGGAAGGATGGATAAAGCGGGAGATGCAAGCTCCATAATGGAATTTATCGCTGGGCTTGGCGCTTGACAGAAGCGAAGCATTACATCATCAACACAAATGTCACTGAGCAGGCACACAGACTTGTTCCGAGACGCTATTTGTATGAAAAAAAAAAAAAAAACACAAGACCCGATTATCGGGGTCGTGAATACCATCGTGTCATTAAGCTACCAGAAGAACCCAAGAGTCATCATAACCGTTCCCTGAAACTCCAAAAAAACGGTCCAACACCTCGATCCCGATCCTCCGCTTACTGACCGCCACGGAGACGCAGCACCAGGTGGAGGGTGCTCTCCTTCTGGATATTGTAGTCGGACAAGGTCCGACCATCCTCTAGCTGCTTACCCGCAAAGATCAGGCGCTGCTGATCCGGAGGGATGCCCTCCTTGTCCTGGATCTTGGCCTTCACGTTCTCGATCGTGTCGGAAGACTCAACCTCCAACGTGATCGTCTTGCCCGTAAGAGTCTTGACGAAGATTTGCATACCACCACGGAGACGCAGGACAAGGTGGAGGGTGCTCTCCTTCTGGATGTTGTAATCAGACAGAGTGCGGCCGTCCTCCAACTGCTTGCCAGCGAAGATGAGACGCTGCTGGTCTGGCGGGATGCCCTCCTTGTCCTGGATCTTGGCCTTGACGTTCTCGATCGTGTCGGAAGACTCAACCTCCAACGTGATCGTCTTGCCCGTAAGAGTCTTGACGAAGATTTGCATACCACCACGGAGACGCAGGACAAGGTGGAGGGTGCTCTCCTTCTGGATATTGTAATCAGACAGAGTGCGGCCGTCCTCCAACTGCTTGCCGGCGAAGATGAGACGCTGCTGGTCTGGAGGGATGCCCTCCTTGTCCTGGATCTTGGCCTTCACGTTCTCGATCGTGTCGGAGCTCTCGACCTCGAGAGTGATGGTCTTGCCGGTGAGGGTCTTGACGAAGATCTGCATACCACCGCGCAGGCGGAGGACGAGGTGGAGAGTGGACTCCTTCTGGATGTTGTAATCAGAGAGAGTCCGGCCATCCTCGAGCTGCTTGCCGGCGAAGATGAGGCGCTGCTGGTCCGGAGGAATGCCCTCCTTGTCCTGAATCTTGGCCTTGACGTTCTCAATAGTATCCGACGACTCCACCTCAAGGGTGATGGTCTTGCCGGTCACTGGGAAATGTTAGCATCGATGTCCAGTCGGTTGAAAGGCAGCGACAGTGAGGGGTAACCTACGAGTCTTGACGAAGATCTGCATGGTGGGCAACTGGTATAAGCTTCTCAAGATGATTCGATATGGTTGTTGTTCTCTATGGGCAGCCTGATGGCTAGAGTAAGACTCTGTGAGGTTTTTGTGGAGAGATGGTAATGGAAAAGGATGATGGAGGAGGAAGAGTGCAAGCGGTCAGGTTAAATACTGGGAATGAAAGGCAGCCACATGGGCAGGCAGCCTGAGCAGGGCGGGGTGGCTGTGTGAATGCGTCAGGAAGCGCAATCACGGTTCGTCAGCCAATGCAGGGGAGGCCAGGAAGGGAAGGATAAGGAAGCCACCAGAATGGACCAGTCACTGCCAGTCAGGTGGATGGTGGGAGGTGGGGCCAGGTTCTGGTCTTTCCAGTATTGCCGCCATGCAGTGGCTTTGGTCCACAGTGCTTTTTTTCTTGCCACCTCTGATGGGGAGGCCAAACAAAGTTCCCGAACTTGGGACCTTTTGCACATGCTTTCAAAGCTTCCAAGACATGGAATGACATGTACACTTAAAATTTGCTGTGTGACAACATCGCTTGCAAAGATACTCCTCTTTTGAAGTCGGTTCCTGGTGTCTCGTGCCAACGCATTTTACACAGTAGAGGCTGGTTACCTTTCTTGGCTTCCCCGCACTTGGTGAGATGCCAGACCCTGTGACGTGGTCGGCAAACGCAGCTATCGATGGCATCAGCCATCACAGAGGCTAAAAAACATGTCAGATCGGAAGCTTCGCGTCTGCCATTGTGACAGCGACTCTGAGGACCTCCACCAAGTTCCAGTCAGCTTCTCCCGTCTGCTAGCATCACCAGTTGTGCCCAGCTGTGCTGGGCGGAGTCAGCGAAGCTGACGCGGGAAGGATGATAATGGTTCCTGCCACCGGGCAACGCCGAGCGGGGGCTATCGTCTACCGCCAACCACAGCCATCAGAGCCCTCGGCACAGTTTTAGCCCGATTCTCTTCACGATTCATCATCCATTTGAGTGCATAACATTTTAAGAGGAGATAAAGTTTTCAACATGGAAGTCTTGATCATTCAAGCTTTTTCGAAGTCAGCATTATCATCAGTGATTACATCGTTGTTGTTATCAGCGGCTATCAAGGTTCCCTCTCCACAGCAGCGCACACGCCGATCTCCACTTTCCCCAAAGTCGGGCCTGTCCCGAACTTTCCCATCACCTGAGTACGATGACCTTACGGGTGATGACACCACGCTTGCAAATCGACAGCGAACCTGTATACTGGCCTTGGCTACACGGTTCTTCCCATTGACTCTCAGACCACTCTCGAAGAAAGCACGTTGAGCATTATCACACTCAAGACAGAGCGATCTTTGCCCTCTGGATGCCAAGCCCAACCCAGCCGCTCCAACCGACGTCATCACCCCATCTTGCTGAGGGTCCCACAGGGCGGTGAGACCCCTATCATCGCATGTTGCAGAGCCCCCATCAGGCCAGTTCAGACCGAATAAGAACAAGAGATTTGGGCTCATATAGGCGAATTCGATGTCGCGATGAAAAGCTGGAATTCAATAGGTAAAATAGCAAGGTTCATTTTTCCTCCTTTTTTTTTCTTTCAAAAATACACCCACTTCAGGACCTGGAATAACGCGAACGAGTCAAAAGAAGTGCTCCATGAAGTCAAACCGGCTCAACAGTTGGGCACTGCAGGCTTGATCTTGCAATTCAGAATGGGATGATAGAAATTCTCAATGCTAAGTTTTCTTTTTTTTGTTTATCCATTTAGGCAACCAGCATAACAGTAGTTGTTAGCATTATACGATCAGCTACAATCAGTACTGATCATAAAATATGGACCAAGAGCCACCAATCCAAATGATATTCCTTGGGTACTACTAAGCATTCGGCAAAAGAGACTCCCTCCAGTTTCTAGTTCACTGGTTCATCTGGCCATCAGAGTTTTCGGGAACAGATGCTCGTTGTCCACAAGCTTAGCTGAAAAATCGAGACAAAGTAGTGATCCTAGAACATTTCACAACATAACTAAGGTAAAATCAAAGGTTGGGACTATATTTGCTTGGGTGCCAGGCCTTATCGTTCGCGAATATCAAAAAGACCGGAGCCCTTCACTCAGCATCCAGCTTCATGAAGCTTAGGCGCTGGATAATGGGTTGTTTTATAAATTTCTGTCTAGGTATTAGTGCCACAGTGCCTCAACTTGCAGTTGTTGAGGACGATGGTCTGGTTTTACATGTCAAGATGTTGGGAGCCCACGATGCTCTGCTTAATGTCTAAACAGGCAGGCTGCCCAGTTGACTTTATCTGCCGGTGCTCTTTTCAACACGCACGTGAGTATCAGATCTTTTGGCAGAAACGGGGGTTCTTTGAAAAGTATTCTGTAGACGTCGTAGCATCCACTAGTATGTAAATGGAACCGTTATTCCTCAGATGCAGTAACAGCACGTACAGATTACTAAATTTTTGCCAATCACACAAAGCTTGATAATGTTTGAGTGAGAATCGTTGGAGTTTGCGAGCCGGGAGGCCCCGCCTCCGCTTTGCCAAGTCTTGGCACAAAGACTTGGCAGGGGCTGGTTGGAGTGCACGAACCACAGAGCATGTTTAAGCTTCAACTCCTTCCCCACACAAAGAGCATGGCAACTGTCCACCTACCAAAATCACAAAGTTGCGACGACCAAGCCGATGATCCGACAAAAGACAAGGCCGCCTTGATTGTTTGCAGCCGAGATTCCAAAACGGCCGCTTTCATCATGCTTATGAGCACTTACAAGGCTGTCATCATGTCATCTGATGAGGTCGAGTGAGCTTGTCTTTTGGCCTACGGCGTCTTTCACTTTGTCCTCTTCTTCTTCGCCATGTGATGCCTTTTCTACGGACGGAGGATCCCGAGTTCCTACATGCGTATCCTACAATACCCCACGTCAATGAAACGCAACGTCCGCATCTTGGCTAGGAAAATTACTATGGATAATTAGCGACACCTGCAAACTTTTCAAAACCTCTTCACTCGGTCCAGCTAAGATCTGGAGTGGTATTGGGCTCCGCCCTGGATGTCCTCCGTGATAGTACTGATGTCAGCACATTTTCCAAATGGGATGACAAGAGCAACAAGCTCTTCGCCCGAACACAGAACCACAACGTCGGAATTGTCTGGAAAATGAAGATCAGATGCTTTCAGGCATCGGATTGCAGAGTGCCTCTTTTTTTCTTTCTTTCTTTCTTTCTTTCTTTTTTTCTTTTCTCTCCTCCTCATAGGCCGTGTCGCGAGGGGTGACTTTGGCGCGAGGGTGGTAGTCTGTGCTGCATGTAACACTCCGAGTTTCAAGTGAAACACCCAAAGCTCGCCTGCACCACCAGCCTTGCGAACCCTCCAATCGCTTCATCGGCGTCATCACCGCATGAACCAGAGACAGTGGAAGGCTTGTTTGAGCAAACGCTGTACTATTCCCTGTTGAGCAGTCAACGACCACGGGACAAATACATCACACAGCAAGACGCCGTGGGGGGCCTCTAGGGGGAGCTTGGGTATTAGCGTCATTTCTCCGTGGCAAATCTTGCCTCCGGCTTCCGGGCGGCAACCCGGTCTGAGATCCTGAGAACAGACGGATCCTCCCTCGCGCCCATCTTCATCCCTCACTGGCCACTCAGCTGCCGGTCCTACCCTGAAGTTTATTGGCCCCTTGTTTCTCCCCCACACGACACTTCTTCCGTCCTTCGTTTGCGAGCCGAGACGGCCGGGCAAGTCGCGTGACGGCTCCTCCTCTGTCTCTCTCTCCCTTTGCTCTGCCTCTACACACCAATTTTCTCATCACCACTCTCGCTGTCTACTGTTTGGTGGGCAGGTCACCGCGTGGCCCGGGATCGTGTCACTGCCATGTTGTCCTAGTCTTGATATCTTGATTGTGTTCATTTCGTAATCGCCCCATTGATTGGGCCGTTCTCTTCGATTCTGACCGTCCATTATTTTTGAGTCCATAATGGCGGTTGAGGGCGCGACGCAGGCCCTCGTCGCCGCCTTCTTTTTGTAAGTTGTTCCCCCCTAGAGCTGACAGCTTGACCAGGTTTTGCTGACCTTCCCCAGTGGTATTGTCTTAAACGCGGCATCCGCGGCTTTCGTTCTTTACATCAAGGGCCACGATGGCTCCGTCTTTCGGGACAGCCAGAGGCTGGTCCTCGTCTTATTCCTTTGCAGCGCAGCCCTGTGGGCTTTAGTCGACTTTGTTTCCATCCTTCTGAACAACACCACCTCAACGACACCATGCCAGATCGGCGTCATCTTTTCCACCGTCTTCGACCAGCTCGCGAGATTCTCCCTCGAACAATTCCTTTTGTGGGCCATGAATAGTAATTCTAATGGCGCCAAGCTCCCCGTGACCCAGCTGCTCCCACAAGCCGCAGTCGCCCTCAGATTCATCGCCGGCGCTGTCTTCACCGGCTTTACCCGTCCCCAGGTTGACACGTTTTGCGTCGCTACGACGGCTATTACGCCCCTCGGAATCGCCGTTGCCGGGCTCGATGGAGCTATTATTGTGCTCCTCGTCGTTCGCGCTTATTCCCCGGGTGGACTGGCTAGGGAAAACCGGACCGGCAAGGAGGCCGAGGCAGAGCGTGCAAGGGGTGTCATGTCCATCCTGTTGGGGTTGACCGTATGGACAGGGGTAGGTTACGTCTGGTTGTGAGTGTCGAAGGCAAGTGCTGACAGCTTGTAGACAAGTGTTCCGTTGTTAGTTGGACTTGAGAGCATCGCCTTGGCTGTAAGGACGGCTCTTCCTGCCGCAGGCCTTTACATGGTGATCCGTAAGTCCTCGTGTCTCTTGACTCTCTAACCCCGCCAGCTGACATCATCAGTGCTTGTGACTTCCAGGGCTGGTACCCTATTTCCGGCGAGGTCTCAGTCAAGGCCACCCGAGGCACCTTCTCCCCGTCGGTTCAACATCACTCGGGATATCGCGACCTCGCACTCGGATTATCCTCCTAGTCGCTATGAGGATCTCAAGGAGGCTGCCATTCGGTCTTCTACGACATTTATTAACCCGAGGGAGGCGCCTGTGGCCAAGGAGGAGACCAGCATTCCGCCGCGTCCAGCTGCGCTCGCAGCCACGCGCAACGCTGAGCCGCCAACACCTCAGAGAAAGAAGGCATTGTTTGGTGGTGGGAAGACGAACACGAAACTGACAATCAGCCGCCCGATCATGCAAGAAGATGCGTCTCAGAATCTGATGAACAGGATACCCGTCATGGATCTCAAGGACGCAGCTGTTGCGGAGAAGGAACGGAGGGAGCGGCGAGGAGATCTGGGCCTCGGGATTGTTCCTTCGAAGACCCCGACGAGTGCAATGTCTCCAGAGGAAGGGGTTCAGCGGGCCACCAGCATCAAGAGGAAGCAGGTTGGCTCTCCTCCGTCGCGCCAGAGCATGTTTCCTGGAGCTCTGCGTCCTGAAGATGTCGGCACTGCCATGACCACGTCGGCACAGCGGTCGCCCGGCGGAGAAGAAGCTCGTCGCAGGTCGCCCAGGCTCTCTTCTGATGATGAGCAGCGGTCGATCACAACTTTCACTGTGGATACGAATCGCCTCACCATCGCCCAAACGGCCGTTTTTACTAAGCCCGACATCCGGCCGTCGAGAACGCTGCCACCTTCTCCTCCGCCAGCGCCGCAGGAGCCAGCAAAGACCCCTCTTCAGCGGAGGCCGACTATTGGGCTACCACAGAACCCGAGGGCACGCGGAGTGCAGGTTCCTCAGGAGTCCGGATCACGGACCAAGACGATCTTGTTCGTGAATAATATTGAGTATAATGATCCGATGGTCGTCCAGTCCATTATCAAGGACGTGAGCCAAAAGGCCCCTAAGGCTCCCCCTGCTTCAGCCCCCGTGCCCGCGCCGGCACCAGCTACGGCTCCGATTACTTCGACTGCTTATAACACGAAGCCTGCCAAAGCAAACCCGATTCCTCCGACGCCCGGCACCTCCGATTCCATCATTAACAGACCGCGTCCCATTCCTCGGAAGAAGGACGTGGATTCCCCAGCCAAGTTTAGCCCTCGCCAGAGCCATAGACGGAGCAAGTCGGCTGGCGCGTTGGTAGCTAGGTCGATTCTTTCATCATCAACTCCAGGGAGTCCAAGTCAACTGCCCCCTCTCCCGCCGCTTCCTCCGAGCACTGTTGTCCCTCCTAGACCGCATCCCAACGACACCAGGAGCATGACGGTCGAAGAGAAGATCACACTGCTCTTCCCAAGCCCTCCGAGCGGCAAGGTAACGAGGAGAAGATCATCTTCAGTTCCCGAAGTCCCATCGATTCCCAAGTCGCCCATCGACATCCCTTCGCCTGTTGATTCCGAACGTCGGACAACGAAAACGTCAGTACGGACGGAGAGCGTCCTGGAGGTTGACGAAATTCCTCGCAAGTCCGCGACGACTCTCCTGAAGACGGCTGGCGAGGCTGCGGCCTCCTCATGGCTCGAGGCCTTCGACGCGAAGGAGAAACCAGCCATTCCCAAGTCTACCGCTGCTCAAGATGGCGGGAAACGCAAATCATCGCCAGTCTTACCAGGCACTACGCTTCCTCCACGTGTTTCGGCGTGGACAACGACGACAGTGATGACAGAGGATGATGCGACAACTAATTGGAGCGCAGTGCAGTCTCCGGAATTTGCCGTCGGGGTTCCGGTCATCAAAAATATCGGACCCCCTGCCGGGCTCCGGGGATCCGATGGCGGGGCCGTCGCGGCAGAAGATGACGCCCGTAGGAGCGAAACCCTCCCAATCATGCTTGACGCCTCGACTGTTCCCGTGGAAGATATCAAGGGCGAAGAGGGAGAGCAGCCGGCACCGCAAAGTCAGGCGCGCAAGTCGCCAGAGCAAGCGCAATATCAACCAGCCCGTTGGCATCGGCGTGTCGGTGACGAGTGTCCCACTTTCTCGACCCGCAAGGAGAACCGACGGTCTAGGAAGCTGTCTCCGCCCCCTCCTCTGACACTAAAGGCTACCACAACAGCTAGACACAAGATTACCATCCAAGTCGAGCCATCTCCGCCGTCGCCGGTTGAGTCCCCCGAAAAGGCGATCCAAGAATTGCGCGAGAGACTCAGGAAGCTCGAAGAATTTGATCGCAATTCTCCGGGAAGCGCAGCTCGGCGTCTCGCGTTGCTCGAGTCGTTGGAGAAGGAGGTAGGAGAGCAGGTTGAGCACCTGGAGGAGATCAGGCACGATGTCGAGCGTGATTCCATCTCGAGTATCAGCACGACGAGCATTTCGGCAACAGCTAGCCAAAGGAGCTCGCTCCGCGATTCGCTCGCGCTGCAATCATCCTCGCGTAGAGCGTCGCGGTTGTCGCGTGTCATGAGGCTCAGGGAAGAGGACCGGATGGAGCGCTCGTCCAACCGCGACTCGGGCAGCCCGCAGATGAGCAGGTGGCAGAAGCGGCTTACCGAGGTGCAGATGGAGTACATGGATGTGCAGCTACTCCGGACGAGCACCGTCAGCTTCTTGCAGGTTGCCCGTGCTCAGCTTACCAGCCCTACGCCCCCTGACTCCGACTCCGACCAGGGTGAGCCCGAGCCGGTGCCTCCTATCCCGGACAAGTTCAAGCAGAGCGCGGAACATCTTCAAAAGGAGGAGCCGAAGAAGGCCGCTTTATTGTGGACGCCACCGGTCAAGGAGTCTGAGCGTCCCCTGGGACTTCTCTGGACGCCCCCTGCTCGCAAGAGCGCCCCTGCCGAAGATGTTACGCTTCCGGGTCTCACTCTCCGCCCGGCGCTCAGGAAGGACTTCGAACCTCTTCGCATCGAAAGCTCCCAACTCTGGCACAAGCCTTGCCAGATTCCTTCCCGACCCTCCTCTGGCCTCTGGCGGCCGATTTGGGCTTCCGCTGCGCCGCCCGCCGAGCCCGTACGCTCGATCAAGTCATCGCCGCAAACAACTACTCAGGAACAGCAACCACAACAGCAGGAGCAGAAGCAAGATCCGCCGAAGCAGCAGCAGAAGCCCCGGCCGTCGACTCTACGGCCGCCACGCCGTACCAAGCGTATCACTATGTTGCCCGACATCCTCGAGAGCCCTGAGCCGTTGCCCGACCGTCGCGATACTCTGGGTATCTTCCAGTTCCCATGGGGCGAGCGTTCCGATACTGCAACGCTGCCGCCCCGGCCCGTGGCTGGTATGAGCATGGGATTCACGGCTATGCCTGGTACAATGACGACTGGTGGCCTGGGTATGGCGCCGGCTACGCATATGCAGATGCAGATGCAGATGCAGATGCAGATGCAGATGCAGGCTGCGTCGACGGGCTTCACTGCCCCCCCGGCTCCTGCGGTTTCCGCCATTGAGCAGTACGGTGAGTCGTTCTTCGACGATTACGATGATGACGCCTTCCTGGACGAGATGCCATCCAATTCGGAGGATGAGGATGACGACAGCGCTGAATTTGACGACTCGACTCTGTGGGAGATTGCCAACCTGCTCAGAACGGACGCTGTGCCGTCGCGCGATAGCCTCTTCCCCCTTGCCGGAGTCCACAGCTTTTGGCGACGCAGAGCAGGGCGAGGAGAGCGAGGAAGAGAATTCTCCCCGTGCCCAATCGATCCTCATCGGTCTGGATGAAGCTCCGCAGGCGCTTTCGCTCCCAGAACCGCCATCGAACCGTACCTCCAGCGCGACTGTCACAGTGATGATGGTCGAGGAGAGTACACCCAGCGATCCGAAGCAGCCTGTTCGCAGACCCAGCATCATCGGGTTGCCAGTGAATCCAAAAGCGAACCTGCAAGCTGTCCAGGCGCAGAGCCTACCAACTTCCGAGTCCCAAGCTCAGTTTACCAGCAGCGCCCCTGAACCTGCAGCCCTGACCGTTAGCGCGGGACAAGGATCTGCTGGGTTGTGGGTCCCACCAGAGGAGAAATTCAAGAAAGTCTCTTCTCAGGGCCATCAAGGTCTCTTCGTGCCTCCGTCCCCCGGCTCCAAGGATAAATCCAAGCCTGTCGTCGTCGACGCTGAACCTGCCGCCAAGAACGTCGTCGTCATCCGCAAGCCTCGCTCGGTCGTTGCTGACTTGACGCCGTTGGAATCGAGCAGCCTCTGGACGCCGTGTGTTAGTGAGAAGAAGGTCGAGCGCAACTGGATCGTTTTTAGCACTCGTACTTCTTCTTCGTCGTCTCCTTCCCTTGGCCTGGTTGGTTTGTGGTCTCCGCCGAAGAAAGTTAAGGAGACTGCTTCTGTGACTGGGCTCTTCGTGCCAGGCTCGGTGCTCTTCCGTGGTACCGATCAGGAGCCTATTGCAAAGGATCTTGCGCGCAAAGTCCGCCCAGTTGAGGACAGGCCGTTGGATAGGCTCACGTCAACAAGCCTGTGGTCGCCGACTGCTGTCGTCAAGAAGGTTGAACACGACTGGATCTCAGAGCTTCCGAGGGGGCTTCCTGGTCTTTGGTTGACTCCGAGCAAAGTGAAGGAAGTCAAGTCCGCCAACGGGTTGTTTGTTCCTGGCTCCGTTAAGCATCGCGGCACTGCTGCCGAGCCGATTGCAAAGGAAACTCCGCGGAAGCCACGAGCCGTGGACACCAAGCCCTTGGAGAAGATTACTTCGGCGAATCTCTGGACCCCTAAGCAAACTTCTAAAGACATCGTCGGCAAGAACTGGATCTTCCATTCAACTACGCGCCGTTTCCGGCGTCCGCTTGCCACAGACGCGGACTGGACTGCAGCTCTGAACGAAGCTCTCAAGGCCAGCTATCCCCAGAAGAAGCTCAGGAGAACCGTTGCGAATCCAGCTCAGTGGCAGGCTGCTCTACAGGAGGCTCTTTCGCTCTCGTACCCCCAGAAGCAAACCGAGCCTTTCGACGCAGCCACCCGTCATCCCGTTTTCGCCGCGCGCTCACTGGTCACCCGTTCGCCTTGGTTCCATCCGGCTGCCACGGGCTATACATACGACGTAGCCGCTGTGCATCCCGTGTTCTTCGGCTCTCTGGATATCAGCTCCGTCCAGCTTGTGAACGAGGACGAGGAACTGAGCGTAGAGGCCGTGCACCCTGCTATCGCTTCTTACGCAGCTAGGAAGATCAGGAGACAGAGGAGGCGGGAGAGGAAGGAACTGAGTAGGAGTCGGTCGCGTAGTGGTAGTGGAAGCAGCAGCGAAAAGGAGAGCAGCAAGAGCAAGCATAAGAAGGAGAGAAGCACGACAGAGACCGTTGTCCTCCCCCCTGTTTCGGCCGACATCCAAGCTCGCATCGAGGCTCTTGAGCAGGAGCGACAATTTATCGAACGGGCCGCGCGTGAAGAGTACCGCCGGCGCACTTCCATGATGTCGCAGACCGCTGTTCAAGCTCCTCTCCCCGTCGTGGAAGCCGTTCCCTCACCATCATTCTCTCCTGCCGGAACAACATCCGTTATCCCTGCAGCCACAGAAGCCGTCGAGGCGCTGCAGCGCCGCCTGAGCCTGCACATCCGGCAATCCCTTGCCTTCGCTAAGCCGACCAAGGTTGAGGTAGCAAAGCCCGCCAAAGTCGAGATCATTAAGTCCAGGTCCAAGGCCAGGGAGCCAGTGAAGCTTCAGGAAAAGAAGCCAACTCAGCCCGCTCAGCTCTGGACCCCTCCCAAGCCTACCACTGCCGCACTTCCTAAGACTTCTACCACAACACCAACAGCCGGTCTCTGGTCCCCTAACGCAGACCACAGCCCGTCTGTGGCATTTCCGTCCGAAGAGGAAGACGCCTTCGCGAAGCAGTCGCGCGCGCACAGGCGCAAGCTGCTCCAAAAACGCCAGCGCCGCGTCGAGATTCTTGCCCAGATTGCTGCGATCGAGCAGGGCGTCAACCCGTTCGTAGAGAACTCGGATGAGTGGCGGATGCAGGGGTTGTGGACGAATGGGTTTGGCGGTGCTGTGAGGGAGAAGGAGAGGGGTTGGGGCAGGGAGTGGATCTTAATGGGGGGCAAAAAGGCTAGGGGGGTTGTGCTCAGGTATTGAAGTTAGATGAGGTGTATATTTTCTACGTCTGGATTAGGTTTGGAGTTGCCGTGATGGTTGAGTACACTTTTGAATACCTATATATATATATATATATATATATATATCTGCGTCGTATATCTTGGAAACAGGACAAATATAACTAAAGTGTGCGAGATGGTAATTATCGATCCCTCTTGCTTGAAGCCACAAGTGAAGTTGTTCAATATGTGAATAGAGATCGGAGGACCCATGAATCATGTTCTTTTTTTTTAAAAAAAAAGAAAGAAAAGAAAAATCGAGTCTTGATGCAGAATATTCATCACAAACTCGGGATAAAGGTTGGCATAACTACTTACAGAGAACAAGAACTCTTGGTATTCATCCGGTGCATTGCTGCCTGAGTTTCCTTCCTATGAATGTTTTCTCCCTAGCCAAGTTGCGAGCAAATATTATTTCTCCCGGCTACAAACTCTCGAACAAAACTATCCCAACAACCTTTTTCCTCACTCCTAACCTTCCTATCCTTCGATTCCCCTAAGGGCACAAGCGTGCGACTGTAGCGAGCTCTCATAACGTTCTTCAACATCTTGCCTACTCATACTATACAGTTTCCTGAAGGCCACAAGTGCGGCACTCACCCAAGTTTCCAAGCATTTTGCGATAACTTCTGCCTACTTACCCCACGCGATTGTCCTGAAGGGCACAAGTGTGTCGCTCTCACGGACTCTCAAACATTGGCAACGGCATCTACAAACGACACAATTCTCCTGAACGTCAGCAGCGTGCTGAATTCTCCCTACATTGCATTGTTATCAGGCCGGTCAGTACCTTGGCAGAAGCTCGTTCACCAGCTTACACTCGGACCACAGTTCCACCTTCAATCTCATCTCGTGGGCAAGCGAGAAGACGCGGCGAAAATGCCCAATAACTTGGCCGTTCCCAACACTCCCCGCGGCCAGTCGGGGTCTCTCTCCCCCAGTTCTCCTGATCAAACATCCTCATTCCAGCATCCCAATACGTCCGATACAAACAGTGAGCAAACTGCCATCCATGACCGCGATACCATACCTGGCGGACCGGCCAGCACCAAGCCCAAAGGGGCCATCGACAACCTAATCGATGACCTATATGACTGGCTCGAGGTACTCCCTCGCATCTGCGATGGCAACCTCCCGGCAAAGTTTGTCGTCACCCTCCTGCTGCAGAGTTACCTGAATGACAGGCTGAGGCCGAACATCACCTGGCTGATGGCCTCCGCCGACTTGCTGTCCCTGCTGTGCGAGTACTGCCTGTGTGGGCTGCTCCACCGGGGGTTCAGCGACGCGGAAGTCCGTGCCGGGCGTTGTGTCTGTGAGAAGTACAGGAACGTTTGGACTTTCAAGTTCTGCGTCCGAGTTAGGAGGGTGGAAGAAGGGGCGGATGGACGCTTGCAGTTCATACGGGGACCGCTGGTTCCTCAGGGGAGTGCTTGAGGTGCGAGTGCATCTCATACAAAAGATACCTAGAAGGGGGGAGGGGAGGGAGGGAGGGGGGGGGGGGAACACTGGATGACATGAGGATGTCACCATTGGCAGGCTTGGGAGGAAACGTTGATCAGGGGTACATAGAATGGAATCAACTACCACAACCGTAACCCAAGAGTTACCTTTTCATGCCACGCCAATATATGCATTACAGAACTTAACACCCATCTAACCATTCCTTTTTCGCTTTATTTTTTCCTCCTCACCTTGAATGTCTTCAACGGGTCCTTACCCGTCTTGAATGTTCGCCCTTTAGGCCTGCCCTTTCTCCTCCTCCTGTCCTTGCCATCCAACTTCTTGAACGGCACAAAGCCGATTTGCTGCTCTGTCAACGCCTTCTTGCCTTCCTTAGGCAACAGGTAGTCTGGGACATGCTTGAGGTGAGCTTGATGCCTCATGCCTTTACCGAGCTCACCGTCATGGCGCAGATGTTGCAGCTCGGTTGGGTTCTCTTCGAAATACCTGATGAGAAGAGTTAGTGTGAAGTCAGAAACACATATTGAAGATTCAGAAACATACCTCTTCAGAGCCTCGCTCCGAAGAAGCTCCTGTCGCAGTTCACGAGTCCGGGCCTCACGGATCGCCGCCCTGGTGACAGCACGGAGCGCTTTACAACGTTAGCACCATCATCAAAACGAACATTCAGGTTAGAGAAACATACCATCAGTCATACGATACCGGAACGCCTCCATCTGCTGCTTGTTGAAGTTGTATGGCTCCAGCTTCCGCCCAAGCTTGGCCTGTTGGCGAATGATCTTAGCCAGCACCTTTTCATCCTTCTCGCAACTTTTGACCATCGTCGGCTTGTGTTTGCCGAACTGGTCCTTAGGGATGACGAAAGAGAGGGCAATACCGGCGCGGCCGGCGCGTGCTGTGCGTCCGATACGGTGTGTGTAAGAGGAAGCGGAGGTCGGCATGTCGAAGTTGATGACTGCAGCTACGTTCTTGAAGTCGATACCTGGGAATAGTCAGCACATTGTCGGATGCTGCAGGACGTGGTAAAAATCCGGTAGGTCCGTACCTCTCGACACTCCGTACTCCTCATCCTTTTGATACTTCCTCTTCTTCTTCGACTTCTGATTCTCTTGTCCGTCCTTGGACTTTGAATTCTTCTCCTTCTCTTCTTCACCTTCCTCTGCAGCTTCCTCCCCAAAGGCCTCGGGCCTTTCATCGGAGGCAATGATGATGTCATAAATGCCCTGAAGAGATTAGCATTCCAGTGCAGACAGACGGAGTATAGATGTACAGATACTCACCTTGTTGAATTCCTCAATGATCTTGATGCGGGTATTGATAGGTAACTCGGAGTTAAGGACGCAACTCCTGATGCTGAACTGTTCGAAGAATAGCTGCGCAATGTTAGCACATGGTTGATTTACGGCCAAAATTATCAATTTCTCACCTTCAGCCGGTATGACCGATCGATATCGGCGACAAAGATCAAACATGGCCCCTTGATGAGCTGGAGCTTGAAGATAAGATATGCGATTAGCCACTTGTCCTCCTCGCCACACCTGAGACTGTTAGCTCTCATCCCGCTGAAAGAAGTAAACTAGCGCAACGTACTTGACGTAGAACTGAGTAAGCTTCTCGTCCTCGGCGCCAAACTCCTCTTTCAGGTCCAGGATTGTCGGGTTTCTACAGAAGATCTCCTTAAGCGCGTCCAGTTCGGGTGAGAGCGTCGCGCTCATCATGATAGTCTGAACGCCCTTCGGCAGCGACCGCGAGAGGTTCTCCATATCCTCGTCATAGCCGTACGATAACACCAGGTCGGCCTCATCTAGAACGAGGAACTGCAGCTTGGCCAGCGACAGGGCCGACGAATTGACGCTATGCCAGGCGCGCGCTGGGGTTGAGACAACAACATCCGGGACATTGGCAAGAAGGGACCGCTGCACGGCGTCGGAAACGTTCTCGGTCAGCTTGGCGGCATGGATGTCCTTGGCGCAGAAGGCGGAAAACTCTTCGACGGCCTTGAAGACCTGGTCGGCAAGCTCACGAGTCGGCACAAGGATCAAACCGGCGGTAAAAGGAGTCGGATCGGTCTATATCAAGACAGTCAGCTTCCTCCCCCCACCCCCCTTCCGTGTGTACGACGGGACGAATGGTAGCACATACGGCCTTGCGCTTCAAAATGCTGGTGAGGATGGGCAAAAGATAAGCAGCCGTCTTTCCGGAGCCAGTCTTGGCCTTGCAGAGCACATCCTGTCCCTTCAATGCCAGCGGAATGGCCTTGCGCTGCACAAGAGTTGGCTTCTCGAAGTTCTGCTTGGCGACGGCCTGCACCAGGCGCGGGTCGAGGCCGAGCTCTGAAAACGACGGTTCAGGCTCGGGTTGTTGTTTTTGCTGCTCATCCGGCTTGCTGGGCTGGGTCTTCTTGGGCTCGGGGCCCTCCTCAGGCTCGTCGTTCTTGTCCAGTTTTCGCTTCATGATATCGGCGATGTCTATATGTCTAGAAAGGCTCGGGCGGTGCGAAGTGGGAGATGGGACCCAGCAACCAAGTCGCCCATGCTGTCGCGCCAATGGTCGAAAAAATTTGGGATCCTGGAAACATGAAGCCTGCGATAAGATAAGAAATCCCTTGCGTGACCCACTAAGACCCCGCCAGACCCACGAGCTTATTTCGAGCCCCCCGCTTATCACCTGGACGTCATGGCTTAGAAAGAGACTCGAAATAAAACGAAGGATATGAAAGACTGTTCTATGAGCCAGCGATTCATTCCCTTCATTTTAATCTCAATAACTGCTGCCCAAGATTAGGATTCCCGCTCATGTCAAGATACATCCATGCATGTTATAGTGTCTATATCCAGATTTATAGGTTAGACAATTCTAATCTTCACCTTTCGCTTCTGAGAGCTTCCCTCCACATCAAGCCCCGATCTTGTTGCCCGGGTGCTCCACGAAGATCAAAAAGCCCAATACGCACAAGATTATTCGACCCTGATCTTCGCATGAATATGAGCGCCGCAGCAGTAAATATTGCGTCTCGGTCAGAAAGGGATACAATAGTAGCCAGTCAGAAAGGACTGTCTGGCTTCTCGTGGATCAGCTGGGCCGTCTGGCCATACATGTCCTGTCTTTTCTCTGAGCTGAATTACTCGCTAAATGTATCCTATTTGATAGGAGTTGAACAACACTCCAATTCCATGAAGCCATATGCAACAAGACCTGTGGTAGAAGGCCCAAGCAATGTGCAGCTGACATCTAACGCTGTAGCGTGGTGGGTTACGACGCGATCTTCATCGACTTCCCACTCTTTCACCTCTCGGAGTAGCTAGAGTCAGTTGACGGCTCCAATAACAGTCGCCCAAGATCAGGTCGGAGAGGACCGTAACCCGGGATGACACGTTTCCTTAGATGATTCCGGTACCGACACATGTCTTGGAGTGATGTCTCTCTCCAGAGGCGATCGTTGTAGTGCTACCCCGTCTTCCTCTGTGTCACATCCGCTACACCCGGAAAAGCGGGGAGTCTGTGAAATCATAGGTGAGTTCTAGCGTGAAATAGTGTCGGACTATCTGTCGCCACAGTATCGATTCCACAGGCGGATCACCCCCGAGGTTTTGGGTCGAACGGTCAGATACAGTCTCACGGGGAGCTGAACTTTGGTCCCCGTAAAGTGGTTTAAAACAAGATCTGCTTCATCTTAGACTGGTCTCCGTTGAGGTGTGAATCAAAGAGCTCCCCCAATTCACAGGTATGATCCTCTCGACATTCCCATAATAACTCCCTGCTCTCCGAAATGAAGAACAACGGGGCGACAAAATATGTTCCTGGTAGGTCCATCCTCGCATAAATAGGGGAAAATGGCGCCTCTGCATACTGAACGCTTTTAGGTCCTCTTCAGGGAAATGATCCACTCGTTGGAATTTCACGCCATTCACTTCTGCTATGACGTTGGGATTAGGGACACCAACACCATCCGTGCCTGCTTGCTTGCGTTTGACAAGTTGTGTGGTTTACTGACTGTATGTTTTCAACGAAAAATATCTTTATGAGGAGAAAGACGTCCACATTTCTGCAGTGGTCAATAAAGAATAGTGATAGTAGTCGGCCATGCGAGCGGATTCCTGCTTCCAGTCGGCATTTCCCTCGTCATCTTGTATGATGCACAGAGAATCAATCCAAAGGTAACACACACCGAGGGAATGAGTTATGGCGATGACGTTCAGAAATGTTTCTGGTAGCTGACTTCGGCTAATGGCCCTCAAGTGCTGGAGGAAGTTGCTTCGAAGAGTCTTCATGGGTTTATTGCCTGCATCCGAAGTTATCCTCTCACGAGTAAACCTATGGGGTTTCAATCGACTGTTTGGTTGGTTGACCACAAAGATACAAATGAACTGACTAGATGTGTGTAGATTCTCTGTGAGAGAAAATCTTGAGAAATGAGTCGTGATGTCGTGGGAGATGACTGGTATGGAAATATGAGGATACCTAGCACATGAATAGAGCTAACTTTTAGAACGATTCATGATTTCGGTCTTTTAATATGTCCTTTTGTCCCGCAGCTGCCACCTTGCGATCGGCCCGTAAGTTTAAACATGTCATCGTATCTCAGTTGCATATCTAATTCAGGGCCATTACGTCCTTTGCCGAAATTAGATCCCGACATGCTTTATCATATATCTATCACGTTTGGGTTGTCTTGAAGGATTTTGACTCAAATTACTCCCATTTTCTACTTGTATCCGGGTAGGTCCTTAGGAATACTACCATGATCTTTGCCGAGAAATTGGCAACCAACAACATAAGATAAAATATCCTTCTCCACGCATCAGCTATGGCCAGCATCGTCAAAAGCGTCTCGAGCCATTAACGTTATTTTCATCAGCATAGTCACCGATCCAGGCTATTGGGTTTTCCTTTCCGCACTCGTTAGCCCTCACTGGCCCTAATCCTATATGGTTAGAGATATCGCGGAGTCTCTCAAATTGAGGAGGACCTGGACTGCTCCCGATTGGGACGAAAAAGCTACGAGTCATGTATTCACTTCAACGGGCCGGGTTGCCGTCTCGAGAGGAATAATTGGAACGTTATCTTTTATGAGTGACGCGAATAGTTGTTGGCAGATAAAGATGTTTATCCTTCCCAAAAGACAAACAGTAATATCTTGGAGCCGCCTTGATTCTTGGCCGTCCATCTTTGAAATCTTGTTCCAGGATTCCAATGCATGGTTGGACAATCTGGGAAGACTTAGGTCAGTGAGTTGCGCATTATCTAGAGCCTTCTGTTAGGGTAAGTGCTGACTATCTGTTCAGGGATGCTGCGTCTGAGGTAAACCAGCCGGTAGAAGAAAATCGGCGAAGTTAGTCTCTTACCGGATCAATCGTTCATGTATCTCGTCTAGCGATCACCATATCACTCCAAGGAGTACCAGAGATCAGTAGTTGTGATGCTTCGGTTTACCAACGAGGAGAGGGAACTTGATACCACAGACTACAGACTACAGCTCACGAAACACAACTCAACCCTTCTATCAGGGATCAGAATATGGGCAAGCTACAGCAGAAAAGAGATCACTGTATGTTGGTTGAACCTCAACTCGAGGGAAAGGGGGGGGGGGGAGAACATGGCTACTAATCACTTTCGCATCCATCCTAGCGGCCTGGTTAGTGACCTCATGGTGTATGTTTCCCGTCTCTGACAAAGGCCCAGCTGTTGGAAACTTGTTGTAGGTTGCCTGTGTCTTGACATTGGTACCAAGGCTTGTATCAACATGGAAATTATCGGTGCATTTATCAAGTCGGTCTTGAAATAAGACCAAGTTTAGTTGTTGCAAGCTCACTAGGGCTCCTGGGGAGCGCTCTTTGAACATAGGAAGAAGCTGGCTCACCTCATCCATGATTATCCAAGTGAAGTGTGACACACGTTACGATTGAAACCCAAAAACTCTGTATCGAAGATCTTAATTAATTTTCGAGTGCCACCCACTGCAGAGGTATCACTATATGGGTTGATTGCCAGACTAATGCTATAATCATTACCTAGGTAACACTCAAAGCTTGAGCCACACAGGTTAACAGAACCAAGTCTAGATGAGACACAACATTAAGAAACCTAGTTCAACAAGAGAGGGTAGTAGTCACATGATTGCATCATGACGATGAGCACCCTACTTAAAGGGAAACCTCATCATTCTTCAAGCGACAGAAGAACTTCCTTCCAGGACACCGATTCGCTCTCGACCGGCTCCCTCTCACACAACCTTCTCCCCCCCCCCCTTCCCTCCCCTCCCCTCCTCCCCCTTCACCAACTCCTCTCCAAACCCCAAACCCCAAATCCCCATTAAAGTACGTAGAGCCCCAGGGACCGACGCTAATGCTTTCACCAACCAAATTATCACCTGCGGACCAACCAAGCACTGACCGAACCACCAACCTCAAAATGTACACATATATACGGGGGTAACCCAAAAAAAAAAAACACATAAATGCCATGATATATGCACGCCACACAACCCAACAGATATCAACAAAAAAATTTCCCCACATTCACTCTCCCCAAACTTCTCCACAAACTATCACTACCCAATAACAACTCTCGCACCCTCCTTCCCCAACACACCTCTCTCCTTAGGTTTAGGACTGTTTCCCCTCCCCTTCTTACCCCTAAAGAACCCAAACACGCCACCACCACCACCTTCATGCTTCCCACCAGCACCACCGCCCAGATCGCCCAGCCCACCGCTTGCGTCTGCCGGCAGCGTCGCGTCCTGCCTTGCGAGTTCGCTCCAGCTGCTGCCGCCATCCAGCGTGACCTGCACGCCACCCGTGGGCGAGTTGACAATCATCTGGTTCGAGCCATGACCATGCGAGGTGCCGCTGCGGGGCGTGTAGCTTGGGGGATACGGGGGGCAGCGGCGGGGGACGGCCCGGAGGGTTGGCCGACGAAGAGGGCGGGGCACCGGACGAAGCGACACGGCGCGAGCTGTGGTTGCTAAGCGGGCGATAGAGTTTACTACCGTTTATGCTCGTCGCGTCCTGGCCAAGATGATGCTGCTGATGATGAGAAGAGGTTGGGCGAACCGCGCCGTTGGGGGAAGAGGGTGTGACAGGATTCTCAGGCGCAAGGGACGGGCCCTGCTGTGTGCTCGCCTGACCGGGAACACCATCCTGCCCGCTCGTTGCCCCTGCCTCCTCCTGCTGCTGCTGCTGCTGCTGCTGCTGCTGCTGCTGGAGCCTAAGCAGGTATTGGTTAGCAGTCGTCACATCGGACCTGGCGCGGAGACGGGGCTTGGCATTGGCATACTTCTTGTATGCAGCAACGGTGTAGTCAAAGGGCCGGAAGTCAGTCTCAATCATGCGGTAGAGCTCATCCTCCCGGATCTCTTTGTCTGTCGCGTCTTCTCTCAGCTTCTCCCTCGGCTTTTGTCTCCGCGCGCGGGCCTCTAGTGGTGCTTCTTCCAGCAATAACTCCTCCAGATCGTATGTAGCGTCAAAGTTGCTCTTCTCCGGAGATGGAACAAACACCGGCTCAATCTCCTTCCTCTCCAGCGCCTCGAAATCGATGCATTGGAAGAATTCGTGCTGAATGAAGCTCTCCCATGTGGAGCCCATACGCTTGTTCGGATCCGGCTGTAGGGCTGCTTGGATGGCATACATGCAAGGCAACGAGACGGGTGGCTGCGTAACGGGGTATCGGGGTTTTGCGGCCTGAATGACGGTACTTAGGGTCGACTCCGAGTTACCTTCAAACGGCCTCTGTCCTGTGTTAGCCAACAAAACCACGAGGACTTACCGGATGGCACATACCTTGTTGTAGATGCACTCGTAGAATGTAACACCCAAAGACCACCAATCCGCACGGACGTCATAGCCATGGCCTGCATATACCTCGGGCGCCAGGTAGGCTAATGTTCCTGATTTACTAGTCAGGAGCTTCCCCGGGACGATATCGGAGGCAACATTCTAGGCTTAGGTCAGCGCCGACATACATTTTCAACAACCGCCGTCGACAAAGAGGATACATACGAAATCTGTGAGATGGACATGACCGTCGGCGTCAAGTAGCACGTTGTCTGGCTTGACATCGCGGTGAATGATGTTCTGGCTGTGGATATATCTAAGGGCACAGCCCAGCTCTGCAATCCAGAACCTGACGGCTTCTTCCGTAAATGTCTTTCTTGAGATGTGGAAGCGCAGGTCGCCGCCGCTCATGAGGTCAACAACCAGGTACATGTATTCGACGTCCTGGAAGCTGTAGCGCAAGTTGCAGATAAACGGATGGTTTACGTGTTCAAGCATCCGTCTTTCACGTATGATATTGCGCACGCTTTCAGACCGAACGACTGGTACGGTCAGCACGAGGGGGCGTATTTCGGATGACAGGGCAGGTCGCATACCTTCATCTTTGCGGATGTACTTGAGAGCAAATGCTAGACCTGTGTCTTTCCGTTCGACAATACGGACCTTGCCAAAGGCGCCACGGCCAACTACTCTAAGAAGACGGAAGTGGTTGAGGTTCACTGTGGAAGGGGGGGGGGGCGGGGGGTTGTGTGTGTCAGCCATGACACTCAGCTTGGGAGGTACATGCAAGGTATCCCACCTTCTCCGTCGAGATCGACGGGCTTGCCCTGGCTGTTGCCCATGGCCTTCCTTGGCTTCTGCTTCTCCTCCTCAACGACTAGCTTGGGCTTGGAACGACTACGGCGCAGAAAGGCCGGTATCAGGCAAACCGAACGGCCTGGCTGGGACGGTAGACAACTCGGCCTTGGTTCTCGAGCAGCACGAGACCAGGGCTGATCGACATTCGGGACGAAACGGGTGAAACGGCGCAGACGGGCCGGGTCAGGACCGTGGGTTTGTAGGCCGCTACTGGTCCCAGACTACGCGCTCGAGGGGTCGACTGCGTTCGGGGGAGCTGGTATTTGCGGCGACGACGCAGCGTCTGCAGCAGGGCCAGAGTCGAGGATCGGATGAGGGGTACAGTATGCGGGCGGGAATCCGAGATGCGACGATGTTTGGGCGCAAGGCGGGACGAATTTGCTGCTCCCAAGCGGCAGGGAAGGAGCGTGTGCAAAAAGTTACGTACTGCTGGGCTGATCCGCACCTGCACCTCGTGGCGACCCGGGGATCTGGGTTTAGGGTCGGCAGAACAAACTCGGCTGTTTTTATCGCTGCGAGCGGGCGAGAAAGGGAAGAGAAGAGAGATGGAAGCGAGGGTGGATATCAGTGGATGGCTTTGGATGGAGCGGGCTGCGGGAGGTGGATGGGGAGGATGGAGTGGGAGTGGAGTTGCTTCGGATGGCAGCGACTCCAGCGAGAGGGACGAGAGATGAGATGCAAGGACGAAGGGATCACAGGAGTGACGGATAGAGCGATGGTAGGCAGGTGTGGACTTGTAGAAGCGTGGATGGACTTCGAATGGACAAGTAGAGGAGTCCAGCAAATCCAATCAAAGATTAGGAGATGCCGGTGCTGGTGCTGGCTAGAAGTGGAGAGGTACAGAGCAGCAGGACTGACTGATGTCCTGGGAAAGGAGTCAAGGACCAGCGACGACTGGCGGCGTCCACTCCGCGTGGTCTCCTGGCCAGTGGTTTTCAGTGGCTCTTAGCTGTCTCGGCACCCAGCAGTAGCGATGGTAAAAGGCGTCCGTCGGAGTCTGACGGGCCTGGAGTCTTGGGACACCCTTGGAGTGTGCAAGGATTTGGGGCCAGTAGTAGCCCAAAAGACAGGGGCATCATGATGAAAGTGCCTGGAAAGTGGCCCAGCCAGCTCTGGAAGCCCTGAGGACCGCTGCAACGCTGGCCATGACATGGAGCATGGAGGGGTATTTGCGGATTACGGGTTGCACTCCACACCAGATCACTTGTGTGCAGTATGTAGAGATGCTACAGCTGTAGCCATGTGATGGTGGTGTTCAAACAAAGGACTCTGAGCCTGACTGAGACCACTCAAGACAAGGAGGCACAAGACAGGAAGGATATCAATATGAGTCTGCAGCCGACAATGCGTTCATCATTTCATTAATAGAATGGAAGTAATAAAGAATTTTCCTGCAGCGTGGAGGCCCTGTTCCGCCATGTGTTGGAGCTGCGTGCTGGCGTGCTGCTGATGTGCTGCTGCCCAGCCCACCTGGGCAAAGTAGTTTGTGGCCCACCCCCTCCCCCCCCCCCCAACACACCGAATCATTGGCTCGCTGCTCTGGTCCCTCGTGGTTTGCCCAGCTGTGCTCCTGGGGCGTGCCGATCCATCCACAATTCCAGTCTCTTCCCGGCCGAAATGGATTTGCAAATCGCTCGGGACCGGGATTAGCTGGCGCATGGGATTCTGCAGCTCACCGCCGCCCAGAAAGATGCGCTTGTGCTGCTGGTCCTCAGAAGGCCTTGGAAAAAAAAACGGGTCTCTTCTACCACAGGCAAGCCACGTTCGAGACAGCTTTTCAGCAACGACTGGACATGGAGACACCCCGCCCAGAAACCGAACGGGTCACGGCAGCCCGCTGGCTTGTAGAACGTCTGACCGGGCTTGCGCAGGGGCAATCAACTGCCACATGGCACACACGCGACACAGACACTGGCTGACGGCAGCGACGCTCAGGGCTTATGAAACAAAAATTGCGTGCAGACTCGAGGCTCGTCGGAGAGGAGTGTTCTCGGTCCTCTCTTCTGCTGTCTGCTCTCCGCTGTTCATTGTCTGTGCTGCACGGGAACGGCAGCCGTCCATCGCCCAACCCAGCCCTTCGGTCCGCGACGACAGTGGACTCTTGTGGGTGCACGGCCTCGTCTCTCCAATCCATGTGCTCCCTGGCCTCTCCATCCCGTTTCCGCCGGACGCAAAACGCTGCGCTCGATTGGATGCGTCGGCGGCGCTAGCGCTATCGTTCCCCAAAAACTACATAAACTACCGCAGTCTTGGGCTACGCTATATCGACGATGGGCAGCCCCATAGAGGCAGTCTCGCCGAGTTGATTACGTTGATGACGCTGCAATGATCTGATCGCACCGAGGATCACGGCCTGATCATGGCCTGGCCACGCAGAAACCCGCGATCGCGGAATGCCGCGTTTTTCTTGGCGACGGATTTCAGCAGCAAGACCCTCAAAACCCTCAAATTCTCGCTGGCCCGCCTCGTCTTCTTCGCGTGGCAACCTCGTGGCCGTGGCTGGCTGGTGGGGTTCTGCTGGCGCGTTTGGCGGAGTACAGCAATTTAACCCAACCTGGGGCTGCCCAGGAACCTGCAAGTCGGCGACATTTTGGCACGATAGAGAGTTGCCAAGGCGACAAGAGAGTGCATGAGCAGTTGATGGAGACAAAACGGCCAGACCAGAGCTGGGTAACAGAGACAACTGCACCAACGCAACCCTCTGCAGGGTTTGCTCCTCCCCCTCCCCCCCCCCCAAATCACTAGGCACGACAGTCCAGCAGCACACAGCATTAACCCAGAATAACCCTCTCTCCCCCTTCAAAGCAATCAGGCCCACCTTTGCAGCGTCCACAGCCCGCCTGCCTCAAAACGGTCCACTGCATGCTGGGTCTTGCTGTTTGGGGATCCGTGCAGCCGAAGGCCATGCTCCCGCAGAGCTCACTACGGCCCATCCCAAGCCAGCTCAAGCCCAAGACGGAATCGTTTAGTTTTTTAAGGTTAACCTTCGGGTCAAGCATCTTTTCCAAAAGCCGAGATGCAATGCTCCTTTTTTTTCTTATGGTCAGAGACAATAGGCATCTCTCGGGGACCCTCGAGATACGAGACACCAGCAGCCGGAGCACGGACCACCTCCCATCATGTTTGAGCCTTCTGCACACAAACGAAACGGCAGCGCTGGGCACAGGTTGACGACAACGTCACGTCGCATCCTGTGGAAAGTGAGACGGCGTCTCAGGTAAAGCGGATGACATCCTTGCCCTCCCACGTGCGAGTCGCACTGAAACCAGGCGGCAGGCATTCGCGTCGCAGCCGATAGTCCGCGTAGTTGCGCGGATGGCCCGATTTCAAAAGCTACTGTGTACACCGAGAGTGTCGACCTCATGATGGCCGCAATAGGTCGTCGAGGTTGGTGAGACAGGTTGATGAGATAGAATAATCTTATCCCATCGCTTTCAATCAATCGCGGAATTGCTCAGCGAAGATTTCGCGTTTGTTTGTCTCTTTCGCAAGGAGTCCCCTACACGAGTCGGCAGAATCCCTCACATGGAAAAATTCCTCGGTCATATCCGCCCCGCGCCATTCGCATCTTGCAGCTCTGGGAATCCCAGAAGTCGCAGTGTTTGGCACCTGAAACAAGCAAAAAGCCACTGCTTGGAGAACAAGGAAACACAGGCTTCTGGAAGCCTTCGATTTGCGTGGAGATGCGGCTACCAAGGGGGCTTGTGCAGCTCATCAGGGGCCGGCGCCACAACCAAAAAGCCCAAAAGCGACCAAGCAAATCGACTGGCAAAGCTCTACCGCAGCAGCCACTCATCAACTGAGAGAAACAACGCGCTCTGCTTGCCAAAGCTGTCTCACGATGTAACCCATCGCCAATTAAGAAACTGCATGCATAGCAACCAAAGAGCGCTTGGATGCATTTGTCGCGCACCAAATCGGCGTCTCCTGTAAGGTGGGAATTGATCGACAAGTACTCCAGCCAGTGCCGAGATCTCAGTCGGGTTGGTGTTGGGTCATGGGAAGGGACTTGCCAGTATCATGTGAAAGGGCTTGCTGTTGGTCCTGATCGAACCCGGCTTTCGCCGGCCGCAGCCTGCTGCCGAACCCCTCACAAAACACCAGAGGGAGCTGATCAGCAAGCTTGGCAGGCCCTGTCCCAAGACAACGAAGCCCTCTGTATTGCTGGCTGAATGTTAGTCAGTCTAAAGGACAAGGAAGTGCCTGCTAAAGATGTCAGCTTGGTAGAGGAACAGTTCGGTGTGGCCGGACTGCATCTCCTGGAGTTGAGCTTGAAAGACGCACTTCCTCAATTGAGACACAGATCGACGGCCATCAACAGTCCAGACCACAGCCTTCTCTAATCTTTGAGAGAGGTGATCAGACAGGAAAACGCCGAGGTTTTCTAGTTTTTTTTTCTTTTTTTTAAAAAAGAAAAGCCGAAAGTAAGTTAGTTGTAAGCAATGGGAAACTTGTCTGGCTCATATTGTTGCTACAAAGCAGGGAGATCTTTGACTTACATGATCCCCTCTTCTCTCGCGAAAAAAAAAAAAAGGGGTTATTCAAAGTTTGTCTTGAGAAGACTCAAAGCGACTTTATTCCAAAAGCTTCTCAGTCAGGTAGCGCTTAGTTTGTTGCAACCAACCTCAACCTCGGACCCCACCCAAGCCAAGTGCCAGGCGGGCAAGAGCAAGCGTTATGACGTCACAGCCCATTCATCTCTAAGTGCCTCCTCTCGATGAGAGCCATCGGCATGTTGTCTTCGATGCTCTAGAACATTAAGCGGTTTCCGTGATATATACATGCAAATGACATTCCAACATCGATGGTTTTCAAGATAATTACGAACAGGAACAATTGATCTATGATAAAGATGTCATTGACTCGAACACTTCGCCCTCTCATCCCATCTTGGGCCCTCCTCCATCCACGAATATTACCCCCGTTTCAGCCTTGCCGCGCCCTGCAAACAGCTGCGCTACAGTACCCCTATAAAGACTCCCAAGACCGCGAGTCTCTCAAGCCGCGTCCGTCGATGGAAGAGAGCCAGAGCGCATCGGCCGACGAGATCGCTGAGAAGCAAGTGTCGTGGGACGGGAATGTGACCGACCCGGACCTGGAGCGCAGTGCGGCAGCGCTGGAGAGCGGCGGCAATCCGGGCTATTGCAACCCGCTAGACCTGAGCGCGGCCGACCGCGAGTGGGGCGGGACCATGACGAGCGAGGACGCGGCGGATAAGTCGGATAAGAAGATTCGGAGCCGTCATGAGAAGGGGAAGAAGCATGGGAAGGTCGCGCCGCTTCCGGATAAGAAAGCTTCGATTAAAGGGGCGTTGCCGAAGAGAGAGTAAGGCAAAGGGACTGTGTCATGAGGTGTTGTAGGATTTTTTTTTTTTGTGCGGTATCCTGTAAACATTGACAGGGGGGCTTGTATCATTATCGAGAAGATGGAAAACGTAGATACCTGGGTAACAAAGCCATCCTCTTGCATCAAGCATGATGCCGTCCATCCAGTCTCCCAAGTCAACTCTCCCGCCTATCCAGCTCCCTAACCTACCCCATTACCTACCCATACAACCCATCCATATCCTCCTCTTCACTATCTTCCTGCACAACCACCTTCTCCTTCTTCTTCCTCATCCCCTCCCTACACATAGGACACGTCCCCTTGGCCCGCAACCACGGCCCAACGCACTCCAAGTCAAACCGATGCCTGCCCTTGCACGGAAGCTCCACTACCAAAGGATACTCATCGTCGACAAACTTCTCCGCACAAATAGGACATACGTCCTTCTCCCCGCGCTCCGCATCCCGCTTGAGCTCCCCCTTGGACACGCGGTCCAGCCCGTCTAGGAACTCCTGCGACACGCCCTCGATCTCGCGCGGCGGGTGCGCGACGTCCTCTTCTAAGAGGTTGACTAGGGAGAGGAGGAAGGAGCGGTTGTCTTGGGTCGGGGCTGTCGAGGCTAGAGTGATGATTTGGTCTTGGAGGAGGCGGTAGAGGGCGGATGTGTCGAGGGGAGAGGGTACGGCGTGGGGGTTGTGATGGTTATGGGGTTGGGAGGAGGGGGAGAGCAGTTCCGGGGCGATGTTGTTCAGGTGTGCGGTAAAGGTTGACATGTCAACCTGTCGCCGGCGGCGGGGAGCCGGGGACGGGGAGATGTTGTGTTCGACTATTGGAGGTTAGCGAAAGGGCTGGAAAAGCACGTGTGGAGTTTTGGGAAGGGATTCAGGGGAATGAAGATAGGGATATATGCACCTTCGTATTGAGTCGACATACTGGAAGTCGAATTGCTATGTGACAATAAATACGGAGATAAACAGAAGAAGTCCACACTCTCAATGATCTAAGGTCGAGTCGCCGCAATATAAAAGAGCTGGCTCCTGCTACAGGCAGCTGGCTGGTGACGATGCTTGCATGGGAAGCTTGGCTGCTTGAGCTTCGGGCCTGGGGCCCCGCGCTTGGCCTGTGCGAGGGGCCGTAATTTACAGGGATGCATGACGAAAGATTACATTATCGCTTATCAGAATTACCCGTCCCTGAAAGTTACAAAAGTCGAGCCCCTGAATGAAGGCTCAAGGTTAGCGTGCCGAGATCTTATTTATTTCCCAGACTCATTTCATCGCCAACAACAGAGAGAGCCCGAGCTGAGTTCTCAGGACGCTAAGCATGGCTTAATTCTCCCGTTCTGCTGATATTTTATCATAATCAAATTACCAAGCCTTGCTGCCAACAGGGTTGCACAGCCCCAGTGGATTGCGACAACCGCGAGCTCTAACGATACCATTGGCTCATTTTCGTCCAGTTCTTGTTAACGCCTCCTTTTTAATCTTGTTGCTGCGTAGCGAAAAACTGCCTGGATCGTGTATCCTGTTAGGTTCGCAGCGCGATGACATCACCTGCCCAATAACACTGAACAAGAATAAACACAAGCACTGCTTGATATAATCCACAATATCCTCTTGTTTCTCTCCTGAGAAACGCTACACGGACCCACGAACGTTGGCTGTGAGACCCTTACACGCTGTCCACTATGAACACGGCGTCTGTTGGCCTGGCGGTTACGCCGGCGGTTGTTTCGACGTTACTATCTCATGTAAGTCTACAACGGGGAGCTTCTGTGCTCCGCGCTGGGAAGATGCACAAACGGCAGCTAATGCCGGGCAGTATCTTAACCGCAAGCCACTTGCACACAAGCCGACAGAACACCTCTCGTACGATGAAGGCTTGCACCTGATTCGCTCATTCCTCGAACATTCCTCGAAGTATACAGTCGAGGACCTGCAAGCTTTTTCCAGCCAATGGGTACCACATCCGCAATGGGTACGAGTCGACCACGTCGAGATTCCCGAGGACCATCTCTCCAAGGCCGCCGACCTCCTGATCGACCAGCTTGGCCCGGAAGGACTTCGCAAGGTTGGCGGCTCGAAATGGTGGCAATGGCGCAAGCCCAAGAGCCCGCTCAAGGCAGAATGGATCGAGATGAAGGCCGACTACCGTGAGCGTAGGAAACGAGGCGACCCAGGTAATCGCGTCATGCTGTACGTCCATGGCGGAGCCTACTACTTCGGCAGCATCGACATGCATCGCTACCAGATCCAGCGCCACGCTCGCAAGCTCAAGGCTCGTGCGCTCGCTCCCGACTACCGGTTGGCTCCGCAGTTTCCCTTCCCTTGCGGTCTCCAGGACTGTCTGGCGACTTATCTGTGGCTGATCAGCCAACAGAAGCCGAGCACAGTCATCCTCGCCGGTGATTCTGCTGGCGGCGGTATGGTGCTATCCATGCTGGTCGTGCTGAGGGATCGGGGCATTCCGCTGCCTGCTGGTGCTGTTCTGATCAGCCCATGGTGTGATCTGACACACTCGTTTCCCAGCGTTGCTGAGGATTGCCCTCTGGACTACATTCCTCCGACTGGCTTCCATCATAAACCGTCGATTGCGTGGCCGCCGCCTAATGAGGAGGAACTGAAAGAGATGAGCAAGCTAGCGTCAGGGGACACAGATGATGGTGATGAGAAGGTAAACCAATCCGAGAAAAAAGCTTCCCCGACGACACCCTTGAGTGTCATCATTGATGGCGAGAACGTTGAGATCAAGGAACAAATACAAGTATGTTTTTCTTTTCCTTTTGCCTTCTCTCTTTTTGGATCTCGCAGGACTGACGTATTTCCCAGATGTACACCACCAACGAGCTCATCACTCACCCTCTCGTCAGCCCCGTTCTCCAGCCAACGCTTGGCGGGCTGCCACCTCTTCTCGTCTTGGTCGGCGGAGGAGAAATTCTGCGTGACGAACAGATCTACCTTGCGCATAAGGCAGCTAACCCCTCGGCATACCTACCACCTGAGGCTTGTTTGGATGAGGAGGCTAGAGCTCTCATCGATCGATATCCTCCGACAGATGTTCAGCTCCAGGTCTGGGACGATTTGTGCCATGTAGCGCCAACCCTGAGCTTCACTCGACCGGCAAAGCTGATGTTCAGGGTATGTTGACTATTAATGATCTACAATTACAGACTACGCTGTTGTCGCTAACCAGAATAGAGCATTGCCCAATTCTCTGCCTGGGCTCTTGCCCGCGCCCAAGAATCTGACATCGAAATCCAACACGATGATCACATCTCTGTCATCACGAGCTCGAGCGATTCAAGCCTCGAGAGAGCGCAGACACACCTTTCCGAAGAAGAGAAGAAACATGCCACCTCCAGCATCGGCAAAGCTGGCGATCCGCTGCCCCCGTTCGAGAACCACATGATCCGTCAGCGCGTCACCCGCCACGGTCGCATCTTCCCGCTGGCACCGCCTGAGGAACTCCCTGGCTGCTGTATGCCCCGCGAAGAAATTGGTGTTATCAAGGAGAGCACAGCTCGGAAATGGCTCGATAAGCGTCGTAAATGGGATGCCCGCTTCGCCGATGCCCGAGCTCGTGTGCGTCGGCAGCGTCTGCGGGACGCCTCGGCTGGCTTCGAAACCTTCGGAGAGGGCGAAAACCCTCCTCCCAGTGCCCTTGCCGGAAGAAGGAAGATTGGTGTCTTCAAGGAAGCTGAGTGCAAGAGAAAGCGCGTAAAGAGCTTTGGAATGTCTCTCTGGGCAACTTGGGGCGCTAAGCACGATCTGATGGCTGTTAAGAGGGAAAAGGAGTCCGACAAAGCGCCAGAACAGGTGATTGTAAATGCTGAGCAGGGCCAGGGGGCTCGGACGTTCGAGTCACTTGAGAAGCAGGAAGAGGAGGTTAGACATAGGGAAGAGGAGAAGAAGGACAAAAAGAAGCGAGGCCTGTCCGTGGAGAGGTTCGTCCGGAAGTCTCGCTCCTGGAGAGATTTGTTCTCTCTGGGTAAGTCACAGCAAGAGCAGAACGCTAAGGATGTTCCTCCCGTACCTCCTCTCGTCACCCCTGCTTCTGATGAGAAGACGACGGAGAATAAGACCGAGACCACCGATAATGGCGCAGAGACTGAAGCCACCAATGGCCAGGCAACTGAACCTGTCGCCAATGAGGCTCCTACCAAAGAGAATGGCGATGCCAACCCCAAGCCTGATGAGATTGCAGAGCCACATGCTGCCGCCCCAGCAGACGGAGAAACAGGCGTCACTGGCAAGAGAGTCTTCCTTGGCGGCGTGGCGATGCCCTTCAGCCTGCGTAAGGAAGCTGACTCAGCAAGCCTTATGACCTTGATGTCGACGCCCATGACACCTGGTCTGCCCCCAAGCATCAATACCACCCAAGCCGAAGGGGCGGAAATTGAAGTGCCCTCTCCTGTCACCGAGACGGCAGGGCACACGGCTGAGGGGGAGAAGACACCTGTCCTTCCGCCGACCACGCCGACAGTCTTGATCAACGATCCCATCGAAGAGGAAAAGACAACCGTTGCGAATGGCGATGTCAACGGTGATGATACAAAAGAGGTGGTAATTGAGCTTCCCGAAAAGAAGCAACCAGAGCTGGCCCGCTTGGACTTTTCGACGCCGCTCCCGTCGCCTGCTCTGACGGGAGATGCCAGTCTGGAGAGGTTTATCACAGCAGACTCTCGTGCTGATGACTCGCCGAAGAAATGAAAGCTTGGATACCCGTATATATTGTGCATTTGGTTGGGACATATATTCTTGCTTTTTTGATCCTTCGGCTAGCGGGCCTTTTTATTTGCCTTTTCAGAATAGACCTAGACATCTGGTGTGTTGTGTAGACATTCTGCTTGTGGGCGTCATACGCTTCCGTTATAGACATAGATGCTAGACCACTTCCATTTCTCTTTACCTAATTACATCAATATCACTGCTTACACATTATACTTTGCGCAATTAGGACAGCGAGTAGGACGACGTAAACGTATGTAATTTGTTTTCTCTATGCGAACTATCCCGCTTCCACTCGTCCCAGATCCTCTTCCTCCCTCCAATAACATACGAACCATGAACTTTTTTTTCTTTTTCATATCTGTTCCACGAATTACCTTTAGGTCTCTTTCTGAATCCTTCTTTCTCACTGACCATATAATTTCAAATCTCCTTGTCCTTCCCCCTTCAATAATCACCATTTCACTCGCAAAAGTGTGGCTGTCTCACCAGCCGATGTGAGTCAAGATCAGGTTATACGCAAGAAAAGTTTGCTCATAACCCAGTTTAAGTGGCGCTGAACAGCTGTTATCAGAGCGTTTGCTTGGAGTCTTGAAAAGACTGATTGCCACGGACAGCTTGGGCGGCAAAAATGTCAAAGTGAAATCTCTGGTAGTGGCTGACGAAAGCGTGGATAATGTTGATCATTTTTGTATGGATGCCAGCTTGGAATGTCTCAGTGATCTTGTTATATTCTTCGGGAATGAGTAGCGACATTCTTGAGTGAGGCTGCCATTAAATCTTGTGGTCGGTAGTGAGGAGCTCGCTGCGGGTACGGACGAATTATATGTTCAGTAGGATCATCGGGCGAGAAGTGTGTTGACAAGTGTCTGGTCGTTCCTGAAGGAATGGAACGGCTTGAATCGGTAGCAACTGGACAATGACTGGGCAGATTGATCACACAAACAAGAAAGTTACGAAGCTGGAGGAAACAGACGCCGTAACGGGGAGAGAATTTCTATGCTCTTGCCGCTATGGGCCGAATCATCTCTAGATGAGTTAGGCTTGGGTCGGACTCCTCTGCGTTCATCTTCTCCTTCCTCGCCAGGCTTTGAGCGCGGGAGGTTAGCTGAGTCAGAGAATTCAATTCAGCTTGTGGCGCCGGGCTCAATTAGGGGTATGGAATCCTTTCATAAATACGGTCCCCCAAAGGGGTCCGTCGGCCGGGGCGAACTGCTGCTGGTCTTGAGCCCCCCTCCAACCGGTGCCACCAAACACGATACCCCTTCGACCAAGGGGAGTCCCCGGTATCGAACATCTCGGCGAAGGGACACGGCCCGGGGAACCCCAACGATGGCCAGATCCATCACAGCATCAGTTGTACCTAACGGATGGCATGCTGGCGAAAGCGTTCGCGGCGCATCCTCGGGTCAGCCTTCATGATCGCTTTCATTACCTTTTGGTGTCGCTGGCGGATGCGTTGGCGACTTGGTAATTGGTGAGCCGAGGTTCGAGTTCGGCGGGATCGTTAGGGGAGGGGTGGAAGGGGAACGACATTGTTAGAGAACACTTAGAATTTTTTTTTAGAAAAAAAATTACGAGCGGCCGAGAGAGGAGAGAACAAGAAGGCATCGTGCATGTTATTAATGCGTTAGTTGTGTGAGAAAAGGGGGTAAGAAGGGGCAAAAAGAAAAGGGGGGAAGAAAAGGTAGAGGGGGGTAGAATCAAACTTACGACATTATGTCTGCATGGATGGCACCCGGAGGGTGTTCAGTCTGCTATTGCTATTGTCTATCAATGTCAAGATGGCTACCCTGTGCTTTGTGTGCATTTTGCCTTTTTAATTTTTCTCTTAAACTTCAATATGTTGTTCCAGTTTGTAATTAGAACAGCAAGTTTACTAGTAACCCAATGTTATTCCACTAAATACATCTTAAAACCTTCAGATTCTAAGAGTAAATATTTCCAATGACAAGTCTGAGATGATGGCTGTTGAGTGACAAACTGGAACTTGAGCATGGCCGAATATTGGACTCAGAAATTTTAATATTACCTCTGCTTCACTAAGTTCTAAAAAATATCGTCAGTACAGAACCATAACCAGGTGATTGGCCATTCTTAGGAATGCATAAACATCGGCTAGTGAAATGGAATTTTCACAGGTGTCAATTGAATTGACCTTGCGATGTTCTTGATCGATACCTGTAAAGCAAAGCTGCTTATGATTATCCCGACTTCTACATCTTAACTAAGAATCAGAACTCCATAACGCCAGTTGTTCCTAATGATGCTTAATGAGTCAACTATCAATGAATCCAACATTTTGAACACCTGAAACACGACGGTTGATACTTTGTGTACTCGATACACTCATTGGATTGAGTATGTCCTCATGCTGAATCACTGTGAAGCTTGAATGAACTTGCTCAGGCTTGAGACATAGGCGCTCAATCATTCAGTTAGCTGCTACTGGTGATCTAGCGTACACCAAAAAAGAGGGGGGCATATCAAACCATACAGACAAGAAAAATAGCAGACAATATTTATCGTCATGTGGTATCAATAACACCCTTCATATCTGCCAAAAAAATCCCAACGCATACAGATCAAAGACTGGCAGGCATTGCTCACCGTCCTAACTGACACAGAAGTGTACAGCTCCAAGAGACGGCGGCTTTTCTCGTATTTTTTCCCCCCGCTTCCTTGCCCCGTTTTCCCGTCCGTTCATGCAACCAACATTCGATCGAAGCCCAAAATCGAAAGTACTGAAAGCATAAAATCCCCAGAGGCGCCATCTTCCACAGCTCCATGGCCCGTTATGTTATACAAAGTTTACACTAGGTAGTCGAACGGAGATCAAGAGGCCGTCCTGTGCACTTCTCAACATCAAACGACTACTACGCCGACGCTTGCTGGTTCTGTGCAGCATTCGCCTGCTTACACTGCTCCCTTGCCTCGTTGACAGCCTCCTTTACAGCAGCTGTGACCATCTCGGCACACCTGGAGCCCATTTCCTTGTCCCCATTTTGTTGGCTGTTGCTGGAACCACTGCTGTCCTTCTTTCCATCCTTGTCCTTGCACAGCCACTTCTGGATGACCTGGTCAAAGTCTTTCTCGGCAACGACAGCGCCGTGCCCATTGCACCTCGCTTTCTTTTGCAGGTCGGCACAAAGACCATCGAGGTCGAAGTCGCCGCTCTGTACCTTCGGGCAGTTTTGAAGACGCTCCCTAAATATTGTCAGTGGCTCCGATGAAGAAATAGGGGCAAAGGAAGGAGACATACCAAATCTTGCTGCAGTTCAATTCTGGACCACCCGTGGTTGTAGGGAGTTCATCTGCATCCTTGGCAGCATCGATCTCGGCAATAAGGTCCTTCTTTGGCGCTGTTGGTTGCTGCTGACCCATGCCACTGAGCGGCAGGTTATAAGGGGTGATGAAGTCGACGTCGAGTGCATCGTTGAAAAAGCTGTCGTCAAAGGTAGACGAAAACAGCCCTTCTTGTGACTCGCGGTAGTCACCAAACAAATGAGGGTCGAACTGGAAGTCGGGCTGGGGAAGCCATTTGCTGAAGTCATCTCCTGAAGCGTCAAAATGGCCAAAGCCTGCATAGTGGTCAGCCAAACTTGATTCAGGGAGACATTCTAAGATGCTTACCTGTCAATGAGGTACCAAGGCTTGGTTGTTCTTCGCCGATGGCTGGGAGAGCATCGCCCGGCCTAGACGACATTGGGGAGTGCGTGAGAGGCTCGGGTGATGTGCCACACGACGAATTGGCACCGCCTGCTTGAGAGCTGGATGAAGCAGAGGGTGAGCTCGTTGAGGTACCATTCTGGTTTGACGGGGAATCTAGACTGTTGACTGAACCGCGGGCGGCATTGCCATTGCTCAATTGTTGACCGTGCTGCGTGTTCAAAGAAGTGAGCTGGCCACTGAGTTGGGGATCTTGTCTGATCTGCCCGCTGCTTGATTGTGTGGTTGGGCTGATGCCGTCCTGAGCCTTGTCTGCCTGGTAGCCATTGGCATCTTGTGTCGTTACTGGCGTCGGCTTCTTGGTAGTATTGATAACGGGTGGGCCGGGCAAGGAACCAAACTTGGGGAATTCAAACTGGAAGTTGATATCGTTCAGGTTGTTGACAAACATATGACCGAAGGGGGTAGCTGGGCCCTGATGAGCTGGACGACCACTCGACAATAGGGAAAGACGCTTCTTATACTCGTTTAGTTCCACAGTGAGGCGCTCGACCTGCGCGCGGAGTGCTTGGTTCTCGTTGTTGGCTGCTTCGGACAGTTTGGTGAGTTCCTGAACCTTATTTTCCAGTTCCCGCAAGTGCCTCTCCTTTCTCTCTCGAAATGCCCGCTGCGCGGCGCGGTTTTGAGCCTTGCGCTTCTATTACAATCGGTCAGCATTTGCACTCAGGTGGCAATGCTTTAGGGATAGCGTCTAACAGAAGGACTTACAGAACTGGGCTCGTCAGTAAGGGGCTTCCTTCCTGGCTTCTTGTGCACTTTCTCCTGGCTTTCCCTTCTCTTAGCTGCGTTATCACCCTCGCCATCGTCTGGCCGGCTCCTCTTTTCAGGTGAGTCATTCTCGGTAGACTCGGGCTTGGAGGGAGCCTTGTTCGCTGGAGGCGCAGGAGCTGTGGTTGGTGCTGTATGTTGGGTGCCATCATCAAAGGAAAAGTCAAAGCTAGTGTCATGGGCAGAGAAGTCGTAGTCAAAGCCGAAGCCAGGAGTGGTCTGGAAAGTGCCCAGGCCATCGACCCCAGGCATTGACATTGAGTTCAGAGGGGTCTGGAACATGGCACTGTTCGGTCTAGAAGTTGGCCGATTGGAATTGAGGGCGGCGAACAGCAGTTGCTGCTGGTGTGGAGTGAGAATCAGGTTCTCGAGGGGATTGTGTGTGGACGTCATGTTGGGGAAGTGCTTGATGGATGACGTTGGCGATAAAACGGGCCCGCTTGCTGTCAACAACGAAGAGGGCAGAATGATAACCGATGATGACAGACTCAGCAAACGATTGTGGAGCTGGTGGACTCGCTCGGCCACTTGCTTATCCGAGTCAAAGGGACAGGAGGACTCTGGCGCTTGAACAAAGCTGACAACAGTGCCCAGGACAGTCAATTGGAGAAGGAGTCACGCGTGCTGTAGTCAAGGCCACAGCGAGGCGAGTTTTGCTGCCTGCCGGGTCAGACCTAGTAGACGACTAGCAATAGAGAGAGTATGGAGAAGGATGGCAAGCAGAGACAGTAGATGTAAAGGTACAGAGTGTAGTGATAGACTCAGTAAGGGTCGGTGGAGAACTGGAAGTGGTGCGGGCGGCTGAGTTCTGAGGAGGAGCGCGCAAGCTGGTTGGTCCCTTGACGGCTGGCTGCCTGAGACTCGCACCCAATAATCTGAAAGGCGCGGTAGGCAGTCGCTGGCGTCGTAGTCTCGGTACAGTGGTTGCAGTTCTGGAGTGAGATGGAAAGCGGATGTTGCTGTTGGACTCGCGGGGGGGTTCGACGGTTGATGGATTTGTCAGCGACCGACTGGTTGAGGATCCGCATGCGGGGCTTGCAGGGGTATGTGGATCCGCAATGATGTTATTCCCACACCGGCGTGGATTCCAGATGACTTGAGGAGGCGCCAGTGCGCAAGATGAGATCTCTGGATCTTGTTGCCGACAGATCGGCCATTGTCGTGATGTTGTCCATGCCACGGTGTGTAGTTATCTAGGTTTGCTGCAATGACACTTCCGCAAAGTCGAAGGGGTACACTATAAGTAGTGCTAGGGCACCCAAATGCCGGCGAAGGTGGGATCTAAGCCTGGGGGAACTACACGGGCTGGCACCGTGTCAGAACCATCCGCGGGCGCATGAGTGCACTGTTCCTGGCTAACGTTGAGCCCTGAAAACGGCCCCTGAATCCTGGAGCTCTGGGGCTGGATCTCCGCAACACACGGCTTACTATGTGGTGGCATTGACATCAGATGCTGAAAACTCACTCACTCATAGAACTGAAGTATTGTAGAGACGACACCAAGAAAGTAAACAAACGGCCTGTTGTTAGGTAGGGCTTCAACGGACTCAGCATGCCTGCTGACGTCAGAGTCCGCGGCAATAAGCGGCGTCGAGGTGCCTGGATCTAACCCTAACCCTCGGACTTCGGGGCTCCCCTCGGGCCTCCGATGACACGAAGATTGGATATGAGAATGCCGAGGGACCATCGGTGAAGTGAGGCCATTCATTGAGTTTTACATATGCTTAACATGAGTTTATCCTTTCAATTACGTTTGTGAAGCCAACTACTAGATATCTAATGTTACCAAGCTGGGTTGGCGCTAAGTCAGAACTTCACTCCGAAAGTCAAGAGCTCGCCTTCACCACAAACTAGCTGTTTCTTTTTAGATCCATGTCATTCAAAATAAACCATGCTTTTGATCGCAGTTAGAATACATTGACTATCTAATGATATATGAAAAAAGACAGGCTTATCTTTTCGTGCACATTGAAATTAAGGCCTAAGGAAGCATTTGCTGAGTGGATCAACAAACCAGTGTTGAAGCGTAGATATGTGATGGGACGAAATGTTGCCAAGCCATACTGGCCCGTGCATCAATGTAGGGCACCCCGCATGCGTCTCCGCTCGAAGGTCACCTCTCACATCCTCAGCTTTTGCCATGTGACGATACACACCAGCAACATCACGACGCCCATCCCCAAGCTCCCCATTCCGACGCAGCTCGGTCCGATCCATCCCCGATCATCCTTCAACCCCGATTACCCAAACCTATATTGTAACCGGAACCCCATACAACCGGTCCAATAGCCCGTTTCCTTACCCGCAATGGACATCGCCTACGACCACATCCAAGAGTCAGCGTTCCCCGCCACCACGGCGGAAGACCGCACGATCTCACCCTCCGGCAGCAACGACAGCAGCGACAACGCCAGAAAATCGGCGACGCAGCCCAAATCCCTTAACGAAGACCTCCAGGATGCCTACCGGGCCTTCTCGTCCAGCCCATGGGGCGCCCGCATCGGCGGGTTCCTAGGCAGCGTAGTGAAGCAGGGCGAAGCAGTCTACCGCGAGGCGACGCAGGAGCTATCGGCAGTTAAGGACGATGCGACGCAGGGTTTGAGCAGCCTGCGACAGACCATCATTAATCGTACGCGTGGGCTGTCGCTGAGCACAGCGAACCCGTTCGTTTCTACCTCCTCATCGAACAATGATCAAACCTCCCGCGAAGCCGGTTCCGATGATAAGACTCCCACAGATGAGACCAGCAAACAAGCCGGAACATCTTCCTCGTCGCAAGAGGCAGGGTCCTCCCAAGCAACAAGCGTCCTCTCTCGCTTACGTGACGAAGCTTCAAAGCGCCTGCGCGATCTGCAGCGCGCCGAGGATGCTGCCGACGAGGCACTGCTGCGCTTCGGGTCCAACCTGCGTGACTTCTTACGCGATGCAATCCAGATTGCGCCGCCGCCAAGCGACGAGGAGCTCTCGTCGGGTAGCAACAGCCCAACTACGCGAGGCCCGGGCACCGTGCTGTTCGAAAGCAAGGATGCGCAGGGCAAACGGGTGATTCATACATCGCGGTTTGATGCGCAGCTGCATGTGATCCATACGACTAAGGAGAGTTTCATGCCGGATGGCAGCGCGAGCGGACCGGAGTTTGAAGAATGGGCCAAGGGATTTGATATTGACAAGAAGACTGAGGATATCGCGGCTGATCTGGCTAAGTATCCGGAGCTGCGGGCGACTATGGAGGCGCTGGTACCGGACAAGGTGCCATACGCTGATTTCTGGAAGAGGTACTATTTCTTGCGCCACGGTATCGAGACGGCTGAGGCGCGCAGGAGGGATCTCCTGAGAGGTAAGTCATGTTTTTTTTGTTTTTTTTTTTTTACCTTAAAGACGCTGGATAAATTTTATTCGCTTGATTTGCAATCCTAACGCTAAACCCAACCACACACAGCTGCCTCTCACGAGGAAGAAATCGGCTGGGACGAGGACTCTGAGGACGAAGAGGAAGAGGAGTCCGAGACTGAGACCGAATCCGGGTCCGAATCCGGGTCAGAAAGCGAGGATGACAAAAAGGCCAGCGCTGGCGCCGGTGTCAAGAAACGGGCCGGCTCGGTCACGTCATCGACCACGATCCAGCCTTCGGCCAAGACGGCTGAGCCGCGCAAATCTAATGATGAGAAGTCGACGACGGGCAGCGAGGCGAGCTATGATGTGGTTGGCGCGGCGTCGGGCGTACCCAGCCAGGCGCCGAACAGCCCCAAGGAGTCGCGGAAGGTGGACGATTCAAGCAGTGAGGAGGACTGGGAGTGATTTCTCGGATATCTGGTCGTGCAGCATGTTAATGGTTTGTTTGCTCTTAATGTTGATGCATACCTTGAGAGGAGGTATTGGTTGCTGGCTGAAACAAGTTGGCCGTAAACGGGTCGTTGTATGCCTCACACGTATAGTTTCGGGGGGTTGCATTCGGGCGAATTCTGGCGAATCGGAATCGATACTCGATGACCCTTTTCCCTCCGTTTTGACTCTCATGACACTCCCCATTCTCCCTCACTGCTGGTCGTGGTTGAGGGCAAGGTTTCTACCGCTTCTTCCTGGTCACCAGCGTAAATCCATCTTCGTCCACCACTGGCTCAGGCCTCTCCCTCCGGGAGCCATTGGTCGCCACCAGCTCAGGAGCCTCTTCCATCTCAACATCCCCATCGCCATCCTGAGTCTCTTCGTCCTCATCATCGTCGTCCTCGTCCTCATCGTCCTCATTCTTCACCTGCTGGAACACAGCCCCACAGTTCTTGCTGCTACCCCTGGCCTCCCACTTTATCCTCAGTGCCTCTACACCATCAAACTTGCCGCGCAAGCACTCCTTGCGCAACTTAACCACTTGTTCAGCCACTTCATACGCCGAGTCGTCCTCCACGGCGACCTCGAATTCGTCCAGCATCACCTGCAGCAAGACGGCTTCGACATCTTCCTGGTCGGGTTCATCGACCTTGACTCCATTGACAGTTGCTGAAGCTTGTTGTTCTGGGGAAAGCTGAGCCTGCTGTACCAGCTTCTGCTCGAGCTGCGCCGGCGTCAGGCGGGAGACATCAGGGAAGAGATCGGCGATTGCGCCGGCGAACCAGTCGCGCTTGTCGGCTGAATCAGGGCCGCCCCATTCATTCTGTACGGCGAGAGTTAGGGCAGGCCAGAGATGTAACGAGAGGGCGACGGCTTGTTCAAAGTTTTGTTGGCATTGTGCTAGGGTCTGTTAGCAGGCAGCAAGAGCGTGGTGGGTCCATTTGGGAACTGGATACGAGGGCATACCCGGATCAGGAAAGGCTGTGGTTGCCATTGCTGTGGTATAGGTTGGCAACTAGACAGATGGAAGAGGTCAAATAAGGCTACTGTGAATGACTGAGGTGTTGTTGGATTATAAGTGGAATATAAAGGAAGGGAGGGGTATGGAGCTTTTCTGGGGATGATGGAGGGGTGTGCTTTTGGTCGAGATTTTTTTTCGTGGACCTTGGAAACATGTGCCCCACCTTAGCATGCGCCAACATTGTCTCAGGGTTAGGGTTACACCTTCATTACTCTGCTCACGTAAGTATTATCGTGTTTAAATGATGAAGACCCGAGCTTCACCGCAAACATCAGACTAAGATATCAGGAGCAGTGAATCAAACAACTGGAACTTGCTCTCCGATAGCAGCTACGTGAGAGCAACAGTCTCAAGAAGATCAAAAAGCATCAGACAGAGAGTCCAGGACTGCACCGCTAGCTTTGTCAGGACTCCAAGCTTCAGACTGACGCGATTGCGTCACTCACCTTCGTCTTCATCTCACATCTTGTATCACTATCTTAACAACTACACCTTGCCTCTTTCAGCCCTAACCATGGCGTCAACCCTCGTTCTCGGCTGCACTGGCCTAACAGGTTCCTTCATCCTCACCAACCTGCTCTCCAACCCCTCCACGGGCACTGTGCATACCATCTCTCGCCGCGCGCCCAAAGCCCCCGCAGACCCTAAGCTCCACGCCATCGTCGACACCGACACAACCACCTGGGCAACCACCCATCTCCCATCTCTCAGCCCTCCCCCAACAACCGTCATATCCGCCTTGGGCACAACCCGTGCCGCGGCCGGTGGTATCACCAACCAATGGAAGATTGATCACGACCTGAACGTCGAGCTAGCCCGCGCGGCCAAGGCCGCTGGAGTCAAGAACTTCGTCTTCGTCTCAAGCGCAGGCACGCGTGGGGTGCTGGCGAACAGGGTACCATATAGCCAGATGAAGCAGGGTGTAGAGGACACGGTGAAGGAACTTGACTTCGAGACGGCGATTATCCTGCGGCCGGGGGCGATCCTGGGGAAGAGGGAGGAATCGCGGCCCGCAGAGGCAGTCTTTCAGGGGCTAGTGAGGGGCATTGGGAAGATTGTTGGGGTGTGGGCGCAGGATAAGATTGGGCAGGAGGCGGAGGTTATTGCGAGGGCTGCTGTGCATGCGGCGAGGATCGCGGAGGAGGGCAAGGCGCCGGCGAAGTGGTGGGTTTTGGAGCAAGCGGATATTGTGAGATTGGGGAGGGATGAGTGGAAGGCTTAATTTGCAGGCGGAGGGTTAGCTGTACCTATGCGGATAGTTGGCGTTGATAACTTGTCGGCTTTCTTCCCTTCTCAGTCCAATGGTTTTTCTGTTCCGTTCAGCCCGCTGCCGTCATCGCAAGTGGTGTCGCACCAACATTCTTCCGCCGGTCCATCCCGAAGCTTCGGGGCCAACCGTAACCTTGAACTTGCCCGCATGGACACTTTGATCAAGTCATCAAACAAGGGCCAGCCCACTACGATCGACCCGGCCACGCATCCCCCGGCTGCCGACACTTAAGCTTAAAAACTGACCCGTGGTACGGGGAAGTTTGGCGTCGTCGCATCTTTTTTATCTTATCTTTTTTTCCCTTCCCCGAGACCCCTTTGACCCCACCACCCCGCCATCGCGGGGCTGTCGCGCGATCGAGACGCTTCCATCGCTGCCTGCCTGTCTGCCTGCCGCGGCTGTCCCAACTGCTTAACTCATCACCATCCTGACCGTCTCCCCCATCGCTATTCTCACTTAACACCACCACTCACCAAACCGCCAAATCAATTGGAAATTCCTCTTAAAAGACCACAACACAACTCATTGTTTGAAAATAATAACCAAAGCCCCCCCCCCCAAAAAAAAATGTCAACCTCAGCCCGTCCCCTCCTAATCGGCCCTCCTTCTGGCCCCGAATCCCCCTATCCTTTCCGCATGTCTGGCCCCGTTATTTCCGGCTTTGGCCGCGGCTCCAAAGAACTGGGCATCCCAACCGCAAACCTACCCGTGGACGCCTCCCTAATCCCCTGGATCACCGACATTCCATCAGGCGTCTACTTCGGATGGGCGGCTCTGCACCTGGACCCCTCTCACCCGGATTACCCCTCAAAACATAAACTTCACAATGGCTTCGCCGTCTACCCCATGGTTATGTCCCTAGGGTACAACCCGTTCTACAAGAACACCGTGCGCTCGGCGGAGGTGCACATCCTGCACAAGTTCAGCGCCGACTTTTACGGGAGGCCGTTGAGGCTGCTGATTACGGGGTTTGTGAGGGAGGAGAGAGATTATGCGTCGCTGGAAGCGCTGGTGGAGGATATTTTGTTTGACTGCCGCGTAGCGAGGGCCAGTTTGGCGAGGAGGGGATGGCGTTTGAAGGGAGTTAGCTTGGCGGTTGAGGTTAAGGGGGAGGGAGTTGATGGGGATGAAAAGGAAGGGGAGGGGGCATTGGATGGAGAGTGGTTGGTCCGTCAGCTGGATGAAGGGGAGCTGGAGGCCGGTGAGAAGTGGAGGAAGGAAAAGGAAGAGAAGGAGAAACAGAAGGGAGAAAATCAGTAAAGGGGACGAGGACAAGCTTTGCTTAGAGTGAAGAACAGGCGTTGGATGGGCAAATGTTTCCTTTTTATTTATAGACTTAGGCCGACACGGTCGGTGGAAGAATGGGATAATTAGAGCAGGCATGTACCGTGTGCTGGCAAGCGACTGCACGATGAACATCTCTTTTCTATTGAATGTCCAATTAATTCTAGCTTTCGCCCGTCCCGATGCTGCCAAACGCCAGATGTCAAATATCAAATGCTTAGGTATCCGTTGGTTCCATTGCCCAGCTGCACCATTTTATTTCCCTTCAAATCCCTACCCCGCCAGTGATATCCTTAACTGGTCCCGATGTCTACACAGCCTGGTTGTGGTTGCGATAATAGCATGGCAGAAACTGCAAAGGTCAGCCAATGTCCAAGTTAGAATACCCTGGGAAAAAAAAGTACTCACATTGATAATGAACAACATTGGCATATCGAACATATCTCGCTTAATGGTCCACGTGTAGCTGCACTCGAGCTTGCCATCACGCTCCAGCTTCGAGATACCATGCTCGCCATCAATCTTGGCCACACGGTTACTCAGGATGCCGCCCGTGCGGGGATCCTTGTTGTTTTGATCTCCACCAGTGCTGCTCCCCTCTGTCTTTTGGCTCATATCCTCTGTGCGGTACTTGAGCAGCCGGCACTTGCGCGTCTTATGCCCACGGCTGTCGTTAAATGCGAGCTGCGAGTAGTCCTCGTAGAACTCAACTACGCTGTCGTGGTCCATCAGCTCGGCCAGGAAGACGGGCTGCGGGCCGTCCGACGACGCGCCCTCCAGGGTCTTGAGTCTGCCTTTGCTGGCGTTGCTGCTGTTGGGCTGCCATCCGCCAAAGTTGATGTTGCGGTTCGGCTCCTTGCCCAGCAGCACCTCCTTGGTCCAGCCGGTCAGTGCCGTGAACTCCTTGTTGACGCCTGCTACCTCACCCGTGCGCCGGCAAGCTAGCGTCGGGCTAGAACATTGGTGCATGAACTCTTCGTACTCGAACAGCGCACGCTGGAAGTACTTCTCCATGAACACCAAGTCCTGCCTGGTCAAGTTCTTAGTCGATGCCAACAGCGACGGCCGGATGCTTGCCAGCGCCTTGGCAATACGCGACGTTTGCGCCTGTGTGAACCGAGTCTGAATGATGTTGAAGAGCTTGTGGAAGCTAGCCACATAGCCGAATGGCTCCTTAACCGTCTCGTAGATGTATGACGGATCCCGCTGTCGCTTGCCCAAGATCGATTGCGACAGTTTAGCCAGTGCGTTCGCCTGCCGGCTTGTGCTCGGCCGAGACTGGTTGTTGTTACTGTTCTGTTTGACCGTCGTCGACGAATACGTTGTCATGGTTGGTGATCCGTCAAAATTCATTGGGGTTGGGCTGTCATTCTCTGTGCTCGGGCTCTGCACGCTAGTCGGCCCCGCCGCGATGGCATAGGCATGCGGCAGACCATGCTGAAGGTTACCTTGCCCGTACGCGCCGTTGGAGATAGTATCGAGGCTGAGGAAGCCTTCCAGCAAATTGCTGCCCTCGTACGCCTGCCCGACTCCGTTCCCAAATAGCCCTGGGGATCCAAAATTGACATTACCGGAAACACCGCGTGACACATCTTGTGGGGGTGTTTCTGCTGCTCCTGAGGACATATGGCCTAACATACCGAACTCCATGGCACCGTACTGACTGCCAAAGTTCAGGCCTTCGAGGTTGAAGTTGAAGATGTTAGGATCGCTGGGGTCGAATGGTAGTCCGCCTGGGAAAGTGGCCATCGGACTGGATACCGACGGGACGCCTATGCCGCCGATCTGAGCATTGTTCGATGTCTGGAACGAGGGAGACACAGGAGTTTGTTGGTTCCCGAAGGGCAGATCTCCGGCTATACTACCCATGGGTGTCTGGGCTGCTGAAAAGATAGGGAACTGCGTAGCAGTCGATTGCGAGAAAAACGAGCCTACTGTGGACGACGCTTCAGATGCCGACACACTGGCATGACGACCATTATGGCGTGCAGGCGTCGGGTTAGGGTTATAATTGGGACCCAGAACTGGCCGAAGGGCTTCGGGAGGGGCATCATGAAGGTACTTGGCCTTTTTCCTGACGCCATCCTGGCAGCTATCCATCAGCCCGCGCTTAATGCACCGCTGGCATGGTCTCTCGTCCCCTGCATCAAAAGATTAGCGGATGATCGCGTCAAGTTATCCACTCGAAAACCTCATCGCTGCGGGGTGAGGGATAACCATAGGTTTCCCCATTTAAACATAGCGGGAGGAGGGACAGCAGCAAGGGCTGCCTGGATGATGCAGGGTATCTTACCGCAAGTGAGATGGGCTCTCTGACACGCATAGCAGGCTCTCCGAGCCTTTTTTCTCCTCGGCCGCGTAGGGTCCTTGGGATCAAACTTCTTCTTGGCTTCACCATTTGCGTCCTGGTTATTGCCGCTATCCGTGGCAGCCGGGGGCAGATCTGTCCCCGTCATCTTCTCGTCTTCGTTCTCGCCCTTAACCGTCCTCTGTTCCTCGTAGTCGTTCTCGCCCTCCGACATGGGACTGAGGGCCTCAACGCCCGGTTGACCTCCTTGTTGTTGTGGTGGCTGCCGTTGCTGTTCCTGCTCTGCCATTGCGGCTCCCTGGAAACTTTATATACGGCCTGAGCGCAGATAGACAGACCGGAAATGCAGGAACCCTCTTCTGGCCACGCCAAGCTCGGGCTTTTGCTCCCGACTGGATCGTGGTCGTTGAGAGGAGAAGGGGGGATATGGACGACTCGTGGGGGAGCGTTGGAGGGATACACCTCCGTTGTCTTGCAGAAAATATCACGGCGGTGGCACCACCACAGACAAGTGATTGGCGCAGCCTATCGTTCGCGTTACTGGGCCAGAGAGAACGCGACGAGCTGGCAGAGGAGGAAGGGCAACACGTAGCCGTGGGCTAGGACTGTGCGGCCACTCTGTTTGGCGAATCCCAGCTGGAGGTGTAAATTAAAAAGTGCTGTTTGAGCGGCAACAGACAGTACCGGCAGACTTAGCGAGACCAAACCAGATGTGGTAGGCCAGAGAGAGAGGACTCAATGAAGCTTCGCTAACCTTGGCTTGGGCCTGTGGGCTGCCGCCAATATGGGATTGATCGCCGACGAGCGCCAAATCTGTCGTTGATAATGGGAATGTTTGTACTAGCTGACGAAGGCCGATACACAGCAAGGCCAAGCAGCGCTCGTATTCCCCCACTGCCGGACGACCAGTCAGGACAGTCAATTAGCTCGGGGAACCTGGTAGGCGGGCGTTCCTTGTGCGACGTGAGCGCAAGAGCGGCCTTGACGGAAGCTGAGCCGTTAGGAGGGTTGAGAGGCTTGAGGGATGGTTTCGCAGGAGCAATTGATGCTAGGGTCACGCGGTAGCGGATAGAGCACGGGAGCGGTCCGGGGACGTTCTCAGGCGCTGGAATCTGGCGTGTTGCACAGGTGTAATGGAGGGCATTCACACTGCACTTAGCCGTCCAATTATGCTTGTGCGAGCCCTTGGCGCAGCCTCGTCTGGAGCTCGCTCGTAGGAAGAGCTGACGAACAGGGGCAACAAGGCAATTGGGTGAGATTGGAGCGGATGTGGGCTTGTGGCCAGTCGAGAAGAGAGTGTGGATGCCGTAAGGGTGTTCCGCCGTGTCGTCTGCGGGCGTGGCTGGCCTTTAGAAGCGAAGATGGGTAATGCACCGGGCAGACAAAGTCAATTGCTACGAAGTACGGGGAAGCATTCTCATCGGCCTGTCCCGTGGTATTGTGGTGTCGTCGGTCGGCGTCGGAGTTGGTGAGGACGGGGTTGTCGGCCTGGCCAGATCGAGAGTCGCCGCGGCGGTCTCGCAGTTTCGCAGTCCGTGAGCCTGAGCCGGTCCAGCGCGTCGCAATCTCCGAAATCTCCTGTCGTCACCGAGCGCGGTGCGATTGGGATAAAGGCGCAGCACAAGGACGAAAAGAAAGGATGGGCGGGCGTCGATCGCCTGTGTTGATGTGTGGGAGGAAAGAATCAAAACAGAGTCAAGTCAGAGCCTCTGAGAAAGTCAAGGGTTGTCGATGGTGGATCTGATGTCGGCCGATGTGGGCTGGTGGGGTGAAAATCAGCGCTGCTCCAGTTATCCGCGTCAGTGCCGCTGGTGGGCAGGCGTCCCTGGCAAGACGGCAAGATTATGTTGATGGAGATCAGGTGGGGAGATCACAAGGCCGCGGGCCTGAGATTTGACTTGTCTTGGAAGCCAAGGGCAGAAGGTACACAGTCACTCACCCAGGTGCTGAGCGGGCTAGTGTCGGTGTGGACGAGCTGGTGCAAAATGTGAGCCAGGTGTTTGAGGTCGACGTGTAGGTGAGCTGTACAGACTGTGAGAACACTGCTGCAGCACTGGGAGCGGAAAAGTGTGGGCTCTCTGACTTTGACTGTTCAAGTCTGTCCTGTGACTGCGTGATGTTGAATGGAGGCAGGCTCGGCGCTTTCCAAAAGTTGCAGGCTTTCTGATAAAAGAGACGTTTTTATTCGTTGGGCCGTGTAGATTCGATGCAAAAGACTGCAGCTCGAAGTCTTTTTTCTCACAGTCTGCTTACTGTGCAGCGGACGATGCTGAGCCCAGCCAAAGCAGGAACAGAAGGCCTGGACTTTCTCATCAGCGGGCTGGAACAACAGAAGAAGCAGTTGTGGGCACAGAACACAACAGAACAGGGAAGCTTCCTTCCTGCCGTCAGTTGCGGGGTTTTCTAACCCCCCAAAAAACCAACCCCTGCCTGGTACGCAGTTACAGGCAAGATAGTAATTGATCTTATATTTTTACCTGCTGACACTCTCCACTGTTTTCAGCGTGCCATGATGCTCGCAAAATGTTACCACGATGTTGCAAAACTCCCCAGCAATTTTTTCCCAAGACCGCCAGCCAAGATACCACACACCCGCCAGCCCATCCCGTGCGGCTCGGCTGTGGGTACGCTTTACGGTGTTCCTCGGTCGGACAATGCTGCATCCCAATTGGCGAGAAGATCTATTGAAACGTGCCAGGGCTACCAGGACCATCATTGTGCTTGTGTTGTATCGAAACTCTTGCGTTTCCCTGGACCTGGGCCTACCTACTTGAGCCAAGCACGCAGGAATCCCCCGATAGGACGGTTCAATGCAGCGCCGCCAGCCTGCTAGCCAAGCGACCAACACTCCTGAAAGAAGCATGTGCTGCTGGCAGTGTCGGCCCCCGGAGACCCAGGTCGGTCCCCAGGTGGTCTGTCCTGTCTGCCCATGTTGTCGGTATCGTGCACGAACCACCTACCGCTCCCTGCCATCAGACACTGGAGGAGCCCTGGGGTGTCCCCAACCACAACCAAATCCAGCCTGGTGCTGTCACTTCTGGCGGGTCATCAAGGTTCATGCGACGAGCTGTGGAGCGTGTCGTCCCTCGTCGATCAATTCTCACGAGACGTCGACTGCAGGCTTGGGGCGATGACGATTATGACGCCCATTCGCCCCATCCACGCAGACCACGGCCAGGCATTACGTAACGGACACGTTGGAGACAAAAAAACAGACAGCACGGCGAAGTCAGCAAATTACAAGACAGAGGAGAACCGGGAGAGTGAGAGAGATTCCATTGCATTTCCAGTACTTTACAGAACGACCTATGCAACCACTCAACGCGCTGCGCTACGCTACAAGTCCAGGACAAGAATAAAAGTCAGGCAACCATGCTGTGTCGCGGTCCAGGACACCAGGATGTTTATCCAACAGCCCCACGATCCAGATGCGCAGGGCCAATCACAACCGTCATCATCGCTGGAGACGCAGAAAGACGCAGACAGGCGCAGGTGTTTCAAAGGCGCATCTGCACCCTCACCAATGCAGCCGGTATTGGCGGTTTGTGCGAGCCTGTAAACCCCGCCAGAGCCAAGGCGGGAAACATATCCAACGGGCAAACCTTATGTACTTTTCACCAACGCCATGGGAACGGCGGGCTGACGCTGGGCAATAGGAGAGGGGCTGCTTGAATGAGGGGCATGAGGCCGAGAGTTGCCGTTCTCTCTTCCATCAACGCATCCGGCTTGCCTATCTCAGTCAGCCTGAGCAGCAGCCATCGAAGGCAAGTCCTGCCGGAGTGGCCCTGTTGACAAGTAGGCTCAGCCAGCAGTCAACAGCAGCACATCGTTGCCGCTCTTCCCGGCTGACGCACGACATCGATAGTCTTCCCGTTGCAACCATCCTGGTTAGCGCCAGCGGTGCATCTCGGCAGATCAAAGCCTTTGATGGCGGGGCACAGATCCGGGCTGGGAGCTGCTGGCTGATCTGATCTCCGAATCCCGAACCCTATCTGGCCCCCGCAAGAATGGTGTAATTTCTGACGTCGATGCCATGCCATATTTTGATGCTCTCCTCCCTCAACCCCTTCCCCCCCCCCAACTCCCTGCCTTTACGGCGATGAAACAGCGCCGTATTGGGTTGCATTCTTCTGAGCTGTTGCTGAAAATAGCCGAAAGACGGCAGGTAACCAAGGCGAGATACTGATGAACGAATCCAGGTTAGGATAGAGTCAGAGGTCAGGATACGGTGGCCAGCTGAGGGGTTAATGACTGGGTAGCGGCCCGTCGCAGATCGCGGATCCATGCACCCGCGGCAGATCGTCGAGCCCTGCTCACCTTAACCCTGCGATTTGCTTGGATCGTCTTGCCCAGTCTCACTCGGTTGAATGCCCGCCGACCTTATCCTGATCTCTCTTCCCGCGTCCATGTCCCTCATGGGGCGATTGCAAATCTGCTGCGTGCACGTATCTGCTTTCCATAACGGAAAAAGATGTACGGAAAGGGCATGAGCGTAAGCGTAATGAAGGCCAGCAAGGCTGTCGCCCATTGGAACCCTAGATCATCGTACATATAGATGCCAAAGAGTGGAAATGCCGCTGGCCAACTGCGATCAGCAACATGGCATCACAACAAAGAGAAAAGTCGGACAACATACCTGCAAAGGAGCACCGCACCAAGGCATTAGACGCCAGAGCGCTGGCAGCATATCGCGGATAAGCATCAACCTATGCAAAAAGCCACCGGCGGCTCGTATCAGCAAACCTGCTCTTTGCTTACTCTCTGGACCATAAGTCGGGGATGGCCGCCCACAAGGCCCATCTGTGCGCAAGAAACAATGTGTCACGACTCACCAAAAATGTAAATATTCCTGTAAAGGCGAGAGACATCCTGTGGAACGGTACACAGTCAGCTAGGCCGTCTCTCAATCACCACATGGGAGCACGACAGAGTATAGGCCGGCATGAAGTGGTGGCAGCTCAACGGGGATGGAGCATCCCGGAAGAAACTGACAAAGCCCTGACTAACGGGGAGAACAGAAGCCAAGGAAGGGACATGAATCCTCATTCTGGGAGAGCAACGTGTCTGTCTGGCGATGGTTGGCAATGGAGGCCTGTAACCCACGACCCAGGAGAGAAGCGCTTCACAGCATCGCAGGTTCACAGGTTACCAGCTGCCTGGCCAAACCTGGGGTCCAGGATCCAAGATTGCCAGAGAATCTCAGACAGAACAGTCTCCCAAAAGTTCTCTCTCCGAACAAGTGCAGAATGAAAAGACGAAACATCCTTGTACTCACCCAAGACCAAAGAGGGCCGACCCAATGATGGGCACGATCCAGTGCACATGAGGATACGTGGTAAACCCAAACCAGAACAGGCCACCCGTGATCAGCGGCGCACCAAATATGACAGGCGGCAGTTGGTCCTCAGGCTCGTCCTTGACAACGCCAGTCTCCTTGCGGCGCTTCTCGACCAAATGCTCGCGGATGCGGTTCCAAATGGGCGTGCTCAGGCATGCAAGGATCATAGCTACCAGCAAGCCCATGAATGTCAAGCCCACCTGCCACAGGTTGAAGTCGTAGTTTGTGCGGAAGATGAGTGGGAAGGCGCCGAAGAAGAGGTAGAGCAGACCTAGCAGCATGGCGGTGTAGATGTTTAGGATCATGGCCATCGGCTCGAGGAAGAGGATCTGGAAGGGCCGGAGGAGGGACCAGGCCACTGTCTTGGTCACTGATCGTGTGGTCTTTTCGATTGGGGCACGCCATCTGTCATCGCCTGTTTCTCTGCGGAGCTTTTCTGCCTTTCGTTTGAGCAGGACCGGGTCTGCGTCATCAGCTGCTGTGCCCCCTTTATTTCCCTGGAGCTTGAAAACACTTACGGTATGTCTCCGGTACGAACAATGCAATGCTCAACAACAGCACACCAGCCTCAATCAACAACACATAGTGCGTCCAACGCCAGTTGGTGTACATATTGATCAACCCACCTATGAGAGGACCAGTCGACGGCCCAACGAATGGCGCCAGAGCGAAGATGGCCATGGGTGCAAGCATGGTATCGCGAGTGAACATGTCGCCGACGGTACCTCCCGAAACAGACAGGAAGGCACTTCCAGCAAGCCCCTGAAAAAATCGAGCAATGATCATGGTCTCAATATTCTTCGCCATGGCTGATGGAATCAGCCAGACGATGAACGCCGCGAACGAGGCCAGATAGATGGGACGCCGGCCATAGAACTCGGCCAGCGGCGACCAAAACGGGCCCATGCCAATGCCCAGCACGAAGGTTGACAAACCAAGTGTGGAAACAAGCCGTGAAGTGTGGAATTCCTCGTTCATCTGCCCGTATGTGGCAGTGTATGAGGCAGAAGCGTTGGTCCTGTTATTGGGTCAGCCACACTTTCCTGCTCCTTAATCAAGATGACAAGCACAAAGAAAACTCTGACTTACACGCAAAAGCTACCCACGCTTGTAATGCCCACAATTAACCATTTCCTCCACGTCGGCATGCTCCGGGGGCACATCGGGTCCGCATCGCCGCCATCCCAGCCGACCTCGTACGGGTCGCGCTCCGGGCTCGCACCGCCAATAGCCCCGGCCGAACTAGGATTCGGGTGGTTATACGGAGCCACCACGGCGCCATCGGCGCCCTGCTCGATGTCGTCCACGCCGAAGCCGTTGTTGGAGCGTTCCCTACGGAGAGTTGACAGGGTTTCGAGGCTAATCTGCCTGGCGACAGGGGGATGGTTGCGGCTGGGCCCGGTACGGATAGGGGCAAACCCGCCGTCGCCTGGGGTAGTAGTGTCTGCTTCCGAGGTGCTGGCTTCTTCAAGTTTGGGCTTTTCCTGCGGGAAGGAGGCTGCTATTGATGAGTGTTGGCTTCCTGGCCGTGAGTGACCGGCCTGGTTGTGGTTGTGGTTGGGCTCTTTCTCTGCCATCATGTTGGTGGGTGTGTGGACCGAGGGACCTCGGAATATATCAGGCCGAGGTATCGGCGGTGGTAACGGACTCAATTGAAAGGAGTTGACAGGTTTTGACACGTCACGGACTGACTATCCTTGCATGAGAAAGCAGTGACGATGCTCACTGACACGCAAACGATGGTAAAAGACAAGCCAGCACTCATGTTGGCGACCTACTGACCTCTTGGGATGTGACGTTGGTTTTATCAGTTTGGCCCACACCGCTCGCCCCGGTCCCGGGTCGAGCTCCGCCTGGTCCTCAAGATTGCGACGGGCCCCCTCAAGCTGGTTCATCAATGACTTCAGTCCGGGGGGGGGGTTCTGTCAACGCCACACTTTTCCACAAAGTCCAGCCCCGTGACGTCTTACTGTACATGCAGCTCAACAAGGGTTCTTTCAGATTCTGGAACAACAATATCATTGTCATCAACCATCAGCAACAATGAAGGCAATCGTGCCGGTAAGTAAGAAATTTTTAGTCACGGGAAAACGCTTTCCCTCTTCGTTCCAAGTTTCCAGAAGGGAGCAGTGAGGGGATGACGCTATTCCTCAATCGTCCAAATCGCCAGGGGTTTCGTAGTGGGCCCAGCACCAATCATGGAGCCTGGAGTCCCCGCCCGTTGCTCGTCACAGCAGCACTGGTACGGCGGAGGCTCCCGGCTTTTGCTGCCCGCATGGAGTGGCGCAGTGGAACCGGCGCTCGGGTCCAGCTTGGGCTGCATGCATGCATGCTATTCGTTTGGAATCGATCGTTGTGGAATGCGTACAGTACCGGTAGGTAGGAGATAATGAGCGATGAGTAAAGGTAACTTTTCGAGATTTTCTTGCCTTGGATGTTACTAAGCAGTTTTCGCGAGATGGACAACAACTTGATGTTGCTGACAACACGAAGAAACATCTCAATCCCGTGCGGATCTCGGATTTAAGACGCCATCGGCCGAGATATATCCGGGAATAACCAGTGTGCTGCAGGATATTTGTCAGCGAGGTGGGAAGTCATTCAACATCGTGAAAGCCTAGTGGTGATCCTTGAAGCGGTGATGACATCTCAAGGTTACAAATGGGCCTTGAGATGTGGGTTCCTTCGGACAGCTACCCTCTTTTGATATTGTCGGGGTAAAGGAAATCGAGTCTAGGTATCTATTATTCATGGTGGGTACCCTTGCAAGTATAGCTGTGAAACATGTTGCTTATAAATGCATCGACATAAGCTTTTCCTATGGGTTCAAAAGTTAAATGCAGCTCCATCATTTCGTGAATGGTAACCAGACAATCCTGACGAAGGGCAACATTAGTAGTACTCGGGCAAGTCCGAGAAGCTCGGGATTTGGGACAGATCGCAGTCGAAATCGCGCTCGTAGGCCTTTTTCGGCAGCACGCCAGCCTCGAGGCCCTTTTTGTAGCTCCATTGATATCTGATTCTGTTAGCATAGACTAGAATGACCAAAACAACAAGGAGGGAAAGAAAAAGGAGAAGGCGTGAGGGAAGGACATACGCATCTTCTGTATCCCAAACCCAATACCACCAGCCCCATCCCTTCTCAAAACTCGACATCTGCGCCTCGGCGAACATCTTCAAAAACTTCTTGTACGACTCGCTCCACCGCGAAGGAGGGGCATTTGCCAGCTCACAGCTACACCTCCTATCCTGGGTCGGACACCTCGGGCTAGTCGCATCCAGCGCGGGATCGCCGCTCACATATGTTCCCGTCCAGCGATTCCCCCACCCAACATTCGTCAAGTGCTTCGCACAATCCGTATCAGCCTGCGACCACTCGGCCACGAGCGTCGGGCCGAACCCAGTCGACCGGTCCATGCTCAGCAGCGTCTGCTCAGTCCACGACTCGCAGGCAAAGCGCACTTTGGCCGAATGGTTCAGCACGATCTGGTCGTTGTTGAAGATGACGTATTGGTGCACGTCGAGCGCCGCGTTGTCTACGTTCTGGAGCTGGCCCTGCCATTTGTGGAGGCCGCGGAAGCCGTCGCCGAAGACGATGATGGTACGTGAGGAGGAGATGCCGTTGCGCCGGACGAGGTTTGCTGCTTGCTCGGTCCATTGGATTACGCGGTCGGCGTCGAGTTTGGTCATTTTTGGCTCGTTGGCTAGGCCGTAGTGTGTGATGATGTTGTGGTAGCGGGGCTGGGAGAAGAACTTGGAGAGACGGTCGTGGATTTCGAGGGAGCGTTGCGCGTTGAGCTCGCCGTTTGTGCCGTTGAGCCAACCAATGGCACCGAGACGGCCGGAATGGTTCCAGCCGTTCTGGCTGCCAGGTAGGGCGTGTAGATCTAAGTTCACTCGAAGTCCATACTTTCGACACCACTCAATGCCTCGAAGGAGGTATCTCCATGACGTGCGGAACAGGTACGGTTCGCCGTCGTACGTCTGGACTGCCCAGTAGGAGAAGGGGATACGCACATGGTCGAGCCCTGCCTCGGCGATCTCGCGGAATGTGTCCTCTGTTACGAAAGTGGCATAGTGCTTCTCGAGCGTCTCTGCGCAGCGCCTTTCACCGAGGTACTGACAGAGAGTGTACTCGTCCACGATGCCCAAGCGCCGATCGTAATTGAAAAGTGAGGGTGTGATGAATGGCTCCAGGGACAGCCAACCACCGAGGTTTACGCCGCGAGCAGGACGCTTCCCATAATCGCCCCATGGATCCTTTAATGGAGGGACGTGCTCGTTCGCGCGGGCTGAGTCGTCCCAGGTAGTGAAAAGACCCATTACAGGCAGATCGCCGACCGTCTCGTCCGTGTAGGTTAGGTTAAAATCGGTTGTGTCGGCCCAGGTGAAGGGGTTGAGCCAGTCAGGGGCGTCGGCAGGAATACTGTCGCGGGAGATGCTGTCAAGCCCTGTCGGTTTGTTGTTATTCCCAGTCGGCTTATCGGAGTCCTTTCTCTCTCCCACTCTGGGAATAACCGCAGCACCGACGATGATAACAATGAGGAAGAGTACAAAGCAGATGGCCAGGTAGATCACTATATTGTCAGCATCTCTCGTTAGTTCTCAACAGCGGAAGTCTCACTTACGCAGCTTCTTCTTCTGCTTATACCACGGCAGCTTTTCGCCAGTTACTGCCTGTTGCACTGCCTGTTGCTTTATCCTGAGAATACTTGACCCTGTTCCCCAAGATGCTCTTAACCCGGTATACCCATTCTCATCCTTCTCAGGCTTTCCAACCTTTCCTTCTTCCATCAAGACTCCACTGACAACTCTCTTGCTCCTCCTATTCTCCCTATACTTCTGTTGTTGCTGCCGCCCCTCATCCGCCTCCTCACCATCTTCCTCAGCAGCCCTAACCGGCTCATACCCCCGACCACTCCTTTCTCGTGTCCGGTCCCGTTCCCTTTGTCGGTCTCTCTTCCTCCTCTCATGCTCGCTTTCCCATCCTGCCCCTCTTGTCTCGGAAGCTACCCCTCCTCGACTCCTCCCTCGTGACCTGGTCCTTTCCTGTCCCCGTTCTCGTGCCCTCTCCCTTTCCTTTTCCATTTCCCTCGCCCGTGCCTCTTCCCTTTCTCTTATCCGCGCTTCCTCCCTCTCCCTCCTCCTCCTCTCCCTTTGCTCTTTCATCCGGGCAATCTCATTTTCCCGGTTCAGCTTGGCGAGCGCGGCAGCTGACAGAGGCTGGCCTGGGGGTAGGGTGCCCTCCTCATTGTCAGATGTCGGCCCCTGAGACCGTCGCCTGCGTCGTTGTTCTCGTCTCTGGTGCTGATAAGCCTTGGCATCGGTCTCAAGATCTGTCTCGCCTGCTGTCACTGAGCCGCGACGGTGACGGTGCTGGTCGGGGTGCCGCGAGCGTGAACGCTCATAGTTGCTGTAGTGACCGTCACGGTGATGGTGGTGATGGTCTTGGTGATAATCTTGGGAACGAGTGCGCGAATGAGATCCGCGGGGCATTTTTAAAAAAGAAAAAAAAAAAGACCGTCCGTTTGAAATTCAATGCAGGCTTCCGGATGATGTATTGACAAGGGGTGAGATGTTGGGACAGACCGTGGTCTCGGTCAAGGATGCATGCCGCTTAAGACAGCTCCACCTGTGTCTTGTGTCGACAAGATGTTACCTAGGTGCTGTTCAGTCCACTTTCTCTTCCACACGGTGCAGATGACAATTCACTTCAAACGTCCAAATTCAAAAGTATGGGCATGGCCTCAGAATGAAGAAAGCAAACATCAGCTCAAACTTGCAACGTCGCTGACGTTTCGCCGCAATTTCACCCTGTTCGCGACCTAGCACCGTGTCACCCGCCACAACGTAGCCGCCAAGCAACCCCCAGCCGCCAACTGTTCCAGCCGCTGCTAGGCCATATTCCCGCCAAGGCAAAGAGACGCACGATTGTTAACCGGGCAACCTTATTCGCTTTCAGCTGGGCTTTGCCAGCCCACCAGCCACCCAAATTGCCAAGCCTTTGGTAGAGGGCAGCTGACAGAGACAAGGGGCAGGCGTGCTGCCAACGACGTCATCGAGGAGGCACAGCATGAGAGAAAAGAGAGGGTTACAGCGTTGCACGATCGGATCGATTGCATTGAGTCGGCTGCAACCACCAAAAACCACAGAAGACACGCACACACACACACACGACCGATCATGAACTTGCCTGGTCTAGGGTTGAAAACGTACTAGATCGAAGTTCTCTCAACAATCATCAATGACGACACTACCAATCTCATCTTGGAGAAATGTTCAGATCAGGGTGCTAGGCACGCGATCCGCAGGCCAGTCACCGCCTGCGGCGCCGCGCAGCCGGGCCCGAGCGGGGCCCCGCAGCAACGGCAATGCTGGGCAGCGGCCAGGAACAGGGCAGATTAAATAGCTAAAGCCGTCGCAAGCCGAACACGGCAGCATCCCAGTCTCCGACTTCCATGGGTTTGCACTTCCTTACCTGCCAGCCGTTCTCTTCGTCTCATCTTTTCATCTTTGAGAGTTGCAGAGCGGTCAGCGACGACATTTGTGTCTGCCCTTTGCTGTCGATCGCCGAGACACCCAGAGAATCGTAAGCGTATTAGGAAGGTTCAATACCCACTTGCTTAGTCCACCGCAACGACCAACATCGCCATCACGATGAAGAGGAGCACAGTCGTCATCCGGCCTTCGGCAAGGGCTCTCTCCCGGCAAGCATCCTCGCAATCGTTTCTCCTTGCTCGTTCATCAGCCCTTACCTCTCGCCAACGAAGGCTCTACTCAACCCATCCACCAAACGCGCGTCTCAACCTTCCCATTGACTACGCGACAACCCCCCTTCTCGCCCACACCTCCCAAGCAGCCCTCTCCAACCCCGAGCTGCCAGCCTCGGTGCGCAACGGCACTACAAAGCGCATGAACCTCTTCCAAGCAATCAACGACGCCCTCTCGACCGCCCTCGCCGAAGACGAGTCGGTCCTCATCTTCGGCGAGGACGTCGCCTTCGGCGGCGTCTTCCGCTGCACGACAAAGCTGGCCGAGACGTACGGCGGCGACCGCGTGTTCAACACGCCGCTGACGGAGCAGGGCATCATGGGGTTCGCGATTGGCGCTGCTGCTGAGGGCATGCGGCCCGTGGCGGAGATCCAGTTTGCTGATTATGTCTTTCCTGCATTTGATCAGCTTGTGAATGAAGCGGCGAAGTTCCGGTATCGTGACGGGGCGGGCGGACGGAGCGCGGGCGGGTTGACGGTGCGCATGCCCTGTGGCGGTGTCGGGCATGGCGCGCTGTACCATTCGCAGAGCCCTGAGGCCCTGTTTACGCATATCCCAGGGTTGAAGGTCATCATTCCGCGTGGGCCGGTGCAGGCGAAGGGCTTGTTGCTGGCTGCGATCCGGAGTAATGACCCGTGCGTCGTCATGGAGCCCAAGATCCTGTATCGCGCTGCAGTCGAGCAGGTCCCGACTACAGCGTACGAACTGCCGCTTGGAAAGGCAGAAATACTCAAGGAGGGCAAAGACGTCACCGTCGTGTCGTATGGCCAACCTCTGTACAAGTGCATGGCTGCCCTGAAGGCAGCTGAGCAGGACTTCGGGGTGTCGGTGGAGTTAATCGACCTGAGGACGATCTATCCATGGGACAAGGAGACCGTCTTCAACAGCGTGCGCAAGACGGGACGGTGTGTGGTCGTCCATGAGGCTATGGTGAATGCTGGTGTTGGCGCTGAGGTGGCTGCTGCGATTCAAGAAGATCCCGAGACTTTCGTCAGGCTGGAGGCGCCTGTTGCGAGAATTGCGGGATGGAGCATCCCCACGCCGCTGGTGTTTGAGCAGTTTAATTTACCGGATGTCACCAGTAAGTGCTATCTGACCTTGGGTCTTGCGGACGTATATGCTGACGGTATGCCCAGGGATATACGACGGCATCAAAAAGGTGATGAATTTCTGAGGGACTTGAGCATGAACAGTGGCATTCTGAAACAGAGCATGCTGCATTCTAGCAGGCGAGGCGTTGACTGGTTGATGGGCATTGTATTGGATGATATTATTTTGTCCGTATTTTTGGTTTAATTTGTAGAGCGGTGCATACACTATACCCCGTCGGCGACTTGATTGTGACTTCTTTTCGTCTGAGCATCCTCGATTTTGGTGTTGAAGTTGAAGGTCTAAACTTTTGGTGGATGAATCCCCAAATTCTTGGCGTCCAAGGGATCCGCTCCCCTCCCTCCCCCCAAGCTGGGTGCCCCGCATGCTCCATAGATCGTTCAGGTCCACGGTTTCATCAAAGTGACAACAGCCCGCCATATCGTCGACCGCCCTTTGGCCCATCCCAGAACTTCTTTCACTCCCTGTTCCCGTATTCACCAAATATCATAAACCCCAGTCAACGTAGATCGGCCATGACTCTGCAAAGTCAAAAAGCCATTCTCTCCTCATTCATCGAGGGGGCTCCGCCAGGAGAGGTACGTCGCCAGTTTCCAGCGCCCAGCTGCCCGATCCTGGGGCTTCAGGGGCGGATGGCATATTTGCGGTTGGGGCCCAAAACTAACAAGCCTCTCAGCTCGCGGATGTCGTCGCAGGCACGTCTTCTTGCCCAAGAACTATCTTGCTCTCAACCTTTCGTCATTTCCAGCCCGACACATGGAGCCCCTGACCTGACCAACTGCTAGTACAGACATCAAGAACTTGACTTCGTCGACACCGAATTTGATCAACGAGCTCGGCCCAGCCTTCCAGAAGTACAACGAAGAGCAGTTCACCACGGTCAAGCTGCCCGGAAGCAGCCAACACGTCATAATCAGCTCGCATAACTCCCTCGGTGGTAGCCGCTACTACGACGTCGAGACCTCGACCAGCTTCGCGTTCGACCACACCACGCAAAAAGCCAGCGCTGTTGAGACCTATGTCGTGGAGGGCGCACAAGGGGATCTAACGTGAGCATTTTCCATATCACGATGGCAATGGACGGAGAAGCTCATACGTCGGGCAGGAAATCCGTCATCAAGGCGCTTGCGCCCTATGTCAAAGAACACTACAGCAATGCCGCGTATGGCGCCTGGCCGATCGAGAATGACTCCAAGGTGGCCATTATCATTGTGGCCAACAAATACAGTCCGAACAACTACTGGTATGTTCTCACCTCTCTCCCATAGCCCTTCCCCCTCCCCCCCCCCTCCTCCCAATTTCCTTAGCTAACCCGTTTCAGGAACGGGCGCTGGCGCTCACTCTACATCTTGGACCCGGCTGCTGGCACTGTCGAGGGTAGCATTAAGGTCGACGTGCACTACTACGAGGACGGTAACGTGCGGCTGTTGACTGATAAGCCGGTGACGGCGTCCGTGTCGGCGACTGGCGCGGCCATCGTCAAGGAGATATCGGCGGTAGAGAAGAAGTACCAGGAGGAGCTGAACCGCAGCTTCGCGAGCCTCAGCGAGGGCGCCTTCAAGGCCCTGCGCCGGCAACTGCCTGTCACCAGGCAGAAAATCGAGTGGGAGAAGATAGCCGGGTACCGGCTGGGACAGGACATTGGCGGGGGTGGGGCTCGGCGGTAAGTTAGGGCTGGGCTGGCTGGATATGTTTCCTTTTAGAGGGACTAGCTCAACATGATGCTTTCTTTCAGCATTTGAAAACGAAACCATTCCGATGGCCTTTCATTGGAGAAAAGGACGCCATGATCAAGATATCGTTATGTGTCCGTCCCCCCGCACGGCACGACCCTTGACAAAAGTCCCGATTAACAGATCCGATGGTGATCTGGTGGCCCCGGAGCCCACATGGTACCCCGTCTTGCTGCGACGCCGATGCGGGAGCGGACAGCAGTGGGATGGGCGAGCATCTGGAAAACGGAAAACGGTCGCCGTCCAGCAGCGCGAAGATCGCGAGGAGGGGAGCACTAACTTCGATGATGCACAAGCCACAAGATCGACTTATTTCCAACTCTACACTTTATTATGTGTTTCTCGATTCCGTATTCGCAAAGACCATGATTTTTGATCAATATGTGCCCGCGAGTCGCAGCGGTGTCAGTCAGTGTGGCCCTATGATCTGAGTGACTTAACTTTCTCGGATTGTGTATCCCCCGAATCGAACCATCCTTGCGTTAACCAATCAGAACAAGTAACTGTTGCATTTGGATGCTGTTGATTGGCTGACACTCTGTTCGGGATGGGCCCGCCAAGCTGCAGTTCTATCGGGGTTCGCCAAGGTTGGTACCGATTGGTACCGTCTGTCGAGGGGCACAGGGGTTCTCAGTGGCTCGCGGCAGCGGCTACCCAGAGCGAAAATGCCCTACGCGAGTCGCTGCGTTTCGTTATGACTGCTGCCGCTCCCGCCCGGGATGTGTTGAGGAGAGGCCCCTGATAGCGCGTGTCAGAGAGTGGACGCCGGGCCGAGACCTGGTCCTGGTTTGTTGTCGACCATCTGGAACCTTGACCGTTTTTTTTTTTCCATCCCCCCCTTGATTCTTTTTCTTCTTTCTCACTACCTATCCCGTCTCCAGCCTGCCGTCGCCGTCCAGACTTGCTTCCATCCAACGTCGTGCCCGAGTCTCACAGTCTTGTATGTCTTGTCCGCGTTGTTGGCGTTGCTGTCACCGCCAAACCCTTTCTGTTGTATGTGTGTGCTGGGGCTAACAAGAAAATACCAGCTGGCCTTAACAGCGTCCCCCAACAAAAAACTCACCGTTTCCGAGACGACAATCCTTCGCACAAGAACCTTTGTCAACTGCTAGCATCACCACAAACACCGTCAAGATGTCGCTGCAGCTCACCTATCAGGACGTTGCTGAGCACAACACCAAGAACGATCTCTACGTCGTCATTCACGACAAGATCTACGATATCACCAAGTTTGTGGACGAGCACCCGTAAGTGCCTACCCAGTCCCCTCAATCAATGACCAAGATTGAGAGTCCCAAAAACACCCCTCGCATTTCCCGATTTCTTAGTCCCCTCACCGCATATGAAATTCCGAGGGACCTCCGACTCGGTATTTCCCCGCATCGGCGTCCCGACGGCACGTGAAAAATTATCAGCCTCCTTATCTCCCGAGCCATTGAGCCCAGCACACATGCTAACATATCCTTGCACAGCGGTGGTGAGGAGGTTCTGCTCGACGTGGCTGGTCAGGATGCCACCGAGGCCTTCGAGGACGTCGGCCACAGCGACGAGGCCCGTGAGACCCTGGAGAAGCTCCTGGTCGGCACTCTGAAGCGCAACGTAAGTTGAATCCTTGTCAATGGCTCGAGTCATGGAAAAGGCCAGTTTGCTGATTCCTTCATCTGCAGCCCGGCGACCCCAAGCCCAAGTCCCCCAAGCCCGGTGCCGTTGCCCCTGCTGCCAACAACGCGACCGCCGGCATTGGCGTCGGTCTCTATGCCGTTATGCTCATCGGAGGTCTGATTGCCTACTTCGCCTACAACTACCTCCAGCAGCAACAAGCTGCCCAGAGCGCTTAAGCGCGTTTCTGGCGTGGCGAAGTTGATCGGGAGCTCGGGGTTTAGGAGGATTAATAACGGATCTGATTTGCTATTGCGTTCTCTTCCCTGAGATTTCCAAGTTGGCTGCGTTCAGCATGGGATAGGGAAGGGAGTTACACAATAGCTTATCAGATGCTCTGAACCTCTCACTATTCCCCGTGTCGAGGTGTGGCTGTGTTAATGATATTTTCTTGCAACTCGATGACGACAAATACGCAGCCTCATGGGTTCAGCGTATTGGATTGGATGGTCTACAGCGCCTGCCAGTGTTCACTTGAAGGTGCTTATCTGGCTTAGGGTGTGAACGGTCAGGACATAGTCCAGCTGCTGGGGCTGCCAATTACTTTGGCAGGACGTGGCTGGAACAAATGAATCACGTATGGGATTGGCACATAGGGTAGTTTATAGACACATTGTAATTTCTTGAGCGAATGGTCCCTCTGCATGTTGTGTTTACCTTCGCCTGGCTTCTTGATGATGCGGATGCCTGACGTTCGTGGCCGAAATGTGTTGATGTCCCTATGAGCTTGTGAGGTCCAGATCGCACGTTGCACTTGCTCACATGTGGCCTTTGTGATCGCAGGGCCTTTTGTGAACCTTCTTTCTTTCCGATTCTCTTTATTCCTTTCTTTTGTTCTTTTTTCTAGCTTCTTACCTCCAACCATCGTCAATCGCTTTCAACCCATTCGAAGTGGCACACTCGCTCCATGATGGCCCTTGACAGCGAAACCCAGAACAAGAATGGTGGGGCTCCAGACACTGGGAGCCGAAGCCAGCCGCCCCCAGCTGCCGCTGGTCTTGGCCGTCCGGTCGGCCACTGTCCCAGCAGCGACCAGCCTTGCCAGCCCACTGGCCCCGCTCTCAATGTGGGTGGTGATGGAGCAACCGGCGCCAACGGAGCCAATGACAGAGCGCCCGAGTCACATGGCGCCAAGAAAAGCCTTCCTTCGTTTCTGCAGCCAAGCGCGGCCTTCATGACCTCTTTCTTTGGCCGCGGCCTCAAGATCCTAGCGGAGCGAAGTGGACAACAAACCTCTTCCATCCAGAACGACAGCAAGTCCAACAAGCAGAACAAGCGTCAGACCCTATCTGACGAGAACGAGCCGAAGGCCAAGAGAAAGGCCAAAGTCGCCAAAAAGAAGGTTCCGTTTGAAAAGAAAGACGGTAAAACCGCGAAGAAGAACGGCAACCAGCGCCCCTTCAAAGCCAAAAGCGGCCCTTCCTCTTCTGCTGCCGCGGCTCCTGCTCCCTCGTCGGCGTCTGCGACGGCACAAGTTTCTGGGGGTCAAACCGAGCCGAAAGTCAAAGTCGATGCCGAACTCGAAGCTCAACTTCAGGCCGAGTTCGAGTCCGTGCTTCTAGACAATCTCCACCCTTCAATCGCTGCGACCGAGCGCGCTCAGCCCAAAGCCGACCTCGAAGAAGACGTCGACGTCAAGTTCGAGATTGTCTTTGAAGTCGATCGCAAGACGGAAACCACAGCTACTAACCACGATCAACTCAAAGCCGAACTTCAAGCCGAGTTCGAGGCTGCACTTCAAGACCACGCCGAGGCTATCACTACAGCGACCGAGCAATCGCAAACCGAAACCAACCACGAGTCTGACTCCGAGACCGAAATTTCATTCGACACTGATTTTGAGGACGATCGAGAGGCAGAGACCAAAGCGACAGACGAAGCAAAGCGCGGAGTTAAGTTGGAAGCAGAGTTTGAGGCCGCACTCAACGCCTACATCCCAACCACAGCTGCTGTGACTGGTCAAGCACCAAACAAGAACATCCACAATTTACTGCCTAAGCCATCGATCATGTCGAACCAGCAAGGTCTGAAGTCGCTGGTTCCCAGCGCGAAGCAGCAGCTCCAACGGTCGTCGCTCGCACCGCCTAGTCCGTCGCCCTCCGTCGGCTCGACCGCGTCCGCTGCCCCCGGCGGTGGCCCTACCTCTGTCGGCACTCCGCGCAAGGATCGCGATGGCGCGCCCATCGTCTACTCGCAGCCAGATCGCACCGGTACTGGTGAAAATATCATCTCGCAGATGGCCTATGCGATCTCCTGGCTGCGCAGCAAAGAGGAGCCCCAGACCTACTGGGACGTGCTGTCCTACCTGTCGGCCACCTCGCGCCCAGAGTCTGAGCAAGAGTACTTCGTCGACCAGATGCGGCGCAATCCGCAGATCCAGTGGATCCCCGACCCGGATCTGTCCGAGCAGACCTGGAAGAGCGGTACTTACGTGCACCGGCCCATCATCCCGGGCGTGAAGAGCAAGGACACGCTGATCGCTTACCTACAGAAGAAACAGGACGCGTCGGGCGTCAGCGTCAAGGACCTCAAGGATGGCTGGCCTGACTGCGAACAGGCCATTGCTGAGCTGGAGCGCGAGCACAAGGTGCTGGTGGTGCGTGCTAAGAAGGACGGCGCTGCCCGCATGGTCTGGCTCGATGATCCGTCGCTATTCCACGAGGTTGATCCTGAGCTCAAGCTGATGTGGGCGCGCGTCGAGGTTCCCTCTGTCGATACTATCGTGCAGCGCCTGTTGGCCGCGCAGCAGAAGCCTGCTAGCGAGGATCCCCGCCTCAAACAGGCTGCCAACGCCCCCACGCAGCAGGACAAGAAGAAGAAGCGGGCGCAGAGACGCACCGGCAAGGCGACTAATACCCATATGGAACACCTGCTCAAGGATTATAGCCACTTGAAGCGTTAAACTGGTGGCAGTTTATCTCCACCGAGACTCATTTGCTGGCTGATGTGGCCAGCTCACCTGCTAATTTAGGGGCTTTGCTTGATACTAAGTAAGAGGATGGCGTTGGTCTGGACATGGTTACGGACACGGTCATCATGGAGAAATAGGTCCGGCTTTCTTTGCTACGGGTTTTTCTTTCGGCGTTTACCTTGCATGGGTCGGCGTTTAGGGGGTTAGCTAAACGGGTGCTTTAACGTGGGCACGAGGGAACAAGACAAAAGAGCTCTGCACTCTGAAAGGGCTCTGCCGGGAAGGAGCCTCTAGGGTTTCATGTGCCTGTCTGTCTTGTTCTACTACTATCTTACCACAGTCTCTCGGAAAAGGGCTGGTTGATAAATGAACGGACGGTTTTGTGTTTCTACTTTTTGTAACATCGGCATGATGCTGTCGATGGAATGATGGTATAGTCTACAAACGGTTAAAAAAATGGTGGCGCAGACATCATTATCGGTGCTCAAGCATCGAAGAACTTACTTAATGGACTGGAGGGGTTTTCTGGCTGACTGACAGGTGTTATTCCCGTTGTTCCTGAGACTCAACACGCCCTTGTATGATTAGTTGGATTATATATAATATGGTCTGCGACACGGGGTTCTTGGTGATTCCCGGCTTCTTGATGCGAGTCTTGTCACATCTTTTTTTTTTTTTCCGTTATATTTTGTTGCCTAAGTCTAGCCCTCTGTTTTTACAAGTGCTCACATGCTCCTCATATATATCATATATATATATATATATATATACCGATGCAGAACATTGCTTTATACTGCATTTCAGATCTGGCTGGCAGGGTACTCGTCATCTCTGGGTCATGAGTCGTACGACTCAACACCGGCTGAACCAACATAATGCAGGAACTTAGCCGAATTAAGTTGTATTGATAGGGTAGGTTTCCCTCATCTTACAGTACGTAACACAACTAGCGCTACAAAACCAACCAGCGACCAAACCCATTAGACCAAGCTCACCTGCCTGTCTAGCCCACCATCAAGATCCTTTCTCCCCGAAGAGCCGAGGGAGACTGAAGCAAGGGCGGAGTGAATCTGCTATTGGTGACTTGCCATGACCACTTCATGCCATCTCAGGATGAGCAAATTTATCGGTGGAGATGACCCAGTCTGCCAATATTCTCCTGCCTTGTATCTCTCAAGAGAACAAGCAGTCCCCAACCGACAGAAGAGCCGGAAGAAGCAGCTCCCGCGAGAGAGAGAGAGTGAGTGAGAGTGAGAGTGAGAGTGAGAGAGACGAAAGAGAAACAGAGAGAGAGGGAAAGCAAATAAAGAAGACACAAATCCACGACGCCAGAGACCTATCAAAGAGATCCTGCAAATTTGTCTGTTCGTTTCGCCCAAATCGCCATCCACCCAAGTTCACCAGCGACCCGACCAAGAGTGACTATTAAACCAGTACAAATGAAAAAAAAAAAAAAAAAACTGCCTTCAACCGAACACCTTTATTGTTGAGAAACATAAGTCCAACAATACACAAGAGTTTTGGGTTTTTCTTTTGTTCTTCTTCTTGTTGGTTTTGTTTTGGCCGACCAAATGGTACACACTCACACATGAGGCATTCTTTGACCGTTTAACTTTCTTTATAACGCCCAGGAATTAAGCCCCTAAAAAAAGGGAGGAGTATTAGGATGTTATGATGTGGAGAGAGTCAAGGAGCTTTGCTGGATAGAGACTCAGCTCAGTTATAGTGATGAGGGGAAACCCGGCTGGGGCTTGTAAGGCTGCGACGACGAGCTTTGCTGAGAAGTCGAATCCGAGGAAAAGCAATCTCTCTTAGCAGCATCACTCTTGGAAGCAGTGAGTTCCTGAGAGGAAGCCTGCTGACCAGAATTGTTCTGAGAGAGGCTCGGCTGAGAAGAAACTGGATGTGGAAAGCCAGGTTGAGGGAGCATACTGTGATGGGAGCACTGTTGAATCAAGCTCTGAGTCAAGTCCTGCTGCTTCCATAAAGGGGCAGGAGAGTGTGTAAGTTGATGATTCGGACCATGCAAGAGATAGGTATGCGTGACCAAGCTCTGGTGAGGCGCCCCCTACTGCGCGTTTGCCCAGAGCTCTCCCTGTCGGCCGGCTCCAGCACCAGGCTCAGCGCTATCGGGACGGCGGGTGGTCGCTGCAGTGTTGTTGTAGAACATCTGTCCCATTGCGGTACCAGTCGGGTAAGACTCAGGATCAGGGTAGATATAGGTATTGCCGTTAGGGCTCTGTGTGGGAGAGCCAGCAGGGCCAGGAGATGCCCACCCGACGCTGCCAATATGGGGGCTGCCCGCAGCACTGCCGGGTCCTTGCTGAGTGTTATCTACGCCAGGCTCGATCGCCGTCTGCTGAGGTGCATAACCGGTAGGATGGGAAGTTGGTCGCATGCCGTTGTTGAAGCCTGATGATGTCGTTGAGGCCGGGCTGCTAACATGGACGTCGCTGCGAAGATGTGCCGGGATTGAGTTGTTATTGAGGAATTGTTGCATGTTGTTCATGTTGGCAAGTTCAGCGCCGGGGGACATTGAGACAGTGCGCTGGTCGGGTGATTGGGCCGAGGGAGCAGGAGATTCTTGGACAGAAGGCTGTTCGCTCTCAGGCCGCGACTGCATCTTGGCAACAGCGGCAGCGGCAGCGGCAGCGGCAGCGGCTGCTGCTGCGGCGCTGGCGCCTTGGGCCAGAGCCTCAGCACGAGCCCGCGCTGACTCCTCAACGGTACCAACGTGGTGATTCTGGTGCCTAGTTAGTGTAGTGCGGCGGGTAAAGGTCTTCTGGCAGTCCGCATAAGGGCACTTGTAGGGCCGCTGTCCTGAATGGATACGACGATGGCGGGCCAGTGAGCTGCTATCGCTGAAAGGCTGTAAGGTATGTGAGCAAATGACCTTTTTGACTTAAGGCAGGATATGCATACCTTGCTACACTTCTCACACAGATGCGGCTTCTCGCCCGTATGCACACGTTGGTGAACTGTCAACGCTGACCTCTGAATGAACTGCTTCCCACAACCCGGGTAGTCGCAAACATGCGGCCTGATACCGCTATGAATGCGTTCTGTTCCTCAAGTCAGCCAAAATGCTCTCAAGTTTTTGGGAGCTGGGCAAATGCGTACCATGTCGAGCGAGGTCGCTCCGCCTTGCGAACGGCTTCCCGCAGGTGCTGCAAGGGAATGCCTTCACCGGACCCTGGGGAGCTGGCGCAGGAGCTGCAGCTGGCTCGGTCTTGAAGGGCATCTGGGGCACGCCCCCTGCGACACTTGAAGCAAAGTCTGGATGCACCATGGGAGCAGGTGCCATGTTGGCGCTAGGAACAGCGGCCGGAAGAGTTGTGGGAACAGCGGTGGTGGTGGTGGTGGTGGTGGTGGTGGTGGTGGTGGTAGGAACGGTTGTCGGGACGGTCGCTGGGAGAGTGGTAGGAATAGTTGTTGTTGCGACAGTTGCTGGTACAGTTCCAGACACAGCCTGCATGGGAGCCGACGTCATTGTAGCAGGCTCAGTATATGAAGCATTCATTGGTGCGGCAAACTTTTGCTCTGAGCCATGAGGAGCGGCCTTGTTGTCGATTGGGAGTTGCTGGATATGCTGAACAGGCTGACTGGGCTGGGGTTGGACTTGAGGCTGGGCTTGAGCCTGGGGAACTTGTTGAATTTGCTGAACTTCAGGCTGAACAACATGGTGGACTTGCTCAGGCCCAGAGCCAGGCTGAACAGATTGCACCTGTTGCATACCTGGCTCGGGTTTGATAGCCACTGTCCCAACTCCCAGGGAGTCAGATGCGCCCGGTGCCTGTGACATTTTGGAAGCGTGGAGAATGAAGAGACACAGGCCTCAGTGATTAGGATGATGTCCTGAAGATGTAGTCAGCAAGAGTGATGAATAACCTAAAACCAAACTGGTTGAAATTGCTCATGGAAAGGACATCGTCCTGCGTTAATGCAGGCATTGTCTTCATCATATGCGATGATATGAGTAGTTCCTGGCTATCCAGGTCAAGGGTTCAAGAGATGTATGTACCATGTACGAAACATTGATGGGTGATCATGATGGAATTGAGATGGCAAAAATAAAACGGACAGCAGAAAGTTGAGGGTTGACAGAATTTTGAAAGAAACCTCACCTTCTGGATACGACTGGACCCGAGGATACTCAATACTCGAGTCGCTGAATCTCGGTAACGGGATACGATGACGGCTGATGAGAAGTCACTTAGAAAGCTCGGGCTCCTTTAAGAGACTCGACTGGTGCTTGGCTGGCGCGCGAGGGCGATGGGCGTTGTTGAGCCGTGCACGGTGCAAGACGATAAAAGAAGAAGGCGCCTTGACCACAATGCGACCGTTTAAATCGGTTGCCAGTGTGGAAATGTGGGGTGGCCGTGCTTGTGCTCCGCTGGCCACACCTGCAACCTGGCAATCGAGTAAAGACGAGGGTTTGGTGTTTGCTGACGTGCGCCGCGCAGCTCCTGGGTAGTTGGTTCGCAGCTTTCCAGGCTTTCCGGTCGTGGGGCGAAAAGTCTGAGTCGGGCTGTCGGAGCGACGAGACTCTTTACTCTGACTAAGTGGGTCCTACGCGACAGAGCTGCGTTGCGTCTGCCGTGTTCTCTTCCAGCGATAGCAAGCTACCGTGATGCCAGCCCTGTCAGATGATATTGACCGATCAATCGGACCCCAACTTGTCGTTTCTACTGCACCGAGGACCTAAATGACCTGTCTGCACTTCCTCTATATTTCCTCCTGGGTACTCAATATAGTGCCAGGCCGTGGAGGGAGTCGCCAGTCGATCCTGACAACAAGGGCCCCGACAGCTTCAGTTCCGGGATTCTTCGGCCCCTTCAGAGCCCTGATATGTCCCCGGACTCGCAGAACTTCGAAACAGAGCCAGGAAAAGGGATGACGCGACTCTGTCGCGAACTCGCAGTTCACGCAAGGGGCAGCCGGGTTGGCCGAGAAGTGTCTGTTAATCGTCCCCTATTGATCAGTACTCTGCACATCAACTGAACAGCATTACTGTTGAACAACAGTAGTCTGGAAGAGAACATAGGAGTGAGCGATGCAGCTAGCGCTGCCGACTGCCAATACAGCCTGTTGTCCGGGATAGGTAGCTGGGGTATAGAGAAGGACGCGTTCGACTCGGGAAAAGCGGACAGCTGGGATCAGCACGTCGTACGCGACAAACGTGCGCATCAATCTTTCGGGTCCTCGCTGCGACTTCCCAACTCCTCACGCTGGAGCGACGAGGCTGACAAGAATCATAGTCGAAGCGCGTCCCGAGGAGCACTGATATTCTGGGGATCCGTGTGCTGGTGGTGATGGTTACGTACCGTTTCGTTCTTTTTTTACGATGTGGCCTGGGCGTCTTCTCGATTGATATGACGTCGAGGCTGCAACGCGTGGGCAGCAGCCAGAACAAAGGGAGAATAGTTGCAGTCGATCAAAGTCAATGATGAAAAAGAAAAAAAAGAAAACAGAATCTCAGATCTCCCTCTCTGGTTCTGACGTTCCGCGAAGGAAGAGCAGAAAAATAAAAGGGAAGTGTGAATGGGCTGCAGAGCTTGGGGAGGGCAGAGCTGCAACGGGGAATGGGGCAGGTTGAAACGGCCCTGGGGCGCCCAGCTCGCGTGTGGGGCGCATACTGCCACAAGGACCCACTTTTTCGTCTTGTTTACAAAACCACACCGCGGTACCTGAGGTCATGTGTGCGTGCCAGCCAAACGAAAGTATCATGCAAGCAAGTGCTAATCCGCCCTGTTCTGGCAGTATCTTGCTTGGCATCGATCCCCCGATCAGCAGTGCTCGAGCTCGCACACCATCACAAGGCCACAAAATCGCCGTTCGTTACACATTGCAGCAAAGGCCTGGTCAATAGTGCCGGGCTCGACTTGCTTCAAGGTAGACTCGGCTGACAAGCAAGTTAGGAAGATTGTTTTGCCATGCAAGAAGCCGTAATTTTACTTCACCAAGACATGTCTCGCGCCGGAGTCTCGGAATGGAGACTGGTGTCGCCGCCGATGAGTCGAGGACCGCTTACGTACCTATGTACGGTGTACACATTCAGAAGGAAAAGAACCAACTGTGACGTTCCTTCTTACCATGACTACTCTACCATCATCCAAACTGAACGTCCTACAAAGCTCTTTGGTGCTCATACATACCAACTTGTCTGTTGGCCCGCCTTCAAGCTCTCCTTCAATTGAAGGACTGATCAGTTTCTCTGAGAAGCTTTTGTGGTCAATAAACAACAAGCCAAGGTCCAATCTTTCGGTTTCCAGCTTATTGGCTGCAACCTCCACATCGGCTTCACCTGTTCCTGCGCCCCCTGCAATCGAATTGGGGTGTCCGTGCATCGCGCGGGGAGGAGGGGGGGGGGGGGCTAGGCGCTGGCCCTGGTTAGAGGGGCTGATGATCGACGCCGGGGTTAAAGGTAAGCTCTCAAAGAAAAACAAAGTCCAGATATTTAAGTTATAGCTCATGCCTTGAGTGGCAGAACTCGTCCATGTGAATTAAAAGCAAGTAAGATAAGAGAATCATCGCAACGATAATCTCATTGCATACGTATAGTGTAGCATAATGTAGAGATAAATCTCTTCCTTAGTTGGATGGACTTGCCTATGCACTCCCGGCGCATGATGGTCCCGTTGCGAGGCCCTGTCACAGCGGTGGGCCGCCAAGCACGGGGCCTCTTCAAAGAGAGCTTCCAGAAGGCTTCCAGAATGCAGGTAAGACCACTTCAATTGACCAGGGTTGTTGTGACGGTGGTCCAGTGAGCGTGGTAACTCTCTATATAACACGACAAAGACGGATTATGACCTTATGATATACTATGTAGCGTAGATATACTTCAGTAAGGTCATCTAAAAGTTGCAAGTTACTTTGGAAGCCTTACTAACAAGCAGTGTATAAGTCCAGCGGGTTGCAAGCTATCTGTAAAATTGGCACCAGTGCACGCAAAGTGTGTTTTGACCCCGTGATGTTAGTTCCTAAGATGGTACACTGACAAATTAGGATCTGTTGGATAGTGGCCATTTTCCATACGCTGGTCTAGGTTATAAGGAGCGCTTTGTTGGAATGATGGCTTTTTTTCCCCCCACCTTTGCGTTAAACCCGATAGCAGTTTGCCAGTGATTTTGGTTGGGGGGCAGGACATCGTTGATCTAGACATGCTCAGGCAATTCCAACACTGACTATTAGGCATCGATGATTCTTCTTGATTCCAAGCTTTCTGTCAACTGCTAGCCCCTTTGATGTTGTGCTAGCGACGGGCACCTTGACGGGGAGTGAATTTATGTGTGGTTGTGATACAGTCCTCAAATTTCACCCTTTCACCACATGGGGCAGTTTCGCAGGTGACCGATCTGTGGGTCAGCCAGCCACGCACAGACCGGTTGATGTCGGGCTTGGCGATGATACGGTGGGCAACAGAGCTGCCCTGGTGCTCATTTCTTGGCATCCACGGAAGACTGATACCGCACCGTTGAGTTTCCTTGGCTCCATAGCTATGATCAAGTTCATTTCGACAATCATGGAGCAGACAAGAGTACGGAGAATTGGCGATGCAAAGGGTTAATAAGCTTATCTATTTGCAATAATACGATGTATTGAGAGGACGAATTGGCATTCTTCATTTATACTATTATCTTCAAAGTCATTAGTCTTCCTATCATTGTAGAAGGATGACCAACCCTATTGTCGAATCCATTCACTTTGATAATCCTTCTGTAAACTATCCTTCCCCTTCCGTAGGAAAAATACACTTCGCCACTCTCAATGCCCTGAATGTTGGTTCCATGACACCTTCAAATTCCTGTTATAAAGACCTTTAACACCTTCCGAGGTGACAGTGGGATTTCCTTCGCACTCCGCTAACTACAAGGCGGTCTCGCTGCGCGACCAATGAGTGTATGCAGCAAGGTATCCATTACAATGCGTGACCCAATCTCCGAATGGACGGATGGTCACAAATCGGATATGATACATGGTTTAATGAGATACTATGATATGAGTTCCTGGATGTCATTGTCTCTCTAGAGCCAGTACCTCGAGAGTTCAGACGTATTTTTTACTGATAAGAACATGAAATGTATTTCAAGCTTCAGCTTGCCAACCTTCTTCAAAGATACAAAGGTTTTGACTCACGCCATTGCTCATGTTTTTCGCGAAGGTTACTTCTTCTCCTTGACATCAAACGACTTTTTAGTGGGCTCACTGATCATGTTTCATTGTCATCATTTGTCTAATAAGATGCCCACTCATAGTTGTTCAGAGTTTTGGAGGCATGGCTGTTGACTTCCCAACGTTGAGCTTTCTTCTTGGGAGATGAACAAAATGATGAATTTTCAGCTAGGCTCTTCGTGCCGGGCTCCGAACCCAAAGAGTTCCAAAGCAAAGCTATCCAGAACAGGTGGCAACTAAGGTATGTAATGGCATGGTTTCTTGGCCTTGCTGATCTGGTCAGTTTTGAGAGCTGAACAAAAGGTTACTGATAACCAAGTCTTCGATCTGCTAAACAACATCTTAAGGCAAACATCGGCGCGGATTCCCTATACCATTGGGCTGCTTTGTGAATAACACCATTGTGCAGACATCCAACACAGGTGTGCTGAAGCTGTATCATACTTACCAAAGAACTTCCCCCCACACAAAAGTCCACAGATATAAGGGGAGCCATGTTTCCTTGCCAGTCTACAATGTGGACAGCTTCCATAGCCAGCAGCCATCAAGCTCCTCATAACAGCTGTCATAAACAAAGCGTTACCAGGCTTTGCTCTCCTTTTAGAATAGCCAAGGTCTAGAAGTCTCAGTCAAAAAGACGAAGTTAAAATGTCGATTCAATCTCGTCACTCCGGATGCACGATGGCCTGCTGCTCGTAAGGATGAGACCACTCTTTTTTACCCTTTTGTCCTGCATCCCAAGACTTCCATCCTCTTCCCTTTTCCAACATGAAAGCTCATATAACATACTATTATTAGCCCGGCACGTATGCTCACAGCATCGAAGGACCAGTCCTTTCCAACAGAGACACAAGTCGAATGTGATGATGTTGCAACGCTACCTTCAAAGTCTGCCAGAACTCACTGAGCGCCTGGCCTTTCCATGTCCAAGCAGCCGGGAGCATGTTGTTGTCGCGCAGAAAGCCTTGACAGAGGAAACAGAGATCCTCATACGAGAGGCTATGAAGGCGCTCGAACAAAACCTCCAGGAGGATCTCTCCAGCCGTGATAATGGTCACACTGAACAGAATCAGAGTGGAAAGGTATGATGTTTGAGAGTCTGATATAAAAAAGAAGGTAACATTGTATTTAGTGGTGTCTCGGATAATTCATCTAATCAAGGACAGAAGAACCTATGGCGGATTGGAGTTGTAGTTTCCTTTTTACGGAGAGTGAACTATACATGTCATTATCACTTCATATAACAATAGCATACACAAAATCCAAGCATAACGAGAGACGGTCAATGATTCAAGACACTGAACTCTATGATGTGAAACTTGTCTCTCTTGATAGCTTCTACATAAAGTAACTACGTATCTGGTGCAAATGCATAACTTTAGTGAATGATTCTCCATGCTGATAGTTTAGTGACTTCTATGTGCCGATCGAAGCAAACCTCTTCTAGAGAAGTATTGAGTAGAAACGTATGGAGGATATGATGGTTCATTCAGAAGTACCTGTGAGCATGCTGACTGAGGGCCGGTTATCCTAGCTGTAAGCAAACAAGCTCTCTATACTCATTGCAATGACCAAAATCCCAAAGCCCAAATAGCCAAGACAGAAATCTAAACTTGAAATCCGAAAGCACTATAAAGGCTTTACAATATGCATAGAGCATAAAGAAAGGCCAGATATATATCTGGCCCCCCCAAAAAAAATCAAGAAAGGAAGTCCTTCTTCTCTACACTTCTGCAGAAAAGTGGAGGGATAGATCGAACTGTTGAGGTTGACCAAGGTTAGAAACTTGCTCCCAGACCCTTACAAAGACGAGTAATAAGGCCTCTAAATGTCGCAAGAACACTCACTTTGATAGCTGTTCATCGTCAACGTCAATTACTCGGCCGGATTCCAACCAGAATATCATGGTTTTGGCTTCCCGTTGAAGACTTGGATGCTGTTGAAGATGCTCTGCCTCATTTCCTTCCATTTGTGAAATGGACCACTGCAGAGGAGAAAATGTAGAAGACAGGGATACAGCATCAATCCCAGTTAATGACTCCCGGTATTCAGTGTTAATGTCACGCTGCGCGCACATTGTTGCGTTAAACAGAGCTAACGAAGGAGTCCCAGAGTTTGCAAGGGCCGGAGGAAAGCCACCCAGTAGCTGGAGTTGTTCATTGCTTGCTGCCGAATGACTTTGATGAAACATGAAATTGTTGACACTATTTCCATCACAACTCTGACGACTAGTGTCCTCGAGTGCGAAAATCGTAGTGCCACCAAGAAGTGAGGCCCGAGGTTAATCTTGTATGCTATAGAGAGGATCAATCATAGAAAATGATGGATTGTTGCTTTGAGGTTCCGGGGTTGATGCTGGGCTGTACTTAGAAGGACTGCTTGAGGATGTAAATCCAGAGAAGCTGGATGATGTGTGGAAGAGAGTTGACCATTGCATTTGGCTACCATACCACTTGTCGATTGCGGAGAAAAGTCTGTTGCAAAGCTCTTTGGAGGACGCCGAGGCTTCAACAGCACCTGAAATCCCTTCTAGTGGTCGGCAATTCCTATGTAAGTCCGCGGCAAAGAATTTCTGCACCTCAGTCTGAACTGCTGCCTTCAGTTCACCGGAGGAGTCCTTGTGATCAGTTATGTAAGGAGACGCAGGCAAGGGCTTATCTGGGAAAAGTACGCTCCAAATGGCAAACCACTGTTCTTCCTTGGATGAGGAATGATCAGAAGGAGAATGGAGCCTGCGTTTTTGGACGGAAGTTAAGCCCTGGTTGTGAAGCCTGCGAATGTGTTGCCTAACCCACGATAGACTTGTCAAGGTGTGTCCAAAGCATTTTTTTATTACTTCCTGGATCAAGTTTGAAGAAGGGGCAGGCAAAACGGATCTTGCTCGATAGGTAGTGACAGGCGTAAACATCTTTTGACCGACTATCTGATGCTTTTCGTTTATAGATCTTCGAATACCGTTAGTTCATGCGCATTTGTGCAAGAGGCTCCTGCGCCGCGTACCTTCTTCGAAGAATTTTCAAAATTTTTGTTCGTGGTTTTTTTTGGATGGTGGAATATGAAGCAAAAGCTGAAAGCGGGCTTTCGGAGGATGGAACATAGCCAGCAGCTTGATGCGACAATGTTGCGGTGATTGAAGATCACTGTGGATTGGAATAGCTTTGGTGGGTTGTCGCTCATAAATTTCAATGTTGTAAACACACCAAGTACCTCAGTGGTGTGTTAAGTGATCGAAGGCACTTGAGTCGACTGGGACTTGGCTTCAGTGATGAGGGTTTATGTTGGTTTGATGTCCAGGAAGCACCCAGCTTCAGGAAGTAGTTAATAGTCTAACATTTGCAAGACCGAAACCTCTTGTTTGAGGGGGCTGAAAACAGTAGCTGTAATGAAGCACTGGTCTGTAAAGAAATTATGTCAAACGATGTCTGCAAAGTAATGAATGGATATGTGAGCAAAACAATATGGGATGTAGCAGCCCTTTCGAAGGGCCCTTATATCATAGAGACTCCTCATATTATATGTTGGCAGCATAGGGGTAAGTATCAGCTCCGGGAAACTTCAGGTATCGAAACTTCCGACATCACGGAGGTCCCCAGACATTGTATAGACATGCACAAGAGAGGTGACTCAAGAAGTCCTGTCCTGGAGGTCACAGGCTCCCTCGGAAATTGTCTGTCACAGTGGTGCCAGAATCACACGTCATGCATCATGATAGAGAACAAAACTGTAGTCAGACACCTTGTTGTGCTTGCCCGATCGAGCTTCATTTACAGTCAGCGCTACTAACTTGTCCTCGGTGTGAGGCGAATTCTCCGCTAACAAGCCAAGACTTACAACAGCACGGAGGTGCTGCATGTTGCAAGGCGGTCTGAAGTGAAAGGTCGCATTAGACCTCCTGTGTTCGCCAAGTACTGATTATCCCAGGTATCTCGCACGTCAGCAGGGCTTACTCAACTGCTATTGGCGCTGGTAAGATCCCTTGCATCTTTGGATCCACAGGTTGATGATAGTCAATAAGTTCAGGGCTGCAGCGCGGGAACCAAACCACGCAGGGTCAAATTAGGAACAGAAATAGAAATGTTTGTTTACCCACAATAATGTAGATGGCAGGAGAACTCAAATCTCACAAAGTCTGTTTTGTGGACCAGACAAACGGATTAGAGTGCCCAATTGGATTGGTGTCTTCAATAGGCAGCATGAACTTAGTTCAGTGACTGTCGATATGCCGACATGTTCTGTTCCTGTGTAAGGCGAGATGCTGACCCTTGTCAAGGTCAAGTTCAAGATGATGTAGTATACCAAGTTGATCGTAACTTGTAGTATTCGTGAATCCAACATCAATGCAACAACCAACATTATACCGAAAGAAAATGCCCATTGATTGCCTGCTTATGGCAGCATACATTGCCAGCCTACCAAGAACCCCTGCCTACCTCGTTGATCCAGCCTGAACTTGACCCAGTCACACAACGCCCTCCTTGACCCGAGAACCCGGAAAGCCCAGCCAGAAGCAGCCAAAACTAGACAGCCTAGTACACAAACTACAGGAAAGCAAAGAAAACACCCGTTATCATACAAGGTTGTTCATCTGTCTGCATCCCTGGTAGCCAGAAGACAACAACAAGAGGGAAATCTACTGCCCCGAAGTTCTTCGCTTCTTCAGAGTCAAATCCAGGAGTATTCCTTACAGCCTGAATTTGTGAAAGAATTTAAAATCGTAGCAATGGTCAACAGCAGTATCTAATATATCTACTGAAGTGAATTGATGCGAAGAAAGACCCGGCAGGGCAATGATAGGCTTAGTTCCACGGGATGGAGCCCTTTCCGAGGGCATCTCCGGGGCTAGCCCAGAAGGCGAGGGCAATGATGCAGTAGAGGCCGAGAAGCTGTTGCAACCACGTCAGTTAGACTGAAATTATGTAAGGGTTGTCTTGGGGACAATGCCATACCATTGCGCCCTCGAGGTAGTTAGACCTGCCGTCCTGCACGGTATAGGTGACAACCAGAACAGAAAGGGCAAAGGCCACGGTTTGGACTGTGACATGCATTATTAGTCCATGAGCATGTGCTAAATAGAGCAAGCAGGTACTTACAAGTCTCGAAATGAAGGGACAAGGGTTGTCCAATAGCCCAGCCCAGCATGACCAACGCAGGAGTGACCAGCAAGGCGATCTGGATGCCGGAGCCAATAGCGCAACTCATTGCCACGTCCATCTTATTCTTGATCGCCATGGTGCAAGCAGCAGCATGTTCGGCAGCATTGCCGACGATAGGAATGAGGATCAATCCAATAAATGTCTTGCTCATCTTGCCTGATGCTGCTAGTGCGTCAATGGTCTCAACCATGTAATCCGCACAGAATGAGATGATGAGAGTCGTGACGAGAAGAAGAATCGAAGCCTCCCATGGCCCCAGCTGGGTTACTTCATCCTCGTCTTTGTCTTCGCTGAACAACTCTTTGTGGGTGTGCATGATAAACACTAGGTAAAGGCAGTACAATAGGAGTAGGATGACACAAGTGCCCCGAGACAGCATGAGCACGGTCTTGTCCCTTTCGGCGTCAGATTGATCGAGCACGCCGTACAAGACGGCAGGAAAAATCATGGAGGCGCAAGAGAGTGCCAGAAGCGAGCCAGTGATCTGAGCATTACCGTGGGCGAAAGTCTGCTCGATGCCGCGGCCATCTTTGTCTTTCATGTTTGTGAGGCCGCCGAGGAGGAAGCACATCCCAAGTACCAGCAGCAGGTTAGACAGGATCGAGCCAAGCATAGAGGCTTGAACGACCTCGAGTTCGCCTGCTGATAGCGCGATGATGCTGACAATCAATTCAACTGCATTCCCAAATGTTGCATTCAACAAGCCACCCAAGGTCGCTCCCAGATGGCCGGACAAATCTTCAGTCGCGCGAGATAAAATTGAAGCGAGGGGGAGAATGGCAATGAAGTTGAGCCAGAAGATAGAACCAGTACTCCATTCCAGATGGCCGGCAAGGAGACCCAGTGGCTTGGGCTGTCAGCAATGTGCGAGATCGATGAAAGGGAGAGATACATACAACAAAGATTAATAAAATGTTAAGTCGTGCTGAATGCTAAGTTAGAACGCGTGTTCATTATAACCCATGGAGCAGCGTGGAGCCTACAGTGATACAGCGTGATTTTGGCCGCATTCCATGTCTTTGCAGACCAGCGCACAAGCAGATTGCGGCTCTCGAAACCTGGGGTATTGTCGGTGTCGACCAGAAGCCTGTACCAAAAGCCATGTTCTTCGACTTGCGTGTCAGAAGATCCAGTGCTACTTGTGCCCCCTCTGGGGAGAAGAGCCCGACGTTCGTCTGCTTCATTAGCAGGACCACTTTCGACATCGTGGTTCATTGTGTGATGGGGAGTGCCACTGGTGCCGTAAGGGGCGGAAGATCGTCGGCTAGATGACACTCTCCGTATGGTCTTTCTGAACGCAACGGTAACTGTTGATAAAAAGCGAGTTAAAAACAAGCCCACCGACGATCTAGAAGCATCCTTGTCCACGATTATGGCTGTGGTGGCGGGGTGATGGAGGAAGTCTAGGTGCGACTGTTGAAACAGCATGGCCTGCTGGGCTTGCTTGTTCTCGATATCCATAAAGAGGCGCTGCGAAAACACAGTCGCGCGAGCCAGGTCTAGGGCCACCACCCAAGATTGTGACTGTGTAACCAAGCACGACTCAGAAGTCAGGATGCCAGGCTCCAAGGAGAGTTTGGAACAGCAACAAAAGTGGATAAGAATGTTCAATCAAGAGAGAGTACGATAAAGCGATGTGCTTGGATGACGGCAGTAGCAACCGGAGTCATGGAACAAAAGGTACTCACAATTGGGCATCGAGACTGATCGACTGATATGAGGATTGGGATGTAAAGGAGCAAACTTGAATGACAAGAGGCAGTACTGCGTACACGCACGCGGGGCAATGTGATACGAAAAAGAAAAAAAAAGAAGGCGCTTATTAAAATTGTTGCAAGACGATGGGAAACAAGAAGGAGTAGAGGGGCAGGGGGGGAGTAGGATTTGCCGCTCGCTGTGGCAGTGGTTGTCACCACTCACCTTGTCGAAGATATGGAGTAGGTAACTTGGGTCTTGGCTTCTGGCGCTGCGACCGGGCAACCGCAGCCCCTGTTTAGCGCGCTTGTCTGCAGCCGGTCAGCTTATCCAGGAACTCCCTTCGAGATGAGGAAAAGATCCTTGTTGACGTAAAACTAACCAAAGAGAATGCTGTCAGGCTGAAACAAAACTCGAGGCTCTCTCGGGAGACATCAAACCTGAGCAGCCACAGCTAAGTATATCTAACCTACTGCCTCTTGTGGCTCAGCACTCCATGATACGCCTAACCGCGAAGACCGCTATCGCGACGCCAAAGCACAAGTGTGGCGAGGTGAGTGCAGCTTGTCTCCCACGGCGCTTGGCACAGTTGAGTAGGGCAACGCGAGCACTTGAATCGAAAGAGTTCGACGGCGAGAAACCGTACTGAAATCCCTCAGATTAGGCTTCGCCTGCGTTTATATACCTCCGGCTATCCGCCTGTTCCGCAGCTGTTGATCTGTAAAAGAGTTTCCACCCGGGTTCCGACAGCAACCAACCATGACCGGGTAAAGCGTGTTCAAGTTGGCTCCCTCACAAATGTTAATGAAGACGGAATGCCGGCCATCGCAAACAAACGAAGTTTTGTTCATAAGCATTCCGTACCCTTTCTTATATCATAAACCATCGTTGAAACCAAGCATCGCAATCTCAGCTGCATGCCTCTTTTTAGCGTGCCCAGAGCGGAGCAGGTTCTCTGATAGCTTATCGATAACGGTAACACGACGTGCGGCCGAGACCCTAACTTGGTGGGCCGATTTGCGTCATAACCCCACTCGAGGCGTTTTGAAGGGCTCTCTGAAGTCGAGAGAGCAATTCAGCCCATTGGGCCATCTTTTCTTGACTGACGCTCGAGCACAAACGGTCAAAAGAACCCCCCCTAAGATAGGTACCTGGATTATGGTACGTAACAGAAAAACCCTTTAAAATTCTTAGTTATAATATTGTTACACTTTCAGATTGCCCAGTCAAAGTTGGGTTTGAGCACAAATTGTCCAGAACCGACTGATCCTTGGGGTCAACCCCAAACGAGAGCGAGGGCTCAACTACGGTTGCTGGCCGTCATCTGCAACCAGTGTAGTAAATTGCCCCCTGTCAACCTGTGGATCCACCCGCATTTGTAACTACGTGCCGGATTACTCCTCATTCTCCCCCTCTCCCCCCCTCCCCCCTTTTCAGAGCTGGAAATCCTGATTATTGAACAGGACATGAAAGCGAAAGTCCGGAGTGCGGGTTAGGAGGTTTTCCACCGCTCATCAAGCCCAAGTTCTCGCATTCCGAGCCAATATTTCTGTGGAGAGAAAGGTGTCTATCTGCACAGCTCCCTATCAACCCAAGTTTCAGCTGCCAAGTGAGAGAGGCCTCCAGCCCCGTTCTGCTTCGCTGCCACGACCTCCAAGCTGTGGAGCGCCCCCGACAACCAGGGGCAAGTAACCATTCGGGACATTTCCCTTCGGAGATCGGCCAGTTGGTGCCCGGAACCCCGGGTCCTTGAAGGAACAGGAGCAGCAGGTCGCATCTGCAAACAGAGCGGGGTAGGTACGTATCTCAATGCTGTCTCGTGTGCCAGTGTTGCCTTACCAGATTTAAGTGTGCTAAAGAGACCAATTTATCGACACGAAATAACACGTGCGTTAGTACCCTACTGTGGGATGGGCGACAGGTTAGGGTTCCCTGCTCCAGCGTTGAGCCCTCGATAAATGCGTTTGCGTACCCTTCCAGTGGGCGTGTTTTGTGTCCATGCTCTTCCTTGAGATCTGAAGCATCTTTTTTTTTTTCCCTCTTTAATGCCGATTGTCTGCTTCTCGTAGTTTCTCCATGTGGTAGCACATACATCACGAGTAGTTCTGACGACATGGCTGACAATGTGTTTATGCCGTAAGCTTTCCTTGGCGCATTTGGCCGCATCATCCAGCTTGTCGTTTTTACAGGATGTTTGCTGGCTTTTCAGGACCGCGGTCCGTTCATAGGGCGATTGCAAAAACATGCTGTAGACCGTGTGGACACAATTGACACCTTGAAATGGGCCATGGTTGCTGTGGACTTTGCTAAGCGATTCAACTGGTGTGGTTTTCAACTCCAGAGGAGAACGCTCCTAACCTGCGACGAGGGGAGAACACACCTGGAAGGACGTGCCATTTGAAACTATCATCACCGCAAGATTGGTGTGATTAGACCCAAAGAGTGCCGTGTTAAAATCTTCCATAATGTTACGGAAGGCATTGGGCGTGGCCGTGAAACGGATTGGCGAGAAGGGCCGGATCCTCCAAATCAGAACAAAGAACCTCTCATTCAGTTCTCAATACAATTATCGGTAAGCTTCTGGCTCAGAGTTTGACATAGCTCCAGTTATATCCTGGCTGACAATGACAGCCCCCGCATAAGGTCATGTACCCTTGATGTCCAATATTCGAGATCCGAGTATGCACAGCGTCTGCGTCGTGCCATATGCCCGGACCTCGCTGACGAAGAGCTCTCGGACTCCTCCCAGCTGGTCGCAGAACAGTTCTCGAAACACGGGAAATCCCCGTCAAGCAGTTAACCGCAACGCTTGCGGCACAGCATCGCACCTACATGCCTCGGTATCTGCGTAAGAAGCACTTCACTGCCACCAACCACATAATTCGCGCACTTCTCTACATGCGCCCGGACGAGATCGCAGATACAACCCGCCCATCAGTCGATCAACCTACCGGCACGCGCGAGTACCATCATTATCTGCCCCTCCTGGGCTGGTCCGTGATATACACGGGACTGCCTATTACCCGCGACGAGCGCAAGGCTGAAAAGGTGTTCAAGAAATGAGGCGTGCGCCACATCGCTTATGGGAGAACGGCGAGCGATATATTACGTAGGACATGGACCTCACGCCGAACAAGTTGCGGCAGCGATCGGGTTGTTGATGGAAGGGAAGTATAAGGGGGAGAAGTTGTCCGTTGAGAAGTTCCGGATTGCGACTGATGTGACGAGGGAGGAGTTGGCTGCTTTTCTTGAGGATAGTGGACGGCCGGGAAGTAAGCGATGGAGAAGACGTTTTAGATCGCGTGGGAGTTCTTTTTTTTTTCTTAGAGGAGAATGCTAAGGTATGGGGTTGGGTTGATGCTTGGAAGGATCTGCTGGGTGAGTGGAGTAATTCAGAGCTTGGGGAGGAGTAAGAGGAAGAGAAGGAAGACACGCTGGAGTTTGAGCTGTCTGAGTCAGAATGGGAGTCAAATGGGATCGGAAATGGAACCGCAGTTTGAAGTGAAGCTACAATCAGAGCTGGAGTCAGAGTTGGAGGATGAGGGCGAGGAGATCTTGGATTTCGAGTCGCATATGAGTCCGGACTTAGAATAATAACCTGTAGAGGTTGATTGAATCTGAGACAACACGTTCCTATCACTCAGCTAACCATTGACCATGCCGCTTATCGTCATCAATAGTCCAAAGCATACAGCCATCCTTACAGATCTCAGAGTGTACCTTCAGACTACTGCACCCACTCACTTGAGTAAGCTACCCATTGTCAGCACATACAATCACCCCGGCAAGACCAGATAGGCTGGATCTGTTTGTTCTGTTGGTTAATCTTTTTGGCCGGAGAGGCATATCGTTATGTTTTTGTGATCTCCAGCCCTCCCTCGGGGCGTACTGCCTGCCAGGAGCTGTTGTCTGGGCCTACGACTGTGAAACTGTCCATGCCGAAAATTTGTCTGCAGTTCCAATCTCCACGGGTGCCCTTGCTGGAGGTTTTGTGTAATCATTTTCTGCTTGATCAGAACGTGAGTTCTTTCACAAGATGGACCAGGGTTCTCAACGTGCGGAGTACGACTAGTTTCCCGTACCGTAAAATACACTTCTTTGTAAGATTACGCTAGTTTCTCACGTCATCAAGTGCCTCTAAACCCTCTTCTACTGTTGGCGGCGTGGTCAGCGGGGTCAACTAAGGAAGACGGTCGTTTCCCTCTTCAGTTAGCGCCCGTTAACTGAAGCCATTTCCCCCCGGTATCTTGCTTTCTCCGTTTGCTCGCCTTGAAGCAAACATACCCATTTCCATCTTCTAGGGGTGGTGAAGGTGAAGTCGGCCACATGCGCCCAGTTGTGTGGCTATTCACTCGAGAGAGGTTGCCTAAAGCCGCCTCGCGAAGCTGTGTGCCCTCAGTTGCGCAGACAGAAGCGAGCGATGTTAAAGTCTAACCGGTCCGCCTTGTGGGCCGTCAAGCCCAATTCGAGATGCTTTAGGGTAGCATTAAGATCCAGATTGGGCTTCGTCCCTGATTTGATGAGCTTGAATACACGTGCATGATGATGCAACGATCCTGGTCAAAATTGCTTGGTAGGGAACATGTATGGCCACTGCCTCTTAGTTCCCCTGATTATGGCCCAAGCCCCTGGTGCTGATTGGTTCAGGATAGTCGCATGGTTGGTAGCCCAGTAGGGCTATCTGATGTCGGGGGCCAAAATGCCCAGTGGCATGCCATCTTCTATAGTGAGAACGAGCAACAACATAAATGGACGCGGTGCCCTGATTTTTGACGTGAGCGGCTCTGCACTCTTTCCATTGCGTCAACTGTCAACTATTTTGCTGCCTAGGAGATTCACTACAGTACAAGCATTCAGTCATCATGTCGCTTTCCCATACACACCGTCAACTCGGCCGTGGGCAGCTGCTGCCCCGGTTGGCTCTCACCTCAGGAGGCGTCAAGCCGCTCTCAACCTCATCAAGGCTGTTCGCTCGCAAGGATCCCGGTGATCCTTGTTCTGACGGCACTGCACTCTGTGGTGATACTTGCTATCCGGACAATGGCGAGTGCTGCTTGACCGACGAGTATGTCGTTTTTTACTCCCTAATTCTCACAGAGAATGATCGCGTTAACATATATTACTTCTAGCGCAATGGCGTGGTGCGAACCAGGCTGGCATTGTGCATCTCCTCGTGGTTACTTGGGGTGTTGCCCGGTACGTCCTTTGTTTGTTCATCTTTGCTGCATATGCCATTTTTTTGGCATGTAGCGAGAGATCGCATATGCTGATACCTCATGATCAAAAGGACGGCCAAGACTGTGAGGTAGTTTGCGAACCGGGCTGGCAGCCGTGCTTTGAAGAGTATGAAGATTGAATGACCCTAGTCTGCAATGAAGGATATCGGAGAATACTGACATTTCGATTCCAGATGCATCCCGTTAGCGGCAACATGCTGTTCGCCCTGGGTCTGGTGTCCTCCTGGCAAGCCTTGTGACTGTTCTACTCAAGGTATGGGAGATGGAGGTGATAACGGCAATGGCAGCGGCGGTGACGATGATAGCAGCAATGATGATGGCGACAGCGGAGGTGGTAACGACAGTGGTAACAACGACAGCGGTAGTGGCAGCGGGGGGGACAGTGGGAACAACGATGGCGGCAACAGCGGTGACAATGACAGTGGCAGCGAAAACGGCGACAACGACAACAATGACGCCGGTCCTGACGGCAACTCCAGCAGCGCCCCCGTCACCTCCCCAAGCAGCACCACCACCGCAACACCCACAACGTCTTCTTCTAACATTCACGTTGTCAGCCTTACCAGCACAATCACCACGACTCCAACCAGCACTCCCATAAGCGGCATATGCCCTGCTGGTGAGAAGCGCTGCGATAATGTCTGCATCCCTCAGGACGCTGTCTGCTGCAATGATGGGCATAACGGATACTGCCAGGTACGTTTATTTTTAAAAGTATCTCTGCACTAGAATAACGGGACAAAATGGCTAATGTACTGTCCTATATTGTAGGCTGGCAACTTCTGCTATAGCGGTGGCTGCTGCCCTGAGGGCCGAACCTGCGCTAGTGGGTCTGGTTCCAATGCTGGCATAAGCCTTCGCCTGGGCTCCGGCGAGAAGCTTGTGCTTCTGACTGGGCTTGTGTCGACAGTCCTGGCTTATGTTGCTGGCTTTTGAGCTCATGTGAACTGACATGATGTGCGGGGTGTAAGATGTGTTGTTCGGTATATAGCACTATTATATACATAACGTATGTATCGAAGGGTTATGTATGTTCATGTCCGATGGATGGACGGATAGATGACTGGTTATGACTATAACTGGCAGGAGAATGTTTAAGTTCTAGTGTGTAATGATTAGTTCAGAGTTCGGCCACAATGAAGAGGATCCTGACGGATTTGGTCAAGAACATCATCATCTCGGAGTCGCGGAGTTGCCATTTATCATGCCAAAAAAAAAAAGGCTCCCACGGTCCCCAGTTTTATGATCTTGGCATGTTCTTTCATTATCATTCTCAAGAACCAGGACAGTTCTCAGCGGAACGGTCCGCAAAATCCATCCATGCGGGATGCTGCTTACTTGCATACATTCTTGGCCATCATTCTCCATTCAGTTACTTCACTACCTATCTCATCTCTTTCTTGAGGCCGACAGCTTGCGTTTGGTGTGGACTCGACCGTAAACCTGTGCCGGAACACAGCATAAGTCCAACTGCCCACAACTCCGATGAGATGGAGCATGCTTCGAGCTTGAGGTGTCCCAACCGAAGGGTACCAATCATTACCTCGAACTTTGTGCCGACAACCGTGTCATATACACGTATGCATATGTATGCGCCAAGTTGCAAGACGCTCCCATAGAGCTGGTTTGTTTACTGTTTCCTCGCGATGGAATTTCCTTACCTCAAGACAACCCTAACCCCAAGTTGCGATCAAACCTTCCGAGCAGGAGCATGCCATCCTTATCATCCTTATCGTATCACGGATATCAGTCCGCTGTAATTTCTTGGCACTACTCCACAGCACGTCTGATTGACCAATCTTTGCATTTCCGGCGTAACGGGTCCGCCTTGCAACAGTTGTCAGCGGTCGTCATTGTTTTCGCCCTGTTTGGCCTCCGAGGACCTTGTTGTCCCTATCCTCATGTTCCGGTTCGCCTCAGGTTTCATCCAGAAACCCCAGCCCAGCAAAACAGTCGCCTGGGCCGCCGCTGCTCCCATGCGCTAGCACTGACGCTCTTAGGCACTTTTGTCACTTTCTCTTCTCATTTCGAAGAACCGAGCCGTTCCCTTTGGGCGGCTCGTCAGTAAATTACCATCCAATCATTGTCATTCATCAACGGCAAGGGTTGATTCATCCCGCTGGAGCATCGTTGTCCGTCTATTCCTCTGCTGTGCTGCTGCGGACGCAGCGTCTGGCGTACCACTATTGCGATATCATACAATAAACAGACATATTCCCGTGCCGGCGATAGGCCAGTGCGCAGACCACAATGCCCTTCCAACCAGACACCGCCCGCCCAAACTCCCCGCTCCTAAGCCGACACCCCACCACGGCACCCTCCTCGGACAATGAAGATGACGACTTCACCCATCACCATGACGATCCCCGCAGTCGCAAAACCCACCACTCACTTCTCCAGCCATCATCACACGCAGGCCCGTCCGGGCTCCTGCGCTCCCGATCCCCTTCCCCCTCGCCATATATAATCTCCGGCGAAGCCCGCAAGCGGTATACGTTAGCCTCCATATTCCTTTTCGCGTCGCTCGTGTCATTTACCGTGCAGACTGAGCTCGCCGCGCATATCCAGCATGTGCTAGGGTGGGACAAGGCATATTGCATGCTGTACATGACGCATAGTTCGTGGACGTTGCTGTGGCCGTTGCAGGGGTTAGTACTTTGGTTGATGTCCTCTGGTTCGGGAGGGACGGCCGGCGCAAGCGGGGTGATACGACCGGGCGGCGGTCGTACCGTGGGGGCGGGCGTCGTGGGGAGGAGGAAGAAGTGGGGGTTGTTTTGGCGGGAGCAGGTGCGAGAGGTGAGGAGGATGGCTGTTTTGATACAGAATAAGGGGGGAGCGACGGCAAGAAGGGGGACTGCTGTCGTGCAGCAGAATCCATGGGCATATCTGGCTGTTACGACGGTTGGTGTGACGACAGCATTAACAGTTGCGGGTTTGAGTTGGTACCTTGCTGTTAGCATGACAACCCCTAGCGACCTGACGGCCATCTACAACTGCAGCGCGTTCTTCGCGTATGCGTTCTCTGTCCCGTTGCTGAAGGAGCGGTTACGGCTGGACAAGATGCTCGCTGTGGCAGTCGCCATCACTGGCGTGCTGGTCGTCGCCTACGGACCGAGCACTTCATCCGACACTTCCTCAACCGCCGGCAACTTTACAAGCACCACCCCTGACCCGGCAACACGCCTAGCAGGCAACCTAATCATCGGCGCCGGCTCCGTCCTTTACGGCCTTTACGAAGTCCTCTACAAACGCTTCGCCTGTCCTCCCGATGGCGCAGTGTCCTCCACGCGAGGCGTGCAGTTCGCGAACGCCTTTGCCAGCATGGCCGGGCTCTTTACCCTGCTCGTGCTTTGGATCCCCCTCCCAATCCTGCACATCCTAGGCTGGGAGGAATTCGAACTACCCACGGGAAAGACAGCCTGGCTGTTGTTCTTAAGCATCCTGATGAACATGATGTTTTCTGGGTCGTTCTTGGTACTGATTTCGTTAACAAGCCCCGTACTGAGCTCGGTCGCGGCGTTGTTGACGATTTTTATTGTGGCTATTGTGGATTGCCTTTGGGCAGGCACGCCGTTGAGTGCAGCGGCTGTTGTAGGTGGGTTGTTGATCATTGCTGCGTTTGGGATGTTGAGCTGGAGTACGTGGAAGGAAATGAGTGAGGAAGAGAGGAAGAAGAGCGTAGATTTGAGTGGGGATGAGGATAACTAGGGTTAGGAATGCGTGGGCTTTGGATCTTGAGTTGGGCTTTTGGTACATCGCATTAGGGATTCTAGCATCTTTGGGTATGATAGACTATGAGTAGAATATGGATGCCTTGGGAGCATCCTTGTTTTCCATGTTGCATTCGAGCATTTGACTTGTTGGCTAACACTTTTACGGACATCTTTAGCACCAGAATGGACCATCACCGAAGCATCATCAAAATCTGGCTTCAATTCTATCTCTTCAAACACCTTCTCTCGTTCACTCATCCACCACTTTGGTGGGATGCAAGCCCTACCCAAGAACACAACTCATGCTGCGCTCCGCAGATACCAAAATGAACGGGTAAGGACATTGATATCCACCAGACGAAATCCAGCCAAGCATGCCGGGGCCAACTTTTCCCGATTGCTCGTTTCTTTCTACTGGCCTTGCGAGCGGAGGATGAAAGGTTGACTCGAAATCCCAACTCGAACTGGAAATCCTGCCAGAGGGCCGCACCGTCTGCACTCCGTAAAGTAGAGGTTGATCATGGAGCTTTAGCGAACGCCTTGGTTCGATGCCGAAATTTGTGCATGCGGCAAAGGTTTGTGCTGTTCGCCTTTCGGTGAGTTAGAGCCATCCTTGGCCTTAAAAAGGTATAGTCTGCTCTCACCACAGAGGGGTCCGGGACGATATCAAAAAATGATCACGAAGAAGGCTTGTCCCGGAAGTGCATATATCAAGAGTGACACCCGAAACGGGCATTCGAGGTAGCCAAATTCTATCAGTAGAACTCCCAATCTGGTTACGCAGTGGCTTCAAGCGGTGTAAGCGAAGCAATCTTCCTCGATCTTCTCAACGCAAGTACCTATCACTAGTCAATCGACTAGGTTCTTTCGCGGCTCCTCTACTCCACTGAAAGCTTTACGAAAACTCCTCGACGAAGGTGATCCAGAGTCAGTATCACCACACGCATCTCCGGGAAAAGTTCCAGCTTGAGCCCCGGTAAGCCCATTAGCTGTCCCTCTTTTAGCGCCCGCCACTGGGCTCGGTCAAGATTATCATCAAAGTTAGCGCCGCGTTTTGCCAGCACAGACCTCAAGTTGTAGCCGACATCCAGCTCTCGCTCAGTCACTAGGTGTGCGCTTTATCGAGCAGGAACCTCAAAGCGTCTTTTGACATGGGGCTCGTGGTGTCGCCTAATCCTGCGGGCATTAACTGCATTAAGACCTTGCATACCGTAGGTAGAGTGTTACTTGACAGGCGAAAGTGTGTGATTGTTGGGAACGTAGATACCAAGTGGAACTCCGTGGTAGTGGTCGGTATTATAGGAGCAGAGGTAGTTGGAAGTACGTTCAGGAGCACCCCAGGGTCAATACAAACGCTGGGGGAGGAGTGGGGGGGGGGAATCTCTTGGCTCCTCCTCTTCCAGGACCTTCAGCCAAAGATCGGCTGAGTCTACTCCTTTCTCCAAAACCAGACTGCCGAGGACTTCATCCGGCACCTGCCACTACTCGGCTTTCTCGCCAGGAACAGCCGCGATTGAACTGTCAAGTCGCTTACTGTGCTAGTCACTGTACCCGACTAGCCCCTCGAGGTCCTGATTGACCCCTCTGCCCCTGTCCTGCGGTATGTACTTTGTTTAGAAGAAACTTCGACCTCGGACAGATATTATATAGAATGCTCATGTGCTACGATTCCTCGTTCGCTGCCACGTTGCCGTTATCCTCTGATTCCGAAGCGATACCCGCCGACTCAAAGAATTGGTCTTCGGATTGTCATTGAGGAACAGAGATACAACCTGGATTAGCTCATGCCTCTTCACATCACGTGGGATCTAATGGTTCGGGTAGTAGAGCTTCTGGCTAATACGCGTATTCCATTTCGGTTCAGAAACTTACCTCTCCTCTGGATATGCCAACCCTGTCCATAATCTTGTCCCCTGACGACTGAGCAACTTCAATGGCTTACCATTTGTAGGCCATTACCTTTCTTGAGGAAAACACTAAGGAAACGGACGTAAAGAGAACATGAGGGAAAGAAGAGCTGCACTCTGATCCCGGAGCAACCGTTGGGGTCCCCGACAACTTGTTCCTTCAGCTCTTCCCGTCTGTTCCCTCTCAACCATATCGCCAGGATGCTGGAGAATGTAGCTGCCCGCCACGTGCTTCTCGAGAAGTGCAGAGAGACGATGTGGACAAAAGCAGCTAGGGGGGAACCGAGACCTCGGTGTCAACATGAAGCATATTATGGCTTGATCCGTCCCGGTTAGACTAGAACCGCTTGAATGAGACCTCGAGCAGCCGCAGACTTTGGGTAATGGTGCGCTCGGGGTTACCGCAGACGCTTGATGCAGAAGGTCCAAAGTGCCAAACAACAAAGGGAAAGAAGAACTCCTGAGACCTTGGGACGCTGTGGGAGAGCATATGGCTTTTTCAGACTACACCAGACAGAAACCAAGGCAAATGAAAGAATTGAAAGTCAGAAAGATGAGGATGGACCATTCAAATTGTAATAATTGTTGTCTACATGTAATCACAGAAACTCCACACCCTCTACTCATCTTGATTGTGAAAAGCATCCAACAACCCGATCTCTTCAAGCTGCTGCCAATCCCCCCTGCCATGGTTGTCCCGTTCATTAACCATCACCGATATCTCCCTCAGACCCACCATATACGTTCCCCAAAGTCTCTCTTCGTTCGTCAGGCCAAGTGTTCTGCCATCTACGGCACCAAAGTCGAAGAACTCTGCCTATCCCTTTCTACAGGTCGGAGCTGCAAACTCAGCCACTCGACCCTAGGCAACTGCCTAATCAGCGTTTTGCGAAAATAGCCGACCAGAAAGAACGCTGCAACGTAGGTTATGTTCGTGATAGACAGAGAGATTGCCGGCGTCAGCTGGTGCCTGTGTAACCAGCCGGAGTCTGTGGAGTCTATCAGCACCGTGTGGCCAACCAGGTCGGGGAGGATTGGTTGCGGGATGGGATTACGGCGCATTATGGTGCTGCGGGCGTAGTTGGCGTGGCAAGAAAGCTTGTTATCGAGGTATAGGGTTGCCCAGGGTCGGAGGATTAAAAGGGTGTTCTGCGGAGAAAACTGACTGGGTTGCGGGCGGGTCATGGGCGCGGAGTCGGGTGCTAGGAGAAACTTAGGGGAACAGGAAGACATGCCCTTGTGGCCGGTCGAGTTGCGTTTCTGGAAGCCGGGGCCAAGTGTCACCGAATGCAGCTGGACGAGCATAACACCTTTCGCAAACTTGTTCTGGGCCGCCTTCGGCTGTAAGTACGAGCAATATTCTCTGAGAGAGGCTATGGAAGTGGGTGAGGCGATAAGGATGATCTTTGTGGACTTGATTACATCCAGTATGACCTGCCAAAAGACCTCATTGGTCGAAGCAACCGGGTCCTTGCCTGGGCGGATGAACTCATCGAGCCTGGGGGATGACGATCGAGGAAGGCCGGCTCAGGGTTAGGAAAGAGGATGGAGCCCGAGAGATTGGTCGGGGCCTAGCGTGGTTGGTCGAGAGTGGTGACCAGTACGGTGAGCGACATCACGGTCCAGGCGAGGTTGTTCCTCTTGAGAAAGTCAAGGAGAGGCATGCGCTGGATAACTTCGTCGGTTGTCGGCTTGGTGGGAAAGGAGTGCACGCAGTCGATGGTAAGTTGAGGCATTCGGAGTCGAGGGTGAGAGCGATCTCCCTCCAGCGCCTACACCATAGAAGCTTGCTCAAGAGGTGGCTGTCCTGAGGGTGCTCGAGTATGTTTTTAGTCGGCGCCCTGTTCTTTTGGGTTTCGGAAAAAGGCTTGTTTGCCACGGGAATGAGGATTGGCCGAGAATTTCGTTGGGATCGTGATCTGACGAACCACGGTGACTTGCTGAGAAGGCTGAAGAGTGGGCAAGCTATGAAGGTTGGTTGAGAAAGGAACTGAGCAGTTCTGATAGATAACAAAAAAAATCATAATTGACAGGTCTTGGATATCGGACGGATAAGTTAGGGGTGATAGCTTCTGCCTCGGATGAGACTGCACGCTCGCTCGCTTCGCACTACCAAGCAATATGATCCCAGTATTTGTCTGAAGATGTCTGCGATTTCGGTTTTTGACTCATGATGATTAAATGGAGGCGTCAGTAAAGCCATTTTCTACTTAACCTTCAACAACTACCCGCATGTACATCGTAAAAGACGAAAATGTTCTACAGGAGAAATTAGGGCCATAATCACACATAGAGATACTAAGAAGTTCGGAAACTACCGTACTTCCAGACATCTCTAGGGTACAGTTCACTAATTTATACTCAAAGTTTGACTTTATAACACCATTGACAGTGTATGCATCCTCCTGCAAAAGTTCTAGTCACAACTCGCTGACAGAGTCATCAAACACAACGAGGCTATTTATGTCATTAGAGTAGTCAAAATTTCATGTTGCTCATACGGACTACGCGTGACCTCCCCAGACAACAGATAGCCACATACCAAAAATGCAAAGGCATGTAGAAGTTGTCTACAAGAGGGTATTTCCCACTTCCTGCCATGTTAGGTACGAAGTGTGAAGCCGCGGTTGATCACGGAGCAACATATACATGCCAAGAACTGGGGCTCCAGTTGCCGGAACCTACTGGTGTCTTGGCTCCCGCAAAGAAGTCAAAAATACGGAGTATGATTGATCATCGCATGATAAGAAGACCCATCTTGGCTTGTTGCTGGACCTCTGAACATCCACAGAAGCTCCAACTTCTCGAGCTCTAGTCCACCTGATGTTCCTGAGAGTCACACAAGCAAAGTATGTCTCACCAGTAACTCTAAAAAAGAGCATACTTTCACCTCGCCAGAGTGTGGCTTACGCTATACGTAAGCATGTTTGAGATTTGGTTTGTTGTCTCCACAGCCCGAGCCACTCGCTCAGTCAATGGTTTCACAATCGCCGCGGCAAGCGCAGAAACTTCGTGGGTTCAGTTGAAGCGGCGTCCGTGCCTATTTCACAGAGACGTACCACAGAGAAGACATCGAATTTTGCATAGTGAGTAATCTCTCCGTTGGGGGTATAGTCTAACCATGTGCAGCTCATCTAACCTCCGTAAGAAGTGGACCCTCCCCCTTTTGTTTACATCTTACTCGAGTTGTCGTTGCTGGGGTGATGAAGACTAGAGATCCCAACCAGTCAAGGAATAATCATCCAAAGCCCCGACAGCAGTCCATTCAAGCCCTCGGGACGGACTAACCGATTGGGTGTAGCGTTGAAGTTGCTGGGAGGAATGATCCATGAGCAAGTTTTTGTACGACCGCCCATCCTTGTGGTACGACCTCCTTTAAGCCAGCTCAATCTCCACGCTGCCATCCAATACCTGTCAAGTAAAGACGTCCCAGTGATATCTTACCAAAAACGTGATTCGAACATTTGGAAAATGTTTATTTCCAAAATTTCCCAATTTTGTTCAAGACAATCATCACTCTTTTCCTAGTCACCTCAAGACAGCGAGTACCAAGGACCATTCCCTTCATAAGTTCTTACCAACACCTAAAGCCTTGACTGGCAGATGAAGCAACACCATGAGGCAGACATTTGCGTCCAGATATTGCTTTACAATAAAAAGTCCGGGATTTGTCCAGATCCTGACTACGGTAAGTGCTCTGACCTGAGTTGTGGGTATCATCGGCTCGAGCCGAATTCTGTGTCGCAGTGACATGCTGTGTGCCGACGGGCGATCGACACTCTATGTGCTGATCTCCAAACACGCATAAGGTAGTGAGTGGATAATGGACGACATCAAGATAGTTGAATAGTAGTGAAATAGCAGTAGCTACTAACATCCTGCCACTGCGCTGGATGCTCAACGTGCAAGTGAGTTACGCACCTTCCTTAAGGTTAAAAGATGGACACTTGCCCTTTTCCCACCCCCAGTCACTCTTGTTTGATTTGCTTTCTCATCAGCCTTTCACAAGCCATCACCATCAAAAACGTCAATTCACCTCCAGTCATATTCACAGCCCTCACAACCCTAAAACCCAGTCGAGCTCAATTCCAAGATGTCATCTCCCACTTACATCCCCCGACGTCCCCCATTCCGAGCTGAACACATTGGCTCGCTCCTCCGCCCAAAACCCATCACCAACCGCCGCCTCCAACTGGACGGTCTGGACGCTCTCTCTATCGCGCAAGACATGACCCTCCGCCAACTCGAAGATGTCGCCATCGTCAACACTGTCAGACTGCAACGCTCTCTCGGCTACCACGCGGTGACCGATGGGGAGTACCGGCGTCACCAGTTCTGGGGAACCTTTTTCCCTGGTCTGGAAGGATTCACCGAGATACGGAAACCCCCTATGCATATTTTTAGGTTATATGTGCCTGATTTGGCCGCTTTTAGTAAGTTTTAAGGCTGTGATGCAGGGAATAAGATGAGAGGACTAACGAAGCGTGATAGCTGAAGCAGGACATAAACCAGGTGAATCGGTTGTCTGCACCGGGAAGATCCGGCATATAGGCAGTACCTACCTGAGGGAATGGAATTATCTCAAGGAGCTTCTCCCTCCGGAGATGGTCCCAAAGGCCAAGATTACGCTGCCTGCGCCCGAATGGTACCACCTGCGGTACAAGACAGGCTACGCCTACCCAGCGGATGTTTATGCCAATGATGAGGAGTACTTTACTGACATTGCGACCGTCTATCGTGAAGAACTGCGCATCTTGTACGAGGCAGGCTGCCGCAACGTTACAATTGATGACCCTAATCTGGCCTGCACGTCACTTGATTCCCCATCTTCCACATTGATGCCCACTCATTAACCTCTTTAACGAACAGACTTCTGCGACACCCGTCTTACCAAAGGCCTCCGAAACGACCATACTGCCCCAGACCCCGACGCTCTCCTCTCCGCCTACATCTCTCTCTACAACAGGATCCTTACCCCTCGCCCCGGCGGCCCCGACCTGCACATCGGTGTGCATCTCTGCCGCGGTAACTTCGCCTACAGCAGGCACTTTAGCAGCGGAGGGTACGGTCAAGTCGCTCCCGTGCTCTTCACCCAGCTGGACGTCGACACGTACTATCTGGAGTATGACACACCCCGGGCAGGTGACTTTTCACCTTTGGCTTGGCTGCCTCGGGACAAGAACGTAGTCATTGGCTTGGTGACGAGCAAATGTGGACAGTTGGAAGATCTGGAGCAGTTGAAGAAGCGAGTTTTGGAGGCAGCAGACTGGGTCGGAAAGCAATCAGGGCAAACTCGAGAAGAGGCCCCGAAGCGGATGGGATTTAGTCCACAGTGTGGGTTTGCGAGTCATCATTTGGGAAACTCCTTAACATGGGAGGACATGGTGGAGAAACTGAAGTTGGTGAGGAGGTTAACAGATGATATCTGGCCGGGAGAGCCTTGAATGGCAGAATAGCTTGACACAGAAAGCAAACGTGTCGCGAAGAGTTTAAGCTTTCTTGACAGGTCGCAACCCGAGGTGAAGCCTCTGACATATGGCATAAATGACGACAAGTCACAATGAGAAAGGGCAAGGACAAGTAGACAGGTATATGCAATATGGTCAGCTGAATAACACATAACACTGAAATTCCAGGGAAATAAATTCATGGAAACCGTTCTCGAAATTTTGTGCTGTTTGTAGCTGATCAAGGCCTATGCCTATGCTACTCGAGTGTGACTGTGAGTCTTGGTACAGGAGTGGTTTGTTGGGCATAAACCTTCAGGCCTCCTGCTTTACGGCACACTGCAAAGCCTGCTCGTCATTGGTGTCCTCAAGGTCATCCTCAGCAAGAGCCTTCGTACCGTTGATCTTGTTGTCGTCCATCATAGACAGGAACCACTTCTCATGGGCACGATCGTCAAGAGACCGTAGCCACTCAGCAGCCTTGATAGCAGTAAGCTTCGCGAGTGCCTCATAGGCTGTGCGGTCGGTCATGAGCGTCTCAAGAGCCTCAGCCCAGGGGTCAATATCCTGCTCAGCTACAATGTAGTCACCATTGGGATGACGCTCGCCAGTGACAATCTTAACTGGGATGCAGTAAGGCAGACCGATTTTGGCCTCGGCCAGGCCGCCAGCATTAGATGCAATGACGGGAATGCCGCGGAGCTGGGCTTCAGTGACCACAATGCCCCAGGCCTCTAACCACAAAGAGGGAGCAAGCAAAACCTTGATGCGGTCCCAGACCTCATCCATGTCCTCGGTGGTGCTCTCAACACTGCCACCAGCCCGTCAGTCAGAGGGTGTATGTGCATACCTCGATGGCAAGATAGGAAACAGGTAACTAAAAGACAGGATATTGACGATATTATATTTATAGATGGAGGAAGCTAGATTATAAAACGCGTCAACTTACCGAATGTTAGGAAGAGCAAGCAACTCAGCGAGGTGGTCGCGAGAGGTGCCCCAGCTTTTCCAGGTAACAAACTTGAGATGAGGGAAGCGCTTGGCAAGGGCAAGCAAGATGGAGATACCCTTGTGAGGGCAAGGGTTAACCATGCCGATCTCATCCTTGTCGACGTTGTTGCGGGCCATCGGCATCTGGCCAGTCTTGTGATCCAGATAGGTGCGGGAAGGGTGAATTAGGAAAGTGGTTTTGAGCTTGCCATGAGTCCAAGCATAGTCGTGGATGGCCTTAGAAACCGTCCAAATTCCATCCAGACCTCGCAGCAAGCGATCCTCAGCCTTCGGCGCCAGGCAATGACCGGCAACGCCATTGACAAAGGGGCCGAAAGGCAATTGCTCAGCCGTGTGAATGATGTTGATCCGTTTGAAGGTATGGCGGAGAGGGTGAGTCTCTGTTATCTTCATAGTCGTGGGATCATTGAAAACAACATGGGTCGGTTGGAAACGGGAAATCCAAGACGAATAGAAATCGATGAGGGCCTTCATACGCCCAGTGATGTTCAAGTCCTACACACAGTAGCGTTATCAGCCCTGGCATCATCACGATAATACTCCCAGCAGTTAAGCAGTTGCCAAAAGACCGACCCACCTCAAGATACGCGCGGATGTCCTCCTAGAACTCCCGACGCGGGTAGGCCTTGTTATAGTCACCGCGCACGAAGCAAATGTTGAAGACGCCATACTCGTCGGTGAAGGTGTTGACCTTGATCTCATGCTCGACATTACGAATATCGGTGACCTTGATCACGTCGACATCCAAGTCGCTGATAACACTGGGTCCGTAGATGGTGGAACGCGTTGCATACTCGTCGATCTCGGGCTCAGCGCCATAGCAAATCTGGGCGGTAGTGTGGCCCTGGCTGCTGAGAGCACGGAGGAGGTTGACATTGGCCTTGTATCCCCCCGAAGAGGGAGTCAGTCCCTGAGCCGTCTGAACCAGAAAGACGCGCATTGCTACACGCGTAGAACCCTGGCAGAAGACTTGGAGGGGAGTGCTGTGGGAGACTAAGAAAATGTAGAGAGATGGTGTGTTGCGATGGGCAAAAAGTGAAAACAGTAAGGGTCGTGCGGGGTTTCGAACGTTCCGTTCCGTCAAGGTTTGAAATTGGGGACGATTTTGTGCTAGTACAACAGGAAAAAAGAGGGTGACGGGGAGTCTTCACCTTGGGTTGCCAACCTTGAATACCTGGGTGAATAATGAGAGAAAGAAGAGATTTAAAGAAGAGAACTTGAGCGAGGCACTTGCCCTTTGCAATGTCACACCAGGACGTGTCGCTGAATTGCTGCTGTTGACCGAGATTTTCGCGTTTTCAGGGACGGTTTGCTGGAGAACAGTCAAATGACGCTGAGAGAATGGAAGAGGAAGAGGGAACGCAGCAATAGTGGGGGTTAAAATACTTGTGGGGGTTTTGGGCGTAAAGTCGCCTTTGCAATGGCATTTCCGGCATCCTCCGAGGGTCTCGACCGCTTCATCTAACCTCAAGGCATGTTGATGTTACTTCAGGAAAGAACGATCGCTTTGTCAACATTGTTCTCACGTGGGATGAGACCCTAAAGCGCCCAATCAGCGATTGCATAGATGTTCCACCGGATGCCGGCAGATCCTAATCGTCTGAACTCGTTCCTTCCTTGACATAAAGTTTGGGGGTGGCCGACTGTTGGAGAAGACATCAGGCATCAGACGTGCATTAAGGTCTTCAGAAGACCATAGGAAGATGCGAAGAGAACGTTGATTCTCGCAAAAAGAAATAACTAAGTAGGAAGATCACTAAATATTCTTGAGATTGGAATGTCAAGATGTGTGGTCCTATAACATACTCAGATCATCGGGAACTCAAACTAGATAGCCTTTTGCTTGCAATGTAAACCGGTGCCCTGCTTATATCCGTTCATTGGCTTGTGATTATCGAAGTTACATCTATAGAATGCTTTGAATTTGCCCAGAAATAGTGTGTTTCATGGAAAATTGAATGTTTGTTTGTAACCCAGGGCTTATGTCGCACATATCATCTTATAGGTCCCATTGCTGCATGAAGACCTTTACCTCCAAGCATTTCAGTTCTTTGTTTTCGTAGCCCCACTTGGTGTTGGGAGAAACTTGAATATCAGACAAACACGGGTCAGTGAGGTAACGTCTGTTCTGAAAACAGGCTATATGTTTCCTAGGGATGACAGTGTCTCAAAAAGTTTCATCACCTCAAACATCCTCTCCTTAAAGACACTAATGATGTTCAAATCATAATTGATAACATCCTGCTTTGACAACTTTAGATGAACTATCACGCCAGCCATAGAAGTGGTGCTGAATTTAAAAGATGTGTATTGCAGAATCAAAAATACAACTCTGCTGCATGAACATTCAATTCTTGGAAACGACATGTGCCTTAATAGTGGTGATAAAGTGCCAACCAGTCACCTTCTGCAATGTTGGCACTGGATATTCCTGAATTCTCGGTGATTGATCAAGTCTACCCAAGCATAACCAATTATCATTCTTCAGAAGCTCATAATAAGACGTGAAGTCTGAATGAGAAGCACACATCCCATGGTATCAACATGCAGGGACATCCTAATTCTTCAAGGCCTTGATTTGTGAGGGCTGACGTTGTGGCTGACGTTGTGGTCTTGTGGAGGTTGTCTGGACTTTGGGAGACTTTGACAAGGGTTTCCTTGCCCGATGCGGTGTGCTCGGCGGGGAACCCTTGGCTAGTCACAGCTGGGCTCTGTTCCCCATCAGCCTCAGCCCTGAGGCTGGAACTGATGGGTCCGTGCTCCATCACAATGGGACCGGATGTCCCCGGCATGAGCTTGGCTCCCAAGGTTCACAACAGGACAACACACAGCTAGCCAGAAGTCGTCTCTTGGCCTTGAAGGATTCTGAAGTCTTGCAGGTTTGACTTCTCTGGGACATATTATCCATTCAGTCTTAATCATTCAACATGACTCCATCTCGTTGGCTTAAGGGGAAACTTCGGGAGAGGAAAGAGTTGGTGGACGGTGCATGCATTGTGGGCTTCGGGCCTTCCTCTATGCTCAGCCGACGAATGCCATGACAATGGAAGGCCAGATTTGGCTTAGCAAGCCAAGCATGTCAGCCCCAGGATGCAACGGTATAGGATCCATACAATCCCCACGGTCCAACCAGGCAGCACTGTGAAAAGGAGCAGTTCCTCGCAGGCCAAGCCTTGGCTATTACGATTCGGAACAAACGCGGCATGTACCATCAGCCCAGGTAGGTCAGTATCGCGCTGGGTGCCTGTCGGAGTTAGCTCGACAGGTCAGCTCAAAACGACTCCTGCTTCTTGATCCTCCGTCGACCGGAGCGCTTTTAGCCAGCGCCCATCGTCTCTACCGAATCCCGAATTGCCTCTCCACTGACGCAGCACTGCGGCCGAGTCAAAGAAGCCCAGAAGATCGACCGTTATCGTGAAATGCTGCCCTTCCTTCTTGCCGGCTCGCTCTTAGCCGGCTCCGTCGCCGCCTCCGCCGCAGATGCCGTCCGCGCTGCCGGTCTCCACCGTTCCCGGAGTCCTCCTCCTAAGGTTCGGGGCGAAGGCTTCATCCGGGCGCCGCTGTCAATTGTCCCGCCGACTGCCGAAAGCTTCAAACGACTTATGGCTCGCCAGAACGAAGTGGAAGTGAAGAACATTTGGTCAGGCACCAGGTACACTGTCGACGTCGAAATCGGCACTCCACCCCAGACGGTCACGCTCATTCTTGACACTGGATCCCCCGACACCTGGGTCAATCCAACCTGCGAGACCCTGTTAGCCGGTATCCAGGAATGTCGTAAACAACCATTCTTCAATTCCACGAAGAGCTCTTCTTTCAACAAAACACAACGCATCAACTACCTGCAGTACGGTAGCGGCACGGCAATCGTACAATGGGTTTTTGAAACCTTGACCATAGGATGTATGTCGATATGATCCGTGTTCCCCTCCCTCGCTCACGGCCGCCTGCTAACAGTTTGCAGCTGCAACTATCGAAGAACAAATCATCGGTATCAACTCCTGGTCCGAGAATATTCCGAACGGCATTTTGGGCTTATCGCCCCCAGTCACAGGCAACAATGACTACCCCTACGTCCTCGACACGATGGTAGCTCAAGGCCTGATCAAGTCGCGCGCCTTCTCCCTGGACCTGCGCGGTGTTGATAACCCCACCGGCTCCATAATCTTCGGCGGCATCGACACAGGCAAGTTCATCGGCAACCTCGTGAAGCTGCCCATGCTTCCTGCGAGCCAGACTCCTCTCGGAGCCTACCGCTACTACGTCACCATGACCGGCATCGGTGTGACTTTTCCCGACGGGCAGGTCGTCCGTTCTGACGAGATCACTGTCCCCGTCTTCCTCGACTCCGGCGGCACGTTTTCCCAATTGCCTCCCGAGATCGTACAAGCCCTCGCCTCTGTCTTCACTAACGCAGTCCTTACCCGCGACGGGTACTGGCTCGTCCCTTGCGGCGTGACCGAATTTCCTGGATCCATCGACTTCTACTTCGCCGGCAAGACGATCCGCGTCTCATTTAACGACTTCATCTTAGAGCTCGATGGGATATGCGTGCTAGGTGTACTTTCCAGCGAAGATGAATACGTCCTAGGTGACACATTCCTGCGTGCGGTGTACGCCGTCTTCGACCAAGATAATCAGGAAATCCACCTCGCACAGGCAGCGAACTGTGGCACGAACTTGGTGGCGATCGGCTCGGGCCCGGATGCCGTGCCGAGCAGTAGGGGTCTGTGCACGGCCCTGCCGATGCCGACTGTCTCCGCGGGTGTGAAAAGCCTTAACCTTCAGCCGACAAAGTCCGTGAATGTGGTGGATACGCCCGGGCCCACAGGCATTGTTGCCGGACCGGGGCCGGGTGGTCCGAGCAGGGCTACCACTGGCTTGCCTGAGCTGCCGACGATCAACTGGCAGATTCCGAAATGGGATGAGAATGAGAGTGCTGTCGGGAGGGCGGCTGGTGTCGGGATGATGATGATGATCGGGGCGGTTGTGGCCAATATGATGTGGCTATGTTGATATGGGGTTGAGTCAGTCCTGGATACATTATCGCGATGATGTACATTACAGAATCGTGTGTGTATGATCCGTTAGCGGTGAGTAAGTTTGGCTTTGGCGAACGGCGTTTGGGATCTAAAGGGTTCACCTATAGTTTTTAATGTTTACAGATTACTTATGAAAAAGGGTTAGCTCGCTCTTGAAAGACAAAGGGGCTTGATCTCCAACTTCCTCGTCCACTCCCAACTCGTGCACGCAGTTTACCCGATGCGCCTTCTCATCAACCCTCCCCAAAGAGCAACAAATTACCCTCCTCCCCCTCCAACAAATCAGCGTGCACAGCAGCTCTCACCCACAACGAGGCGCGACGGCCAGCTGCCGCCCCGCCAGCCAATCACATCGCGCAACCGCCCTCTCAGTCAGGGGCTTGTGTTCCTTTTCCCCTTTTTGGATGCTGCCCCACCCGTGCCAAGACCCACGTCCTCGACTTTTGTTGCTTCGACGATTCGATGTCAGCGGTCCCTTTGAAGATGTTTGCCATATGACAGGGACTTTGAGGTGATATTCTGGGAGATCGTGTCGTTGTTCGCGGAGCATATCCGGCTCGAGTTGGCCACGAGGTGGCGCTGGATGGGGGCAAAACGGTTCGTGGATAGTGGGCGTCAGTTGAGAGAAACTGAGGATGATGGTTGGTTGGGCTGGTGTTTTGGGCCTCTTGTGTGGGGAAGAGATGATGTTAACTTCTGGCTTACAACTTATTTTTTTCTCTCTCTTTTTTTCTCTCTTTTTTTCTTCTTCTAATTGTTTGTGTGCTGTGTCACTGTATATTGCGATAGTCGGCTGATCGATGAGCGCGCATCGATCGATCGGACCGAGATACTGAGAGTATCCCATCGGCTTTGACTCTCGGTGTCTGGTGGCTTTGCTTTGACGGGACTGATCGCTTGAGGTAACACCGGCGCTTCTTCTCCGGCCGCTCAGTGCTCGACGCTCGACGTTGCACCACTATCATGGTTCACCAGGCGCTTCCGTTCCGAACGGCTGGGACTGTCTCAGCCCAAACGAGCATCACTTGGACTGAGGTCCTCTCTAGTCCTGCTGTCAGCGCTATTAATTCCTCTCAATATCCCTCTAGAACCAACACGCCTGAGTCATTACCTATGAGTCGGATGCCAGATATGGAGAGGAGCAGAATGAGGACTAGAACGTGGGACAGGGCTCCCAAGTATCTGAACGAGCCGAGCCACAGCCCGAAAGCGCCATCGCCTCCACTTGGTCCTCGCTCAAGGGCTGATGGAAGCAGTTCAGAATGGGAGACTGAAACGCTCATCGAAAATGCTGCCTTGAATCAGGCTTTTTGCGTTCTTCCTGTAGCAGCGTCTCTCAAAAACAATAGCCAACTTTCCTATCCATGTCCTTTCAGGAAACGGAACCCTGTCAGGTTCAACATCCGCGATCACGAGTCCTGTGCCAGGGGCATTTTCACCTCACTTACAGACCTAAGGTTAGCAGCCCCTCATCGAGGCCAATATCCACAGACTAATCTCCCACAGATGTCACATCGTGATGCACCACCGAGCCAAGCGTCCGGCCTTCCAATGTCCTCGTTGCAGGTCCCAACTTGCTAACGTCGCTGCCCTCGAGCAACACCTGTTGATGCCCAGGGAGCAGATGTGCGAGGTCAACGCTGAAGAGCCAGTCTTTGACCGGGAAGACGGTATCACCGAAGAGTTAGCAGCCTTGTTATCAGGAAAGGACAGCAAAAATGAAGTTTGGACCTGGGAAACTATATGCCAGGTTCTTTTCCCTGGTGATCCCCTTATGGACACAGGTACATCTCCTTCCCACCACACATCAAACCATGTTTATGCTTACCGACGCCCAGATATTCCCCCCATAGTTGAACTCTTTGAAATCGACCAAATCTTCGACGACACACAAGACACGCTCAAAAGCAATCTACGCGAGAAGCTCCGTATGCTTTTACCGCCTAATATAATCGACGACGAGTACTGCTCCTTCCTAAGCACGCAACTGGATCTAGTCTTCGAAACCCACCGTGCGAATATTGTGAGAAGATGCCTGGCATATGCAACCGGCAATAAAGACACTGGTGTGGGGTCAGAAAGGACCAGTGAGCAAAGGAATGGCAGGAGGATGTCGGTTAAGAAGCCGGCGCGGATTTCGAGGAGGAGCACACTCATGCAGAGTATACAACACCATACGACAGGGAACAAGCATACGAGGACCTTGAGTCTGAAGCCGACTGTAGGAACGGGAGTAAGAGAGTGCGGGCATTGGAGGAAGACCTCAAACGCTTTACCTGTCAACACCTCCTATGTTCCCATGGGAGCCGTCAAGACCAACACAACCACGAACGAGACTCCTCTTACGAAAGACACCAACGACAACGACAATCAGACCCACATCTCAGAAATCGAGCCCGGCTCCCGCGAACAACGCGACTCGGGCATTTCCATCCCCAACTCCTCACATTCTCCCCAAGGCTCAATGCTTCCCGACGAATCAGACAACTCAGAGCCCCCGACGCCCTCCAGCTGCCCCTCGACATCCACCGACATCTCAGATGCCCAAGATACCGACACCCAGCAGCCTGCTCAACCCCTGCCAAACCCGACTTCAACCCTTTCCAAAAGGCTCAAACCACGCCCCGGCCGCCTCAATCTCAACGTCGGCGTCGGCCTAGGTCTAGGACTGGGTATCGACATCCCCTTAACTCCAAGTACCATACTCGCCAATCAGTTCGAGAGTATCTCTGCCGGCGGTGCAGGACATGCAACGGACAGGAAAGGCAGTAATGAAAGGGGCTACCTAGGAGAGTGTCTGACTGCGCCCTTGCCGATCGATAGTCCGAGGGGGAGAAATGCAGAGGATGGGGAATGCCATGGGGGATTGTTTTCTCCGGAATCGTTTAAGCAGCGGGTGTTGAGGGGGAGGATGTCTGGTGTTTTGGGGGGGTAGCTAGCGCGGGGTTGTGGATGAAGAGGAGGCTGTTTGAATTTGAGCTGTAATGTGTATCATTATAGGATGATTTTGGCTATATGGGCTGGCTTTTGGAACTGTTTCGGTCGATGTTTGGATTGGTAATTTAGACTGGTTGCTTCAGTGCGTTGAGTATCAGCTTGAGATTGGTTAGTTATAGGATTGGACCGAAACCCAGTAATATTAATGAGATGTGTACAACAATGCTGCCCCCACCCTCCTCCCTCCCTTCATTTTACAAATAAACGCAGTAAAGCTTAACACTGCCAAAGCATGTCTATCACAATCATCAGGTCATTACTCATCGTCATATCGGTAGCTTCGTTCACAACTCCATCGGCGTCGTATCCCTTGTGATGTAAACCTCACCAATGAGAACCAGACATCCCACAGCCATGGCAATGGCAATGATGGGAAAATTAACCATCGCGAAGTCCTGGCGCTTGATCGGGATATGCTTCTTCTCAAGAATGTCGCTCCACAAGAGGCCAGCTAAGGATGCCGAGAGCGCTGTAGAGAACGCACCGTAATTGACGCCCAACGCCATGGTGTAAATCGTAGCCCAGAAAGTACGCTTCGAGATGGGCGTGCCGTCGTAGCGATGGATGTCAAGCCACGATTGCAGGACACGGGAAAGAAGGATCGTCGTGCCGATGTTGGTGCCGGAGAACTGGAAGGAGGGGTCAGTAGCATAGCTAAGGGTTTATGGTGACGGCGATTGGGCACTCACGTTACACAGCACCACAGAGACGAGTCCCATACCCCAAATTGCCCCAATCGTGCCCGTCTTCCTCACCCACTTATCCCAGCCGAGAGCAAAGATCTGAACCCAGCCTTTGGTAACCAGCGCTTGCACCAATACAAACATGGAGAAAGCGAAAGGGACGAGAGCGAACGGCAGGTGTGCAAGCACAGCCATTGCGGTAGGGAAAGTCTCCTGGCACCAGCCGTAGGCGTCATGTGCTAGGGATACAAGGGTTGCAGGCTCCTGCTTTGTGGACTGTTTTTCAGCATCCGGACTCTGGGTGTTCTCTGATGAAGAAGTCTCCGCGGTAAGCTCGTTGGGGCTTGGATTGCTTGCATTCAAGTTCTGATTTTCTTCCTTCTGCTGATGCCGGCGCTCCATGCGCGCACGCTCCAGCTGCTTGCGGCCCTCACGAGCAATTCTCCGAGTTTCGTGGCGGTTAATCCATCCAAAAGCAAGATCCCAGACAAACATGACTGTTGCTGCCGGTAAGGTGATGTAGTAGACAGGCTGTTCACCGATGCTCGTTTTCGCAGCATTCAAAGCGAGAACCGCAATAAGTGTCACAGCCATGATGATGGCGCCGAAAGCGGCACCACGCTTATCGAGGAAAGGATTCATGATCTCCTCTAGAGAGAGTAGCTTTTCTTGCTCACCGGTCTCGTCCTCTTGCTGCTCAGCAACCCCCTTGGCGTTGGGAATATTGGGGTTAACTGGCTTTCGATCTCGCAGTTCTTGGGGCAGCTGGTGCATTGTAATTTTATGGGGAATAAGCTCCTGATTGGCAAATCTGACATAAAGGAGGAATGGAAAGAGTAAAACTCCGGTGATGATGACAGGGACGATCATGTTTGCTGTGTATTCGACAAACTTGATCTGAAACGCGCCGGCTAAAACGAGGTTGGTAGGATTGGAAGAGACGAGAATCGCCGAAGCGATGTTGGCGACAGCAAACTGAGTGTAAATCCATGCTCGGGGATGGGTGATATTATTCGAGACCCTCCACATGTAAGCCAAAAAGGCAGTGCCTGAAAGAATGACCGGGTCATTGCCCACAAACGAGGCGATGACGAAGAAGAAGACATATAGGAAGAAGAACAGGCGATGGCCGACTTCTCCTCCCCATTGTAGTACCTTGAATGCAAGAAAGCGGATAATACCGGATGCATCGAGAGAGATGGCAATGTAGGCCAGGGTGATGAAAAACAGCATAATATCAAGCGGAGATATGTGGTTCGTACCCAAGGTACCCTCCTTCACCTCCTGGCGGCCAATGGCCAAAATGGCGAGCAGGAAGAGGTCCGCGATTAAGGGGGCCGTGACGAGATTCAGCGGGAAGTTGAAGCGGACAAACCGCCTCTTACGGCGAGAGTCATCGCAGAGGCCAACATGATCGTCGTTGTCATGGTTTTGAGGCGGGATCACCCTTAAGGAACTCAAGGTTCCCAGAATGGCCTTGTAAAGTCGACGTGGGACATAAATGGGAATGTGAAAAGGGAAGAGGACGATGATATCTACAGAAAGTGTTAGATCGTATTCTGAATTGCGCTTGCTGGCGCGGGCAGAGCGATCTGTCATTTTGGGCTTGAGCTTGTAACTTACTGGTGGCCACGAAGACAATGAGAGTCACTATCGACCTCCAATTCTTGATCTGGTTGTAGTCCGGCGGTGCTGCGGTCCCCGCCATGGGCTCGACGATGTAAATTGCGCCAGGAGTATATATGGCTCGCCAACTCGGCAGACAAAGTTAGGTGATGAGTTGACAGATATTACGGATTACACCGCCGGCGCCGGCGAGAATCTCGGAGGCGAACTGTGAAACTTTTTGTAATCAAGACATAACGTCGCATAGGGTCTTGCACCGCCCTCCGTCGCCTCAGCCTCCACGTGCAAAGATTTCTGCGGTTGGTTGGTTGATTGGGCCGCTACGCCATCCGCTACAGACGCCGAGCTTTAGTGGCCCAGTTATCGACTTGGCAGCGGGGCGGTCGCTGCTCGAGGGCACCGGGAGCCGCTGTTTCGCGCGTAAAGTTCCGTATTACTGACTATCCGCGATGAAACTTTTGGCAGGCCTCTTTCGACGCTGTGCGACGATTGTTTCTTCGCAGAAGCCCAACCTCAAAGGACAGCCCGATTTGGACACCGACGCTGCGACATGACCTAATCACCCGTCTCCCCTCCAAACCAATAACACGGCTTCTTCCAATGCAGCCCTACCGGCTCTTTCTGGCCTTAGCAGCGTGGAAAAGAGCGTGTGATCACGTTGGCGAGCCCCGCGGCCTTGCTACTCTATGTGGCCGTGCCTGTTCTCTGCCCGCCTTCCCATTTGACATGTCGCTTTTTTGACTGGCAGTGCGTCTTGTGTCCAGTCAGTCTTGTTCAATGAATGTTCAGGGCTGCGAGGCCCTGTTCTCACGGTGCTCTATCGCCCAATTTAATCTGAAGAAAACGTCGGGCTCGGCCGTCACACTCGGGAGCTTTCGAGATTTATCGCCTTTCGAAGCTTTAGCGGCTTTCTTCTCCGGTTCACCGAGTTTCTCGTTATGGCAGATGACCGGAGTGTAATTCACGTAAGACGGGAGGAAATCCCCGTCCTTCTGGTATACTCAACTCAGCCTTCCTTCAGCCACATTACTACCAACCTTCCCCAAAACTGAAGGCTTGTTATCTCTCAGCGAGCACCGAGCCCCTGCAATTCAAGGCTGCATCGTGTCAATCCAAGGCTCTTGGAATGATAGGATGAAAGCATTTGTCCACGTTTCACGGGCTTGATCGCCCATATCTGGCTCACCGAAGAAGGGGAAACTATGTATCCTCCTGTCAGCCTTGCTCTGCAACTGGGTATTTCTAGTGGGCCATTGCTCATGTTCTTCCTCGTTTTGTCTCCTTTGTCTCCTTCTCGCTCTTCTAGTCGTTTTGGGTGACATAGGGCATAGCATTGCCCGTAGACTTTTACTTGGTGCTCGTGTTCTAAGGAGGGTGGCAATGCCTGCTCTTCCCGAAATCGACTTTCTCACTCTACTCTCAGACACATCTAATAAAAGCTTTTCGAATTCTTCGACTCAAGATGATAACAACTCCTTGAGCCCTCTTAAGGTGATTTGTGCGTGGCCCGTCTCAGGCCAGTACGGTGCAGGGTCACGATTCCTGTAAGTGGCCGTGCATATCTTCCGGAATACCCGAGAAATTAACTAACCACAATGTTTATATCCAGCTACTATGTACTTGTGGCCACGTGCGTCCTTGCTCGGAAAACTGAATGGCTTCGCAACGCTGCACTTGCTGCTGCCTTAGTCTTCCCGGCTGTTTCTGGCATACACGGAATTGTCCTTGCTGCAATGGACAGAAAAGGGGGTGTTGATCTGGATGTTTATGGAGCGTTGCAATTTTGCGCTGTTGGTGCTTTGACAGCTCCTGTCACTGTGCGGTTCAGCAAAACATACTTCAACACCCCTGGAAGGAATGTAATATTCTTGTGGACGCTCATTGTCCTAGCAGGCCTCATGGCTCTTACCGTCGAGTTCTTCCGACTGGGCCCTCTTCCATGCGCGGATGGCGGTGACGGACTTCCCCTCTACCGGCTACAGGACTTCGAGTATGGCACTACAATGTGTGGATTGATCTGTTCCGCGGAGGATGGTCCGCATTCTCCCATGCGAGCTGGATCCGCGAATGACATCTACGTCGTCCCGGCGCCCTATGTGCTTACCTTCGGCGCAGCGACACTCATCGCTGCTGGGTCTTGTATTCCTCCGATCCTCTCTCTTATTTCCACATGGGAAAAGATCAACTTCCTTAACTGGCAAGCTCGTTGGGGGCGACAACGCGATGTTGATAGTGAACCTGCGACATCTACCAACGCTTCTGAGATTCATGCGGACTGTGCTGGCTCCCCAGCTGAAGCTCTCGGCAACACAGCACAGCTAAACGGAGTGGATAACAATCTTGCCCGCGGAGAAGTCGCTCTTCCTGAACCACCCCCGGAAAGTACTGAGCAGATGATGAAGATCAATGCTACGATCAGGGAGTTATTGAATGTCATCGAATTTATCGTCTTCTCTGGGGCTGTGGTTGCGTTGATCATTGTTGGAGAGATGAATTTTTGGAGTGAGCCATTGAACTACCAAACTGAGCCAATCTCTAATATAGGCATATCTCTCCTTTCCATGCTCCTTGAGAAAAGCCTGACTAACTCAACTATTAGGTCAATGGGCACCTATCGTAGCCTCCCTACTAGCAGCCTGCGGGTCATTATACATGTTGCTTGCCGAGGAGGCTACGGATTTGGAATGCGAACACGGGCCATGTCAACGTTGTGCAAACACTCATACGAGCATATGCCTTCATCAACATACTGCCATGAGCACTGCTGCTCTGATCCAGTCAGACAACTCCGAGATGGCCGAGACATGTCGTCCACAAATAGCTTCCACCGAGCCAACTCTATCAGGAGCCAACCCTGAATGGGAGAATGAGAACCATGGCCTTGCAAATAGCGTCCCTCCAACCGGAGCTGAAAGCAGCTCCGGGTGGTCAAGAATGAGGGTAGAACGATTCTTAAGAAGAGTTGCCGAGAGTCTTCAAACCCCATCACGCGATCGGTATGATGATACTCAAGTCAGGCGGAACGCACTTTCCTATCCCCTAGTTCCGGGTGAGGATCTGAGAGTTCCTCGTTTCAATGAGATAATTGCAGCCTGGGACGTAGTAACCACATTCGCAGGGAGGTCACGTTCAAGTAGTCTGCAAAATGGTGCCCCGGGAAGTGGTAAGATTGTCACTTCTAGCAGGAGTAACTCGACCTCTCCAACGAATCGGGTCCCTCAGACACCTACCACATCTGTTCTGTCGTCGACTGGGAAGTTGCTCGATGTGCCACAATTTGGTCAAAGCCCCTTGTCTACGGCATCATCAGGTGCTGGTTTATCCATCTCTTCCAAGTCTGAGTCTGAGGCACCTCGACAGCAACCGCCTGCTGTCCCGCCCATCATCATCACAGACAGTGAGCAGGCCTCGGAAAAGATGGAAGGGCGTCATCGTTCCATCCCAGCTTCTACCATGATGTCACCGACAACTTCGGAGCCTCCGTGAACTACGGTTTGTTATGTCCAGAATTTCTCTGCCCTGAGGTCGTTGATCTTCAACTCACATATGTAATCCACTTTGACTTGGGAGAATCTTGGTGGGTCCGTTCTCCGAGTGCCTGTTTACAGCCGCAACTCCAAAAAAGCCATCATCGGGCCGTTGACTGACCTTGAACGGAGATAAAAGCAACACGACCCACAGCACCACAGCCCCACTCAAGCTCGCGCCAAGAGTGCTGCAGGACGCTCTTCTTGAATGGACCGATTTTTTGCTTCTTGCAATTACCACTTATTGATGCACAAGTTTCTGACAATCCACATACCAGCGAGCAGCAATTCCACGCTTCAAGACCTTGTCAAAGACTTGCGTCTACCTAAATCATGGCTGCCGGAGAACCTCTGCGCAGTTTGCATCACTCTACCCAAACACACTTGGGAAAGACTAGAGGAGCCCCAAGCATGCAGCAATCCCTGGAACAAAGTCCAGCAACAGCAACTTCGTCTGAACAACCTCATCCAAAAAAGAAGCTAAGAGACAAGTTTCTTTGTCGCCGCTGTGGAAGCCATTTTCGCACCCAAGACAAATTAGATAGGCATGTCGCCTCAAAGCATAGTCGGTTAAGTTCAAGACAGAAAGATGAGGCTCTGAAAAATCGTGCACAACGGGATGGCAATGGGGTTGACTCGAACCGAGGTCAAAGACTTTCACTAACACCGCAGACTGGTGATGAACAAAGGACGGAAAGAGACCTAAAAAGCTCTGTGCATCCTTTTACCTGGCTGTCTCGTCCACAGCAGCTTGCTTTTGCATTTTATTGTCTGTATGTGCTGTTCATGACCGCAACAACACAAATTCAACGAGATAATAATGTTGAGAATTGGTGTGATCACACTGGGGGTCACTCATGGGGTACGGATAGGCAAAGGGGGCTTGAGGGGAAAAGAAGAAAAGGGGAAAGGAGAACAAGCTTGGAAGGTAGTGATGAGTCCGAGGACGGAGGTATCGCCATAAATAACTTGATGTTGCGACAACTAGAGGGTCAGCTCGATACATTTCATCTGGCGGAGCTTGCGGAAGATATTGACTAATGATGTCGCGATCGAATGCCTAAGTTTGCAGGCGGCTCGAATGAGACGCATAGCAATTGCCGCAGGTATTGATCGTTAGTGGCATTCTTTTTCCAGCTGCTTATGGACAAATAAACATATGACCAGTCTCATGAGATGAGAGCGAAGTGTGATCAAAAATATAGTACATAGAGTAAAATGACATTGGGAACTGTGAGGCTCGAACTCACGACCTCAGGATTGCTCTGGCGTGTAGCCAGATCATACCGTAGTATGAGACCTGCGCTCTTCCAACTGAGCCAAGCTCCCTTATGATTTGTTGTAGAATTAGCTGCGAAATTTGCCATGATAAGCATATCACAAGTCTAGCTGTTGGCATGAGTCAGGATTTTTTTGTGGGGCGGGAGTCATGGGAATGAGGGGTTCCCAAAAATATGGTGGGGCCTGCAAAGGTGGTCACCGAGGAGGCTGTGCGGGGCCAGTCTTTGGGAGCAGCAAGCCACACATGTTTCAGATTTATCCATCTCAATGACAGCGACGGGAATGTCTACAACTCTTCGCCAAAAATGGAACCTTCCATGAATCTCCAAAGATCCGCTTCGCAATTCTAGCCGTGGATTGCCTCGGGACGAGGATACGAAAAAAATACTATGTCCCCTCGACCGGAATCGAGCCGGTGACCTTTCGGTATCAAGTAATTCCCATTACAGCCGAACGTGATAGCCAACTACACCACAAGGGGATGAATCATTAATTGCTACTGTTACGAACAGAATCCGCATTGTTGAGACTGCTCAAGGTTACGATACCTCTCAGAGCGACGCTCCAATATCTCCCCCTGTTGTGAGACACGGGCAGGTAAGGAACGCTGCTGAAATTTGGGTAAACTAGGAAGCTGGTTTAGGAGCATGCACTGTGTGTGAGCTTGGTCACGGAACGGTGCAATTATTTGTCGCCTTGCAAATGCCATGGAGAGGGATATTGTGGGAAACAACCTCTATCAATCGGTTGCTTTGGTCATTCGCCAACGTGGAGCGGCCCGTCGGCCGTTGAGATCTTTGTTGGCACATCCGGTTGGGTAAAGTGGCAATGACTGGAGGGCTAAAGGCTTTGATTCTTACATGGAGGGGGCCAAGAGTTGGGGTTCTGTCTGGTCGTGACAGTATGGCGGGGATAGAATAACTGGGCTGTGATCCCGCCGCCTGCGGCCTTGTGGCCATCACGGCCATCGCTTTTACACAGTGTACCAGCCTAACCACAATCCTGGGTGCGATCAAGCAAGGTTGAAGCTTATCCGGCCAACCAGAAAACCACTCGATGGAGAGAAAACGGTAACAGCAGGCAAAGATCTTTAGCATTTGACCTGCAGTCTACCTTGAGGTGCAAGACCCGCTGAAAGACTCGAGTGACCATCGTTTGTGCCAAATTCTTGTTTGAAGGGCTTATCTCGACAACAGTTACGGCTTCAAGAGCGTGTGCCACATTATGTATGTGCTTACCATTCCTGAACTCTTTCGGCGGTTGGATTGAGATCATAGCCTTGCACTATTATTGGATGCCGGACACAGGCTCGAACTTCAGTATGCAGCTGGCACCTCTATTTCTTAGCATCATCTTCTGAGGTTATGTGGACAGCCGTGCGTGCCCTGGCACTGGTTGTGGCTTGACATTCGTGAAGATTTTTTTTTTTTTTGCGGGAAGATCGTGGGAAGAGAAGATACCAGTCGGCATGAACGAAGCCAGATCTGTCTCCCCCACGCCGCACTGCTATTGACGGAAAACGTTGAGCCTCTGATGATGAGACTGCCAATGTGGTCGGGAGCAGCACTGCCTGGTATATATTAGGGCATGGTTCGCACGAGGCTTCAGGGAGCAAACATGCTATATTTGAGCCGAACCTCTCCATTAGTTCCATGACGAACTGGGCCGGGAGACTCTGACTGCTTTCCACATCCAACGGCCTTGTGACTGAGTTCTGACTGCATGTGTATTCCCTCCTGCTTAAGGACTACTAGGCCAGATTATTTAAGCATCAAGATGGGCGTCTACATATGTGCCGAAACCTGTGAAAGTCACTACGGAAAAAAGCCAAACTGCAACATCACGCTAGCGGACAATGAAACAGCTATCTTCATCGGTGACGTTGAGTTTGGGAGTTTCCAGGGTGACCCTGATATCGGCGGCGTTGGTGTAAGTCTACTGTCCTTACCATCTTCGCATTCTTCTCCATCTTTTTCCAGGCTCAGCAGTGACTAACTTCGCAGGTTCTCGCTGCATTTCTTGCGGTCACATCGCTTGCGATATGTTTCTCGGTAGCTAGCACAGGATGGTGGCTTTACAAGAACCTTGGCCTTGCTGGTCCCCAACCTCATCTCGAGGAGAGAACAAACAAGTAAGACCCTCAAGCATATCTCTCACACATCATTCACTACCCCACTGGCAGAAACATGTTCGCAGCTCGCTATCGTCTCAGTATCGCCGGCCTGTTTGAAGCTTTGATCGTCAACTGCAGCGATCAGCAAATCTTCACTGGTCTTGCTTATGCCCTCTGCCTTCGATACTCGAAAAGCTGCACAGTTACAGCGTACCACTACAACATCGTTACCAATCTCCTGCAAGTCAGTTGTGCTACTCATCTCATGGCTGTAGTCTTATCTCGCCAGTTTTGGGAACATATCTGGGTAGGAGCAAGCCGTTTCGCTGTCACTGGGTATCTGTTTTTCTTGACCGGCCACCTTTTGTCCAATCAACAATCTTCCAATGCACTTGGGTTTCCAACCGAGCCGCCACTCATGAACGTAACATACAGCCCGATGCTACTTCCTACAGCATGCATTCAGCAACCTAAAGAGCTAATTCTCGCCGAATTCGAGAAAACTTTTAAAGAGATCGACATTACCGAGCTCGAAAAAGATCTTCGGCTCTCAACTCCATGGTTGGCTCCATTATATATTATTGCTCGTTTGCTATCTGGTATCTGTTCTCATAAGCCTGAGTCGCCTCTTCCGTCGCAGTCGTGATGGCAGCCGAAAGCGAAAGTTCCTTGAGAGAATCAAGGTTCGTCTACCAAATTGGCTTTTATATTCCAGGGCAGTGTTCTTCCTTCCCTTTGGGGTGTACTTGGTTGCTTGCCTCCTGGTGTCCATCACAACCGTTGTGCGAGTGACACAATACATCATACAGATGCGCAGTTGGCTCAGGGACTCTGGATGGTAAAGTCATTACCGCAATCTTGGACATGCGATCCTTCTTGTGGTCTAACAACTGCTATGTAGGATGGATCTTGGTGACAGGGGTCTAAGCCCCGAAGACGATCCATCTACTTTCGGTCAGCTTATTCCGCTGTTGCTTATCTTTCTCACCCTCTTCACCTTCCTCCAGATCATGAGCGGTATGCGTACACTAAGTCGAGCGATAGCACTTTCTGTAGCAAAGGCTTACTGAGGAAACACAGAGCGCGGTGCATTATTCCGCAAGGCGAGACATGCAGGAAGCAAAGAGCATCAAAGGCTACAGGCAAATGCAGACAATACCCCCGAAAATGTCACATCAAGACCAAACGAAAAGGTGTCCTTTGTCGAAGCAGGAAATATTGCCAACAGCCTTAATGATCCCGAAGCTATTCCCGTCCTCCGTGATGGTCCCCGCCGTTACGGCAAGTCAAGGGCAAGTATCAACCGTTGGTGACCGTATCCGAGTCCATCCTCGAGGAACCGAGAGATATGAGATACGAAAGCAATAACAGCGGTGTCAATGAAAGCAACAATGAAAAGAAAACGAACAACAGCGGCGATGCTATCGCTCAGGACTTCCCTGCCGGAGAGGAGAGCGATACTGGCCTGGTTACCCCTTCGATCGCCGAAAGTAGCCAGTTCATGCCGTCAGCCACAACCGGACCAAAGCAAACCAAGACCTACTCAACCTACTCACCAGACACCATCCTCTCCAGCCAACAATCCAGCACCACTGAAGTGAGCCCGGGCCCCTTCATGAGCCCGGCCATCGCCAGTCCATTCTCTCTTCCTTTCAACTCCCCTACTACGGCAAGCACAGTCACATTCTTACCAGCAACTCCTGAACGTCAATCCAATAAACTGCGTAAAAAGCGCTCCTTGAGCTTCTTCGACTCCCTTCTTGTCAAGGGCTGACACTCCAAAGACCAAAAGAAGTCCCAGGTGAAGCATGCTCACACCCATTCGAAGGTGATCGACCTCAAGTACAACTCTGCCTCTCAGTCTCAGACGCAGATGTACTTCAGCCCTGATGACAGTCCACTTTCTAAGCAGGCTGCTACACTTGCCGTTGGGTCGCTTCCTGGTACTCCTAGCAACGGGAGCGGGGGGAATGGGAGTGGCCCTAGTGGGAGGGGTACGCCTGTGGGGAAGGGACAGAGTCAAGGAGTTGGTAGTCCTGCAATGGAAGTTGCCGGAGAGTTCCAGTTCTAGAGGACCCAAACCTTTACTATAACTGACAATGGCGTTGGGTCTGCGCTGACATTGCCTGTAAATATTGGCCCTTTGGAGCTGTCATTCTCGTTGCTCGGACTTGGGATAGATTTGGAAGACGCGAGTGAGGTAAGTTGCCAGGGGCAAGGTCAGTCGAAGGATAAGGGGACAGCTTACTATATTCGGTAGTTTTGTTGAGACTCAATGGGGACTTTTATATATACCATATATACGAGGTGGATAATATGAAGTGAGCACATCAGGCTTCAAAGTTCTTTGACACATCGGTGTAAGCAACCTGTTCGTCAATATCTAGATCCAAGCCCTACCCAGGGGTGATCGAGAATAGCATTGTGAGGTCTTTGGAGACATCAGTATCGAAGAGGTGGGCATGGAAACTCGGCTACACCTCATAGCCGGCCATTAGATTTGGACCCGGATCTTTCTATTAGATCATATTCCGCACTGGTCAACTTTGTGTCACAACAGGCATCATTCCCGCTGCGTGGAGAAGGATATTGAATTGGATCACTGCTGTTGTGCATGCATACGGCTAGGAACATGTCGTAAAACATATCAAATACACCTTTATGGCGTGGTTCGACTCGAGCAGCTACCATGTTGGCTGGCTTATTGGTTATACCTGGAGACTGATGTAGACACAATGTAGTTCCTATAGTATTGCTGATATCCCGCGTCGTGCCTTCATACTTCAACATCTAGTTCGCCAACCCGAAAGCTCTCGGGCCGGGGCTGCTATCGACATGGGCAACTCTATGCATGCGAAATTCGTTTATTCAACTACCATATCGATATCAACTGTAATGTTGAATGAGCCAGTGACACTTAACTGGCTCAATTCTATATCCGCTGGCAACATTGTTTTCAATGGCTTTGAAGGAGACCCCGATACAAGCGGAGTTTGTGTACCTGGGATAAATGTGCTGGACATTGACTTGGAGGGCCAGATGTTATTACCTTGTTAGGCAGGGCTGTTGCGTTGAGGTTTAAGGTTGCTTGTTGTGTTTCGTAGTTTCATTGAGGACAACATAATGCAGAATAATCTTGCAACAATGTGCAAAGAACCCATAACAGACTTACATCTCTCTGTCATTTCATAAACCAATGAAGAACAGCCGGCAAAGGCTGCGAGTCTCATTACTCGTCATAAGACCGCAATACGTATTCATTTTAGGTTGATTCACCTCTGTTGGTTTCCGATCTTCCGCACTCCTGTCTTTAACAGAGCCCCCAATGATGTCATCGTCATTTCTTTTCTGTCTGCGTCTTTTCCTCCGGCTTTACACCTGCGGAGACGGATGAACAGCAGGATCGCAGGAAGAATGGCTGCCATAACTGTATGGACAACGAACATCATGGTTCGACGAAGGTCCTTGTCTCATTTTCCAGACTCCAGAGAGGAATCAGGTGTAGAGATTGCGGTTGCTGATATCTGCATGTCCGTTGCTTGCCAGATAAGGTGGATGAATGGTTGGAGCATAGGACGTGGCTGTTGCTGGGGTTGTGTCGAATGCTTTCATTTGAAGAGAAGCACCGAGGTGGCTCGCTTCTTCGCCAATTACGATTGTTATTGTGGCCTCGTCGCCGGAGTTTCTGCATGTTTGGTGGACAAATTCCCCCCTTTGTGACCTGGGGGTAACAGTAAGGAGAAGACCTCCCGGTAGAGCCATCGTCTTTTGATCCATTATCTAGCTTAAGCGTGAATCCACAATAATGGTACAAGTTAGCTTCCTTATCTCCACCGCTGTCCCCCACAGACTTAGAGTGCTCAGCAAGAGGACTTACTCAGGACAACAGACTGTGGCGGTATCCTTAGCTTTCATACGCTCGAAGTAAGCCGATGAATTCGGATGGGCGTCTACGTCAACGCTGAAGACTGTAGCAGTGGTCCAGTATCTGGGAGAGAATATGCCAGGCGAGTAGAATGCTCCTATAGCGTGACATAATGGCAAGACGCGGTGCCATTGCATCCATTGTTGTAAGCCGTGCAAGCGGCGGATTGGCCGAATAGCTCATTGCCAACTTCTGTAGCAACGTTACAGGTGTTAGAGTTCGCGGAGGGCATAAAGGTTGTGGTCGAACGGCCAACAACTGTCCATGACGGGGATGCGTCTTTCGCCATGGAGGATAACATACTGTAGTAATAGTCATATAACATCCTCTCGAAAACATCCTAGGGCAAGTTGTGGCCAAATGGTGGGAGGTTCAGCTCTTGGCTGAAAACTGGGGATCATAAGGTTTAATGGTGCAAGGACAAGGCGTCCATTGTGAACTACTGCTGCTATGTGAGTTCGATCCAAAAAATGATGTTATCTTCACCAAGCATCATCTGGTAAGAATAAATCTGTAGTGCGCCTCAGTTGCTTTATTGATGCTACCAACTCAGCGGACTCTTGAGATACTGAGGGAGTGGACCAGAATGCCAGCTTCTTAGCCAGACTCGGGGAGGCTTTGATGAAAGTTGCTTGCTTCGCATAAGGCCATCCGTACAACATTCTCCGACTAACAAACAGGATTAGGGTAAAATGAACATGCTTCGGGCTGACAGTATCCCGAAACCCTCGGCCAATCTGAGCCTCGGTTTTGAAAGGTTCGGAACCAAGCCGTTGAAAGCTTTCACTTATGGATCCGCGGAGGCCAGGACGCCAGGCGCAAAGTCAGGGGCTTAAAAAAGGGAACCAGATTTTTCTGCCAGGGTTAGGGTTGTTGCCCAGTCAACCCTGCGAATTTACAACTGCGTAAAAAATAATGACCTGACTTGCTTTGACACACTACTTGCTGTTGTACAGAGCCTGAGTGAGCAACAATAAAGTATCTGATGTGTTGCAGTTGGTCTCCGAAGATCCGATGGCTCGAAGATAACTCCGGCGTGGAGGAAGGTGGCCAAGCCTGCAAGCTGCCCTGTCGATGCCACTCATTGGCAATCTCAGCCCAGCCAGATCACGGGATTCCGCGTTCTGGACGCGACAAAGACCTGTGCGGCGGTCTTGGCTCCAAGGCAGCGACGCGGTATGAACACGTCTTACAGTGAGGACAAAGAAACGGCGGACCAATATTCCACCGTTGCGATGGTCGACCATCGAATAGACAAGGGTCGGAGATGGTGAGCGGACGAAGATAAGTAGGGCTCAAGGACCCCAGGACTCCGTGTTGGACTTGATATCCTCAAACTCAAAGCTTTCTTGACTCCTTACCTGAACCGCGAACATCACTGTACAACCCCCAATTACTAAGCGCGCCTTCACCATGTCCACTACGACTGCCCCGCCAACATTCATCATCAGCGTCCCCACGACCGACATCCCGAGTGCCAAATCCTTCTACACCTCCCTCAACTTCCACTTCCTCCCCGACTGGTCAGACGCTTCCTCCATCTCATTCATTCTCCCTTCTCCCAACAACAACATCGCCCTGATGCTGCACACCCACGACCGCGTGAAGAAGTTCTTCCGTCCCGGGGCCATCATCGCGGACCCCAAGACCACTAATGAAGCTCTCTTCTCGATCAGTGTCAAGAAACCAGAGGAGGTCGATGAGTGGCTAGACAAGGCCGTCAAAGCCGGAGGCGAGAAGGATCCGTTTGTGATGAAGGAGTATGGGAAGGATATGGGAATGTACTCAAGGAGTTTTGCGGACCCAGATGGACATATTTGGGAGGTTATGTGTTGGGTTGCGAAGTGTGGTCAAACAGGGGAGGTGAGGACGGAGTAAGGGCATGTTTAGCGTCACAACCTGGGACTTTCGATGTTGGAAACCGTTGATCGGTTTGCGGGGTATCAGTCTGCTGGCCTCATGCTCGCTCATTTCATTCCAAAGGCTCGAGGATGTCCTGGTGCAAAATGCCTGAACAAGCACAGCTGAACCTCTTTGGCTTAGTGTTTTCTCTCATCATATAGTGAACCCCAACGAAACATTTCATTTTCCGTTATTTCATTCCTTTCATATATCTGTGAACAATTCACTCTGTCACGAAACAGGTCCCATGAAACTCTTGAATAGGAGAGGCAACATGTTGAATAGGTATTGGCGGACAGTGTATGGATTGCTCGGCCAGGATGAACCGTTCTTATCCCCAACAGTGGACCAAAATTCGTGGTATGTGGGGAACGATTTGCCTATTATTGGTGAAGATGTGTGCTCAAGGAACTATCTACCTAGTTTGATGATTGGTCACTGCCTTAGTTTTAAGAGGGTGCACGCTTCTAGTATGCTGAACGAGCCTCTTTTTTTGGACTGCATTGAGCCGATAAGACAAACTCCACAGAATTGTTAGTGACATGCGTAATCGGCATTCCGATAGAGAATAAGCCCTTCGGCCCGAGACAAGCGCACTCCAGAAAGTGTCTGGTTAGGCATATGATGTTAGAGGTTGACAGGCCAAACTAATCCATCAAATGTTGAGTATATGGCGCTCAAAGTCATAGGCTGCATCTGGGGAGAAAGGTAACCAAAAACGTCAGGTCCCAGGGCTGATTGTTAATGTTGTGAAACGGAAGTTGCATAAACGCAGACGCTAAGTTCGGATGGTGACATAAAGGAAAAGCCGTCGTGCGCTGGAATAAGGCTGGTCAAACTCTCGGCAGGACGACATTTGTACCGCATCTGTGTAACGTCAATAACTCAGACTACCTCCGGAGTAACTCATGGCACGACTCTAGCAGCCAAATTGCACAACATTAAGATGCCACTGTCCAGTGTCATTGTACCTTTGTCGGACGGCGACCTGACCACGAGGTCCACCAATAAGTTTGCAGTTTCTTGGTTTTCGGATACATTGCGCCCATCACAGACTTCAGCGACAGATTGGAGCGGTGGTGATTAGCGTTCCTTTCATGGCGTTTCCAGAACTGCTGGGTTGCTCCTTTCGATGAAACCGAACGGGATACAAGCAAGCAGCCCCGTGACAAGACTCGGATATGAACGAAATAACTGCAGTCGAGGACAGACAAAGTATGGAGGGCGACGCTTGTTGTTGGCAGGCATGGCAAAGCCATACCCACACAACCTTTTTTGTTTTTTTATTGATTTGAAAATGACAGAACGAAACTGCAATGTACTATGGGATATCTGTACAGCATGCATACCCGAATATGAAAATAACGGGAAAAAAAAATCGTATATACCCATAAGTATGAACCCGGCCCACTACCATTCCAATCTATATGCATTCCCAGATTCCGCTCTCCCCGATTATATGCTTCGACCCCCTCCCCCCCTTTTCACCTCTGGACCCTTTCAGGCAACCTGGTTAACCGCAGCCTGCACTGCGGCCGCCGCGCTGCCCAGAGCCGAAATCATCAGGATGTTCGGCTGACCGGGGGTATTCTGAGGGAAGCGCGAGTTGAACCCAATCACGTCACGAGCCTTGGTAAACGTCTGCGGCGACACAAACAGCCGGGCAGTCGACACATGCCAGTTAACACCCTCAGAGCACGGCGGGGTAGTCAGCGAGCCAGAGTAGATCTGGAAAGCATTGGCCTTGAGGATGTCAACGACCTCGGACATGACGAGCGGCGGGGTCTTGACGCGGGTGCCGGGGGTAGCGATCTGGTCGACGACACTGAAGACGGTCTCAAGCAGGGTAGTCGGGGCACCGGAGGAAGCACCAGCGTCCTGGCGGCCCATGATGCGCGAGCGCTTGGCGGCAGCGGCCGCGGCCTGATCGGCGATGTTAATGTACACACCGATGACGGCAATCTCTTGCTGGGCGGACTGGAAGACCATGTGCATCTCCATGGCCTGGGAGGTGCCGTTGTCGAGGTGCTCGGAGGGCAGGTGGAAGTGGAATTGTTGAAGCTCGAAGGTCTTTCCGTTGGCGGTGAGGGTGCCGCCCTGGGTAACGACCTCGACAGTCGTGCCAAGATTCTCGAACTCGGCACCATCGGGCATGTCGTTGACGGTCAGCTCGACGTCAGAGCCCTGGAGGATCTCGAAGACGCCGTCAACCATGTCGATGGGGGATTGGCGGGTGCCGGTTGCGCAAGCGGTGTTGGCGGAATCTAGGGCCGCCCAGTTAAGGGGACCCTTGGGTAGGTGGTGTCAGTGGCTGCCATGTACGATCGGTCACTGGGAAGCGACTTACTATCCTGCCGATGTAGCCAAAGTTGCCAACCTTGACCTCGCCGCCCTCCTCAGCACGGGGCTGGAGGAAGGTGCCGTGGGCGCATGATGCGAGAGCTCGCGTCGCCGACGCGGCTAGCAGAAGAGCCTTGAGAGTTGAGCCGTACATCTTGGTGGATCGGAGGTGTGAAGTTGAACAAAATCGGGTGCTGGGATGGAGATGGAGTATGGATGGGCCCAAGACTAGGACTTGAAACAAGTATGACCAAACAAAAATATAGAAAAAGAAGAAGCGGAAAAGAAACGAAGAGGTCCCAGACCTGCCGGCAAGCCAAGAATAAATCAAGAATAGAATGGAAAATGAGAAATCGTACGACTTCCTCGTGATTTTTCCAGCTGGCCGGGCGGGAAGATGGGAGATCTTTGTATGCCCTTGGGGCAGAGATGGGCGATCATCGCCCCTTACCCCGTGTTTTGGACGTGGCCGGGTCAAGGAGAACCAAGGAGAAGGAGGCTCAGCCTCGGTCTCCCGCCGGGTGCTCCTTGATGGCAACTCCATCGCCAGCCATAGCCGCGATGGGCCCCGGACGACCGGGATTAGCGGCAGGGTTAGGGTCCCTAGCCATGGGTCCGTGGTGTTGGGAAAGGAAATGCGAGATTTCAACACGGCATTGCGCGTGGGATGGCAGTGTTGGATAGTACGGAGAGGGCCTGTTGTGATGGCGATCATCGCCGCCAAGACTCAGAGGGGGTTCTAAGGGGGTTCCGTTGATGTGCTGGCTGCGATTCAGGTGCGACAGCCAAGAAATCGACTGCCGCATCTTGCTTCGCCTTAGCCGCTTGGCGCGCGATCCGCGCTGCGGGCTTCGATGGCTAAGATATACGAGCATCCCAGGCTTCGAGGGCGACAGCGGCGATGAAAAATTCAGTTTTTGACCAGCCATCCAGTGTAGTGCGATGGGCTGTCCAGAATATGTGGTCACCTGGACAAAAGAGAAGAAGCGCAGTGCTGCGCTCACCGGGGCATCCATGTTTGACGACAGCAGCGACGACAGTGGGCAATTCCAGATAAGCGCCGTTGCCAAGAACGTGGGGTGTTGTTTCGGTGAGACGTGAAGGCTACGGGGGTAAGAACGGAAAGGAGTTGTTCTGCATCAGAACTGACTGCGATTGTATTGACGGTCCCATTCCAGCTTGGTTGACGCTGTGACCTTCTCCGGCGCCTAGGGTGTGAAACAGAAGAGATTGAGAAAACACTAGGAATCGATGTTTCCTGTTCTACTTCGTGTCCAGTCCAAGCTCTAACAGTGTAGGCTGCGACCTTGATTGGGTTAGTGTGTTTCATCTACCACTGCTGACACTCGTTTCTCAACATCGGTCGCTTAAGCACATGGCTTTGGAGCGCTTTGCGGCCGTAATTACAGCATGCTGAAATGCTACCGGTCTATATATGATAGGCGCGGATCTGGTTTCTCAACAGACCTAGAGTTAACTGGCAAGGACGGGAGTGGGAAAGATGAGGCAGCTGGAGCCGACTTGAGAACAAGCTGCAAGAAAAGCGACACAACTGAGTCTTCACTGGACGAGTTGAAACTTCGGATGCGACCAACAAGGCTGAAAAATTCCAAATCTCTTCGCTTGACAATAAAATCGAGCAGGTTCCCAGAATAACTCTCACCAAGGCTTTAGAAGTGAACCTGCTAAGGCTCAATCAGTAGCACGTTTTGGCTATGTATTAGAAGATCGTCATCTGAACATTTTTGTCAGCAAGTATATGCGGGCGTCAAACACACAGAGAGGCTCTCGGGCTTTCGTTCCACATACGTGAGACAAGATTGCCATCCCGTCGCCGAGACGGAAATTCCACGTGGAGGTTCCGGAGCCGCTTGGGTAGATGCATATAGCATCGACATCTTTCTTCATTTTTAGCATTTGCAGACGCCAATCTTATCTAGACACCTCTTTGTCGTTTCCTTGACAAATTGATGCCGAAGGATGATAAGGACCGACTTCCCAACTTGATCGGGATCGGCCTGGGCCAGGTGACGCATTCTGCTGGTCTGGACCTGTGTCAATTGTTTGCGCGCGGTCAACGCGCTGAGGAGCGTCGCACGATGGCCGCATCTATATCGAGAGGCTAGGCTTCCAGAATATCCCAGTCGTCATCAAGATGAGCACCGAAAAGGCCATCTTGGAGCTTTGGATGGGTCAGAAGGCTATGCGATGATCCAAGAATCGACTGTCAGGAATATATGTCCAGCAATTGACGCGTCATTGCGATAGAAGACGAGATGAACCGAATGTTCTCTCAAAAGAGGTTGGGTGTTCGATCGGAATCATGGAAGTCGATGCATGAAAGAAATGGGATTGATCCGGCAACTTCAGTGGCGCAGCCGAGTTGGTGGATCGGTTTGCGGAAAATCGAGGATGCAATAAGGTTTTCCTTGTCTGACATCTCAGCACCAACGCTGTCTATCGATAATCTCGACTGCTTGAAATCACGTAATCATTATCGATAAGATGCAGCTCTCCCAACACCAGACCGCCAGGAAGCTTGGGGCGAGAGCGCAGTCTCTGAACAAGCCATTCATTCACCCTCATGACCTCCAACTGCAATTGTGACTCAACTGTTCAGCGCTGAATATTGATGATAAGTTTTGTGAAAGTTCTATTCATATGTATAATTCTGACTATATCGAGTTGTGACAGTTGTGCCAAATATGTTCGCCATTTCCACATGGGATTGTTGGAGATTTTGGTTGATCTTCAGACCTGCAGAGTGACCATTTGACAATGGCGTCAACTGCCGAAACATAGCATTCAGAATGCCTAATTGACAATCTTCTAACCACTTTGGTTTGCAATAATCTCGTTGCATCCATCCAAACGGAGTTAACGGACCTTGGCGATCCAGCAATCTGTTGGAGTTAGCGGCAGAAGAGCGCGCGATCTCCGCCAACGATTGCATCACAGCTTTTGTGGCACCTCGCAACCCCTCCGCACCGAGTCCATAACAATTGTTGTTGCACACTCGCCATGGGAGTTAGCCGGCGTTAGAATGTCGTCAACGTGGGGTTAAGCTCGTCTTGACCATCGCGACACCCGTCGCCATCCCATCACCATTGACCGTTGATGGAATTGTGCCTGCTGTGTGACCCTTCATTGGATCTTGACCGCGCACGCCAGATGGACTGCAGTTGTCGAATTTCTGTAGGATGTGCGCATCATTGATGTCGCTGTGATGCATCATCGGCAGCGGAGATAGAGAGTCTTTCATATGGGTTGCGGAAGAGGATAAAAAGGTCAATGGGAGCGTCAATGTTGGTTTGACTTATCACATCATCATCACTTCGAGAGTTAGACGAGCATCACAAACTCAATACCTTTTATCTTCTCAACACAACTTCAGAATGGCCCCCTCCGCTGTCGAGACTGCTGCCCCGGTGGTACCGGAGATCAAGGAGAAGGTCCTGCCCGGCAAGGCCCAGACGATCAACCCCATCGCCAACCAGCCATGGGAGGAAGTCCCTGAGCTCTACACAAACCACCGCGAGCCCCTGAAGCTCAGCGGCGCCCTCGACCACCTTGAATACTTCGATGTCACTCCCGTCATCGGTCGTGAGTACGTCAACGTCGACCTGGTCGAGCTCCTCCGGGCACCCAACTCGGACGACCTCCTCCGCGACCTCGCCATTACAAGTACGTCGTCACCCGTACGCTTACCCATTCAACGCTCACTAACACCCAAAAGTCTCCCAACGTGGCGTAGTCTTTTTCCGCAAGCAAGACAACCTGACCGATGACCTGCAAAAGGAGCTGGTTGACCGGTTGGGCAAGTTGACAGGCAAGCCAGCCACATCCGGCCTTCACATCCACCCGGTCAGCAATTCCCAGCGCGAACACGGTACCAAGGACGATGAGATCAGCGTCATCTCGTCGGAGCAGGCCAAGAAGCTGTTCTCGGACCGCTGGAACGGCACCAAGCGCCACCAGAGCAGCAAGCAGCAGTGGCACTCGGATATCACCTTCGAGCCGATCCCGAGTGATTATGCCCTGCTCAGGCTGACACAGCTTCCCAAAACCGGAGGAGGTGCGTTCCACCTTTGAACCTCTGTGTGAGAAATTGACTAACAGCCCCCCTCCCCCCCAGACACTCTCTGGGCCTCTGGCTACGAACTCTATGACCGCATCTCCCCGACCCTCCGCTCCTTCCTCGACACTCTCGTCGCACACTACGCCCAGCCAGGCTTCAACGAAGCGGCGAAGCGCAACAACTTCCAACTCTATACCGCCCCGCGCGGCGCGCCCGAAAATGTCGGCGAGGCCCTCGAGGCCATTCACCCCGTGATCCGCACCAATCCAGTCACCGGTTGGAAGTCGGTCTTCGCCGTCGGTCACCACGTACAGCGGATCTATGGTCTGTCCGAGGACGAGAGCAAGCACTTCCTGAACTGGTTTGTGCAGCTGATCGTAGAGAACCATGATCTGCAGGTCAGGTATAAGTGGAAGAACGTAAACGATGTGGCGATTTGGGATAATCGGAGTGTGTACCATGCCGCGACGCCGGACTATATTGGTGAGGATTTGGGGGAGAGGAGGGGTAGCCGCGCTGTGAGCTTGGGTGAAAAGCCGTACTTTGATCCGGCAAGCACGAGCAGGAGGGAGGCACTGAAGGCGCAGAAGGCTGCTTAAGGGTCAGGGGTTCTGCCAAAGTGTTTGTTATGTTTCCAGGTTTCGTTTTCATGAATAGGGAATGCATATCATTTGTCCAGTTACTTTACTTTTCCTGGCATAAGGTTTGACAAAGCATCAACAGCGCTGATCGGTGACTCTGGTAGTCTGAGTGTGATGAGTCAGAATCACCATGATGAAGACACCACCAAGACAGTACCGATAAGACCTTAATTTAACACCTGTCCAATATCATCTACCTCGGTATTAACCCAGTGATCACTTCATTATTAAAAGCCATCATCAAGCCGAAGCAAAACGCAATCCCATAAAACACCTTTCCCAATCCCATCCGTTGAACCCCCCTCATCATCATTACTTCCCTACCACCCATTACTCCATCAACACTTTTTGGCTAACCGAGACTCCCCTCACAACTTTCTAAACACCGTCCTAAAAATCTCCCTACTCTTCACCAAGTTCAGCATCCGCAACCGCTCATTATCCAGATGCGCCGCGTCACTAGCTTGACCGCACGGAAGATGAGCCGCAGGCGCGTTGAACTCCTTCTCGAGGAATCGAATCGGCGGAATGGATCCGCCTTCCCGGATATACAACGGCTTGCGTGTCTTAGGCTTGGTTTCATCACTGGTGGCATTCGCAGGCAACGCCACGCGACTGCTGTCATCCTCGTCGGCAGCCTCGCCATTGAGGCCCCACGCCTGAACAATTGCCTCTTCCAGTGTTCGGAAGATGTAATTCCCCGGCACGCCGAGCCACGGCTCAGCCTTGTTATCGATCCTGACAGTAAGCGTATTCTCGCTGTCAAACTTGGCAAACTCGTCGTACAAGAACTGGGTCATCGACTCAATGACCTGCTCGACCTCCTGGCCGGGGACAAGACGGATACTGACGTTGGCCGTGGCATGGCTGCTGATGAGGGAGCCGTCCGGGCCAGAGACGTTGTAGCGGTGGATGGTCAGGTTGGGTTCGCGCCAGCGGGCCATGAGGCTGCGCTTGAGGACGTCGAGTGGGCCGGATGAGGGGTTGCGGCGGAGGAGGATGGAGGCAATCTCGTCATAGCGCTGCTCTTCTTCATCGGTCATGGGGAGGATACCATCGTAAAAGCCGGGGATCTTGACGTGGTTCTTGTTGTCCTTGAGCTTCGACAAGAGAAGGGTCAGGTCGGTGAGAGGTTCGGAGAGCATGTTGCTGCCATCGACACCAGAGTGGAGGTCGGGGCGCTTCGAGTCGATGCAAATGGTGGCATGCAGGACGCCGCGAAGACCGTACGTCAGGCAGGGGACGTCGTCATCAAGCCAGTAGCTGTTGGCTAGCAGAACGTAGTCAACATGACCGATGAGGTCCTTATTCTTGCGGATGGTTTCCTGGAAGCCGCGGGAGCCAGACTCCTCCTCACCCTCAATAACAAAGATAATGTCTGAGTCAAGTTGCTTGGCCTGGAGCAAGTCAGAGACAGCATACAACGCAGCCATGATAGGGCCCTTGTTGTCGCTGACGCCACGGCCATAGAGATAACCATTCCGGCCCTCCATTTTGAACGGATCTGACAGCCACTTGTCAGCCTTTATCTCGGCGGGGACTACGTCGTAGTGACCATAGAACAAGATACGCTTGCGCTCGTTGGCTGGCTCCAGCTTGCCGCTGAACCGGGCCAAGACGATTGGGTTATGCAGGCTGCCTGTGCTGAGTACATCAACCTGGGCACCGAGCCGCTTGAACAAAGATGCGAGGAATGTAGCGCCCTTGCGGCAATCCTCAGTGAATTCAGGCCGCGACGAGATAGTTTTGTACGAGACAAACTCGCGCAGCGAAGTGATCATCATATCCTCCTGGACTTCGCGGCCCTCTTCGTTATGGGTGGGCATGCCATTAACATGCCAGACACGGACAGTGTTGTCATTGGCGCCAGTAATAAAGAGCTGCTCAGTCGCGTGCACTGTGACGGCCGAAGACAAAATCTTGCCTTCGTGGGCCTTCCAGCGGTTAAGGCACTGGTACTTCTGGCTTACATTCTGAAGCAAGCCGTTCTTACCGCGGCCATAGTGGACCGTGCTATGTTTCGCGATGGAGCCACCAGTACCGCCGCTCCAAAGTAGGCCAAAGCTCATATTCAAGGTGTTAACGTTGCCGTCATGGGCCTTAATGACACGCAACTTCTGCTTAGTATCGAGATCCCAGAGCTCAATGATGCCTCTGAGCTTGCCGGCATAGAGGAACGATCCGTCGATGGCAAGTGACATGACCGACTCACTATCGTCGTGGCCAAGCACCATCATCTCCTCGATGTTGCCCACTACGCCATCTCCTTCACCGTATTCAGGTTCGTCATCGGTGAGCCTCCAAAGCTTGATTGTACCATCTCCGCCGCCTGAGATCAAGATCTCCTCGTCGGGATCGGCCAGGACGGTAGGGCCCTTCGCAATCAACATGCAAAAGACCCAACCGTAGTGAGCATACCGCTGAATGGCACTGGAATCGATCTCTAAAACTGTCTCAGCCTTAGGAATGAGGGCATAGTGCTCTTCCATGCGACGAGGGGTCGAGGTGCCGCCGACAGCACGGGAGTCAAAGAAGCGATGCTGACGAATGTCAGGATGTTTCGGCGAGTCTCGTGGCACTTGGCGAGTCGGGTCATTGAGGCTAATCCACTGAATGTCCTGGGTCTGTGTACCGAGGTACAGCGTCTGGTGCTGGGGCGACCAGGCAATGCTGAAGACGTCGCCGACGTCGTACGTGCTGTAGATTTCGTACAGGCGGATGAAGGTTTTAGGGCACCAGACGCCCAGGATGGGCTCGCAGGCGCTCGAGAAGAGGTACTTGCCGTCGTCGGACAGGAGCAGGTTCAAGACACTGCGCTTGTGGGCCTGGATAGTCTTGACATGCTGGTAGGTGCCGAGCGACCAGATCACGATCTCACCCTTGCTGGTGCCGGCGAAAATGTAGCGATCGGAGACGGCGAGGGCTAAGACAGAGCCATCGTGCCGGAGCTCTTGCATCATATCAGGAGCTTCATCGGGGCATTCGTCGTCGAGGCTGCCTGTCCGGTTCTGCGTCATGGTTGGGGAAGAGTCTGCTGCTGCAGGAAAGAAAATAGGTTAGTTATTAAGACAAACCCAATTATCCAGAGAGGATGGAATAATTGTGTTTGTGTGCAATTGGTGCCAAAAAAAGCACCGCGCGAGATGAGGACAGGAATTCAATCCATGCAAACTATGGACAGAGACGACTGAAAAGGCGGATGGAGGTGTCCCGGAGTGGATGCGTGAAAGTCGCTGACGCCATTTGTGGGCAGCAGTTCTCGATCCGCAACCCACGGCGGTGCGCGGCTGCCCCGCGCAACTGCCATCCCCGCCATTGGCAGGGGTCCGCTGGCGTTCCCCACGTTTCGGCACGTGCTTCCCAGGCGTTCTGTCATCGGCAGGCACGACAAAAGCTCATCGCGTTGCTTCCATCGCGAGTCACAGCCTGCCGCTTGACGTGATTCTACTTCCGACCTGAGCGATGGATTAAGGCCCAGGAGATCGATTGAGACGCCGCGCCATGACGGTGATTCGAGGGAACCATGCAGCCAGTGAAGGCCCTGTGGTCGCAGGACGGCAGGGCTCACATGGAGACACCCAGGAACCGCCATCTTGGGTCACAAACATGCAGAAGAAAGTCGGGCAGCGGCGTGGGGGTTTCGCGAGGGAATTGGCCATCCACAGGGCTTAGGTAGACGGCCCAAGAACTGCCTAGAGCTCAGAAGCCGCCAAACACCCAGACCAGGAAGACGTGCTGCGATACTTAGGACGAGGGTGGTAGTGTTACTCACCGGCACCAATCCCACGGGCGTGGGGTGTCTGCTGCGCAACCACAGTCGCTGACGACGCTGCCGCTGCCGCGGCCCTAGCCTTGAAGATTTTGGTGCAACCTTTGCAGGGCGCTTGGCCTTCGTTGGCCTCATTGGAATAATAGTAGTACTGGGCACTCCATGGATCAAACGACTGCCGAACGCTCTCCACGCACAATGCCATGTCTTGCTTGTCGTCTCGAGGAGCTGGGACCCCAGAACCAGAGCCAAAGCTAGGCGCTGCCGACGTCGAGTCAGAGTTTATGCCTCTGCTACTTTGAGAGGATCGCAGGGGTTGATAGGAGCTGGCTTTGCTGGTTGTCGAGGACGACGGGTTTTGGTTTTGTAGCGGCTCCATGTTGGGTTCTCCGGTCTGTTCCTGGCTGCAAGTCATCCTGCCGGTGCTGAGCGATGACGCGAGATCAGGGGTGAACTGCGCGATTCCGGGCTGCAGCGCTCATGACCTCATAGTCCAGAGCGTATGGTCGAAAGAAGAAAGACGGAGGCATCTCACCGCTTTTCGCTTTCGCGGATTCCTCGCAACTCAGGCTGACCAAATTAGGGTCACACGGTGGGTAAGAGGATCAAAGTAGCGTCCATAGAGCAGCAGACTCAGGCTACTGCGCACAGCGAGGGCGGCCGCCACCCTATTCATATACTGATTGGCAGAAACTTCCAAACTGGGCCTAGATAGGTGCCACGAATCGCTCTGCTGTCCACAAAGCCATGGTCAAAAGTGTCCATGGGCTGCTCACCATAGCAGCAAAAGTAGACATGAGTATAAGTTCTGTTTGTGTTGGAGATGTGTGGCACTTAGAAGTGTAAGAACCAGCCGGCTCAGTACCGTGGACTGTGACAGACGCATGTCTTGGTCGCGGCAAGCTGCCGGTCACGTCTCATCTAACTGGTTTAAATAGAGAGAGATGAGCACAAGATAAGAGAGTTGAGCACATTTGAGACAATGGTACCGCAGTGGAGGTAAATCTTTCCGCTGCGCACCAAAAAAAAGCGCTCATCAAAACTGAAAGACAGGACTTCTTCAAGCGTCACCCTGAAAGCACCCTCCATTATCATAAAGCAAGCGAGGGTTGAGGGAACGACAGGACAGCACGTCACAGTAACAGCGGGTGGACACCGACAGATTTCAGACATCAAGGAATCATGCATGCTGCGGCTGAATAACTGGGAAAATCTGGATCGACTCCACGTTGACATGATGAATCAAAATTCCTGGGGCAGCATGGTTAGGTCCACCGCCTGATGTTCGCCATGATGCCAAGCACAGCCTTATCGCCCTGTTGGTGTTTAACCGTGCTTTTGCCGATTGATTTTCGGGCTGGCTGCGGGTGGCACCAACCCCCAGTTGCCTTGCCTCAGCTCGGTGGAGGGGAGTGAGGTTGGCCTGTGCGTCCATCAGATCCTTGCATGCAACAATTTTCTTTGGATGTGTCTGAGATCATCGAAGAGGCGTCTTGTGAAGTTTGGCATCCTAATATCCAAACCCTCTTATCGCCTCATACCTTTCCTGTCGACAACCGCCGCCAGCGACACCATCTTTTGTCGAAATTCTTGGTTGCTGCTTTGCCTGATCTACTTCGACTCTTCGTATTCGGCCATCCGACCACCGTCTTTTCCCAGTATCTCCATCGTTGCCATCGATCCTCCATTTCGATATCTCGGCTTTGTATCTCACCTTCTAATCAATCTACAAGATGGATCACACTCGCGACCCCTGCCCCTGGGTTATTCTTAATGACTTTGGTGGTGCTTTCTGCATGGGTGTATGTATACCGCCCAGCCGATTTCTCAGCGCAAATACCTCGACCTAGCAGCCGAGTAACCAAGCGCATGCCGACTTCCTCTCGAGCTCGACAGCTAACATATGCCTTGCCTAGGCTGTCGGTGGTACAATTTGGCACGGTGTCAAGGGTTTCAGGAATAGCCCGTATGGCGAGCGGCGACTAGGCGCCATCACGGCCATTAAGATGCGTGCCCCCGTGCTGGGCGGCAACTTTGGCGTGTGGGGTGGTCTCTTCAGCACATATGATTGTGCCGTTAAGGGCATCAGGAAAAAGGAGGACCCGTGGAATGCTATCGTACGTTTCTCTCAGGTCTCATTACGACAAGCCCGTTCTAACCATAGACAGATTGCCGGGTTCTTCACAGGCGGTTCGTTGGCCATTCGTGGAGGTTACAAGGCGGCGAGGAATGGCGCCATCAGTTGCGCTATCCTACTCGCCGTTATTGAGGGTGTCGGTATCGGCTTCCAGAAGATGTTCGCAGGGGCGACGAAGCTGGAGGTGAGCTTCCCATACTATCTCTCCTTGACCGTCTTGAGACTGACCCGTCCCAGGCTCCCCAACCGCCACCCTCAGGCGACAAGATGCTTGCTTAAGCGAATGAATATGACTGCTCCTTCGACACACCCAACTCTTTCCTCCAGCCTTGATGGCTGTGTGTACATTCTGTCTGCATTCTGGTTCATGATGGTTAGCATTATATCGGTGGCGGCGTTCCATGTAACATAGAATTTGGTTGTTGGTTACGCTTTGCCATCTATGGGTTGGGAGAGAGGATGGCCACACAAAAGCTGGCGGGCGTCATCTTGATAAAATAATAATTGATTCCCCAACCCAGGCATCCCTAGGCTTGCTGGGTGCGCTGTCCGCTATCTATCACAGCTTCTCTCCACACCAGTTCTGAGGATCCTCGGGGATGCCTTCTCCAACATACTTGGCAGCAAGCGCCGGATCCTTTCGAAAAACTCTCATAAACGCCACTCCCTGCTCATCTACCCACGCACGAAGCATCCCGCCACAGTTGAAGTCCTGCAAGATCTCCGACCGCGACTCGACCGCGTTTCCGTCTCCATCATACACGACTATACACTCAATTCCGATCATACCGCCCTCACCTTCGCCCGTTTTCCCCCACCGATCTCCCGCGCTTCGTTGAAGCTCACCTCCAGGACCTGTAACCTTCGTTAGTGCGACCGCTCCAGACTCCTTCCCAAACTGCGCGATTGCTCCGACCGTCCTGGCCGCCGTCGTCCGAAGGAATGAATCCCCGTTGCCAGTCCCAGATACCGCGATCGCACGCTTGGTCACGACCCTCTTGGGCGAGGACGAACCCAGTTGATACATCCGCGGCGTGGACAGACAATCTGCCACCAGACCCTTCAGCGCTCCGGAAAGAACCACCGCAGGACACGATGACGATCCGGCTTTTTGGCCCTCCAACTCCTCAAGCCATTCCTCTGCCCAAAATCCCGCGCCAACCGTCGGCGTATCGCCTATCCGGCCGGTCAGCTTGTTCGTCAGCCCGCCTGTGCTGGTCGCGACACAAACGGTACCGTATGCGTCGACGACCACAGCGCCGACGGTTCCTTGGGGAATGAACTCATCCGACGACCAGGATGCAGTCCCAGCGGGAGTGCCACAGCCATGCAGACCGCTACACGTTAACTCGGCCATCGCTTTCTCCCGTTCCAACCCCCTTCGATGCTGCTCCCACCGGTCTTTGGTCCAAAAATAACTAGGGTCAACTAACTCTAGGCCATACGCCTCAGCTAATTGCTCCGCAGCGGCACCATGCAAATGAGTGTGCCCCTGCGCAGAGGGGACATTTAACCTCCCCTCTGCCCCCTCTACATCCTCCACTGCCACACCCTTCCCAACGAGATCCTGCCCTCCCCTTTTCAGCAGCTCAGCGGCGAGCTTAATTGGATTCTTGACCCTCCTCAACCCGGACACACCGACCCCACGCTTAGGCCAGCGTGTTGGGTTGGTGATCATGATGCTTGCTTCGAGCTCGTTGATCCCGTCGCGAGTGAAGACTGCCCCGCGCCCAGCGTTGTAGAGTGGGTCGTCTTCCAGGAGGGTGACGGCATAGGTTGCAGAGTCGAGGGCTGTTGGGAGGGAACCATCGGGAAGGGGGTTGAGGAGGAAGCGGTGGGATTTGGAGATCTGAGAGGGTTAGAATATATTATCGATGAGCTATGCCAGGCAGCGGGGTTTAGGTTTAAGGCTCTGTGAACACTTGAGCTTACGATTGTCAGGAGAGAAGCACGGAACAGCTGGTACCGCTCCGGTGGCATCGTCTCAGGGCGGATGTTGCCTGCCCCACCATGGATGATGATACGGGGCTGAGTGATTGGCTTCCGGCTGATTTGGGACTCATAAGATTCCCACATTTTGGATGTCTCAGATTGAGCTGGACTAAGCGTGGGTTGTTGTCGATGAGCTGCAAAGAGGTTCAAGGTGATGTTGTGAGGTGAAACCTGGAATGTGAGATTTGGGGTGGTATTGGCTGGGTGATGTTAATAAGCCGTTGATAAGCGCTGGGAAGATATTTATCAATAATGCCCTCATGTGTCAAGGGTTAGGGTCATGATCACCTACATGGCAAGGGAAACGCCGACAAATATGCACAACGTTAGCACCAACATTATCACAGAGCGGTGCCGGGGAATGTTCACAAAAAGATGAATGAGACATCTCATACCAGTTACTTGCTCTCATTTAATCCCGCTAAATAACATTCGTCACTTTTATCCATCATTGGCCTGCCCTTTCCCCTGGCCCCCTTACCCTTAACACCCTCCCACACTTGGCAATCCCAACTAGATCTCACTGCAGGCCATCACGTTCATGCTGGGTACCGCCATTGGGCACCTATATAGGGCCAGGAGCCTGCTCTGTTCGCCGCTGCTGCTTCCCTGTGGCACTGGCCGCAATGCAAAGAAGCAACTCCTAGGCCTAACACTGCGCGTCACGAAGTGGACCACTAGCCTGCTGCAGCTCATGGGTGACCCTCACCGCATTCGCCGCTGCTGGAGGTACCTTATCACCTGTTCGAGCTCCTGCATGCAAGGGACCGCTGCTAGCGCCCGGACGGCCCACTTGATTTGGGTTTGGAGGTCGTAGGAGAGCTGGGTAATTTTGACTTGTCGCTGGGCTTTGATTTCCTAGGAGTAGACGTTCTCAGTGAAGGGATGGATTATGGTTATTGGGAGATGGGTTTGATTTTGGTTCTGGGGTGTGAAGGCATTAAAAGGGCTCTTGGGCATAATGATGGGGTGCGTACGTCCAAGAAGCAGATTAAAAGTCCAACATGCACCAACGAAGACAAGTGGCTAGGAAGAATCGATGGATATTGAAGCTGTTGCAAAAGCATCAAAATCAGTAAAAAGTCGGTTAAATCTCAAAGCCAAAGGCCATGAATCAAAGACTCAATTTCTAGTCATTTGTGCTATTGTTATTGACAGTGTTATTGCGGTCTCTATTGTGAACTTGCGCTCTCAGATCAAACTCAGTCACTGTGAGCGAAGTTTGAGAAGCGGTTGTAGATCACCAGTCTCGCTGTTCCGACAACAGAATGTAAGAACTTTTGACCTCAGATGAAGGTAGGTGTGTTCAAAGAAAGTCAGTGATATCAGACAGGATTGATGTTTCAAAAACAGTTGAGTGCCGGTAATGTCGCTATGGAAAGGGAAAAAGTGAGAACGCTGCGTATGAAGGGGAAAGCTCTTAATTACCTTTAGCACTTAAGAGCATAAGTTCAAAACAGTTTTGAGGAGGGAGTGATCCTTTCAAGCCATAATGGAAGATTTCAGCCACAGCTTATGGACCCCGTTTCTTGATAATACTACAGAGGAGGGATTCATGCATTTCACAGCTCTTGATTTATCAGTAAGACACTGACATACACAAGAAGAAAATGGACACTCTAGAAGTGATGGAAAGACATACCACAAATTGGATATACTATAAACCAGATGTAAGCAATTGTTCAATTGCGACCCAGATAGTTTCATATGCAGAACGCCAATAAGTATCAGCCGGAGTACTATCCAAAGCTTTCAACAAACCACTATGCTATGAGATCCGTAAATACCATTGCCAGAAGCTTGATCTAGAGTGCTGAACACCTGACACAAGCCGACTGACCCTGATGCTGTTGCCCGTCATAAGAGTTCAATAGCTGCACAGTTCTAAGGTCGATGCCTTGACCTAAGTTAATTGTGCGTCAGGCTTCGACATGACATCACTGGGTGAGGTCTATCCGCTCTTTGATGCTGCCCAGCAGTTGGAGGTGCTGTTTTTTTCTGAATACCCCTACCCGTAACTGGTGTCGGTTCATTCAGCACAATACCTTCGGTAGGGACGCCGGAGCCCTTCCAAGGCTACCGATGGGACATTTCCCTTGTGGTCAAGATTTCGGAAAGGCTGAGAAAACACACGGCTGCTTCCGTTGGAGACAAACCGGAGAAATCGCGAGTTTGTAGCCGATATCTCCCCAGGCTGTCGGGTAAGCTTTTTTTTCCTCAATATAAACTCAGTGTTACATGGACACTGCAGTCCAAGAAGAAATATCCCTGACAGCCAACATAGGAAACACTGGTGATACAAGTGCTGAGAAGGGCGAAGGGCATATTTGATTGGTAGAGCCCGGGATATATAAGGGGGTGCCAAGAATGAGTTAGGTAACCTTGCCACGATGAGAAAACCCCTGAAGATCCCAGGGAGACCGCGAGGTACTCACAAGGGCAGAGGGAATTTATAAAGGGAGCTACTTGGACACGATGAAGGATTTCTCTTGGTTTTTCTCTCTCACAAACACAAAGACATTGAGGACCAAGAGAGATTATTACACGTAGCAATTGACTTCGTTGTCCACTCCACATCGTCAGTGGCCATCATGTAACCCATTTGACCCATTGTCGATCCCTGCTTGCACCAGACCAAGTCACCCGCTACACTTAGCCTTTCGAAATCTTCATAATGAGACTTGAGTGTTAAGCATGGTGGCTTGAAAGGTTTGTTTTTAGCAAGGAGATACCAGTAAGACCGAGGTCCCAGGAAGCTGTCCAAGTTATTGCTTCCCTACCTCCGATATGGGGCAGTTCACATGAGCACAACTAAGAATTTAAGCACCCCCATGCGGATTTATGGCCAGCACTGGCTGCCGCAGCGTGTCATGCCCGTATTTCCATCGCTTCACTGCAGTATCCCAAACGTCTAAGCTGATTTGGTACGGCTTTACATGTACATGGCATACTTTGCAAGAGGAAAACTTGACACCATTGATAGGATTCTCGAGGAGCTACCTTGTGATCACACTTGTTGACCACAACCTACTGGTTACTTTCTACGACGACAACCACGATGATCTGATTGGGTTCTCCGAGTTCCTGAGAGGACCTTCCGAACGCCAAAACCGGTCGTGCTTGACGCACTTATATTGAAAAAGAAGAAACAAAGAAAAATAAACTTCCGCATCTACCAAACTTATGCACGCTATTCTTTCCCTGAACGTCCGTCTGTGTTTGTTAGTGGTCCCGTTTGCACTCATCGATATCGGGTTGGCGTATTGTAGGATATTACCCATTGGCTTACTAGATATATATCGATGATCTCACTGTGTATCCGCTTGAAGCGCAGCTCTGATCTCCTCCATCTTCTGCCACAGCTCCTCAGGCTCGCGGCGTAACTTCTCTACGCTCACCCGCTCCATTGTCCTCTCTTCGGCCTGCAGGTGCTTCCGCACTGTCCCCAGGTTTTAGTCGGTCCCAGCCAACTGGCTCTGTCCCTCTCAGCCGCTGCCGGCGGGGGCTATTTTGGGGAGCAGCGTGGCCGTCTTCCCGAATACTGACTCGGAGACCCCCCGGAAAGTTTGGCCCAGCGCAAGCTCGGCCTGGCGCCTCTCAACGAGACTGGAAACGGTCTCCAGGCGGCGGGAGATGAGGGCGAATGCTTCGAAGACCTGCGTTTGAGTTAACACGTATGTCAGCGAGTTAACTTGTGGCAAGAAGGTACTTAAAAAGCTGGGATAAATGTCAGGATATGGTTGGTTTCTGCCTAGATGGCAAGTTTGAGGTAATCATAGACTGCAGCGTCGTCTTTCGCTGGAGAACTTCCCCCTTGAAAGCAGTAAGTCCTCAGCGTAGACTATGATGACAGGCTCCATGCATTTCACTGAGCTGACCATTGAAAGTGATTGTGGGCCGCTTCTAAGCCTAGAAGCGTACCCTCAGCGTGATGTTGAAGAAGACTATTGCTATCGTGAGTGGGCAGACCTTGACTGCAATCACTTGAGGCAGCCTAGGCCAGTGGTTGGGTGTTACTGCTGAAGCTAGGAATGAGACCAGCCAATGTTGCTTGGTTGGTGATGCAGAGGACACTTTGCTGGTGACAAATGCTCGTTGGGTCGACCATTGTGCAAGCTGCTGGGCTGACATGGGAGCCTACTCTGACAGCCAACGTCGCCCGCAAAGGTCAACACCTGCTTCAGCGCCGACAGCGGCCGCCAAGTGTGACTATCCATGTTGATCATGTGATGTGTCTCCCAATCCTGGTCACCAGTTGCCATCACCAGTCGAGGTTTGCCCATTGATCTCAACTGCGGGCACTGGAAAGGGCCCACCACGTGGTGGAGTAATCGTATTGGTCGTCGGTCCTAAGCATCAGAGCTTGCTGACAATCTTGCTGTGAGGTAGAGGACTCAACAACACGATTAGGCAATCGGTAGGTCAGCTAGTCCATGGGGTGGACAGCGAAGTTAATAATAGTATTGAGCCCTTGAGGGCCGATCATGAAACCTTCAAGGTGATGATGATTGATGAATGGGGCAAAACAGAGCTGCACTGACATTTTTCCAGCAGCCTTCCAATGCTGTGGTTAGAGAACCCATTCATGACTACCCTTTTAACCTTCAACTTTTTGCAAGTTGTTACGGGGGAGGTGACATAATCAATGGCTGAAGTCGGTCATTGGTTTGGGTTGCTTGTTATCTTGAGGCAAGTCTGGCCTTTTGGCTGAAAGCTGTTTATGAGAAGAGTCTGGTCTGTAAGAAAGCCTGTGATGGAGAGGTTTATAACACGCGTGTGGTTCAGGAAAAATTCAAACCCAACTGTGATGTTGAGAGTTTTCCTATTGAGAATGCGAGCCCTATTGTGCCCCTTCCTAGGCCGTGTGACTGATATGAGAGTCTTTCTTTCATTTAATTTTGGATGTGGTGATGTCGAACAAGATCACAAGTATTGGTAAGGGAGTGATTGATGCCATATTCTCTGTACACAAAATGTTCAGGATTAGAACTACCTACCCTGAATAGAGTTCTCACCAATGGTTTAGACGATGTTAAGTGTCGGTGGCTTGGTTTTTAGTGATCTGATCTTCGCTGACAAAGTTCAGGGCTTTAGCAACAAAGGTAGTACGACTCATATTACAGACAACCCACTCTGAGTGGTGTTGTTCTCTGAATTTTTTGGTGGGACAAACGGTAATCAGCCATTATATATATGCTATCAACGACAACAGGAGTAGTCAAGTTGTTCCATTCCCGTAGACCTGGAAATCACATGGTCTAATGCTTACCTAAGAAGTTGTCAGGTGCCAAGTGTGTCAGGAGGAACCAAAAGAGTCAGTCGCTCTTCCCTTAAACGTTGTGAGCACTTTGCTTCACATATTGTTGTTTACCCAAACCACAACGGTCAACTCCACGGAAATCCAATCTCAATGGTTTTTTGACTCTCATTTGCAATTCAAAACGTGTATCAAATCATTATTGTCTTAGTTTGCAAGCAAATCATTCCCACTCATAGCTGGCGTCATGGAGCACCTTAACACTTGCCGCCAGGAATCTGTCAGCCCGTCCTCTACTAGCTCATCCGGTCCCGACTCTTCTGGCTCTTCTGTTTTTGAGAAGGTAAAGCAAAGCATCCCAATGATCCAACCTTTTTAGATCCCCAATATGTGGCAGGTAAAGTTATATAACAACTAACTGGCCCCTGGCATAGCTTCATCCATCTCTCTACGCCCCAATCTCCAGACCTTTTTGCCCCGAACATGCAACCCTTCTCATGGAGATAGACATTGAGTATGATCGTTACAAAACAGCATCTGAGCTCTGCGACCTTATCATCGAACGAATAGCCTTCCTTTGTGCCAAAGTATCACCTGTGGATCCTATGACAGCACAGGAGTATTTGGAATATTTCAAGGAGTCGAAGTCTTCACTTGCGGAGATGCGTAGACACATACAGCAGGGTCGTTACTGGGTTGCTACTGTTGGCATTGTCCCTAGTATGGGAGGCAGACTCTCCGACTTGCGTGCTGTCAGCAGTGAGGTGGATAGCATGATTCAGCTGGTATAGCTCTGCCGTTCTCTTACCCCTTTTAGAATGTCTTTTGTGACTAACTGGGCTTGCAATAGTACAGAGAGACTAAAGAAATGTTGGAAATGTTGATAAGAAACGTCACTAAGTGGGAGAAGTCACGAAATAGATGGTCACCTCTTATCATCAATCCCAGTCGCTACGAACAGCATACGCTCACGCTTCTGATTGCTCTTCTCCCAGCAAAGTTCATTGATGATAATGGAAGAGAGTTGGAAGAGTTTGAGGAGGTGATGGCTCTGTCACAAAAGCGCAGGGGCAGCACTGCAACTGTGCAGGAGGTAGAAGAGAGGTTCAGAAATCTCAGCCTGTTAGGTGCCGCTCCATTTAAAGAGGAAGATATCAGGAGAGGCGTTGAGCAGGCTGCTAAAGAGCCCATCGTGCAGCGAGCAATGAAGATGACTGATTGGAAAAAGCCAATAAGCGAGGGAGTCTTTGCGGATGACGTGGAGACGGAGGTTCAGAAAGAAGTCCAAGAGCAGGAGATGATGGACGTACCGGAGCTGGTAGATGTGGCCGGTCAGTAGACAGGCATGTTGGATACTTTGGTCCGTTCTAGGTTACCCAAGACCAGCGGCTGGCAATGGTTCCAATTTCTAGGATAACAGAACAATAACAGCGAAGATCAGGGACTGTTGTCAAAAAGTGTCAAAGTCCGATTGCACATCGTTATTGGCTTCTGATGGGGGAGCCAGGGTTGGTACTCTGGCCGTGAAGTCTGGGTTCATAGTTCGCAACATGCTGCACAGTGTGGATATGCTCAATCCCGCTGTGTCCTGGAACAGTGGAGCCCTGGATTGCAGCTCAAGGTCGTTCTTGCCGTCTACCACCACTTCGACACTTTGAACAAGGTTTACAACATAGCGACAAACCCAACGGGACTATTGTCACATACTCTATGCGAGGCCATCATTACAGTTTTCCAACTCAGACTCAGCATAGGACCCCAAGAGCCCGGACATGTGGACCTCTTGGCACGGAGATGCGGCTGATTAGTGGGTCCGAATACTTTCCTGCTAAGGAAAGTGACAGTGGACATTTCGGCCGCGTGATTGTCCACATTATGACGCCATCGGCTAACGGCTGTGATATCACATCCTTAGGGTACACGCGAATCTCTGGCCTGGTCGCCGGTGAAGTGCAAAACAGGCTCCAGCGAGCTTCCTCCAGGGCCTCCTCAGTCACATCCGGCCACGACAGCCCCCCTAGCACTCCGGCTAGCTCCACCAGTGCCGCATCAGCCCCTGCAGCTAGTGGTTTCCCTCATGCTTATATCCAAGTTCATTCGTCGTTGCTGTCTGCGTACCCTCTCGTCTAGAACGCTGCTGACCTCAGCGCTTATAAGGCAGGCCGACCTACGTTATTTCGCAACAATTGCTGGCAGTCTTCGTGGTGGCTTTGGTGTTAACCGTGGTGGTTATCGGTTCGCTGCGGTGGAGGTGGTATTTACCAAGGTTGATGTTGGGAGGAAGGAAGTAGTGTGAGATGGCCTTAACCAAGGCCTTATATGGAGAAGTTTAAGAGGGAAGGGACTAGGTAGTTTAGAGAGGACAAGTATGATTCTTTTTGAGGAAATGTTTGTCTTGGAATTAACTGTGTTTGATGAAGTTGCAGCTTTGTATATATAATACGAAATGGGTCTTTTAATCAGATATTTTGACTCATTGTAGCATATTTGTCTTTTGACAGGCCAGTCATGTTTTTCGACAGATTTATGAGCATTTCGTCTGCATATCATCTTTCCAAAGCCATTGTCGCCCTCAGGATATCATTCAGCATTTTCATCATTTGCTTTCCAACTTGGTTCTCGATCTCTACTCAAGAATATAGATCCAAGATTCAACGTCCCAAACTCTCTGATCTTGTCAACTTCTCCAATTTCGGACTTGCTGCTTTCAACTCTTTTCCCTGCTTCTTGATTTCGGACTTACGAACCGGACTTAATACCCCAAGATAAATCGATAAGGTATCCGCGGGAATCGAAAAGGTAGATGACAGTAGGGAAGGTTTTCATCTGTCGAAAAGGAGCGATGCGATGTCTGCAACACTAAGCCAATCATGCTGCTCAAGAGGACAGGGGCTGAGTTTCGTCGGTTTTGTGCGTCGATGAAAAATATCGGTACAGATTTTCTGCTCAATTGAGATAAGGTCGATGGTTACATGGTCAAGGAAATATGAAGCATTTGAAAGGGATATATGCCGGATGTGGCAGGAAGAACATTCGAGCCAGCATTACCAGTCCGTTCGACTTGTTTGAAGCATAGGTGGACGATCTGGACGTCAACGCCATAGCGGGCCCCTCCTATTCCCATCATGAATATTAATCAAACATCGCAACTACCCATCACGGGTAGTCCATCCATGCACAACTGACGCGTATTAGAACGAATCTTCTACATCGTGTTCGTCTCAGTTTCTCTACGCATCTGGGGAGACCTTCAACCTCGCTGGTTCAGGATCTTTCTCTAAATTCCTCTCATATCTCCACAATCTCCTAACCATTTACTGTAAAGTTTAGAACAAGCACATCTCAACTTTTCCTTTTGCTTGTAACATAACGGCTTACTGCTTACTTTTCTACAATTACCAATTTGCTCTGAATGAATCATACAAGTCCATGCACATCTCATGGAAAACATGATAATAGCGTCCCACGAAGGTCACTAGGCCGAGATTTTGCCTGTCTTGCAGCTAGCGAAGCATGAGGAGAACGATACAGACGAGCTGGTGATCAATGCAACAGATGAGTGGGCGGTTTCTGGCAAGGTAGAGACTCGCTGAGTGACATTTTCACTAACCTCTCATTACCTTACCCGTGAATGTTACGCTGTTGCCCGCCTTGACAGATCATGGCTTTACCAATCAAGTATCACTAGCATGGTATTTGACTTAACAGGCTGCTACTTCCGCTAAGGTAGATATTACGTTGAGGAAGGAGGACGGCTCTAAAAAGGAGCCAAAGAGTCAATTGATCGTCCTAATGGTACCGACAAGCTCCCGCTGACTTCGCCGCCAACCTATGGCTGTGGTTGCCAGGGCTAAGCCGGCGCGCTTCGCCGAGTTCTAAGTTCCAAACACATCACTCCTGAGGGCCATGTTCTTGACCTTGACCCTCCCCGTACGAGTAGTTGGCCGACTAAGAATGAGATCCCGTGGCACCTGGATCTGGAACATAATGTGAGGGAAGCTGCCAAGAAAGAAAGGAATATGAGTGATCCTTGCAATGCTTCGGAGAGCAGAGGGATGTGGCTACTGGGCGGAAGGAGTAGTGGGATCGCGAAGTATACATGTCGTAGCCTGATGCCATATCAAGTTGAGACTAGTGGAGTACTCATCTGTGGTCTCCTACACATCTATATAACTTTATTTTGCTTGCTGCCCAATTCTTCCCTTAACGAATCTCCTTTGCTTGCCTGGATTCCTCAGCATTGCGTCCGAGGCTGCCACTTCAGACAGTCTCTCCGAACCCAAATTCACATTTCGCAAGCAAATCCCTCAGCTTCAGAGTCTTCCTTTTCTCTCGCAAATTTTACTTTACCACCCTTCGACCCTTCTTGCCAAACAATTGGCAGAACATCATCACCCCAGTCCTTGAAACTCCAGAAGATCTGAACAATTATTCGTCTTCCAATGCCCTTTCCAACCTGGCCACCGAGAACGCCGCAGTTGCCGCTTCTATCACTTCTGTAGTCAATACCGCTGCTCTTATTTTGTTAAGAGCTTTTCTTCACCTTTCCTATTGTGACAATTCTGTAAATTCTGATAGTTTCAGGGTATGATGGCTTGGCCGATTCACTGGGTCGCTACAAGACTCTGGTTAGTGACACTGTGCAGAGGCTCAATGAATCCCGAGCCAAGGTTGATAATCTCAGTGAGATTCTTTCCGAGAAAGAAGAGCTGCTTGCTGAGAAGGAGGAGCTCATTGCAAAGCAGGACACTGAGCTGGTTCAAGCCAAGCAGGACTTATCGAACCTTCAGGCACAGCACAACGCCGCGCTCGGTACTTTGGGCATGGTCAACCAGTTGATGACTACTAGTAATCAGACTATGGCCATGCGCAAGGACTTTGTCAACAACATTCGTAAGTTTCGTAATCATTGCATATCAGCAACCTGACTAACAGCTTTCTCCATCAGGCCAATCTTGCATCAAGAACAATGATGAGAACATTGTTTCCATCAAGAAAGATGCTCGCTACTATCAGGGACGATGCTCAGCACGTTTTTCAGCTATTCATCAAGACGACTCAGGAGATTTACATACAAGCTTCCCTCAACTCTAAAGGAGGCTTGTGCTGAGCTGGAGGCCTTGAGGGAAACTCTTGGCCCTATTGTCGCTCTTTGTGACCAGTTCTCCAAGTGGGGAATGTTCGATGGAAAGAAGGAAGCCCTGAAGAATGAGCTTGAAGTCAAGCAGCAAATGCACAAGGATGGTCCGTGTACTCGCCTGGAAGAGAGCGTTTGCTACCTCAAGACGAAGGCCGAGTGCCAGTACCTTCATGCGGTCAGCAAGATGTTGGATGGTGCTGTTTCCAAGAAGAAGCAGGAACTTGAGATGGTCACTCAAGAGCTCGAGCTTACTAAACAGAAGCTGCAAGCGCAGCGTTTCTCTGGCCACAAGTCTAGCCTCAGCCCTCTGGCTAGTAAGTCCAGGCTTGTCGATGACCCTGAGTTGCATTCTTATGATCATGTTTACCTTGACTGTGCCTGGCCCATGTCGAAGAGCAACGGTCGCCCTCAGCGCCAGTATTTCTCAGGCTGCGGTATGAAGACTGCGACCAATAACTCTCATAATGATGACTGGGGCTGTGACAAAGACACCGACGCTGTCTCATGAGTTGAGGGAACCAGCAATCACGGTTGCTCTGGTATTATACTAAGCCCTAACAACCGTTGGTGAAGGGTACGCATTGCTGCCCCAGGATTCTGAGCAAGAAAGGAGTTCAGAACTTTGCTTCGGAAGGAGAGTGCCACGTCGGGAGATACATCTAGTTGGACGGATCCTGGCAATGCTTCTGGATCTTAACTCAGGACGGTGCATTATTCGGCGGAGAGGCATTAGCAACTAACGGCTTGTTGTTGCGGAGGGCCGGGGGGGAGGGAGGGGAGAAGTGGGGGAAAGAGAGAGAAAGAGGGGTCTAATGACTAACCACTCCCCAGGAACCCTTAGGTATACCGTAGTAAAACAAATGTTTTCCCTCCGGGACTGTATCGTTCCTTGTATTTGTGGTGTTGTGTTGGGCATTGGTTTGTGTTCATCATTCACAATCGCAGCCCTTGATACCTCCTAGGAGCGCTACCGAGAGCAAAAATCTTTGTTAACCAACCATTGTTGAAAGCAGGAATTGGCCTAACGGAAGGAAGACACGTAGAGAGACAATGGGGAGACACAGCAATTCAACAGCCCTGGTGGGATCCCAAGAAGACAGAGCCCCCAAAATTGCACGTCCTACTGATTCCACGTGACAGGAATCAGCGAAGCTAGTCATTATTTGTTTAAGATAGGTATTTATCTACGCTGTAGAATGACGAAAACAAACTCAACAACGCTTGAACCGAAATCTCCCAACGCTCTCTCAGCTCGAAAGAACCGACTGCTTCGTCACAGCTTCCAAACTTGACTCACACACTCTCCCCAACCCCTGAATTTCCACTCGGCGGCAACCCACTATTCGTCCCCAAGTCTTCTCCATACACCTTCCCCCCTACCACTACCTCCTCGCAATCCTGCAACACAAACATCATCCGTGCCCACTCCGTCTGACTCCGATTCACCCACTGATGCTGCGTCGCCCTCTGCACCGCCACATCCCCTCTTTTCAACACGTACCGCTCCCCGCTATCCAACACCATCTCTACCTCCCCTTCTATCACAATCCCAAAAGTCTAGACTTTGAGTCCGGTGCATGCCGCATGCGTAGCCGGGCGCGAAGTCCACACAGCGGAGGACTGTGCCGCCTGGATTGACGAGGCCTAAGGTACCGGAGGACATGAGGGACGTGTGGGCGGTTATGTCAGCGTCGGAGTTTAGGTTGGGGGGGAAGGACGAGGTGGTATAGGCTACACCCATGGAGAGGTTGTTGTTATCGTAGAGACGGAAGGGGACGGGAGTGGAGGAGTGGAGGATGGCTTGACCCGTGGTATGGTTGTGGGTTGTTATGAAGCGAACCGGATGGCGGAGGGTGTTGGGTGGGGGGTTGGGGATTATTGTTGGGCCGCCGGTTGGGGTTAGTTGGGAAGAGGGGTTTGCTGACTTGGAGGAGGACATTTTTGGTTTTTGGGTTCGGAGGTGATGAACGTGAAGTTTGCGTTGGGCTGCCCGGGCAGTCTGAAAGTAGGCAAGTTGGCTTCCTTGTTCGTCGGTAACGGCAATGATAGATGCCTAGTGGAATGACTGCCGCACGAAAGCACAAAAGCACGAAAGTCGGTAGATTTGATGATAGGTTTCGAGACTATTGATGGAGAATATTGCCGGACTGAGATCGGAGCTAAATACACCACCACTGTACATAATTCACAATCGGACGGACCCCACAGCATGTCCGCTGCTTCCGGGAGGTACCACTGACACGGGAAAGTCAATGCGTAGTAGTAGTACAATGCGAAGGTCACCTTCCTTCGGATGACTGTACCTTTGCATTGGATCTGGGGTTTAGCACATAACCTTCATTGCCCGCTTCTGAGAGGGCAGTACACCACGTGATAATGTTTCCCGAGTGATTGGGCGTTTGGTATCGGATCCATACCTAACACCGACAATAATTTGCCAATTGATTCACCAAAATTGATGGTTCAGCGCTTTATTCCTGCCGTATCCCTTTGCCAAGACCGTTCAAAACTATCCATTCGCGTCTGCGGCCGTATGGCTCGTGGAAGATTATGTTGTCACATAACCAGAGTGATTCAGAGCCCCAATGCTGAGAGTAGTTGGTGCCTGGAGTCAGCCAAAAGCTTGTGGAAGAACGAATTGGATAAAGCTCAAAACCTGACCCGTGTTCGGCCGAGCTATCAGTCCCCGTGCTTCACTTACCCCTGCACCCGTGTCAGGGCCGGCTCGTATGGGTCCGCCCTACAGCGCTCGGAACAAGCCGATAGCGTGAAGCTTAATTTAACATCAATGGCGTTCTTTGTACAAGTTGGCCTCTTCATTGAATTGCTTGTTGCCGCAAAACTTCAGAACATTGGAGACTCTTGCAACCAGTTCATAACACTCTAACCCCCCGGGGCAAAAATGGTCTGACCGATGCCGGTACTGCTCTCTGCCATGTAAACTCGGCCTGGGTACCGAGGTTTCGGACCCCTAGCGTCTAGTCTTGGCAACTTATATCACGACTTTCTCAACATCTCTCGCTCGGCCTAGGCACAGTTCAATTTCATTGAAGAATGGACGCTTGAGAACGTTGAAGGACGACTTGATTGGAACTATTGGTCAATATCGAGGGCAAGTGTCGGGTGGGCTCTGTAGATTTAGGTAGGTACCTGGTAGTATCAATGGAGAGTAATAACTAGTGCTGCTGGATCTTTGGGAGAAGTTCAGTCTTGGCAATGACGTCATTGCGGATCAAGCCCACAAAGAGAATATCAGCATGGCCGACATGACAGGTGAAGCCGCCATGTTGCATCATATGTATAAAGCTCAGCATCCAGCCTCTTAGCTAGATCGCTATATGGCGTTCAGAGGAAATTGAACATCGTCTTGGTTTGCTCTACCAACAAATTGTCTCCAAGTGCTATCCTTAGGAGGCAACAAATCACCGCTCATACTTGTCGCATCTTCTCCCATCGCCTCACCCTCCTTGCTTATGGTAGGATGATCCATTCCTACCGAACCGCTCTTCAATCCCTCCCGTTTTCATCCCAATATACCACGCGCTTGTACGCAGTTTTACCATACTTTCCACGGAGATGGGTATCCCTTCTTTGTGTTGAACAACCACTCTATCATTTTTACAAAACTACTCATTGCAGCCAATATTAAAGGAACCATCCTCGCATCATCCTGAACGTTAACATCAAATTGGGCCATGGATGGATCAAGTGTTTCAAGTACCGCTAGCGGGAGTCCATCCTACCGCAGGATCCCAGCTATTTCACGGAACACTGCCCACCCAGGCTTATCTCGCTTATTGATGTTTGCGCCACTTTGAAGGAGAAACCCCATCTTCTTGCCATCATAACACATGCGCCGGTTCCAAAGGAATATTCTTCCATACTTATCAGTGTGGTTGATGTCAGCTCCGTTTCAAGCAGGGCTTCGGCAACGAACAACTCGAAGTTGCTGTTGCGACGCCGCATGCTATAAAAGAGTGCCGTCTGTCCGACGCAATTTGGTTCATTGGCGATACTAGCTCCCTTCTGAAGGAGCATGGCGACTACGTCAAAATCGCAAGCGGATGCAGCCTCATGCAGAGGTGTCTCGTCCCACGTACTTTTCAAGGTGACATTCGTAGCCAAGTCAAGGAGCAATGATTTCAAATCTGTTGAGCAAGGTTGCGCCCGTACAGCCTAATGAATTACAGTCGCTCTCCCGAGAGTTTGATGGTTTATATAAGACGACATGCCTCGTAACATTGTTTCTATCAGCGTCTTGTCTCCATCATACATCGGAATTGCCAATTGGAGAGTAGTCAGACTGTCCACATTTGTCGAGTTTATCCTGGAAATGTTAAACTTTTGATGCGTAAGAAAGAGGCTTGGGAGTGGAACAAAGCTCTTCTGCAGACCAGGCCTCCCAGACTGTGAGCAAAAAACTAAGGGGTGGGATGTCGCCTCTGCGTGACGCCGAGAACATGAAGGTCGTTCAGCAAATTGATGGATTGATCCAACAGGCCGTTCGTTCTGGCTTTCGACTTTCCAATGATATAGGCATCGTATCCTAAAGTCAGAAGACGAGCCTTGAGCTTCAAGTGCAAAGGCTCCTTGGGCCATGGTTTAGTGCGGTCTTTATGTGTCCAAATTCTGTTGCGGTCACCGCTCGATGCGTGGATGAACAGATGTCCATTACAGCATCATCGCATGATGATCATTCTTTGATTCCCTGGCAAATAGAGGGGTTCCATTGTGCTCTTTGCTTGCTTCGTGCCGGCTGAAGAAGTGGAGGACACATATTCTGTCGATGGCTGCAAGGCAGAGGGACAAGACCATAAGGGCTACGTTCTGAGTCTGACAGAGACAGCTCCGTAACTGTCACACGGAGCCTGATCCGTCCTTTGAAGTGGGCAAGCGGTTGAGTTTCTTTTTAATGTTCTTCATCGCGTCCCGTTAGCCAAAGGGAACCAATGAGAGTCTAGCGAACTACGAGCAATGGCTACACAAGCGGAAAGTGCTACTGAGATTGATCAGAAGTTGAAAGGATCAGGGGTGAAAAAGCGGGGGAAGATAGAGATGAGGGGGAGACCCAATGAATGATGGTTGGTGTGGTTACCCGGCAAGCCAGAACCCCTCCCAGTGTGATGTTAGATCGCTGAAGCATGTTACGCCTTCTGCTGTGTGACTCGAGGTTTTGTTAGGGAGGTACTTCAACAGGCCTCAAGAAGCAGAATGTGCAATAGTGAAGCGCCGCAGATAGTTCCTCACAAAAGAAATAATGGTATCTTGGCCAAAGATTTGACACCAATAGTGCAAGCCCATAATTAGCCCCTAATCAGCTTCATCGCTGTAAGCAGATAAAATTTTGTATTGTGAGATCTACAAGACACCTGGGCAATAGATACCGAGCTTAAGAGTTGGGCGTACAATAAACCCCTGGTTTGTTCGTCAGCGCAGACCTCGAGACCAGAGTTTGTCCGACAACACATCTCAATCACAAACAATCGCTTTCAGAGCAATAAAGTGGTATCAATTGACGTACGATTCATATTTTTGACAACGATAACTCGTTTTCTGCCAATATATCGTTGGTTCGAGCAAGAAAATTGCGGTTAACATTATAGGACTAACTAGGACCCCTGTCCAAAGCTTCTCTTCAACCATCAAATGTATTCCATTGCAAACATGGGATGCTGGATTTAGAATTTTGTGCCACCAGGCCTGCAGGACTGGATGTAACTCGATAGCTGTTGTGTATATAGATCCCCGCTCCAGCCATGAGGGTGGAAAGCGAGCAAGGAAACAAACTTTATCTTTGAGCAGAGATGACGGGTGTTTCTGTATAATCGAAAGAGTTTACAAAGAGATCTGAAAGGTCAGTTGGGTGTGCTTGAAAATGAAGGCCGAATTTGTTCGCCGACACGATATACAGGAGCAGGAAGGGGAACCTGTCGTGAAACAGGTCGAAGAAGCCAGTGACAGATCCTTTGTACTACTATGGTTTTGGGCTTGGTAAATCGTGCTTACCAAGGAGGATAAATCCATCCTATCTATGACAATAATATCGTTGTACCGCGGAGTTCCTTGAAAATCTTGAACTGATCTCCTGGTTTGTGTCTTGATCGATAATCGTCCCCTAGGCGATACCTGTCGCGACGTTACTTACGTTACTCTGGCAGGAGTGGGTAACAGCGTAATATTACCATACGTGAAAACATGATTAATACGCTAAGGATTACTCGACACTTCCAAGCATGGTCCGTGCACCCCAGCTTAGGCAGCCCGGAGCTCGGCGCGCTGACGTCGGCAACAGCTGACAGCTCGATCGCCAATCGCATTTGCCGAGCAAGCACCTGAACCTGAAGCTTTGGATCAAGCTTCGGGTTGCGACGCTAAGAAAAATTGCCTTTTCGACAGAACACCCAGCCCATCACCACATGTGAGCTGGCCAACTGCTCAGCCACAATGTCGCTCAGCATTGCGCAGAAGAGGGCCGTGCTGCCCGCCCAGGCAGCTCGGGCGGTCCTCCTCTCTGCTGGCCGTCTGCCCCTCATCGGCGCCGTTGTCCTCACGCAGCAAGCATCAAGAACCTCGCTGTTGACGACAACGACTACGCCAACATATTTGAGTCGAAGACCCTTTCACATAACCCCTCGCAATGCCCTCCCCAGCGGCAACTCCATGCCCCCCGTGTACTTCGGCAAGCAGCAGTCACTGCCGATGAACACCATCATCCGGTTTGTGCCGCAGCAGACAGCATGGATCGTCGAGCGCATGGGCAAGTTCAACCGGATCTTGCAGCCTGGCCTGGCATTCTTGATTCCATTTATCGATCGGATCGCGTATGTCAAGAGCCTGAAGGAGGTGGCGATTGAGATTCCGTCTCAGAGCGCCATTACCGCAGACAATGTCACTCTGGAGCTGGATGGTGTACTGTATACTCGGGTGTTTGACGCTTACAAGGCGAGGTAGGCCCTTCTAATGGCTCAGTTACTCGCAAAAAAGGTTGCTAACTGAACCAGCTATGGCGTCGAAGACGCCGAATACGCCATCTCCCAGCTCGCACAAACCACCATGCGCAGCGAAATCGGCCAACTCACGCTTGATCACGTCCTCAAAGAGCGCCAAGCCCTCAACACCAACATCACGGCCGCAATCAACGAAGCCGCCCAAGCCTGGGGCGTGACCTGCTTGCGCTACGAAATCCGCGACATTCACGCGCCCAAGGGCGTCGTCGAGGCCATGCATAGACAAGTGACCGCCGAGCGCTCCAAGCGCGCGGAGATTCTTGAGTCCGAAGGCCAGAGGCAGAGCGCAATCAATATTGCGGAGGGTAAAAAGCAGAGCCGAATCCTGGCGTCGGAGGCCGAGATGGCGGAGAAGATTAATCGCGCGAGGGGTGAGGCTGAGGCAATTCGGCTTAAGGCTGAGGCGACGGCTGTCGGCATCGAGATGGTTGCGCGCGCGATTAGGGATGGTAAGGATGCTGCTCAGGGTGCCGTCAGCCTGTCGGTGGCTGAGAAGTATGTTGACGCCTTCGGCAAGCTGGCGAAGGAGGGCACTGCGGTCGTCGTGCCTGGGAATGTGGGAGATATTGGCGGCATGATTGCCACCGCCCTTAGTGTTTATGGGCGTGTGGGCGATGCGCAAGCGAGGAGTATGGCGAAGGAGATCTTGGAGAAGAATCAGATCATTGAGGCTGAAGGCAAAGACGAGAAGACCAAGGAGGTTGTCCCAAGACAGAAGGACGGGGTGACGGATAAGTATGAGAGAGGGGATATTTAGGGATAGAGTGGATGGCTATCTGGGGTAAGACCGGGATAGATTGTGATGAGGTGCCGCTGTAACAATAGTTTTTTTTTTTTTGTTCACGTCAAAAATGCATGGCGTCGGGCGGGCTATTATGCTGATTACCTGCCGTCTACATTCCGAAGGACTCGAAAAGCTCAATATCTCTAGCATAACATTACTGATAAGAACATTAGGACCTCGAGTCAAATCCCAAACTCTCCGCCAACCTTCCCTAAACACCTCCCAGCCAACTCTCCGATGCTCTCCCCATATCCATTAGCTACGTTACCGGATCCCCATGCTCCTCGTCCCATGTCCCCCGCCGCTCCAGCCACAGAAATGACTCCGACCAGTAGTGGATAAAGTCTAAGCAAGTGCTTGCCCCCCTCACAATCAACATTCTTCAGATCGGGGATAGCTCCTGCTTCAGACCTGAGATCGGCCAGCTTGCGCAAGATCCAAGCTAACTCCCTGCGCTGGGAAAGGGGTTGTGGCATGCGTGCGCCACGAAGGGGTTGATCGGAGACGTACGCTCTTAGGGTTAGAGCGCAGCGGATAAGAAGGTACGGGGCTGCAGCCTTGGCCAGTCGAGCCCGGAGAGGAGATGATTCCTCATCTTCGGTCGAGTGTGAGCCAGTCTCATTGCTAGAGTCGCCTGTGCTGAAATGAGGGGTTTCAGGGCAGCCAGAGACGAGAGAGAACAACTCTCCCAAACAAACCTCCGCGACCTTTGGTCTGTGTGTTGGTGCAGGGTCGATGGTCCGTCCATGACGGGGTTCACACAAGGCTGCGAGGACATCGAGTCCGACACCTGTCTCTCCTTGCCTCTTCGAGGAGAGCATCTCATCCTCAGCAGGCGTTAGGGCATGAATGATGCTGCGCCAAAATAAGCCTTCGCAGTAGGCTCTCCTGGTCTCTTCCAGGACGATTTCCCCCCCAAGAGAGGGAATGATCAGCTTGCGAAGTCTCTTAAAGGCCGCAATATCGAACTCTTGATCAGCTGCAATGTCGGTCCCCGGAGCAGCGGCACTGACATCAGCATCAACGATGCCATTCGCCAGCGCGACCACAATTTCCCATATTTCTTGTACTCTCTGCCTTGGCAAGCCTTCATTCCCTTCCGCTGAGCAGAGGAACGGTAGCGCCGCTTCAAGGACGGATAGAGACGATTCAGTCGCGACCTTCCAGGGCGCAGTAGACTTCGGCACAACCGGGAATTGGTACTTGAGTTTGACCGGCGTGACCAGAGATCTAAGGCCAGCAGCGAATGCGCCCCCGGAGAAGACCGCTTCTTCCCGAGCATGCTGCACCATCAATCCCGCCAAAATGCCCATACTCTCCTTCGCTAGCGCGACATACGTCCTCTTTTTATCGACTGGCTTGTCCAGGCTCGAAAACGCGAGTGACACGAACTCTGCAACCTGCCGGATAACGGCACCAGGGACCTCTGCACCATCGGTACGAACCACCCGGAAGACTTCAATGACTTTGCCCTGCAGTGGCGTCACATACTCAATGTCGGAGGAGTAGGGGGCTGGCGTAGCGCGGATGACGGACTCTAAAAGCAGGGAGAGCATGCGCTGGACACGGGCAACGGGGAAGGAGGTGGGGGTGAGAGTGTAGAGAGATAAGAGGGTCTCAACCCATACGAGGAGGGACTTCTGATTATCGGCGGACTTGTCGTCTTGAATGTCGGGAGCAGGAATGGACCGAGACCATAGTTTCCAGGCGAGGTCGAGGCATAGTTGGGAGACCGGGTGGTCGACACATCGGTTGAGGACGTCGCGCAGGGCGCTGAAGACGGCAGCGTTGATGTCAAGGACATGAAGATCGAGAAGGGCTGTGAAATGCCCGATTAAGTCGGCCCAGATACTACTGAAGCTGTCGTGAGCTGTCAACATGCCGAGGTATGCGCTAAAGAGATCAGCTACACCCTGGATCACGACGATCGCAGTCTCTTTCCACTCGTCGAGGCCCTTCTTGTCCTCACCGTCAAGAGAGCGCAGCTCCTGCTCGACAGAGGAAAGAAGGCTGTAGATGACGGAACGCATGCAGATCGACCAGGCCTCGGGAGAGAGTGACTCGCCGTAGGCGGACATGATGCGCATCAGAGTTTGAACGGCGCCTAGAAATGGGTTAGTTCAGGTTCTTGAACATTGGTTGATGTAGGGGGACCTACTATTCCGTAATTCCAGCCTTTGATCGGTCGCGACGCTAGTGAGTCTCAGCAGGAGGAGCATCCACAGTGCGGCAACGCTTCCCTCCTCCGTGGGGTCTGCTGCCAATTTCTCCAAACTCTCGTCTCCCTCTCCTCCCATCATCCCAGCCGTAATCGACATGCTCTGGCTGCGCTTCGACAAAAAGTCCGAGATGGCCCAGAAGAATGTGACAGTCTGCTTTGTCAGCTTAAGTCCCGCTAACACCTCGACAACATGAAAGAGGACTTACCGTCAACGCGACATTCAAATCTTCCTCCTGGCTACAAAATCTCCCGACCGTCCGCACCAAACATAAGAAACACTTCTGCGGCAGAGCTTCCAAGAAATCCGAGCAAACAAGCTGCAGCACCGCAAAACTGGGCCGAATCAGCCTGCCTGACCTTACACCCAACCCCTTCCCTTTGCCTCTCGACTCAAGGAAGATACTATCCACAACCCCGAAAACCCCCTCCCATCCCTGTACCAGACTCTCACCCACACCTTCAACTAAACTCCTAACTCCCTCGAGCAAAATGCGCTGCATCTCAACATCTACACTAACACCACTCATTCCAGAGGTCTCCCGGTTCGGATTTAACAGCGCGGCAACGGCATCTCCCAAAGCCCCGACAACTCGGCCTTGAATCACTCCCCTAACGTCTTCTCCTTGACTAGTCACAGCCTGAGCTTGTTCCAGGAGGACCCTCACAAGAGTCTCTGCTGCACGAGCTCTAACTTGAAGAGCATGTGCCGGATGGGCAAGGACTGAAATAAGTTCATCGACAAGGGGAGCAAAACCCGACTCGCTCGGGTCATAGGTCAGCAGCCTCTCAAGGTTGATACTCGCAAGATCACCAAGCTTAGCAAGCGCGAACTGATTCTCCTGAGTCGAAGCTGCTGTTGCAGCCGCATTCGACGTTGTCGTTGCCGAGCTAATTGACATGACGCGTTTATGCCCCCCTCCTCCTCCAGCATGGGGAACAGTTGGGGTAGTAGGCGTCCGCATGACAGGTGTAGGCGGAGGCGAATGCGCTCTGCTGCCCGTTCCATCTCTCTCAGGCTTGCGATCAAGCAGATCGCAGACTGCGTTGACGAAGGAGACGAACTCACCATTGGGCCAGTCAACTGTGCTCTCGAAGAGTCTTTGGGCAGCGGTCTCAACTGCCCGAACCTCGCCGGCGAAGCCGTTCAACAGGGTACTTGCTTCCTGCTCGGCAATGGGATCCGGGCCCTTCGCTGCAAGGGGTGTACGCCCTGCCGCTCGACCGGACGCGTACATAACGTAGTCGGCTTGTTGGAGAGTTTCCAAGACGATACCCCATGATGAGGGCTCAAGAGTCGGGCCGAGAGCGATTCCCAGGTTGAGAAGCGCACGTAGGCACAACAGATTGCGGGTGTTGAGGCATCCGGCCGAGACATCCATGGATTGTTGACGAGGCTTTTCACTTGTTGGGCTGACGAGGTTGTCAACACTTAACAATCCGCGAGCATTGCTCAATAAGCTCACTGCAGTGGACTCCGTTGGGGTCGTAGCCGTCCCCGCAGGACGAGGTCCCGCATTTAGACATGCTGACAGGACATTTGGTGGAACGGCGGCCTTGCCGAGCGTGGTCAGAAATGCGTCTCGTGGAGTAGTCAGTTGCAGGAGGCCTGCAACATGTGCAAACTTCTGAAAAGCCCGAACCAAGCCATGATAGTACTCCGAGTCAAGGGCGGCATAGAGAAAAGTCGAGCAAGTGGCGAGGATGGCAGGCCAGCACTCTTCGATGATGGCGGCGCAAACCTTGACTTCGGGAAATAGGGGATGGGAGTCGAGCGTCAGGGGATTGACGGGAACTGGGTTCTTCTTAAAGGACTGTGTCCGTTCAAGACCCTCCTCAGGCTGGGGAGCGGGGGAATCTCTGCCGGGCTCTTGCTTTGTTCGCTTGCGCCGGCCGTCGCTAGGGACGGTAAGGGGCAGGATAAACTTCGCGAGTCCTTCTGAGAGAGAGGTAATGCATGCGAGAGTTAAGCTATAGACATAAGACTCTGGGACCCCTGGAGCATCCGTCTTGTCGAGCTGGTCGATGCATGGTACTCTCATAGTGCTCCAGTGAGTGCTGATACCCGTGTTATGGGCGTCAGAGGTAACACTGCCCGAAATAATTCCCGTTACTCCAGCCTCCAGCATGACCTGATCATTAGTTGCGGACGCTGAGTAGGGGTTGGCAACTGGGATGGTGCTTTGATGACCAAGTCCAATAACAGACGGCTTCTCGGTACTGACCCGCACAAATGTAGCTGCCAAGTTCTTTAAGATATTCTTCTGTCCCTCCTGGGCGTCATAGAGCATAAATATCCTCCTGAGCAGCGGAGGGTCGGCAAAGATCCCGCGGAAGACCTCCATACACAAAGCTCGCCGCCACAGAGTCGTGTCCTGATCAAGCAGCTGTGTCAAGATATCCAGGGCATCGGCACTTTCGGCAGGGAGGATAGGCAGATGTCTCCGCAACAAGGTGTAAAGAACCCGAACAAGTCGTACGCTTGTTGCAAAATTGGCCTTTGACCGCAAGGCAGCTATTAAGAAGGGCATAACACGGGATTGAAGAATGTGAGATTGTTCGCGGTGTGAGATGAAAATGGCAGAATGGTTCGTGAGGACGGATTCTATTAGCTCGAGGCCGAAAGTTTGAGGTAGACCAGAGAAGCGGAGGTATTCGGGGCGTTTGACTTCAGTAAGGAGGCATATGTCATTAAAGATCTGACTAGTTAGCAGGGTTGGCTCAGGCTAGTGTAGGGTGAGAGCATACCCGGTAAGCATCCATGGCGGCTGGTCTAAGGGGTATCGGCCCATCGCTGAGGGGAACCTCGCCGACTGGGGGGACATCGGACTCTGTTGCAGTTAGTTACCTCCTCATTGGAGGGCTCGATGAATACATACTATCTTCCGCAACGACCTTGTCAAACACAGATACCACCAACTGCTGCAGTGTCGCGGCTGACGTGTGATTGACGATAGCATTTTTGCTGCTCTGCAAGATGAAACACACATTCAGTGCCGTTACCAGCAACTCGCCACGGACATCATCTGCATAGTTTGACAGCAGCGCTGGTAGCGCCTGCAGAATCTTGAGTTGCACATCTAAACCTGCCGACGTCGCCTGTTGCAGAGCTTCAAGGACCTGGCTTAGGCGGGCACGTGGCAAGGCACGAACCACAATGAGTCGCTGTAGACACACAATGGCGATGCCAGTGAACTTGACATTGCGAGTCCCACAAGCGATAATAAATGGGTTGACGAAGGCAGGCCGCTGGGAGAGTCCTGTGCTTGTTAGCTTGAGTCTCGGAGTACAGGGGGTGAGGGCAGGGCAGCCAAGCTGGTGGTGCTTTCAGGAGGTGATGTGTACCATCCGCAATCTGGGCCTCGGATGACGCGCGTAGGTTCTTGAGCTCCTCCAGCGATTTTTCAGCAGCCTTTAATCCTTGTTAGCAGCTGTTCCAATTTTGTTAGATTTTATGGATGCCGCACCTGGCGCAGGTCGTTATGCTTGCGCTTGCTCTCCTGAATGAGATTTGCAAGCTCCGACGCCAATAGCTGCGACGTCATGGTGCATGCACTTATCCGGCAGCATTCATGGTGTGGCCAGGGGGTTGAGAAAAGCTTCAAGGTAACAAGTACCTTTGGGCAAAGAAGGTGAGATGAAGACAATAGTCAACAATGAAAGATGAGACGCGATGAAGTGAATGGTGTCGTTTCCGTTGTGAGACAGCCAATCACCGACGGAGTGGAGTCGTCAGCCCGGAAGCAACGCCAGGCTTGAACTGTGTTCAACGGCGCTGACTCAGCAAGCCCTTCCCGACCCCTCGCCCCGCCCCCGCGTTCTATCTTCCAGACGCGAGGCTCCCAGGAGTCGACGAAGCATTTGATCCCCAAAGTTGATTCCGCCCTGGCCCTGACGACCGAAGGTCTTCAACCAAGGTTACCGCCTGTCTTTTTGAACTCTGCAACCGCCCCAGACTTGACCCATCCTCACACCACAACACATTCTGCAAGCAAACATGGCGAAGGTACCCCGCAACTTCAAGCTCCTCGAGGAGCTCGAAAAGGGCGAAAAGGGCCTGGGAACCGGTATACCACTAGTTACTTCTTGCCAAAGTTATTCATCGACTAACGTGCTTAGCTGCTGTCTCATATGGCCTGGACGACCCCGAAGATATGCTGTTGTACAACTGGAATGCGACTATCATGGGGCCGCCGCATGTACGCCTTCCAAGTCATCCCTACATCGCAGTCCACAGCTTCATCTAACCACTTTATAATATCTAGGGCAACCACGAAAACCGTATCTACTCCCTGAAAGTTTACTGTGGCGACCAGTACCCAGACGAGCCTCCTAAAGTCAAGTTCTTGAGCAAAATCAACCTCCCCGGTGTGAACCCAACGAATGGCGACGTCGATCCCAACGCAATCCAGATCCTTCGTGATTGGAAGCGCATCGCACAGGACCTAGCCAACAAGCCGAAGCCCAAGCACGACCCGCTTTGTATTGAGAGCGTATTGGTCGCGATACGCAAGTGAGTGCTTGGGCAGAATTCTAAGAGAACATGCTGGAGTGCTGACACTGGATCAGGCATATGGATGAGCACAAGAAGCTACCACAACCCCCCGAGGGTCAAGTTTACTAGTTACTTTGAGATATGGTAGGATGGCGTTGGTGCTGGGTTTGATGATGGCGTGATAGGATGGTAGATGGATCGCTGGGCGCGGGCTTATGGGTGGATGATACACATTTTCCTCATCAACAGCTCCATGTCTGGGCACCACATATGATGTCGGTTATGACGAGCTACCTTGGTTATTTACACTGTCTCAACTTCGGAGTTCCTCTTGCATCTCAATCACCGGCAATCGTTGTCTGGCTTGCAAGATGAAATGATCTCACGTGATTTCGCGCCACCCACAACATCCATGCGCGTGTCCGCAAGCCAAGCTTTGGAGAACACTCCCAGCTCCAACTTATTTATCAAGAGCCCCACATATTCCTGCACCACATCTCAAGCCGTGCAGACGTGCCACACAGCACGCATGGAATGCCGGGCCATTGGAAGCCCGCACTCTCCTCTCGGCATCGCCGAGCATGTACGTCGCTGTCCCAACTACCACAAACAATCCATCCAACCCACCCTTAGCTCAAACGAAATAGCTGACTTGATAATTCAGGCCTCGCCCTCTACAAATCCCTCCTCTCCCAATCGCTCCGCGTCCAGATACCCCCTAACACCCTCCAATCCCTCCCCCCACTGCCAATCCACACTCCCCTAACCAACGAAACCCCTCTGGCCCTCCTGATCCGCAATGGCTTCCGCCGCAACCGCTCCCTCACCTCCCCGCGCCTGATCTGCTCAGCCCTCAAACAAGGCTACCGGTTCCTGACACTCCTGACCCGCGCCGCTGAAGACCCAAACAGCACAGAATATGCCTCCGTTGTGGACTTTCTCCAGAAAAATGCCTCCAGGGTGGAGGAAATCCGTGCCCAGCGGGAGAAGGAGCGTGAGAAGAGGAGGCGCTTCATAGAGGTAGTGACCACCCGCAAACCGGGGACAGGACCGCTCCTAAAGAGGGTCACGCCCGAGGGTGTCCGGCCGCCGGTCTACGAGCCGGGGATTGAGTGGCCACGGCCGCTTAGCATATTCCCCAGCGGAGTGCGCAAGCCGCCTACCTTGGTGGCCACCTCGGCTGGTGTTCCCTTCCTCCGGTTCGGGGGCCGACAATCCCGTTTTTTGGAGAGAGTACTTCGGCAGAAGACAAATTGGAGGATGGAGAAGATAAGGATATTGCTTGATGCGCAGGACGAGGGGATGGAGTGGGCTCGGGACGAGGATCAATGGGAGGAGCTGATGGGTCTTCTTTTCCTGAAGGAGAACCCTGACGCCGTTAGGGAACTTGGGCAGGAGGATCAGATGCCTGATGAACCAAGCTACGCCAGTTCTTTACACGGCATGTGTGCCGTATTAATCGACGAAATTCAGGCTGAGACCGAGGACCAAGTTGCACGAGCCAAGGCTCTGTGGAAGATGGTTCTTATGGAACGGGAACAGGCACTCAAGGAAGCAAAGGAACAGTTGGAGAGGGAAGGCAAGGGAGATGAGGAGCCACAGATCAAATCTTGGCGTCGGCCAGTATGGGAAAAGAAGACGCCCAAATGGATGCGCGAGAAAGGGTTTGATAAGAAGAATGCGAGAAAGGCGGCACTGGAGAAGAGGAAAGAGAACATTAGAAAAGCGATGGAAAAGTTTTGGTGGTTCAAAAACGCAGGTGAGGCAGCTGCTGTTGCTACTGGCAGCAAAAATACTGCCTCTCAGCTGCCCACTGTGGCCGAGGATCCTACAAAAACTAAGCTGGGAGAAGCCTCAGTTGGAAAAAGGACCACTGAAACTGAACACAGTGATGATATTTAAATCACAGAGGCTGAGCTTCGGGAAAGGGGTACCAATTAGGCTGTTGAGAAGCAAAAAAGATGGTGAAATGACGGGGTAACGTGGCCAAAAGAAGGCTTGATATGTTGACATTGAGCTGGGATATTATCAGAGAAGCACAACCCCAAAGACCATGGCTGTACAATACTGTACATTCTACGAATATCATGAAGACATGGTTAATCTTGATCTCGATCTCGACAGAATAAACTGGCTCATCAAGATAGTACCGACGCCCAACCCCAAGGCTAAAATATCCAAACACACGTGCATCCCAAGGCTTACACTGAAAGATACCAACGCCTACATCCTCACCTGTGTAGAAGCCCAAAACGCCTTCTTAATGTCCTTTGGTCGGATACCTGGCGACCGACCAAGGCAGATGGATCGTTTAGTGAGTTCTGTGAGGCATCAGCACCCTCCTCTCTCAGACTCTCTCAGAGCAAATAGACGGAAAACAAGATTTCGGGAGCGAGACTTACCTTTCACCAGTCTAGTCACATCAACGACCACTTTTCTCTTAGTTGGCTGGGGACGCACAACCGAGCTGTCCAATCCAAATGGTAGCATCCCGCCTGCGAAGGGCAAGCTGGACTCTCCAACACCTGCTTCAGTTGCAATTCCCCAGGAAGCTCCACCTCCATCTTCCAATGGCAAGTCGAGCAAGCTCTCGTTTCCAAGACTCTCCTCCGGTGACATCGTCCGCGACGAAGACGATGATGAAATCGGGTCCAAACCCACGAACTCGTTAGCACAAGTCCCCGTGTCCAACCCGTCCCCAGCCTGCGCATCACATAACGTCCCGTCGACCTCAGCTTCGACATAGTCTGCCCCCGGCGGCACTACAACGCCCCTCTGGACCAGCCACATCTCAACCTCATCACAATCGAACCATTCACCTTGGAAGCCGGGCAACAACATCCTCATATCTCTATCCAACCAGCCCGTATCCCTCACAGACTCAACCTTCTCATCAAAAGGCCCTGCCCCAAACCCTGCGCTCTGAGCCGGCTTCAAGACATCTTGCATCCCCTGGTTTCCAATCCTCCTTACGCTATCTGACTCTGGGAGAACCAAATGTGTCCCTGCCCCACCAAGAGAGTAGAACGGCACGCCCCAGTAGTTCAGGCTCTCGCTCTCGTCATACTTCCTCAGGACAGTCCTCAATCGCAAGATGATTGTCTCGCGAGGCTCGAAGAGCATGCAGAAACCAAAGACATGATGGATACACTGTTCGGGTGGGGATGGCATCGCGAGAAGATGGAGTGCGCGTTCGAGGGCAAAGCGTTGTAAGCGGCGACCGAAGGTTGGTTCCAGGTGGGCGTAGGTACGGATGGGTCGGGGTTGGCCCCATGGGGTTGGGAAGTACAAGGCTGTAGGGTCTGGGAAATTATTCGGAGCCATAGCACTTGAAGTGATGTCAGTGAAAGAAGGGGAGTCAGCTGTCGGGTCGGCTAACGGATCAGATACTGATGGCTGGTTATTGTCCTGGTTGTGATCAGTGGCTGGCTCATGGGTGATGATTAACCCGCATTGTAGACGGGTCTCGATGCCCCCGTCTGGCGTTGTCCTTGTCTGCATGCAAACACGTTCGGGGCTTGATCCTTCTGTTTGGACAGACTCAGCGCTCTCAGGGGACTCCTTGGAAGTCCCTCCTTGGGGACTCTCTTCATCGGCCTGCCGCGCAAAGGACAGGAATCGTTCTGTTGTCTCTCGCAGCTGCCGGCCGAACTCTGGTTCGCGGTCAATTAACCCGCTGCTCACGGAAAAATCATGTAGTTGCATGAAGGCTTTGCACATGCCCTCATTCGCAGCTTTGAGTTGCTCGACCTTGGCTTCGAGCGCATGGATGGCATTCTCTTTGCGAGTCCGGTAAGCTCTTTGGGCGAGCCGTATTTGTGTGCGTCGTCGCTGAGATTGTCAGTCTCGGGCCTTAGGGATATCAGTGACGACAGTGAACTCACCTCAGCAGCAGTCTCATCCTTCGTTTCCAGACGTGGCCGTCCTCTTGGGCGCTTTGGGGGTTCAGCGGATTCAGGCTGAGAGCTCTTAGCTCTCTTTCTCATATCGTCAAGCGCAGCATTTGTCTTTATAGCGAAGCGTCGTTTTAGAAGGGGAAGCCCCGGATCGTAGATCTCGGCACTGAGGATGGGAGGGTCACCTGGTGGATAGCGCATATCTCTCGGTCTCGACATGAGCCACAGGGTTTCGGTCCAAGTAAGCGAACAGACGTGTAAGCTCAGGCGTGACAATGGCGAGTCTGCGCTGGTATTACTCAAAGGTCTACTTCGATACAGTGATGTCTCGAGAACCTAAGTCTTCATTACAATAGCTGTGTTCTTTTTGGATTAATGAGCTTTCGAAGTTTGCGCCTTGAGCTGATCCTCAGGCATTGAGAGGTTGATTCGTCAGCAGCCGAGCAGTGGCTGTTGATTACTCACTCTAGGCCAATAACCGGTGAAGGTACTCCGTAACATTGCATATCAGCGCGCCCGGGATCGGCAGGGGAAAACAAGCAGTTACTTGATGAGATCTGTTAGTGTGGAATTCTGCCGGCATTTGCGATGCCTAGACCCCGGTTCCAGCGCTCTGCGCAATGACGACATCTCTTGTCTAAAAATGGGGACTGGTTGCGGTGCCGCTGTTTACAAGATGCCAAGTCATGATAAGCTTCTGGGAGAAAAATGGCTGTCAAATGATGTTTAAAATGAAGATGATTAGAATACACCAGGAGATACCATGATTGAATACGGTCCTGACTTGGACATTTGCCCATGAAGCTGCCAGGAAGAGCGGGTCTCATCCTGGGCAGCAGGATGTTTTCCATGCTTCAAAGTTGGACTAAAAGAAAGGAGTTGATCGAAATGACAAACCACTCCGTCTTGTTTTCTCTCACGAGCCCTTATGCAGTTTCATCACACTATGTATGCATTCGCCAATCGCAGATCCCATAAAAAAGATGAAAAACTCACTCAACAGGAATCAACAGACGTTCTAAGGAAGGTTATTGCAGTCATGGTTTCCTAAGCTCCCATCATGTCCCCACCAAACCCCAGTCAAACTGCTTATGGCCCGTGCACAAACGGTGCAAAACCCCATAAGGAAGACACTGGGCCCACAAGGCTGGGTCTTGTCCCAATTGTTTGCTGCAGCGATGCCATTCAGCCCAGCCCCTCGTGGGCTGTGCTCGATGTTACACACAAGCTGTCTTTTCTCCCTCGGTCGGCAGTTTCAGAGAATAAGAAGAGAAAAATGCCAAGTTGTCGATTCTAACAATCGCTTCTTTACCATCATCTCCATTTTCCCTACTGTCTGCGCTGAAGCTTCTCGCGATCCATTATCGCTGAGCGCCTGTTGGGTCTCAATTGATCCCGACCCAGGTCCACCTATCTATCGTTCGTCTCAGCCGCCGCGACTCCAGTCCAAGCTCCTCCGTCGTTTGCACCTCGAAGTGTCTTCATCCTGGCTTCCTTCCTGCTTCTTCACGGGGTCATCCCCGACCAATCGTTCGCAGCCATGGGCGACGCCAGCGACTGGCAGACCGTCATGCCCTCCTCGCGGTCTGCCCTCCATCGTATGTCCGGTGCTCACATTGAAGAGTATGAAAAACAAATCATAAAGGAATGGGAAGCTTCGCAGGGTCACTGGTCTGGACTGTCAGTATTTTCTTCCGCTTTCGTCTTTGGCTTCATGGCTGACGTTATCTAGCGGCAAACATTTCTCTCTTGACAAGTCCGTTGACCCCGACTTGGTTAAGAAAGCGATTTCACGCCTAAAAGCTTCGGCTGATGAGCCTCCTCTCGGTACTGGCTCGTATGGCATCGTCCAGAAGGTTACCTATTTTCATAATAACCGCCGCGTGTTCCTGGCCCGCAAACTTGTGAGCCGCCCCCGGCGCGTGCCCATTCAATATCTCTTAGAAGAGGCGAAGGTTATGGAAAAGTTGGCCCACGACCACATCATCAAGCTTGTTGGAACTTATTATGACCCCAAATACCTCTACTTGCTGCTTTGGCCGGTGGCCGCCTGCAATCTTGAGAATATCCTGCTTGACATTGACGGTTTGCGCACCGGTAAAGGAGACCGCGACGATATCATCACTCGCTTGAAGGACTTGGGTCTGACAAACCTCGCTGCTATTGATCGTGAGAACAGCAATTTTGGGACATCGGCCGGTTCGTGTTCCAAACAATGCACATGTTGCCCGCTCAACTATCTTCGCCAGCTCAGTGGATGTATCACCCGTGCCGTCAAACACTGCCACGACAGAGACATTCGTCATCTCGATCTGAAGCCCTCAAATATCCTGTTGAACCCTGGACGTGTCTACCTGGCTGATTTTGGCATTGCCAGGGATGTTCACGACCGCGACCACACCATGACGAGAGGAAATCTTGGCACCTTCAGGTGGCGAGCCCCTGAGGTCAACCAGGTTCAGAGTGACTGGTCTATGAAGGCCGCGGATGTTTACTCGCTTGGCCTGATCCTCCTCAACCTCGCAACCTTCATCTACCATAGCCCACTTGGTTCGTTCGAGGACATGATCACCGAGGAAAAGTCTTCGGTTAAGGCAGAAAAGCTACGAAAATGCATCACTGATCTCGAAAGGATTGCTCGCACCTCTAAGGAGGTCGACGACTCACAGGATGCCATCAATCCCAAGCCCTTCATCCAGTTGGCTTCCAAAATGGTTTCAATATCCCCATCTGCCCGACCAGTAATCTCCGAAGTTCACAGCGAACTTGTGATATTAGGCGGTCCGAGTCAAATTTACCACGGCCACTGTTGCAAGGAGGACAAGGACTTTTTGATTCACCAACTTTACAAAAAGCTTGACTTTATGATGGAAGATCACAACCATATGGTTAAAGATCACAACCGGGTACAAGCCGAAAATGCTTCTCTGGCCCATGAACTTGAGGTCTTGAAGGCTAATCAGGAGACCTGGGAGCAACGTCTCAAAAACGAGTATAGCAAGTACAGTGCCAACATCAAAATACTACAGGAACAATTGGACAAGGAACGCGATGAGCTTCACCGTCTCCGGACTGAGTTGCAGAAGACAAACAAGCTCCCACGTCAGTCTCTCCGTCGGCCTGCCACCGAGGTTCTTACCTCTCCCACGTCCAGTGAAGAGGGTCTTAGAATGCGGCGTCATACGCAGCCTCAACCTAGCCGTTCGCACGTCGTTGGTTTGTCGACCCCTTCGCCATCCTCATCCCAGATTCTCAATGCCCGCAGCTCAAACACATCACTTCCCCCTCGACCGACCCCAAGCCCCTCCAAAGCGGCCACACGTCGGGACTCGCTTATCCCCCCATCGATCGTCTCCGCGGTTCCTGCTTCCCCGACAATCAGTGCAGTAACCATCCCTCAAGACAAGAACCCTAGCTACCCCATGATTCGTACGCGCTCCCTGGGTAACTCGCGCATTCCCATACCCGCCAACCCAGCCACGCCGATCCGATCCACGACGCCCAACCCGGCAGCAGCGAACAGTGTCCGCGATCCATCGTCAACCGAGAATTCTCAGTACAGCATGAGCAGCTCCGTGTTTAGCCACAATAACAGCCGACTGAGTCTGTCGAAGTCGTGGGACATTACACCAGCTGACGGGGATATGGTGCGCTCGCCTAGGTCGGAAAAAGATGATCCAGTGAGAAATAGAGATCGGGAGAGGGCGAGATACAGATCAAGGTCCAACAGCGGGAATGAGTCCGGCAATGAAGATGGAGATGGCTCTGACCGTGTTATCCATGGACTTGGGTTAGGTTTGACGGAGAAAGAGGATTACCATCGCCGACAGAGCATTGGGTCCGCCGCGACGGGGAACTCCAGTGCGGTCAACGCTAGTGGCACGGCCCGATATGCCGAGAGTGTAGTCAGTGCCAACTCGGTGGCGTCTAGGTCAACAAATCCTCCACCAACTGCGAGGAAGACTCTGCCGCCGAGGCTGATAAGTGAGCGGAGTTGGGCCGATGTCGCGGCTCAGAGGGAACCAAGGTGGTGAGAGAAAATATTTACATTCCAAGTACCAGGCCTGATCAGTTAACTGGATGGACATCACACCACAATAATACCTGGGAAACGCCGACTTTGACGTTCGCGCCCTCGCAACCATAACAATGCCTACGACGCTACGAAGATATGACTCTGGGAGCTTTGGTGTTATGTGACGGAAATAATATACCGGTAAAAGCAAAGGGACTTGCTGCGCAATGACCGAAGCCACGACTGGTAAACGGGTTCCTCGGTTGCCTAATTTTGGAAATAGACGGCATGAACGTGTATGTTGAACACCTCACGTACATACAACTGTATGGTATCACGATACCCAATTACTGTGCTTCATTCCTAATGGATTTTTGCGCTCGCATTTTCAACTAAAAGTTAGGTACTCCATAAATACTACGGCGTATTTCGTGGTATCCTAAATCAAGACTCGAGATCCCTGAACCAAATACAATTACCATCAGTCCTACTTTGGCTTCCAGCGCCCACCACCTGCTGCTCGCTGATGTTGATCGTTTTGATCCAGTTCTCGAGGTCTCCTCATTTACGCAGCACTGGAACCTTCCAGCCATTATCAGCTCCTGTGCGTGCTGAGAAATTGACGCTTGCTTCGGTGGCCTAGCGGCCAGCCTGTTCCCCTCTCGAGGCTCCATTGCAATCGGCTCTGCTGTCTCATCCCTGGAATTCGCTCTCTCCGTCACATAATCGTCCTAGCTCCCAAACAAAAACCCATAGCTCTTGATCGTAATGCAGACATGGAAAGAACAGAATGCATGCGACAAGCACCAAGAGGAAGTCGATGGCGTGTTGAATGCAGAGGTTGGAGAGCATATTACGTTTCAAGCCAGCTGTCGACGGCCAGTCCGCGGGCCGATTACTTAGCTCGTAAGTACCTACATCATTCCCCGCAAGAGATCTGCTTGAATTGTAGACCAGCACTGAGATAACGGTGAGGGCGATATACGGGGGGAAGTTGACAAAATAGGCCAAGCAGACGAGATACACTAAACGTCGTCCGGTAGGCTTAATCATGCATGTGGCACGTATTATATATACATATATACATGTGTATAACGGGTAACTTTATCTGGCGCAGGCAGGGATCGACAATGGGTCAAATGGGTTACATGATGGCCACTGACGATGTGGGGTGCACAGCGAAGTCAATTACTACGTGTAATAATCTTTCTTGGTCCTTAGTATCCTTGTCTTGGGGAGAGAAAAACCCAAGAGAAATCCTTCATCGTGCCCAAGTAGCTCCTTTTATAAATTCACTGTGCCCTTGTGAGTACCTTGCGGTCTCCTGCAATCTTCAGGGCTTCTCCTCAGCGTGGCAAGGTTTTCTAACTCATTCTTGCCACCCCCTCATATTTCCCGGGCTCTACCAATCAGATATGCCTTTGTCCTCAGCTCTTGTGTCACTGGTGTTCTATATGTCGACTGTCAAGGTTATTTCTTCTCCTTAGACTGCTGTATCCATGTGACAATATTACCCATAGCAATGTAGCTGCTAGGGCAGTTGCTATGACACTAGCCGTGAATGCGGCAAAGCGAGGGGGACTGGTCTTAGACCGTTTCGTTTTGAGGTGAATGGCAGAGCTTAAACCATCTCGCACACGCAGCAGGCCGATGGCAAAACTGCGAGAGAATAATAAGCATGAGAACATCACCAGCAATGTGCATGAGCCAGATAGTGTGACGGTAGTAGCGGAAGCTCTTCGCCACATAATCGCTCCAGCAGTCTCACATTCGATAAAAGCTCCGGGCCAAAAGGCCCTAAACTAAATAGAGGATGCATATCCTACAGACAGGCGGTGAGTACTAAGCACCACACATTGTGAAGATGATGATCATAATGGCACAGCGCTCCTTACACTACCCAAAGTGGAAGAGCTATTCTCAGCCAGATGATGCTGATACGGGTCTTGTTTCTTTTGTAATGATAATAGATGTAAAGGTGAAAATCAATAGAAACAGCAGTACGAATCCCGCAATCAGCAGCAATAGGTTGCTGTGGGGACAGTCGAAATCGCTGGGTGATACCTCTGACCATCACAGCCACCATTCAGCTTGTATAACCGATGATCTCAGACTTGCAGGATAATGAAACAGCAGAGAAGTGAACGAGCGGAAACTCTCAAAACATATATGAAAGGTTCCAGCGCTTCAATACCTGGTCGTGGGGATAAGCTTCACTGTGGTCATGCTCGCCATGAGAAATTTGAGTGGCTTAGTCGCCCTAGCTCTGCGGCTATGGCGCGCGGTTAAACTTATACATACGGTGCTTCGCTGAGGGCGCTCAAGTCTTCATTGTGCAATAGGATCCTCATTTTAACCCATTTTTCTCCTCAGTGGGCGTTTTATCAATGTCGGCCGCCATGTGTGAACCGCGGTGTTGTACGCCACGTGAAGCCAGCCTGGCGTTGCCAGGTTCAGCTGTCGAAAGCCAAGGCTGGCACTGAAAATTACGGCTTGACCTGATGTTAGATTCAGTTCAGCGCAGTCCGGAGGGTATGCAGCATGCAGAAGAAGCTACATGAGCATGGAAATCACAGTCCGTATCATAAGTGTCATTGATGTGTCCATGAAGCCGAGGTCACTTTGAAATTGACCCTCATTTTGCTTCTATTATGCTCATTAGGGGTATGAATAAAGTGTTTCAATGTCTATCGAAACCCTCAAGATATCTGAGTGTCATTAATAAAAGGTGAAGACTTGCACTTAACCCGTTCCCTTCCCTGCATTCCTAACTGCCATAATCCCCTCCCAAATCCTAGAGACTAGGCTACATCAGACCTCCCCGTTGGACCTGCACCGTCAGCTATCCCTGGCTGTCGCTGAGTAGTGGGACTGTAAACCGGCGCCGGGGGCAACGGCCTCTCAGCAGCAGTCAACTCAGTCACGGAACCCTCTGGGTCTGTTGCCAGACACTCCTCCACATACTCCTTCGACCACAGGCCGTGTTGTGGATTCCGTAGGGCGAGGAAGAAGAGCAAAATCAGAATGACCAGAACGAAGACAAAGTCAACCAGATGCCGGATAAGCCAGTTGGCGAGCATTTGGATGCGGAAAACGGCCCAGTTCTCTGGGTCATTCTTGGGATTGGACCATTTGGACGCGGGGTAAAGCTCGTTAACCCAAATTGAATCATAAGAGGTGCCCGTGAACTCTATGATGGTGATGATACTGATGACGGAGTAGCGCAGGCTATTGAAGAGAGCCGCGGCTTGGAAATAGTGAGAGGCCTAGATGTAACAACAGACCGTCAGTGTCAGATACGGTCGCATCTTGTTTTGGACATCACTGCATATAGACATACCTTCTTCAATCGAGCATTTTCTTTTACCTTGCGCCGAATCTGCACGCTGTGAATGATCACCAAGATGCTGCAAATCAGCAAAAGAGAGTTGATCGCGTAATAAGCCTTGCTAGCACCCCACATGAGGACCCAATACTTTTCCCGATAATCCCGCTCATGCCAGGCGTGAATTGCCTTCAGCGAAAACATAAGGGCAAACACAGCGCCGATCAAAGTCCCAAAAGTCACAATCGATACCAGGCTGGAGAGTCGCAGCCGCTTCGTTTTCCGGGCGTTCAGGGGAAGCTCACTGTCTAAAGCCTGCAAGAAGCCTGCTGCGAAGCCCAAGAGAGTTCCGAGGATAAGGAGGTCGCTAATCGTATGGGGGAACCGAATGCCCATCCGGTACATGTGAAATCCGAGATTGAGGCGTTCTAATGACTCGGATTCAAGTTCCTGGTTGTAAAAGCCATAGCCCCATATTCCATAGCCTAGATAGAAGCAGCAGATACTACCAAGTTGGTATTAGTTCGCTGCCATGATAGAAAGATCAAGGCGATTGAGATTCTTACATGATCCAAGCAGGGAATGTTATTCGGAGCCAGACAACTCCCTCACGTGCTTTGTCCTTCCTCTTGTGCAAGATCCGGAAGCTAAGATATGTCATCACCAGGAATATTGGGATGCAGACCCCCCCAGCGATGGTTGGTGTCAAGATGGCTTGAACAACGGACATGTTGGCTGAGGTAACTTATGGCAAAATGGTGTTTGGACTCAAGATTGACAAGGCCGGGAGCTAGCACTCCGTGATACTGTTACGTCGCTAGAGCTCTGAGTGACCAAAGGGCGAGATGGGAGCGAAGAGGAACGAAGAAGGTTTTTAAACCACAGACACTGAGAAAACTCCCTTTTTCTTAACGGTTATACCCTGCACAACTGATGTTCTGATCGTACCAAACCTCCTCTTGATCGGCTGACATCCGGGCCGTAACAAGATGAGTAATTGTATCAGTGTTAAGAATGTGTGTGAGAACTTTCAATGCATATGTGTTGTTATCATAAAGAGATTTTTATTGTTCTCCAAGTGGGTAGTCCTGTTGGTAGAAGTAGTGCAGTAACGTTTTCCTAGCATCTTACCTAACGAAGGCTTCGCTATCTGCTCCTTCGCAGAAATTATACAGAATACGCCCGTTGACGAACTCATACCAGAAACACAGCCTACACCTCCTCATATTCTGGAGCACTCGTCTTTAGCCAGACGGCCTCAACCAGGAAAAAAGCAATGATCGACCCAGGGATCGAACCTGGCACCTTCTCGGTAGGAATGAGACTAGGCTCATCGAACTTTGCTCACAATAGAGTGTGAACGAGACGTGATAACCACTACACCAGTCGACCAATTGGAGACATTAGGATAGAGGATTGGGAAGAAAGGCCTATCGCACGGCAACGGCTAAAATCAAGTCACTGGTTCAAGGAACCCCCAGTTAACCACCACAAGCTTTTCAGGACACAATGGACATCACACATACTTCCACATACGTCCACATCTCCCATCATCATGCATTACGCTGTGCTACTTATCATCATCAAGCGTTTGTTATCCATAGTATCCATACATCAATCGTTCATTCAAGCCCGCATTCCTTTCTTTCCCCGGACCAGCCATTCTATGTCATGTCATGCCATATCACCCATTCCTTTCCTTTCCCCTCTCCCAAGTGCCTTCTAACCACCTGCCAGTCTCCCATACCACTATGCCGTCATGACCATAGCCGTGCCGAAACGGAAAGGAAAGAAAGAAACAACGTAGGTAGGCAGTTATGAAAGGCGGACGGGTCTTCAGATTATGCGTTCAGGCAGAATGAAGAGAACGAGCGCTGAGAAAGAGGGACTATCAAGCAAAGTAACTCTTCCACAACACGCCCTCTAAGTCCTCAAGCTGCTCGCTGGTGAAGTACTGTTAAAACCATTAGCATCAGCTTCAAAAACAACCTAGCAAGAGCAACCCGAAACATACCTTCTGATCAACTCCCCAACTATCCTGCCTCGTCTTTTTAAACTCTGCCAAAATTCCCTTCGTCGCCTTACCCACCACTCCAGGGTCACTCGCCGCCCTGGTCGCCAAATGAGCCAGCACCTCGGGCATCCATCTCGGCGGGGGCGTAGCATAAGGGAACGCCTCAACGAGCGCGCCCAACCCCAAAACAGCCGCATGCCTTCTCACAATCTGCCTTTGCACTTCCGCCGGAGTCTCCGTCCCCGACGCCGCATTAGGAGCCCCCGGCCCAGCACGCCTACGCTTCGGCATGGGGTTATCCTTCAGCTGCTTCTCGAACCGCTCCTTCAGGGCATAAATAATCGGGTCGCGAATCGCCCGCGGCGAGCAGCGGATCATGCCTGCGAGGGTAGCAGCCGCACAGTCGCGGACTTCAAGTTGCGGGTCGGCAAGCATGTCGCCGACGGCATCGAACAGCATCTCCCGCTGCCTGGGGCCCATGAGAAATAGTCGGCGGAAGTAGACCACCTGCATGTTAACGAGCGCTCTGAGTCTCTGATGCCATGAGGAGGCTGTCTTGCCGACGCGGATGAGGGCTTGGAGGAAAGCGTCGTCAGCGCCGTCGGCACCGGCTCGGAATGGGATGTTGGGCAGATGGCGGTAGACGTGGTAGGCCAGCTTCATCAGCTCAGGGTCTTCTTTGACATCCATCATGTGCAGGAGGGCGTCAACGAAAGGGTCATGGAAGAATGGGACGAGCTGAATGCATTCCTGCGAGGAGAGCATGCTGTCCAGCCAGATGAGGACGGTCTTGGCGCCTGAGGTGTACGACGAAGGAGTCTGCTGGCCGGGAGTGCGTTCGCAGCGCCATTTCTCAAGACGATCAAAGACATCGCGGATGGTAGCCGCAAACTCTTCTGTAGGCTGGTAAGGAGCAAGACCGAGCGATGAGGCAGCCTTGTTCTTCTCCAGGAGGGTCGTAACATCACGAAAGGACTCATGGTAGCGGGTGCGATAGATCGTGGCGATGATCCGACCAATAGACTCGCGGACAGCCTTGTAGGGGTGGTCGATGTGCGCCAGACAATCCTCCAGGATGGGCTTCTCGTGCCGGAAGTGCCAGCCGGCGTCGCTAATGATGAACTCGATGAGCTGAAGCTTTGATGACTCCTTAAACGCGGCATTAGAGTTCATATCGAGTCGGAAAGCCTCCAGTTTCTCGGTCAACTCGCGCGATCGCCGCGGGTCCTTCCCGTCAATGACGACATGCAGGCAAGTGGCCCAGTAGTGCAGGTTCTCCGGGTTGATGTCGGTGTCGATGACCTTGAGCAACATGGGTGCAGCAAATGCCCACACCTGATCACGCATTTCCTTCGGATCATCAATGCTTCCTGACAGGAGCGCAGCCAAGATCTCGGCCGTCGCACGGTGCTGGTTCCTATCGCTTCCATCCCCATACACCTCCTTAACCAGCTCAATCACATCCTTCAGAGTGGCGACCGTCTTCCCATAGTACATCAAGTCGAACACGTGGCTCAGGAGGATGACGTTCTGCATACGAAAACGATCCGAGTTCTGGTCGCGCGGTTCTTGCTTGAGGTACTCGAAGCACTGGGCGAACCACTGCTTGGTGATGATCTGGCCGATCTGAGTGCGCACTGCATCCTCGACCTCGTCATAGGCCAGGAACGGCTTGGGCTTGCCACGCCACGCAAGGAACGTCTTGCCCCAGACCAGCCAGCCTGGGAAGTCAGAATCGACGAAATACTCCGGCTCGTCGTACTGGCCAAACTGCGCCAGGAACTTTTGTGTCCAAGCCTCCGGATCGTCAGCCTGCACAGGGACCTCGATCCGGTTCTCGTCAATATCCTGCTCAAGGAGATAATTCCGGTAGTCATGCCCATAAACCGCACGCATGTCGATCGCCGTAAAGAGCGCCGTGAACGCCGACAGATAGTTCGCACGCAGGCTAGGGTGCGTATCATTGACGCCGTTGGCAACGAGATCGACAAACTCAGGCGGCGCAAGGCGGTCGAACCTGAGGGACATGTTTAGCGCAAAGATGGTGCACCGGTTCGCAATACGCCAGTGTGAGTCCTTGGCCAACTTGGTCAGCTCGAGGCCGAGGGAGGCCTTCTTTTCCTCGACTTGGGCACGACGCGTCTTGATGAAGTCGTGGCGCCGCTGGATGATGGCTGAGCAGTCGTCATCGCTGGGCCGGATAGTCTCGACAAGCTCTCGGTCGAAGATGATCAGGTGCTCAAACGGCTTGCCAAAGTCGATGAGCTGGTACAGCGCCGAGGAACCGAGGTTCTGAATCGACGACTTGTCGACAGCAGCAGTCTGGATGTATAGCCTCATCAAGTCGGGCGCATACCGCCAATCGCGCTGAACAGTCTTGATCAGCGACGTGAAGAGCAACGTGTACATTGCACCCTTAATGCGATCGTGATCATTTTTTTCGAGCGCTTCCCGGAACTTCTCCAGAATGACAGGAATTACAAGCGGCCGGCTGGCGATCAACACCTTGAGCGACGAGTCCTGTGCACCCTGGGCAACGCGGCGCACGTCAGAGTACGTCGAGGTGCATGACTCGGCGAGGTCCATCAGCAGACGCTCGTCGAGCTTGCTCTTCTTGCGGTAGGCTGCATTGTACTTGACGCGCTGGAGCTGGTAGGCGTCGGCACGCTTAATCAGCAGGGGACGAGGGTATTGTTTGCGTAAGCCGCTGATCTTAAAGGGCGAGATGTCGGCCTTGTAGAGGCGCAAAAGACGCTCTAGAGGGTGTGCCGAGCGCTCAATTCCCACGTCAGTGATCCATGTCCGGTAGGCAGCATAGAGAGCCGTGAAGCATGCGACATCGTCCTCCTGGTTGGCGTTAAGGAAGGCATGAGTCTTCGACAGCTGCTCCCCGATATCCTCGCGAAGTTTGTGGATGCGGTCGTACAACGGATCGTTGGGTCTGAGCGGGTAGCCGGCCGGGTATTGGAACTGACGCTTGAGCTCTTCATCGTCAGCGACCTCAGCAAGCGGGTCGTCATCCTCCTCCATCATAGCATCCCCATCAGCATCTTTCTGAATGGGATCGGCGTCCCCGTTGACCACCTCACCAGAAGCACGGCGCGGGTCAAATAATGTGGCAATACCAGAGATGATCAACCGAATAGCCGTCAAGCTTCTCGACAGCTCGTCCGACCACTCCTTGTTCTTACCCTTCCTGCTCACCGGCGGATCGTCGCTCATCAGCTGCTCGAGCCTGCGAGCCGCACCACTAGCTTGGCTCTCGAAAAGCTCGACAGCGAACTCGATTTCCGCGTGCGAAGGGCGGTGCCACCTGATGGTCAGCTTGGCTGGATCGGTGATCGCGCCCCAGTCCTGGATGTCCAGGCCACGAGCAATGACGTCCGGCTCGTAGAGCGCGTTGTCGATGGGGTAGGTGTGCGTCAAGTTCAGGAGGAGATGGTGAACGTAGTTGGAAACATGAATTGTCGGCAGACCCCTGCACTTCTCTTGCATGTACTCGGCGATGTCGAACAGCTCCCGCTTATACTTGAGGACCTCATCGCCGACGTGCACGACACACATGCTCAGCATGCTGACGTACCAGACCAGAGCACGGTCGCGAGGCAATATCTCGGTTCCGCTGCTCCGGTCGGATGCCGCGCCGTTGTCATCGATCTCGCTGCGGATGTTGCGGATCAACATGGGAATGAACACCTTAAGCGTCTTCTCTGGGTTGACCTTGCACATGGCGCTGCAGATCCAGGCCATAGCATCGCGGGCCTGGTGGATGACATGACTCGAGACAAATTCTGCGAGCTTCTCCAGGGCCATGTCAAACAGCTTCGGTGACAGAGAGGCAAACAGCGGTGTCAGGGCTGCCGGCAGGGTGTTGATTACATTGTCCTCGGGGGACCCGGTACGCAAGTGGCTGGAATCCGGCAGGTTCTCCAACAAGGCAAACACCTTGCCCAGCAGGGCGAGGACAAACTGGCCCAAGCCGGCAGTCGATGAGCGCAAGATTTCGGCCTCGTCTTCATCGGTCAACTCTTCCCGGTAGCAGATCTTCACGTCTTGGCCTTCTTCCTCCATCCGGGCCATCTCCCGCTGGACCCATTCGATCGCCACGCCCGCCTTCTCCTCCTCAGCCAACTCCACAAACGGGATGCTGTAGGCTACGGCTTGGATGAAGTTGAGCGTGTACTGCGTCTTACCCAGGTCATTGGCATCAATGCCAGGGAGGGCAAGAGCCAGCAACGCTGTGATATGGCAGCGGTAGCCTTTCTGCTTCGACATGATGTTGGCGATCATCTGCAAACCGCACAAACTAGCCGTCGTGCGGTGTACCTCAACCAACCCCTGAAGACTAGGGTAGAAGCGTTGGAGCGCACCTGGCAAAATTAAGTCGGGCTCAAGGAACGCCAAGCCCTGGAGGGTCGAATAGTAGTAATTGACCACCTTAGAGCCCTTGGAAAAGATTCCCATGAAAGTCACCTCTCTCAAAGCCATGACAAAGCGTTTCTTGAGCTCCGGTGTGATCTTCCGCTCTTCGGGGACCTCCAGCTCGCCGCTATTCTCACGGTTCCATCGCGACACGAAGATGTCGGTCAGGTAGAAGGTGAGCTGGGCAAGAAAAGAGGTCCAACTGCCCTGATTAGACGGATGGAAGAAAGTGTCGATCGACTCCAAGAGACCTTCGAGACTGGACAGGATCGAACTCTCAGCCTTCAGACACATTGGTGACAGGGAGTGGGCGATCCACCTGGCAACCATGTAGGAAACCGGATGCTTTTTCCGGTCCTTTTCGAGGTACATGCCCAAACCCGAGGCCACGTCCAGGGACGTATAAGGCGAGTTAGCCTGGCCGACGGGGATCTCGGTGAGTCGCAGGATGGCAGTGAAGACGAGGTCCGACTGTTCCCTGGTGAAGATACCATGCTCGGTAAACGGGACGTGGGTGCACGTCAGGTAGTCCCTAGCCATGCGCGAGAACATGTCGATGAAGCAGATGTCGAATGCCTTAGATCTCGCCATCAATGACCACAAGTGGAAGAAGGTCGGCAGATAGTCGGCAGGCTGGGACAGCGGCTCGGTTGGGGGTGCCGGAGTCGTCGGCAGGATATGGTTCAGGATGTTGACGACAATGTAGGCATTGGAGATGGCTGAGGTGCTGAAGTAGGGGAGCACCTCGTCCAAGATGGCCTTTCTCTCCCGTGGGTCAAAGTACGAGTTGCAATGCAGGCACAGCTTGACAATGTGCTTCTGGGATCTTCTGCGCATACTCTGATGGGCACCGCATTCCGACGGCAACACCAGGGCCTTGATCTCCTTCCACAACGGCCGCCAATCCAGGGTTAGGTCCTCACCCGGCTTTAAATAGTGCTTTTTTCTGCATACAACCAACGTCATCAGCATTCACGCTTCCGGAGGGGAAGGTCTGGGACAGATAGGCTGTTGGGGGATCAGAGCATCTGGGATCCGGATCCATGATGCATTTATTGCTAACCTTGTGAGCGTTATTACCATCTTGGCAAATCTATCTGCCGTATTTCCGTCCAGACCTGGGGCTAGGGCGAGATGGTAGTAGAGCTGCGTGAGACGGGCGCGCAGTTCCCTAGTCATCTCGAACTTGAGGTTCAGCCAGCCAGTCAGCTCACGGGTCCAGTGAAGAGCGCCCGGGGCAAAGTCCTCGGCCATGATGGAGATGTAGAGATTTTTGAGAAGCCGATTGAGAGCAGCATCCCTGTACGACTCATCTTCGACTGGGAAAGGTAGGAGGCGGAAATAGTCGAAGGTACGGGGACGGTATCGCTTTTTGTTATCTTCCTGCTCGTGCTCGCCACAAGCAAGGCCCGGGGACGTTGCACGTGAAATTGGCTCGCTGGAATGCACAAAAGCTTTCACGAACGGTTTGGCAGGCTGGGTCGACGACGAGAAGGTGCCGGCCATGGCCGAGTGCCTCTCCAGAGGCTCGTCCATCTTGTCCGTGTTCTGTAGCCGCGCTGCTCGGTCGAGAATCGAAGAGGGGTTAGATGAACAAAATATTGATCAGACAGCCAGACCCGACTTCAACGCTCAAATCGCTAGGCCGTGCCACTGGTCGGGGCCGGCGTTGGCACACTGCAAGGATTTTTGGTAACAAAGGCGAGAAAAGGACGAGGGACAGGCGGCGACGAGAACGGAACGAAAGCTGGCAAATTGGCGATCGCAAGCTGCGCAGTCGATCATTTCGCCTCCGGCGAGAGATCAGAGGGCGATGGATTGGTCGAACGCGGGGCCAACGCGGGGTCGTCGCAATCGTGGTCCGACCGTGGTTTGGTATCCTACCGCTCGATGCGGCGCCGAATTGAGCTGGCTTGCGTGTGAGATCGAGGCGAGGAGACGCTCTGGTGTCGGGCACAGAAAGATAGATAGATAGAGGATAGATAGATAGAGAGACGCACACACACACACACACACACACACACACACAGAGAGAGAGAGAGAGAGAGAGAGAGCGAGAGCGAGAACCGGACCACACGTGACACGAAGGGTTATGTATCTGCAACGATGGCCAGGGGTCAGCTGTAGCGGCCAATGAGCACAAACACCAGCATAAACGCGACCGGGCAAACGAGGCAGCGAGCTTGGTGATGTTGGAACTTGGGGTGAAAGTCGCGTTGGCTCGGCCGAGTCCTCATCCATCAGCTCGACGGATGCAGACAACAAGCGATCGACGAATCGCGGCCCGCAGAACGCTTTAAGCTGCGTTGCTTGAGCTGCACGGCTGCAACGGCGCGGTGCTCCAATACTCCAGCCTCACCCAGCTGTTCCTGAGCTGAGCTGACACATTGTCGAGCTTCTTGGGGGACGCGTACGTACCTTGTCCTCCGTAAAATAAACGGTGCAGCCTGGATATGTCGGTGATCGAACTGTGCCAAGTCGTCGTACACTCCGGCAGTGGTATTCAAGCGTCGCAGACACAATATTGACGTCTGCGTCCCGAGTCTGGCCCGGCTTGCAGTAAGTGAAAAAAGAGGAGAATGGGGAGAGAGGTCGCCTGCCAGCGTAATGCTAGCTCGCCTGTTCTTGCGTCGGATTTTTAGGATAAACCTTGCTCCAGGCAGTAGCTAGTGATGTAAGGCGTAACGTTCGCGGTAATTTATACTGAATCCAGGTATTGTAATACGGGTTTAACTCTCAACGCTACTCGCCAATCCTCCCCGATCCCGAGATTCTGCCCTACGCTCGGCGAAGCTCGTACCGGTTCTCAATGCTACCCTCTCTACTTTTCCAACACCTTTCTTTACTGAAAGAGTGATAAGCCAAGCATGCAACTTGCGGTCCTGAGCCACAAAATGTCATTGTTCAGGCAAGCGAGGCGCTCAACAGCCATACGGCATCTTGGCTCCCTGCGAATCCTCGATGGCGCGTTCAGAAATCATCCGTCTTATTTTAAACGGCACCTTTCCAACCGGTGCCCAGCGTACAGTGTGATATATTCATCAAGTTTCTGATACCCTCCGTATCATTTCAAGCTGCACGCTCCAGGTTTCTTTTCCAGAACCCTGTTTGACCTGATATCCCTTTCTGATGTCTTCAAGGGCGAAGTCGAACAACCTCTCTCTCGTTTCGGCCATCTTGACGCCTGCTGCGACAGCAGGAGCATCGGTCATTCCGCTGTCCATCATCTGGCTCATTAGCTTGTGGAAAGTTCGGAAGAGGGATGACAAAGCCCGTATTGGCGCCCGGCCATTCAGGGTGGCCCTCCTATTGTGGATTATGTAGGACACTGTCTACCGTCAAGCAATCTGCGATCACGATGCGCTTCCGGAAACCGGCATGTGCTGACTAAGGCCCAGAGTCTGCCTTTTTTACACCGGCTATGGCGTCTGGGGTTATTTCTACTACAGACAAGAACGGCGTGAAGCCTATTGGGTGCCCCAAAGCTCGCTGGACTACTCATTCCATCGCTACCGATATGGCATACGTTTTGCGCACGATGTGGCCAATGTGCTTATCCTCGCGACCATCCTGGAACTAGCGACAGGCCTTTATCGCGCTGGCTATGGCCATATGGATGATGCAGGCTGCATGGAGAATCATTCTGGGCCCCGCTATCTCGGATGGACCTGGGGCATTTGGTTTCTCGTCTCAGATATGCTCTGCTTCGGCCTCATCCAGGGCCTGCTCACTCACTGGGAGGAAGTAGACCGTTTACACTTTCAGGGTCACAATGAAAAGACTGATTACTCACGCGAGATCAGACGCCATAACAAGATAGCCAAGGAGATCATGAAAATCGCTCTCACATTTTTCTCCATCAAGTACATTATGCAAGCTTTGTTAGCCTTTGGTACTTTTTTGCTTAGCCTGGGCATACCGTCACGAGATGAAAAGATTACGCCCATGGCTTACGAAGGTATTTGCCGAGTTTTCTATCTCATATGTATAAATGCGTCAAGGTTTGAACGCTGACTCTCACCGGATAGATTGCTCGCTTGTACGCCATTCCAGCAGGGCTCAATTTTCTCCGACGTGTCATCATAGCTGGCATCAACACACGCATATTCTTCATCTACCGCCGGTCCGATCGCGTTCTCTCACCTGTATTCAATGCCGAGTTCGACTATGCGGCATACTTCCCCAGTCCAAGCTCCAAGGGTTATGGGCGCTTCAAAGCCGATTTGCTAACCAACTGGTGTGGCCAATATTTGATCGACTTTTCCTTCGCCCTTGTCATCTTCTTCTTGCTTTTTGATGTGCTTGCCCGCAGCCCTGAGAATAGCGGCCTGTGGTCCCGAGAGTACGTTCCTGTCGAGCACCGGGACGAGGATGAACGCTCAGAAGATGGCGACAATGGTGGGGAAATGGTCATGCGGCCCCTCGCGCCTGAACAAAGAGAAGAGGAAGTTCACGCATCGAGTTCCCAGAATGAGCCAGCAGTTTCTCCTGAGATTAGGAAATGGATGGACAGTCTTTGGTCACGCTAAAAATCTGAGTGAAGGCCGTATATACATGGTATTCGGCTGTATTCTGAGCGTCAAAGAGATAGTGCCCGGAATTTCATTAGCTGTTCTGTGTACTCTTGTTGATGGTAGCTCTAACTCAATCTCCGCTCAAGATGGAAATTTTGTACTTTGACCTTGAAGTGCAGCCCAGATAGATTTTCATTAGACTGGCCGAGGTCGAAGAATGACAAGAAACCCCATGTCTGTCTTCTGGGTAATTGCGCCAGCAATTTCGGCGCTCCATTTGGACCTCTGTCGTAGCCCACGTCGGTGTATGTCTTCTCTACACGGCCTATAGTTGTCACATGGACACGGCAGTTTAAGGAGAAGAAATATCCTTAACAGTCGATATATAGAACACCCAGTGACACAAGAGCTGAGAAGGGCAAAGGCATATCTGATTGGTAGAGCCCGGGAAATATGAGGGGGTGGCAAGAATGAGTTAGATAACCTTGCCACGCTGAGGAGAACCCCTCAAGATTGAAGGAGACTGCGGGGTACTCACAAAGGCAAAGGGATTTTATAAGGGGGGCTACTTGGACACGATGAAGGATTTCACTTGGGCTTTCCTCTCCCCAACACAAGGACACTAAGGACCAAGAAAGATTATTACACGTAGTAATTGACTTCGCTGTGCACCCCACATCGTCAGTGGCCATCATGTAACCCATTTGACCCATTGTCGATCCCTGTCTGCACCAGGCCAAGTCACCCGTTACAATAGTACCCGGGGCCATCACTCTTACCAGGAACACATTCCAGAAGGCACCCAGTGGAATCCACGAACGCCAAAGGAACATGCATGCTACCGGTCCCGATATGCCATCCACTTCGTTCACAACGTGAGTGACATTTTGATTAATCATTTGGACGTTAGCAGAGCTTGCAGCCGGCTTTGTGGATGCTCTAAGGGAGACGTCAACATGATCTAGCATCTAAACCGCCCCCAAAACCCCCAGGTTATTGCTGGTCTCTAGGGCTTTGTCATGTTCATCCTTACGCTTGTAACCCTGCATATCTCGCAGAAGATACTTGGCAAGGCGAAACGATTGGATGGGCTATAGGCCCAGACAATTTGAAGTGTGTCTGATGACGAATCCTTCAGTCTCTACTCCTCTTACGGGCTTGACAGATGAGAGAAATACTTGGATGAACAGTACGCGCGTATTACTTATTGCATTGTACACCATTATTGGCGATATTCAGCTTTCTGTCGTTTCCTCCTCAATACTTGTTGTCTATCTCACCAGGAAGAATGCCTGATTGATGAAGGTAAGTGCGTTAGCTCCCTAAAGACTAAATTGGAGCACTGACACCTGCTTTTTCACGGTGTTCATGGACACTGCTCGCAGCCGATATAGCAAACGTCATCCGGCGAATTTCTCTTGCTGCTATCAGGGAACAAGTATTTAACAGCCATGGATGTCTCCCGTTTACCTCTGCGGGTTTGAGTACTCCGATGACTTCCTAGACACGGAATCCTCCGGACACAAAACAGTTCGCAGAGGATTTGCTGGCAAATTGATTCGCGTAGCACTTGATCAACTTTATCTGTGGATTGTGCATATGGACTTTTCCGTTTTGGTTCTCAAGCCCCCCAACACCATGGCTCATGGTCAGAGCGATATATTGCTTGAGACAACTCTTTTTAAGAGACAGGGGGTTGGAGAAAAGCGTTACATCGAGAGTGGAGATGCACCCAACCCAACACTTGCAGGAAATTTTCATGAATTTGTATGCCTGATAGACTACCTTATCAGCCCTACAAGGCTTTGTGGCTCATTCCGGTCATGCAGGCTGCTTCCTTTTTGATTCACGTGGTCTCCCATTGTTAAAGTCCACTTATCTTTCATGTTTCATTGAGTGTCTGGGGACACAGCCACGCCACACAGAGTCGAATATGCTACGCCACGCTACTCCTGAAGGAATGGTGACACATACATAGAGCTTGCAGTTCCAGTCGGGAGAATATTTGCTCCACTCTTGCATTGAATGACACAGCCAGTGCCAGCGTTTGCTGCTGTAGACTACTACATAATCCTATCAAACATATATCGCAGTAAATATCTCTCACAAGATACGTTTTGTTCATCTACTTGTGTGCAGCCGGTCTGATGTCTTCTGGGGGTAAACCCGAATTCGAATGTCCAATCTTTTAAACTTCGAACAATAGTGCAAAATTCTAACGAAGGCATTCCGACGATTCAAACACTAACACTTTATTTTCATCAAATAAACTCCATCGGGACAACGTTCTAAGATTTTACAGAATGCTTTCCGCAGATGCTGAAAAGATCCAGCCAATATCCCAGAGTGTTATCACACCTGCTATTGCTGCCGTGGTATCGCTCATCCCCTTGATCGGCATATGGGTGTTAGGATTCCGTCGTCAACTCCATAAAAGCGCTTTTCCTGTTACCGCACTCCTCTTCAAGGTCACACTACCAGCTTGGATTTTGTAAGCTGGCCCAAACGAATGTCAAAGTCATCAGATATTTCATTGGCTTCTACTAATTAGCAACCGTTGTGGTAGTGTCACCATACTTTACACAGCCTATGGAGTTACAGCTTACCTCTATCACCATGACTGGAGCTGCGAATGTAATCCGGACACCTTCTGGCTGACCTACGCCTATCACCCTTTCCGTTTTGCTATCAAATTCCCTCACCAACTTGCTGACGTCGCAATTCTTGCGACTTTGCTGGAGCTCGGGAGCATCCTATCTACAGCCCTGAGCAAGGAGCAGAGTCAACCACTCACTCTTCAGGGCTATACACTACCTCGATTATTTACGGTGCTGGGGAGTACAGTTTTTACTGTGCTATCCATTTCAATTCTTGGTACTTCGGAGGCCATGGTATCAAGTCGATACAGGCTCTACCATTCAATCTCTTCGTCTCCCGAGAACTACCATAGGGAACAGCTCCGGCGTGAGCAACTCTCGACAGCCACATTGAGCTTGATCAGCTTAGCATCCATCGTGATGTGTATATACAGTTTGGGAGTTCTGGTATTTTCTGCTATAACTTATGCTAGAGGAAAACACCAAATGACAATAACAAAGGTAAGCCTCATGTCTGCTTCCTCAAGATTTTTTTCACGTCTGAGATGGGGGAAAAAAACTGATTTATTCGTGGATTTAAGACATGCAAGCTTTACCTCTTTGCAAATATTCTCAACTTTATCCGGCACCTTTCCCAAGCAGTGATCACATCAAACGCGTATCTCGGTCCGGGAGAAAAGCTCATCTGGGAACTTGAATGGGACTATTATGAAATATGGTCTGCTTACGCGACAAACACCTCCGAGTTGAGACACCTCATAGCAGAGGTGGTAGCTTATTGGATTGTCCAACATATACTTGATTTCATATGCGCATTGGGTTTGCTCATTGTGCTATTTTATCTTGTTTCTATGCAAGCTCAGGTCGACCTCGGGTGCAAGCGAAGTGCTGCGGAAAGCGAAGATCAAGAACCACTGAGTCAAGGCTTTGGGGAGGGGACTAGTATACGGAATTCAGGTCATAGTTCGGTTAGTTATCGATAGATAATACAACATTTTAGTAGTTTCCTCTTATACTGCTTGCATTCTCAGCCTTGTGCACCTAATTAAGAGACAGCCACACGTGGTGTGCAGAGGCAGAGTGTTTCTGTGTCTTCGATTATGAATGCATCTGCTTGACACAGTGTTGCCGTCGCTGTTGCCTGAATCCCACACTTAAGCTCCAGCCTTCCCAGGTTCAACTGTCAGTTTCTTTTTATAACTCCGAGACACGCCAAGCCCAGGATTCCTCATAATCAAGCCACCCAAGAGGCCGGGTTAGAGTTATCCCGTGGTGATCGGCGCTTGCATATCTGTTGGCATCACAGTCACGCTGTACAAAAAGCTATCTATCACTTCCTATGCTGAGTTTTCTCTGACTTTCTTCGCCTTGTCTGGAGAGTTTTTTTTTTTCTGTCAGAAATAGGCCCTCCTCCGCATACTCCTCCGACCTGGCTCATGGCAACGCCGGCCGTAGTGGCCGGCCTGTCTATTCTGCCTCTCTTTACCTTATGGCTAGTGAGCTTCTGTGTCGCCCGAAGAAAATATAAACGGGTACGAAGAGGTGTTGTCTGGCTCAAGCTAGCCCTACCAGCATGGATCTTGTAAGACCGAATGCAGATCGGTACATGTCATGCTCTAGAAGCTGATGCCAACAGTTAACTCATATAGAACATGTGTCCTCTACACCGTCGCCGGCGTGGTTGGGTTCATCGTTCTCGGCATTGATATCCCCGAAGAATTGGAGCGACCCCGACTCCGCAGAGACAAGATATAACAGGCTGCAGTTCGTGATAAGACTCTTCCATAACCTTGCCGACGTGCTGTTATTCATCACGTTAGTCGACCTTGTCCGCGGCCTCCTCCATTATGGCAACTCCATGCCCCCTTCCAAGTGGTGGACCGTTATCGTCTTGCTGTGGTCATTGATCATCATGGTGCTCTCGGGTGCTGCAGTGGGCGTTGCGATGAAGGCAGTGTCTCACGGTACGCGGTATGACAGGCTTCATGGAGAGCAGTCAAATGCCTTCTTTGACGATTTGTTTGAAAAATCCTCTAATTCTAATCTCGCGGAAATAGAGGAGGAGCTTTCCCGGGAGGAGAGACGCCTGACTCGGTTTCATAATTGCATGTCTAAACTCTTTGCCACGAGCTACATCTTTCTTGGCCTAACCAGGTTGTTTATCCTCGCTTTCACATCATATGCTTGCATGCTCCAGGATATTCGACAGGCTAAACGACTGAGAACTGTAAGTCAACTCCTCTAACTCGCACCTCTATTTGAGTAGAGTACCATGCACTAAGCAAAACTCATGGCTACCAGGCTTCGAGGCTTCTTCTCGTCGCTACCATCTTCGACTTCATCTGACATATTGTTGTGATGGTTGTCAACTGCTATGTATTCCTCAGTTCTAGACATGATGCAACTAGTCTACTTATTAGCAACTGGTTCATCCAGTACCTATTCGACTTTGTTTGTGCCTTCGTCGTCTTCTTTTTGCTGTTCTTCCTTGCTGCGCGGAAGCGTCCAAAAGGCTTATGGGAAGCACCAGAGGGCTCGTTACAACACGCAACAGAGCAGGCAACTTGGCCAACCTCACAGGCTGCCAGTTACACGGTCTATGTATCTCATTCAACACTGCCTGGCCAAAAGCAAGATACGAGGACCGAAAATTTGCAGCCTTATACATTATCAGCGGCTCAAGGACAGCTGGACGTTGTTCAACTATAGGCGTTGTCACTTCCTCCACCAACACATCAAACATTCGACTCATATACACCTGACATGAAATAGGGTGTTTGAGAGTGGCATCAACGCTGTATTCTGGTCTAGTTACAGCACTGTCTTGGCAAAGAAACGTCTACGCGATAACGGTATGTGAAAATAAACAGATAAGTGCTTTTTACCAAGCATCACAACAGCAATTTGTCATTGTTGGAGCTGATAAGCTGTAACGGGTGACTTGGTCTGGTGCAGGCAGGGATCGACAATAGGTCAAATGGGTTACATGATGGCCACTGGCGATGTGGGGTGCACATCGAAGTCAATTACTACGTGTAATAATCTTTCTTGGTCCTTAGTGTCCTTGTGTCAGGGAGAGGAGGAACCAAGGGAAGTCTATCATAACCGGGCAGCTTCCTTTATAGAATCCTCATCATGCCTCGGCCATGTGGCTCATTCTCTTCGGTCATCCGGCTCTAGACATCTTCCGGGATCAACCACGTACTTGCGCCGCTCACAATCATCCTGTCTCTGGTGTCCCTTGTGTTGGCAGTTGGGGACATCCGTTTCCTTGGACTGCCGTGTCCATGTGACATAAGCATAATCGCCAGTGGTTTTACATAGGTAGTGAACAGGGATTTGGTGCTGCCACATCTACTTTTGTTGGCCCGATGGCCAAGTTTTTGTTTTGGGAGCAATTATAAGGGTTAATATCTTGTCAACTCGAAGGATATAGGCAGGTGTTATTTAGTCATGGGTTGAGGAGGCTTCTGTCAAGAACAAAGGAGGTCCCAATTCTAGTGTAACCCTCGAAAAATCCAGCCATCAGTGTTCGTCCAGCAGCCTGGTTTGTGCCACAAGAATGACCAGAACTTTATTTCAATGAGTGAACTCATCTTAACATCCTGCCTGTACTATGCAACAGACACAACTACCTCAATTTCTTTGACTTCTTCATGTTTCAACTCCTGTATCTTACGGTTTCCTCCCGGTTATAGCAGCCAGCAATGCTCCTGTGCAAGACTCCACACTATGGCTAAACATGACGAATTCGTTCTCTCTAGGGAAAACCGGTTTCTCCTGCATCTCCCCGAGCCCCCAGCATTGGGAGGGTCCCCGCTCCCGGGTCCCAGGGGGTGCATCAGCGACTGAGATCTATCAGGCAGCGAGGCTGCCGCGCTCTTCTAACCTCGGTCTTCAAGCCTGAAAAAGTGTGACTCAATATTTGAGGATATTGCAGCAGCCTGGAGATGCATCATTCCGTGTGCATAAGTGCTAACACAGTATCCAGGAAAGAGGATAAACGTTCTGGGTGCAAGTACCGAAAGCATATAGACAAGAGGTAAGGGTTAAAGCCCTCCCGCAAGTTATATTTTGACAACAACATTGCCTTACATGTGCGTTACACAGTGAGATCAATAAGAGGCCCGGTTGTAAGAAGAATGGGTTTGACCCTACGTTCTTGGTGGGAGGTTGGTGCTAAGGAGGGGAAAACGCGCTAACAGAACCGGATCGCAAGCCTGTAGTATAATTTTGAAGGTATGAAGCTCAAGAACAACAACAGCCCAGTAAGACTACACTATAACAGTAATTGGCCCAGAAAACCTGATACACTCATCACCACCCTATTCGGGTCCAACATGCATATCCTCGTGCGGTCTTTGGGCTTCAGGAAGAACCGTGACAGAAAGCGATTTCTCTTCAAGCTGCATAATGCACAATCGATCCCATCAACCCTTGAGTGCATAAATCTTGAAAGATCCTAATGCATTGTCAGCTTCATGCTACGGCTCACCATCTATGTGTCGATTAGATGGTGACTTACCGACATATTCATTGAGATCAGTCTTCGACAGTGACTCAGCCAGACCAGCAGGAACCGGAACCCCGCAGCAACCACTGGGAGCGGGTGAAGAACTCGAAGGTGCACCACAGCAGCCGGCAGATGAAGAAACACCGGCAGACATCTTGCAACATCCCTCGCCCTGTTTCTGGAAAGCAGGCTCGGCCTTATTGGCACCGCAGCAGCCTCCAGACTCCTCAGAAGCAGCCGGGATTAAGGCACAGTTTTGAAGGTTCTGGCCACAGCACAGGTCATTCTTCGCTTCAGTGCTCCTTTTCTTCTCGCCATCCTCCCCGATCTCAACATAGACGTTAAGATCAGACTTCGTATCGATGATCAAGACGTCTACATCATAAAAGTCAGCCAGGAGCAGCTAGAACGATATTAGTAGGGAATCATCGCTAGAACCTACCCTTGAATCCAGCTTCCTTAAGCCAAGTCTCGTACTCTTCCACCTTGCTCGCTCCAGCAATGCATCCCACATACATCGCCACATCTTTGACTAACTGCTCCGGCAAGTCCTGTTTGGCTAAGATGTCCGATACCGCGACACGTCCTCCATGCTTCAGAACGCGGTACATCTCCTTGAAGACCTTTGGCTTCTCTGCCGCTGGCACAAGGTTGATGACACAGTTCGAGATGACACAATCCGCCACACCATCCTCCAACACAGATGACATATCTGTGATGTTAGACTTAACGAATGACACCACCTTCTTTACCTCCTCTGGCTGGCTCTCCAAGATCTTCCTGGCCCTCTCAAGCATGTCGTCGTTCATGTCCACACCAATCGCCTTTCCGTTGGCGCCAACCCGCTTAGCTGCTAGGAAGACATCGAAGCCAGCACCGCTGCCGAGGTCGATAATCGTTTCTCCCTCTTTGACGCTTGCAATCGCCAGCGGGTTGCCGCAGCTGAGGCCAAGGTTGGCTTCAGCTGGGATGGCTGCGAGCTCTTCGGCAGTATAGCCGAAGGACTTGGCCACAGCTTCTCCGTACTTGGTACTGACGCTGCGCGAAGCAGCGCTGTAGTGCTTGCGGACTTCCTCGTAAATTGTGGTGGTGTTTTCGGTGGCCATGGTGAAGATGTAGCGGTGGGCTACTTAAAGTGGTGTTGTTGTGTGGATCGCAGCTGGATGTCCTTGTGGACGAGATCTCTGGGTAATGGGATGGAAAGTAGAATTATTGATCATCACGACCTTTAAATCCTCGTCCTGAATGCTTGCCATATTTTAACCAGGATTGAGGCTGAGAGTGTAAAGAACAGTCAGATGCGCGAGTGGCATGGTCACTCCTTCAATGTTGAGGGCAATGTCACCAGGAAGTTTCCCAATTTGGTTTGTCGGATGCCATGGTGGATCCATACCGGAGAGCGTCTAACCAAAGATGGTAATTTTACGATATGTCATCGATTTTTCCCCGAAGTGGAGCGCTCCATCTAACTTTAACTCAACCTCGTCTCGTTGCCCTCCATGAACATCCTGACCTACTGTCCATCTCGCTCAAGCGATGTAAGCTAGGAATGGATGCCCAGCTTTACAAAGCACACGTCTACAAGTTCTCGGCCAAGCCGCCTGGTTATGATGCAGCTCGGCAGCGGGAGAACCAGCGACGCCACCGAGCCAGAGTAAAAAACCGGATTGTCGAGCTCGAAGCTGCTCTCTCCGCCACCCAGCATAAGCTCCAGGAAGCTTTGATGCAAATCGAGAGCCTGACAAATGAAGTACGGAGGCTGCGGTGCGCTCTAGGGTCAGCTCAAGAAGTTCCAGTTGAGCCCTTGAGCTCAATCCCTGAATCTCCAACCACCAAGTCTATCCCTCCATGTCAACCCCTCAATCCTAACGATGCATCGATAGATGGTGTTGTCGTGAGCCCGCACGCCTTGTGTCAGATTAAACCTCAAGCAATACCATCCTCCACTTCACCCTCAGGGGTGTTTTGTTACCCCTTGACCGTTGCCCCAACAACCGAGGGGAGCCCCCTTTCACATGCCCCTTTACCCCTGAACATACAAGCACCCACCTCATCAGCGAGCGAAACTTTCTGTGAGCACAATAACGACGACGGGCCACTGCTACCTCCACCTGGCAAGGATGAGTCAACCATCACTTGTCGTGAAGCCTTCCTCATCATCAAGGATCGTTGCCACGCTGCCGCGGCGCCAGATGTGGATCTGGATGCTGCCGCAGAGTTCTTGAGGCCGGGGTTTCGCAGGGCGATTGCTCCAGGAACGGGATGCCGCGTGGAGACGCACTTATTGTTTGCTTTTGTGGATCGGATTGTGCCAGATTGACTGGAAATTCAGCAAGGGACACCATTACTAGACAACCCGTTTCCCCAGTATCAGTATATATAATGTGGCCACCACGGTCTTGAGTATAGCTCTAGTGATAGAAAGGTCTGCTTTGACAGAGTGGAACTTGAGCAGTCCTCAAAATTCAATGACATTACAAAACAGCTCTGTGAGTCAGAACATTCATTAAAGGCCAAGATATTTGTGCATTTCCGTAGGACCTACACTCATGAAAGAGCCTAGTGATATGATGTTGTCACATACGTTCTCCCGTGAAACAGGCATGATATCGATGAAAGATCATGCATCAAGTGTCCAAGTACCAATTCAAGGTATGCAATAGTAAAACCTTTGCTGGAGTACAGTATGATGTGGTTGCAAGTTTGAGCATATGCAAGTTTCGGTGGATCAGATGACAACATGTTTACTGTGTGACTCCAAAGTAAAAACAACTCTCGACTTCAGTTATTCATACACTCAATCAGGCTGCCACGAAAGCGTTAAGAAGGATAAAGCATCGACAAAAGTTGAAACGATTTTAACAAATTTAGAACAGATTTTGCACTCTTCCATTGTGACAATGAAGATAATGAGATGTTCCTATCCCTTAACCTACTTATATCAAGCCCACCGGCCTTCCTGTAAATTTTGCCTCCTCCTTCTCCACAAGCAACTTCGAGATCGCTAACATCAAGTCCAAACCCATTAGTCCTGAACGACATCAGTTATTCTTCACAACAACATTTCACATGACAATTTTCTAAGCAATCTCCGCTTTGCCGAGGAAAGAAGTCTTAAAATGTGCAATGTCCCCGTTACTATCTGTGCCTACCCTGGGTGCACCGAGACTATCTACAAGGACTTCCGCTCCAAGGTTCCCTGTATTTCTTCTCTTCTGTGCTTCCCAACCAAGAGTGGATCTGGCATATGGTCAGCATGCACCGTCCGGTATATGCCACAATGCAAGGGCGACTTTAAAAACTCTTCAGACTATTGCGAGCGCCACCGTCGGTAGGAGTGTACAGCAGATGAGAGGCAACACGTGAAAACAATAAAGCATGAGTCATTATGCATAAGAAGAAAGGTGTGCTGGTACGAGTTCAAGGTGTGAGCGCGCCTTGATACTTGCATAAGGCAGGACAATGGATTTGGGCTATGGCTTTTCAACTTTAGTTACCGTATTTTGCCATTAGCAGCTGAAAAGGTCTTGCTTCTCCAACAGAGACGCATAAATAATTAACTTTCTAGCTCAATTAACAAATGATTTGACTGTTAAAGAACGAGGAACAGGTCTGTTTCAGTGGTATTGTACTACCACCAATTAAAGTTCAAGGAGCTGTACGAACATGGGGAAGCAGCGACATTTGACAGCTCCCTATTCAGAATAAGATAGAATTTGATTAGTTGACTACCTCTCAGATAATAAAGCACACATAACTGGGATTTGAGGGTACATATTGATGGAAAGGCTTCGTGAAAGTTGGACAGGGGCTAGCAGACTCAGAGTGGGTTTCGCTAAAGCCTCTCGCCATGTTCTCGGCTTTTCTTGGAGCATGCAAGATGCCTTCTTCTCTCACCCTTCCTCTAGCTGGCTCATTCAAATAAATGACTGGATCTTACATCACCTTGAAATCCCCCAACTGCAACAATATCTCTCTGCTTGGGGAATCTGGGGAATGCACATATAGCCCAAATGACCCATTCTCCAGCTTTTAAGCTCCCCGTTGCACAATGCAGGACATGACAAAAATGCTCAGTGCTGTCTACACGGTCAGGTATCTCAAACAAGTAACAGACCTCCCAGTTTCATATATTTGTTATTTCGACTTTAAGCGGTGGAGCGACGTTGGGGCATAGTTCAGCTTGATAGAAATGCTCCCTGGAACTTGCCTGGTTCGACTATGGGAAGGGCTGTCTTGGAGCACAAGAAGTCAGCCATTTCCCTGGTTGGATGTGTATTGCAACACTCGCCTCATTAAAATTTGACAAGATCGGCTCTTTAGATAAGAATCATGTTAGAGGTCTTGTTTCCTCCGGAAAAGTATCCCCTCGTCCAACGATTAGGTGGTTCAACTTGACTGCGGAGTTTCTCAAGGCATTTGTCCTGATTGGGTTGGCTCTAATGAGACGAAAGATATTCTCCGCCAAATACATGCAGAGCTGGAGCGGCCTCAAACTATCCAGAAAATCTTGGCTAACTTCAGCACCCATTTCGCCTAGTTTGACCCGACCTTGTTGTGCAGAACTTCTTATTTGTCCAGGATGCAGACGGATCTCCCCCTCGATCAACCGGATTCATCAATTTTGAAACAACGTAGATAGGATCTCGATACTAATTGTATGAGTACCCCGAGATCATTCTCGATGAGGACTGGTTACCAAATATGTGGTCCGAGAACGCAATTCTCAGGACACATTTTATCCGTGTGTTGCAGTAACAGCTGATAGACGCAGAGAAGCGTGCAAAGCTCATCGAATGCATGAATATTAAGTCGTATGTTATTAACAGAACCCAGTTATTTATTTATGTTCTTCAACTAGATGGGTGGTCGGCTTCTGCACAGCAGTGCCTTGGGCTATCTCACTAGTCCCCGAAATGGGACCGGACCTGTGTGGACGGGACGAGATGGTTGAGTTCCTGAACATTACGATGAGAATGTGAACGCGATAACTTCTATCCTAACAACGCAATAGCAGCTCAGTTGAGACTCTTTAGCATGGCAAACTGAAGCCGCAGGGATGAAAGAATTGATGTTGAGCGGGAAAAGCTGGACAGAGAGACGGTTGGGTAATTGTAAGCTGAAGATAACTCAGCTTGGTGAATGAAGATTGAACTTGTCATACTAACTGAAGTAGCTTTGGGTCTCAGCTGGCCAGGAAGTTTTGATACACAAACGGTGTTGGAGTTGACCGGAGATCCTTTCCAAGAATTCAAGGCTAATAACCCACTTGTAAACTACCATGAAGACCATGTTACAGGTCTAATTCTCGGTTTATATTGCATGATTTGAGCCATAAAACTATCGAAATAGCTACCTATGAACCTATCATTATCTCTTCTGCTTGCCTGGAATCTATGATGTCCACGCTTCGCGTTGCTTTCGGGATGGAATAACCCTAACCCTGACGCATTGTGATCAGGGACCTTTCCGAGCCAGTCCTCCCAAGCCTCACTATCTTGACCACACAGCCTGCTTTCACAGCCACAAACCTCAATCCCGACGACAGCCGATCAATCATCACATTTGCCCTGCCTTTGGAATTTCGGTATACCTGTGTCACTTGGTCCCAACAAAATCCCATCGCCACAATCCCTCGGCAACGGACCGAAGAAGCCGAAGACGCGAGTAAAATTCTCCATTCTGCTAGACTGCACCGCCTCACACGCATCATAGGGTTGAACCTTTTTCATCGTGGTTAACAAGATGCCTGGTAGTATGCCTCTCCAACGGGTTAAGAGTGGCTTATTATTTGCCAGCAGGGCAAATATACGTCACTTGAAGACACCATTTCGCGGGACTGCTTTGAAGCATACTTCCAATGCCGTTGCTAGCTCTGTCATTCATGTCACGGATTGTAATTTGCGCATCCATCCTCTGGTTAGCGGTTCCATCTGCCATTACAAGTCGCACAGATTTGTCCATCAGCCACCAGCCAACCAGTCCCGTCTCAACCCGGTGCAGTGGGAGCCAATCAACCCTGTGTAACGATCTCCCTGCAGCTGGAAGCAAGCCAACCGTTGTGCTGGAATAGACGACATTGTTGAGAGATGCTGTTTAATGACAGTGAGAACCCCATCAGAGGCTGGGCAAGGAATAGCATCTGGGCAAAACATCGTGCTTCTAATTGCTCAGATACTCACCGACCTTTTGATCGCAACTTATGCAGACAGGTCAGCCAGGCCATAGATCTTGCATTGACCAGTGAGTCCTCTAGGTTGGACATTGCCTCCACACTCAGCAAGAGCCACACATTTGTCTTATGTTGGTTATGTCCAACTGACACACACCCTCTTTGACCAGTGCCAACCCTACTTCCTTGATCACAGCCTTGTGTCTTTAACCCCAACGAACATCCAACCTGCCTATGACAATACAATCAACTCATCTTGCTTACCTACGCTACCTGACTGACAGTTTACTTACCTACCTTCTTATCTAGATATGTGCAATGCATGACGGGAGCAAGGCCCCCAGAGCTGGCCCGTCTTACGGTGTGTCACTACAGGGCTGCCCCTCCTCCGCAATTTGCCCATTATGTCATACCTAAACCCATGCTGTGTTCGCTTTGTTTATTGACACTGGAGGGGCGTGTGACTGTATCCATGGATGCAAAGAGCAGTATGCATTCCTGTAAGTAAAGCGTGTATGGGTCTAGCTTTGGGTTCAAGATGCAATGCTGCCTATGCATCTCACACGTGTTATGGTGAAGGATTGGCTGCTCCCCCACCGCCATAAGTTGGTTTGTGGAATGCCACATCACCTATGAGAGTGTTGAGGCATGCCTTACAGGATTCGCTTGGGCAGGTTAAGTTTTTGGCTTAGTAATGAGCCGCATAATGGAAGGAATGATCCATGGTGGGACAGAGCACACTCAAGATCAAAGGAGGATTTTGGCTCAACTTAGTAGTATTCCACCAAGATCACAACCTGATGGCAGAATCTTGGCCAAGAGATACCGAAGCCTCGACCTTCAGCAGCCATTCTCAGGGAAGTATCTCACCGCCAGGCACTAATACATTCTACAGTCTGCAGAAAACATCTCGGTAACAAATACTGAACATAAAGCACACGAGAATGTCACTTACAGCTCTGAAGAACTGTCGAAAATCCCGGACCAAACCGGAGCGGCACCCAAGCCAAGCCCTCGGCCACGGGGAGCCACGAGTGGACCCATCTCGGGATCGGCGGTCGGCACCACCGAGTTTCCCCCCACCATGATCTATCATTCTTCCCCACCATATCTCTTCCCACTTTTCTTGCTGCTGGTTCCAGAACGTGCACCAATCTTCCACAAATCACCGCTAACTTCCCCTCATTTTGTGTCATCTTGCAAGATGGAAAAATGTGCATTGTATTGGGTCCAGGCCTGATAGTAACAGTGACAGTGACATCCGTCAGGCTGTTACTCACAGCAAGATGCAAAGAGAGGGGTTTACTAACCAAGCAAGAAGCAAGCGGGGAGACACGTGGCCAAGTGAGCATGACTGTGGCCAACCGACAACATGGCCCATCGCAGGAGCGGGGAAATTAAGTTAAAAACACCATAGGAGGCTATATTTTTGGGCTTGAACACAGCTGGAGCAAGAACCTAAGGTTGGTTGTGAGCGGGAAGCAGAAGCCCAACCACCTCATTTTTTGTGTGTTGTGATGCCAAACGCAATAAAACACACAGGCTGATATCACATTGTTTTGATTTTGTGTGTCATTGAAGTAGGTCGTGCCGATAGGCCTTATGGCTGGTATCAAGTATCATATGGCTGTGGTCAATGTCCACTGCCAGATAACACGCCGGAAAAACAATCATCGTATGGCTGCGATAATGATTTTGGTCGATGAGCTGATAAGTAAGGCATAACGAGGGGCAAATGCCAAGAGGAGGGGCAAGTGAGGGGGCAAAATGCCTTTCGCCGTCCATCAATGCAGCCCAGCTTAAAGAGCAACCATCAGGCTGGCAGGACGGTAAAACTTGCACACGCTAGTATACTATTGTATTGGGCGTTATGTTGTGGTTCAAGTAAGCAGGTGGGTTCATAGAGGCAAAGTTTCAGCCCGGTGCATGCCCAACCACGATAGGCTGCGGGCAAAAAGTAGTGAAACAGGTCCAGGGGGTCATGTCGTCAGGGGTTGGGTGCTTGCTTCAGGCGTTTCGTAGCGTTGTGTTATGCTGTGAGTGACTGTACACTAGCCCAGGTGGAAGTTCCTGATTCCTGACCCCCGCTCCGTCACCACTACACCTCTTGTAGGCAGGTAAGTCTCCTGAGCTCAACATCTGACGAACACAGCCTTGTATGGGAAGGTCATGACTGCATCGATGATCACACTACTTCCAAGTTGTTATAACTGTAGAAAATTTACTGTACACATGTCCCATTATCTTCACTTCAGGAGTAGTATTATCAACTACCATACCAATCCCAGTGCCAGCCCCCCTTCCCCAAGCCGAGCCAGCAGTCAATGAGGAAGCAAGTAAGCAAGCTCTGGAATCTCCATCAACTCAACCAGTCATATTATACCCATCCCAAGTAATCTTCGTAGTATATCCTATGCGTTTAAGTCGTTCATGTACTAGCAATAATGGCGAGAAAACGAATGATGTCCTGAAAAAAAAACTCGTATACCCAAAACGCCCGAAAAAAAAGATCTAACCCGCCCATAGCCATGAAGCTCATACCTATCCATGCATGCATATACCGTCCCATCCATCTTTCAGTGTATCTTCCTTTCCTTCGTTTCATGTCCAGACCGTGTACACCGCGCTTTTGGTAATAGTAATAAACACACACAAACACAGAAAAAAACACACAAACCCTCCCTGGGTATCATCTCACCGCCCACCAACGGCACTAACGGCCCCCAGCACCCTCTCCCACATTCCCCTCGCCTTCTTCACCTTCCCATCCTCCCTCGGCCCCCTCAACGGCCACTGCGTTGGCTGGTACCCGTACATCCTCCCCGCCTGCTCAGCGCTGATCTCGTAAGGGAGCATCCCACCAGCTGCTTTCCTCTTCCCTGTCGCGGTAACCGTAGCCTGCGGATAAGCGGGATAGTTGTACCCCGCGCCATATCCCTGGTACGCAGCAGGTTTGTACGTTGAGTTGTAGTAGTCTTTCGCTGGGACCTTGGGGGGTGCGACATCCTCGCAGTGGAGGTCGCTAACTTGCTCCGGGCTGTCAACAACCTGGATTTCTGGCGCGGGCTCATCTTCGCAGGGGGTCGTGGCGCGCGAAGCAACGCTAGGCGCATATGAGGATGCGCCGCTGGAGACAAGATCCGGCGGGGTGACAGAACGGCTGCTGGAGCGGGAGTGCCCTGACACTGAAGAGGGATTGCGCGAGTGGTATGGGCTGCGTGTGCAGGAGGAGCCACGGCTGGACGGCGGGGTCGGGTAGGTGTGTTCCGGAGATAGAGACGGTTGCACGGGGACGGTAAGGAACTCGTCGTTCTGGTGCCGCTGCTGCTGGATCCGCATCTGTTGCTCCTGAAGGTACTGCTGCTGGCGCAGCTTGCGCTCGTAGCGTTCCCGTCTGTGGGTAGCTATCTTTTCGCGCAGGGGAGCCAGGAAGGGCTCGAATTCCTGATAAAGATCCTCCTCGGTGATGCGCAGGTCGAAGCTGAGGAGGGCAAGGAGCTGGCGCTCCATGAGGTTGACCTCCTGGCGGGTGAAGCCGAAGTGGTAGTGCGGGGACTGCATGACGGTATAGTTGGCCCAGTGCTTGTTCTTGGGAGAGCTATCGTTCAGGTACTTGGCGGCAATGATCAACGTAGCGAGGAAGATGCGGTGGATCGTACACCTGAGACCCTTGGCCTCGGGCTGCAGGCGCTGCTTCAAGCGAGTGAGATAAACCAGGGTCGACATGAGGGTCGGGACCTGAACGTTAGAGGAGATGACCAGCTTGGTGATGAAGTCCTCCACAGAGGGCAGACCGTCGCTAGCGGGCACGGGCTTGCCAGACGAAGAAAAACGAGTTGTTGATGGTGGGGCCATGTTAGGATCGCACTGGATGACGTTGGAAGCAGCCTTAGCCAGATACTTGATCATGTCGCGGCTGACGGGCTGGTAGATAAACTCATGGAGGGCTCTGCGGTTAAGCTCCTCGAAGGAGAGCTCCTGATATGGCTCCATGGTATTTGTGCTGATATCTGGTCGTGGAGGCAATGTGTGGTCGGTAGTGTGGTGTAAGTAGTGTCGGTACTTAAGGCTGTCTGTATGACAGGGACAAGTACCAGACTTTCCCCTTTTGTTTGCTGAAGATGTGTGTGACAGGTGACAGAGATCGAAGAACTCTTAGACCAGTAAAGACGTAGACTTTTAAAAAAAAGGACCGAATGTCAAGAAGGCAGTCGCAGCAACTTATAAGAAAAGAGAGACAAAATGCAAAATGCCACGAGAGTGGTAAGAGTATGTGGGGAAGAGAGGGACTAATCTGTAGGATCTTGCCCGGGGCTTGCACATCAGCGAGTGATGTGCTTACACGAATGGGCTGTGGGCGGGAATCCCGGACGTCAACAACAGCCTACTCGGTGGTTCTGTAGGCGGTAGGCAGGCCGTATGGTAGGCGAACTGTTGGGCCTCCCGGCCTTATGACAGCGGTGGCTGTTCTGTTGCTACCCAGGAATGCTGGGATCGGGTGTCCAGGTCGGGCGTGTGGTCTGCGTGGCCTGCACGGGTGTGCACGGGGCTGTGGGTGTGGAACCACAGGGGGGTGGCAATTCAAGCCCAGCTGACAAGGGTTTCCAGGTGTGCAAGGGTCCGATGCTTGGCTACCTGTGGTCGGTACGCTCTGGCCGGCCCCGCGGAACTGGTCGGCGCTGGATCAGGGGTGTTTTACCAAGCCTAGCTCTGAACCAATCGGTGGAGGCCTTGGGACGGACTTATCCGACAAGAAAAAAAAATCTCTGCGCTGCAAGAAGCAAAAACTGGTCAAAAACCGGCACGAAGTCCTGCTGCAGCGCTCACCAGCACAGCTGATGATGACGATGTTGTGGCGATTGCAGAAGCCAGGTGCTGTCGCGCGGTCTCTTTTCCCTAAGGGGACCCAGAGCTGGAGACAGGTCCTTGGGTAAGGTGACGCGTGCAGATTGTAACGGAGGTGGCTGAGAGCAAAGCACACAACGGTAATCACCAGATGTGAATCACTCCGTCCTGCTCGCTTCTTGCTGGATGACTCGTGCGTGCGTTTCGAGCCCAGAGATGTGGCCAGGTCTAAGTAAGGGGTTGCTGCAATTAGTAAAAGATTTGCTGGTAAAGTTCGCGATCTGAGCTGCTGGTAATGCGGTGAGCGATCGCGGAGCAGCGGCAAGATCGACGAGATCCAAACAGCGTGGACGTGGGCAAACGTGGGGCACTAAATGTGCGTATCGACCGAGATCGCGATTCGCAACGAATGGAGTTGGCAGTTTGATATGCGTCGCCGATGACGGCACTGGGGGTCCTGGGATTGATGGCGGGATGCCGGATCACCACGTGGCAATTAAATAGAATAAAAGATGAACACAACAAGCAGTGATGCGCAGTCCGAACCAGCGGAATGGCAGCAAATCAGGCAAAAAGAAGGAACGAGAGCCGGCTCGATGCAGCGATGCACCCCAGAGCTGCTCCTGTTAGCTGCACTGCTTGTGATGGCAGCTTCGAGTCGACCGTAGTCTGGAAGACAGACCTGTGTGCGTTATTTTGGGCCCGGATCGAGAGGATTCCGGGCAGTTTAATAATAAAGGCAGAGCAAGCTTCCGAGCTTCTACAGCTTCCCGAAGCAGTGCTGGCGCAGGGTTTCAGTCGCGCGCCAAAGCGAATGGATGGCTGCCCGTCTGAGGAGTCGCCCGCTGCGACTTTGCAGGCGGCGTTGGACAGGTTGATTCGCTCGGGATTCCCAGAGTTTGTTGTCGCAGCGGCAAGCGAATGGCAGGGGGCCAAGCCGAAGTGCTCAAGCCAAGCGACAGTGCAACAAGCGCAACGGCGCCAAGATGCTGGAACAGCTGCTGGTAAAAAAGGAGACCAGGCGAGCCTGGACGGCTGTTTGCCAACAGTCGCGCCGTGGCTAGTGTCTGTTGTTTGCTGAAATAAGAAGCCCTCTGTCTCTATGTTGGCGGCAGGGGGCTTGAAGGATTGGTGTCGTTGGGTGCTATCCAAGATTAGGCGCTGCTGAAATTTGTAGGCCTCTCTGAAGGTTAGCAGGGAGAGGGAAAAGCAATTAACAAGCAGAAGGGAATGAAGGGCTGCAAATGACTCGGAAATCTGGGCAACGATGCTCCCGATGTGATGTGCTGTCCAACCTCCCTCAACGGAATCAGCCTTATTGGGGGGTCTATGCCTCTACGTACGAGATAAACTGTTGCACGGTGCTTGGTCCAGGGAAGAGGTCAAATGCAGCCCGGGAAGGAAGTCGGACCTTAATATTCCAGATCGGCAGACAACAATGATGAAACTGCCCAAGCAGAAGCTGGTCATGCCCCAGCAGCACACGACTTTATCATCATGACAATTTGCAATTCTGCTCTACAACACCTGCAAAATGTGAGGCCAGCCAGCGGACGCAAACGTGGCAGTCCATCCAATACATCAACACGGTTGCCAGCATCGAAAAGTGCTTGCCTTCTCCGTGTTGGGAAGGCCAGTGCCACGCCGAGTTTGAGTGGTTGAGAAATACGTATCTGCGCCCCCGCCCATCATAACTACGGGCCGTACGCAGGGAGCAAGAAGTAAAAGGTGTGCATGGCACAGGAGATGAATGGAAGGGGGCGCACCAGATCACAGAGTACCGGCGGTACGCTCCCGGACGGTCAAACTTGAAACAAGCGAGGGGTATTCTGTCGTGTTGCCCGCAGAGTAACACACACTTTGGATATCAGCAAGATTCCGGTGAAAGTCTTTTGGAAATGATTGGAGATAATTGCAAGAGCGGCATATGCATGTCTTCGTGGCTTTTTTGGCCTTTTTTCTGCGTGTGTTGGTGGAAGGAAGTGGGCGAGTTTGAAGCTGGCACTTGCTCGTCGGTTTCAAGACAGTGTCTTGGATGCTGCCGATTGGCCAGAGCGGTCCGATACAGCCTATGCTGATTCTGTCAAAAGGGCACCACGTATCGTCAAGACCTGAAGCATTGGCCAGGGCATTTCAATTCTGCACCAACACATTCCAAATGCCTAGCACAATCTCCACTCTTGGTCCAGAACTCTTCAACCGGCAGTCATGACTCGCACGTGCTCATCTCACACCCTCTCCATATTGCCCAGTTGTTCTAGAGCTAAATCCTGATAATCTTCATCTGAACAAGGTGCGGGTACCCTGCCAAAAGCCAGCCTTGACACTGATCGTAACATCAACATGGCTGCCGTGCTCCAGGGGGCATGTCACGGACCTGCATTGCTGCCCCTGAAAACGCCACAATGTTCTTGGAAACAGCGCCAAGCCACAACACCACCCGGTGAGCCATCACGGGACGGTCTTGAAACGAAACGATGTTCTTGACGATGGCTGTTGAAACATCGCGTCTTAGCTTGGCTGCCGGATTATAGTCCCCTGCTCAGAGTCTCAGAAAAATTTATCCATCAAGAAACGTTCAACTTTCAATGGATGGACATAAGTCCGCTTCTTATGAGTTGGTGCTGCTCTGATAACATTTCAGTACCAGATGAGCTTCTTGAAGCCAAATGAGCCTGGCAGAAGCGACAAAGAAAAAGCAAATTTTTTGTGATCAGACTCCTAGACTGGGGCAGCGTGCACGGTCTGCAGGATCAATCACAACGAGGGTCACGATGAATTGTCTTCCAAGTCTTCTGATTTTTGGATTGACAAGGGTAAGGAAGGCAACCGCTTCTTGTGTAAAATGTTTCAAATCACTGCATGCCCTAGGATCTTGTCACGTTTTTCTGTGGTATTCATCCCCAGCAAACTCATGCCTCTCATCTGTAAAGAAACACTGCACTAGCATAACTTCATCTCAACATCAACAGTTTGATTCATGAAAATCAGTCTGTGAGAAGTGTAAGATGCAATCAAACCTTCCATCTACCCTCCGTCTCCCCAACAATCCCGTCAATGATTACCCCTCTAATATGGAAACCAATATACCATGCAGCATGTATCTTCAACCCTGATATCACCATCGCCATTACAACTGACTCGTCCATCTGGGACACCCCATCCCACTCCCGATCAACCCCCTGGTCTTGCCTTTGGCATGCCCTGGTAAACGGCGACCATCTTTTTTCTTCACCATGTCACAGAAGTGTGGGGAGGGCGGCGGGGCTCTCCGCATTCTGAGCTCTTGGCATAATGTGGAGTGATGAGGCAGAGACGGAGGCCTCGTGGCTGATGCCCCGCCACGCACTTCGCTGCGGATATATTTCCGGAAGAAGATCATCGCGGAGGACCTCGGCATCTTCGGGGTCGGCGTCGGCGACTACTTGCTCCGGGTTAGGCCGCCGATGCCGTGGCTTTGGAGCTGAATTTCACTTGCACGTAGGAATTTCAGGTTTGATGATGAATCATTGTGGCGGATGATACTGATGTCATCGACTTTGCTTCAATTTCCCCATCTGTCCATCGCAACGTAACAGTCACAGAGGGGTTTGGCTGTACTAGGGACAGCTCGCGTAACATCGTTGCCTGCAGATCGCAGCCAAATTTGTTAGCAAGCCGAGGTAGGCCGTCAGTCCTGGATGGAGGCTTGCATTGGCGAATCACCTGACAGAATCAGCTGGAAGGGTCAAGCCACTTTTGCACCAACTTTGCAGCCACAGTTATGTTGCCATCCTCGCAAACCCGCGGACAATGGATTGGATCAGCAGCCAGCGTGGAATTGTTGACTCACCCGAGCTCAGCAGTTGCGGTGCATGCAACCTAGCAAATCCTTCGTATCCCAGACGACTTGGTAGATCATCACGATGCTCTCTTCATCAGCCGTCTGATGTCTGCCGGGTAGCCTACGGCCGTGGCTTACAGGCCCGATGGAAGAAACCTTGCGGCCCGAGAATGACGACGACCTGGGGTGGAAGCAAAATGGCTGGCCTGCTGGCCGTGCCACAATTCCAAGTTCTGGACATCAGATGTTGATGAGCGTTTGGGACTGGACAAACATTATGCAATGCGACGGTGGAAGATGAGTCTTTCGCCCTCATAACTTCGCTGACCTTTTGGCAAGTTGAAGCTAGACAGATGGGACATCGTGAAATCTTCACCGCCACCAAGCAACGACCCATGAAAGAGCTCGACCTTGTGGCCTACTATAGCTCATCTAACATGCACACAACAGAGTTTAACCAAGCTTTTTGCGCCACATATCCTGAGATTCACGATTCGATCTCCCAACATGTGGATCCATCCCAAGCGTCTGCCCAAAATTAGCGCTTTCAAATCTATGATTGGCTGAACAGCCGACCCACTCAATCCCACGGCGCCAAAATAACAACTTTAAGCGCTCGCTCGCGCGAGATCTCGATCCGAAGGATTCACTTCCTTTCCTATCTAGGACAGTTGCACAGGCACTGAAATTCCAGTTAGTCCAACCCAACTCTGGGCCATCCCTTTGACAGAGACAATATCCTTTGTTCGGGTGGGGCAAAGCTATTGAAGTCTACCACCGTCTTTCTTGACTTATTTGTAACTCGCGTGTATATATCGCTATAGTACCATCTTGAAACTCTGAAAAGTTGTTTTGCACTTTTCTCTGAGCTTTTTAGTATGATAACACTTTTTTATATACATATCTGAGTTTTGTGGATTTGGTGTTGCTGCACACTCTGTGTATGTACTGCTGGGGCATATGCAGTTGGGGAATTGTTAGTGAGGAACCTTTTTGATTGGTCAGAAGGGCAAAAAAAGGATTTTGTCCCAGTCAAAGGGATTGAGCCGTGGGTTTGTGTTCCCACGTTTCTACAGCGGTTGCGAAGCCGTTCGGATTGTTGTGCAACCATACCATTGGGGGACGGTGGAATCCGGAAGATTTGGCCGAGACATTGGTCGGTGCGTCTAATCGACCAATGGCGGATTATCTTCAAATTTGGAAGGTTCAGAGCAAGCGCGCGGACGCGATCTTCAACCGTGGAGCTCCGAACTAAAACACTGCAAGCTAGAAAACACATCTGACGCGACTCAAATTTGTCCGCAGAAGTTAATCTAGCACCTCGCATTCCACACCAGAATGAGTATTCAAGATCTCACAGAAGGTGGAGCCCTCAATGGCGGTGCATCTCTTCGAGTAGTTCTGGAACTCTGGTTCCCCTGCAACATCCACGTCAACACCCTAAGCACCAAACTAACACTCTAGCCGCAATGCTTCCCTTAAGTCAATTGGGCTACCTGTCCCATACAAAGATCCAAACGTTTGCCTTCCAACCAATCGTTAATACCTCATTTCCAGAAAGGCAGGAGGGTCGAAGTCTTCCCAATTTACAAAGTCTAGGGGTGGCTGAGTGATTCTGCCCCATTGCTGTCTCGGCTATGCTTGAAGGAAGGCAGAGCGCTCAGGCAAACTATTTACTGTGGACTCGGTAAGGTATGTGACATTTCACTTCTCTCTCTGGTTGGAAAAGTGTCTAAGCTCCATGCTACGTCGTTGTGGCGGGTCGGTGAAGCTTGAAATAAACTCATCTTGGGGTTACATCGCAATGATTGCAGGCCATGAAGAAACACACATGTGAACATTGCATCTCGACATGCCTGGACAAGGGGCAATGTTCTAAGTTTTGGAAGTAAAAAGTCGAAGACACTGTTCCAGTTAGGGATGAGAAGTTTGATTTTGGCAGGAATTGCATCTTTAGATCCACCAGGCTGCCAGACTCCTTACTCCGCCACATGGCCTAGAACTTCTACCCCCTCAATGAAAAGTGATACCCCTCTGACAACATACAGTCCTTCACCGCATGTTCCTAGGTCATTTGTTTTCTTATTCAAAGCATTTGTGTCGTGGTTCGTTGACTGTTAGCCGAGTAATTATGTGGTTTTGGCCCCCAATGCTCCCTCTGGTATACGTACCCGACCGTTATCACTAACTTCCATCTCTGTCTTTCTGTGGCACAGCCCTTTAGGCTCTAACCATATCATGAACAATATAAGCCCGGATCCCCGAATCTCTCCATTTGCGAAGTTGAGCTCCTGATCTTATGCAGCATAGAGACTGGCCGGCTTCCTAAAGGACTCAATCCAGATGGTAAACTCTGAAGCAAAACGCACCCCTGAGGCATTCTCTGAAACTGGAAAGTCAACCATCCATCCCACATGGCAGCCCTGCGACGGATGCATTACAGAGCACAGAATTAGGTCACATGCAGATAATATCATCCAGGCATACGGGACTATTGAGCCGCAAGGCAGCATTGTTGGGGGCTAAGTGCCTTCTGTGCGTCCAAGTATGATAAACCACGTTTAGTCAAGGTTCAGATCTGGATACAAGTCACTCCATCGTGACACGAGAGAATAAGACAGAGAGCGGAGTAATTCCTTCCTACACCACAGTGAAAGTTAGAGGGAATGGCCATTTGATGTTGACCCGTACCCTCCTTAAGTCTACTTGTGAGTAACCTCCGAGAACACTTCTGCACACCCACAAAACACGAAACAAACATGTTATCAAGCACTGCTGACTGGTACACATTTTGCTCTGATATTCGCCATTCTAACTCTAGAATGACATCAACACAATCCAGAAGAGTACTCAACCTCCCGCTGCATCATGTATTAACTATATCGTAAACTGCCACTGCGAAAGAAAGAGAACGAAGCCGCAAAAGAAAGAGAAGTCAAAGTCACAGAGTCATTGTATCGTTAAGTCAGGTAAGGCTAACCGGACAGACCAAGTCCGATGCACACATACCTATGTACATGGAGAAAGACGAGAGGCAGATGGAAGTTAAGAAAGGGCTTCTCTTGTTGAGACGGAGAGTAAAGGTAGGTCAACGGAAGAATTGTGTTGTGGGTTAGCGTGCTGCGTCTTGTCCGTTGACCTGATTAGATCATCACTCAGAAATCATGACGGAAGAGTCGATGATCAAGGCCAAGCTGAAGAAGAAACCACACAACAAACCCCAACTTACACCGAGCCCTCATCCCTGTCCTCGCATACACACACTCAAGACCTCTCTGTTCCCCTCACAGAGCCTGCTTCCTCAACGTGCCCGTATTTATCAGCTCTGCCAGCATGCCAACTCTCCATCATCCCCACAAGAGCCATTTCCTCATAACGTGACGTGGCCTTCCCCCCACTCCAACAAAGCACGTAACTCAAAACATTATAGACGTCAGTCCCAACGCCATATTCGTCCCCATGTCCCATAGCACGCAACCCCATAGGTGGGTGATAATAGATACTAGCTTCTTCTTCCCACACACAAGTATCCTGAACGCAGGACAGATCATAATGCATGCTTGACAGCAGCTGCTGTAGCTCACTCCGGGGAAGTAGCCGTAGTCGTGGTAAGACAACGTGGTATCATATCATATCGTGCTGCTGGATATGTGCCGTCAATCAAACGCGCAAGAGACGAAAAAGCAACCTAATACTATCACTCCCGCGCCAAAGACACGACAGGAGAGAAAAGCCGTAAAATTTCGAGGAAGACCACTCTAGTTCTGGGCAGCAGGCGGCAAAACTCGGTTATTGCGATTATGCGACGCGCCAAAAACCGGTTGCGCACGTTGCTGCCCGGCAGCAATCGCCGTCATGACCATGTCTTCAAACGCCTAGTTGTGGTAGCGGTCATAGTTCGGGCGGGGGTAGTCCTCGAAGTAGGGGTGGTTGCAGGCCTGCTTGGCCGAGATGCGGCTGGCCGGGTCGTAGGTAAGCATCATCTCAAGGAGGTCGAGACCGGTCTCGTCGAGGTTCGGGATCAGGGGAACCGAGTGGTCACGAACCCACTTGGGGAAGGTCGGCTTGAAGTCGGGATAGCTCGTAACGCCGGGCCAGATCTCCTCAGTAGGGGTGCCGAGCAGGCTGGTAGGGTTAGCAAAATGGTGTTTGAGGAAACAGAATGTGGAAAACGTACCGGAAGATCTTAAAGATCTCGTCAATCTCAGAGTCTCCAGGGAACAGAGGCTTGCGTGTGCACATCTCGGCGAAGATGCAGCCGACCGACCACATGTCGACACCAGTCGAGTACTGGCGACCACCGAGCAGAATCTCCGGAGCACGGTACCACAGAGTAACAACCTCATGAGTGTATGTGCGCAGCGGGACGCCAAAGGCGCGGGCGAGACCAAAATCGGCCAACTTGAGGTTGCCCTCACGATCGATCAGCAAGTTCTGAGGTTTCAGATCGCGGTGCAGGATCCGGTGACTGTGGCAGTAGCGAACGCCTTCGCACAGCTGGCTCATGAACTTCTTGATGATCTGATCGCCCAAGCCGAGACGGCTAAGCTCAGCGTTGGTTCCCTCCGGCAGTGACTTGCCGCGACCGCCTTCGGCCACGGGCAGGGCCTCCATATACTTCTTGAGGTCAAGGTCGAGGAACTCGAAGACGAGGTACAGCTTATGACCCTCGGCGTGGACAATGTTGAGCAGGCGGACAATGTTGGGATCGCGCATTTCCTTGAGCAGCGAGATCTCGCGGATGGCGGTCGACGGGACGCCCTCGTCTTCGGCCTCGAGGCGGATCTTCTTCAGGGCCACGATACGGCCGCCATTGGCGAGATCGCGGGCCTTGTAGACGACGCCATAGGTGCCTGCGGAGGGTAGGTTAGATGGGGCACGAAGAAGCTGAAGATAGAGGACGTACCCTCGCCGATCTTTTCAAGTTTCTGGTAGTTCTCCATGGTTATATTCGGGTTGGTCTCGTGTAGAAGTCGGTAACCGAAAGAATGTTCTAGGGCAAAGCGAATGCGGTCGATACCGGCTCGTTGCAGCCTCGTTACCACGGCGCCCGGTCGGTTGCTGGTTGCTCAGGAATGCAAGATGCAGATCTGCGTTGAACGATGGCAACGCCAGGCGCGCAGGTTGCGAGGTGGTCCCAGCCCAAGACCAACGGTAGGGGTTGCAAGAATGAAAGGCGATGGGTGATGGAAGCGCAATGGAAGCTTGGTTGGTCAACGAGGGGCAGCAGCCGGCGCCAAGCGATGACAAACAAACAAACAGCGCCCGGGAGAGCGACGGTAAGAGAAATCGAAGAGAGGGGTAAATAAAAAGCCAAAAAAAAAAAAAAACACCGAGTGATCGAAAAGGACTTACTGGGTGTCGTGTTGAGGTCGGCGATCCGAACAGGATGAGGTGGTGGCCGTCGAAACAAACAGATGCTAACGGGGAGATGGCCTTTGCTGTTAAAATTCGGTAAGCAAAACCAGGGTTGACGGGTCAGCTGCAGACGCAGTTTGCGGTGGGCGACGCGAACGCGTCGGGTCCTGCATTTCACCAACGGGTCCCTGACATCAGCCCCGTGGCGCATGCCAGCCTGTAAACAGACCATGAGGGGCAATGCGCGCGACCGATAAGAGTTTTATCGATAAGCGATAATCATATGCCCCGCGTCGATGGCTTCAGGGACCATATGGAACTCGACGAGCATCATCAAGCTGCTTGTTCTAAAGGTTTACCACAACGTCGGTGTTGAGGGTTCCAATTAAAGGCTGGCCGTTTTGACATCTCTTTTTATATCAGAAAAATACTGTAAAAATCCCCAGACCTACATACCTGTCACAATGACGGTCAGCATAAAAGAATTGGACGCCCATGAGCCCCCATCGGATGAGCTTAAGGCTTGTTGGAAGGCCTTCTCAAGAGCCGACATCAAGGATCTGCTGAAGAATGGCAACCTCGATGATCTCCAAGATCCTAAACATGCAGCTGAGTTCTGTCTGGCGGGCACAGTTTCAGCAGAGACACTAAACAAGGCAATCCGCCATCTTTCCCTCGACAACCATGACCCAGAACTCCATATTACACAGGATGCACCGATATACTATCACCCTATTCTCCCAGGTAAGCAGTTCCATGCTCTCATTCAGGAACCCTTTCATAATAACATTTCCAGGTCTCCTAATCTTCCCATCCCTCATCCCCCCAGCCGTCCAAAAACTCATCCTCCGCCGCCTCGTCCACCGAGACCTCAGCCAACCCGCTCACCAAACCAACCTTCATCTTCATTTCAACCTCCCCTATCCCTCTCCAGACCAGAACGACGGGGACATCTCCTTTTTCAGCTACACCCCGTTCTCGCCAGTCACTTTCACCCCCAAGGACCCATCCGTCCACCGCCCCCTCACCATCAAGCAGGTTCTCGATCGCAAGCTGCATTGGGTGACTCTCGGCGGTCAGTACGACTGGACAAACAGGGTTTACCCGGAAGGTGAGGAGCCGCCCGCATTTCCGGCTGATTTGGCTGGGTTTTTGGAGACTGTGTTTCCCGAGACACTGGCCCAGGCGGCAATTGTGAATTTTTATACGCCTGGAGACACGATGATGATGCATCGAGATGTCTCGGAGGAGACGGATAAAGGGTTGGTGAGTCTGAGTTTTGGCTGTGAGGGGCTGTTTATGATTGCGCCGAAGGATCCGTGGAAGGAGGGGGAAGAAGGGGTTGGAGGAAGGAACGATGGGGAAAAGAAGTGGTTGTTGCTGAGGTTAAGGTCGGGAGATGCGATTTACATGACGAAGGAGTCGCGGTTTGCGTGGCATGGTGTCCCGAAGGTTATTAAAGGGACGTGTCCCGATTATTTGAAGGATTGGCCAGCGGAGGATGGGAAGTATGAGGATTGGAAGGGATGGATGAGCAATAAGAGGATCAATCTCAATGTCCGGCAGATGAAGGACTAGGGTCTCAGCAACACTTAACGTTTGACATCTCTGCTGATAGGACAGCAACAAGCTATCATGGCTCACATCGATTACGACCTCTTAAGGCGGTTGCTTACTGATGCACTAAAGTGCACGTCTCGCTCCAACAATCAGCCTCGTGCTTTGTTGGTTAGCTGCCATCGTTATCTCCCGCTCTTCCCAGTTCAAATGTCCATAGATCGTTTCGACGGGGTTTTTAGAAAGTCAACCTGGCGTAACAAACGAATATAAGGGAGCAAGGGGATATGAAGGCTGATGAAGATTAGTAATTGAGAAGTCTCAAGAACTTTGTGCAACCCTCCCCTTTGCCTGGTAATTCCTAGATCCTATGCATCATTACTCGTACTTTCATACCTCCGCATATCCATGCAATGTCTGGTTGATTCAGTTAAGCTTACTGCAAACCTTTCAAACCAAGGAATACTCCACTGAAGCATTTTGGGTCTATTGAAGCAAGAGATCGAACATCAAGTCCATACACAACTGACATTGTGAAACTGCCGTCAACCACTTGAAGATAAGTTACCCCAGAATTCCCAGTTTTTTAGTATGCATTGAACATTGATCCAGCCTAGGAACGCTGACGCTTGGTATTCTACACTGCAACCATCAATAAAAGCAATAGCCATACCGCTTCCAAACCATGTACAGATGAAAGATCAAATGAATGTCAACGCTGAAGCCGTTCAGCATTTGAGGGTGCTAAAGCTACAAGGCCCAGTCGGCTCCTCCCATTTCAGCAATCGTATTAATGCATGAACAGTCTTCCGGTGCTAAACTGTCAAGGCATAAGTCAAAGCGGTCCACGTGAGGACGGCGAGGACAGGACACTTTTGAGGCTTGGCCACCTGAGCCGGCATGCCACTTATCGCAAAACTCGAACCGCCGCGGCTACTGCTACTGCTGGTGAAGCTATTGGAAGAGACGCAGGACTGTCCAATTTTGCAGCAGCCATTGGTAACGCAGTAGTATCCAGGCTGCTTGGATGAAGACAGATCAGTATGACTCTAACCGAGCTGCTAAGTTGAAACAGACATCGGACTTACATTGCAATACATCCCGTCCGCGTGATTGCAGCATGTAGCGCCGTTTGGAATGCACCAATAGTTGTCGCAGACCTTCTCTGTTGAGTAACACGAGCCTTGGCTACTGCCCGAGTTACCGTTGCCATCTTTCCAGCTGATACTGCCGCTATAGCTGCTACCGCCGCTGCTACTGCTGTCGGAATTGCTACTGCTGCTGCTTCCGGCGCTGCTACTGCCGCCGCTGTGACCGCTGCCACCGCCTTTGCCACGCGGGGTGAGACTAAGGGGAGTTAGCCTAGAGATGACTCGAAATATCGGGGGTTTTGGAATCTTTTATCATACGTGATATTATACGGAGACTCGTCCAGCCCCCAAAGGGGAAGGATTGGATAGCTGGGTGAACTCTGTGGTAGCGGCTGCAAAGACATCTTGACGATTATGAGATAGTGTAGAAGAGATTCTTTTGTTATAGTTGGAGACGAAGACATTAGTTGCAAACATGAGGGTATTCCTTTTGGATTTCCCACGGACCAGGGCCCGTGTGGCAGGCAAAAATCAATGTCTCGAGTCCGGCTCGGGGATGCGAGTCGGGCATACAACTCCGTCTTACATGATAGGGCTGAAGGTCTTTTATGCACCGACGGTCTTACCGACTCTTCTGTAGCATGTAAAGCAACCACCTCCCACTCTATTCATGCGATGTTGATGTTCCCGAACGCTGTGTTGCCTAAAAATCCCCACACGCTAAATATCCTAGTCAGTGTCACAGGGCAGCAGCCCGATGACATGGCAGGGAGGCGATATAACGACAGTTGAATTGGTTATAGGTTTCGACAGCGGACTCATTCCTCTGATACATTGCGTCTTGCTACCCTGAGGCGCAACGCTCCAAACCATTGTACCATATCACTTGAGACACACCCCTCCGCTGTTCCCCTGTTTGAATTAAAAATCACAGGAGTATCATAATTATCCAGCATCGGAACCAATTCCATGCTTAGATCCAAACTGAACCAAACTGAACGCTCTTGAATTTAATCGATGGATTATAGACAGGAGAAAGTGGATAAAAGCAGATCTTAAATAAATTCCAAACTTACTGATGGACAGTGGTAGCCGCTCAGACAGTACAGCGTTCCTCTTGAAATGCAGTAAAGGAGCCCACATACTTTCCATAGAATCCGGGCACCCGTCACCTCCTTCACTTCCACTATCGTCATCGCCGACACTGCCGCCGCCACTGATACTACTACTGTTGGATGCAAAAGAAAATGGTGCATGTAGATGGGAGTAGTTATTTGGGCGTTTTCCTGCAGAACACGCGGCCCTGAGGGAATCTGTCAAGCACAATTGGTGCCGCAGAATAACAATGCTCTACCTTCTAAACTACATACGCGTGAAGGTGGATGAGCATGGCTCTTATATAAGGTCAAGTGTACACTTGACCTCAGTGGTGCCCGGGCTGACCGAGGTAGGTCAACGGTGACCACACCGTGATCACTTGCAGCTAACAACTACTGCCACTGCCACTGCTGCTGTCGCCGCCGCTGCTTCCTCCTCCTATTTTTGCCCGACCAACAATATTACTATCAAGAGCGCCATATGTCAGATATCCAAGATAGTCCATTTTTCGTAACAGATATATGGTCATTATCTTGATCCATACTTGATATTGAAAAGCTCAGGATAAGCAATGCCAAATCGGCAACCACACGGTTTAGCCAGGGGGTCCTGGGTTGAAGGGACATGATGAGGCACCAACGTAGCAGTATCACATGGAGGGTCAAGTAGGGCTGATATACTGTTTCAATGGATGTGTCTATTTTGCCGATCTGCTCGTTGTACTTCAGAAACAAGCAAGAGAAGAACGATTTAAAAAAAAGCGTGACTTACTACCTTAACACAACGCAGAGTTGAGGAGAGGCCCTTGTTTCAACTCATGCAAGGAAACCACAACAGAGGTATTTCAAGTTACTATCTGCACCTGAGTATTTTCCGACATTTGCATCTTTTGTATTCAACTCAATCCAATTCTAATTTTCGACTGGTCCCACCGCTGGGGGTGCTGGGTCGTGCCTACGGCGACGGCGGGCAAAAGCTACCTGAGGTGAACTAAACACAGACAATGCCGGGGAAAAGCCGCATAGGGTAAACCGGGATGGGTTAGAGGGAGTACAATGTACCATGCGCAGGGGAAGGTTCTTGAAACCGGCCGGCCTCAGGCATATGCCTCGTTGGGACATACTCCGGGTGTTAGGCTGGGAGTCTAGATGATCCGCACGTTGGGCTTGGGATAGGGTGCCCTGTGGCAGCGTCCCAGGCTTGCCCCCAGAGTTTGACCTGGCAAACTCTGGATTTGAACAGCTGGACGGAAGACCATGAAGCCCTTGGGTCTAGCCTGCCGGCAAGTGGGTTGTTGAAGGTGAGAGGGCAGGAAAAGAAGTGGCTTCTGGACACCGCACCGCCGCAGGGGCATTCTTTAATAGTCTCTGGGGAGTGCTTGAACCGCGTGTGGTACTTCAAGGAGTCTCCGTGGCCCGAGGTCTCTGCAGCCAGCGGGAGAGGCACTGCCGGGGAAACTTCTCGAGGAAGGGTTTGGCTGATTGCCCGCTCCATCGAACCGAGGGGGTCTGTTGGCCTGCCACCATCTGTGCATGTCTGGGGGAAGGACGCGACGTTTCTTGGGAGGAGAGGAAAGGAGGCCAAGCCACTCCCTGATATCCGCGCGTTTGGGCTCCCACTGGGGCCTATCCCTCAGGCCAGAGGCTGCTTGGTGCAAGCGGGACCAGCCGCGATAAGGGGTTGGGCGAGCCTAATCCACAGAGGGTGGCTAGCCGGTAACATCACAATGCGGTTCCTCCACTGTACTTTTTCTCTGTCCATCAAGTACTGGGTCCGTGATGGCCTGCTTACCCTTTAACGGACGAATCTGCTGCCGGGTGTCACAACGAAAATGGGGATAGATCTGTGTGGTGTAACGCTTTGGGCCGAGAGTCCGCAGACACTAGGCCAGCAGGGCTGAAGCACTCTGTGTTGTCTTAGAGCTTTGGTGTGCCAGCCGCGCTAGCACCAGTTTCGGTTAAGGAAGGGTGACCTTGCTGGTGCTTGGTGCCGAGGATTTTGTTTATCTGTGGATTCATTGAGGTCAGGCAGCAAACGACATGCTGTCGAGCCTGCCGATGTGATTTGGGAGGATCGATGGTGAGGTAACAGTAGCCAACGAGGTTTCAGCTTGTAATTTCCCACTTTTTGGTATGGCTGGCCTTCGATGAATGGTATATGCTCAGGCTGGTAAATATGGTTCTTTTCGACATGAGGTTTCGCAGTTCGAATTGAATCGAATTGCATTGCATTTCCGACCCGTATCACCCATGAGGGTGCTCGGTCGTGCCCACGACGCCGGGGGCAAAAGGCACATATGCACTCGCTAGTCTAACCTATGTACACGCGGGAAAAAACCCGAGAGGGAAAAACCGGTGCGTATCCGTGGGATAGATGAGTGGTGTTGGAAAAGGGGGAGAAGTAGGGAAAAGGAAAAAGAAAATGGGTTAGGAGGGGTGAGTATGAAAAACCGGTTGCCAACCCGAGTAGGGAATCTCGGCAGCAATCAAGACAACAATCCAGGCTACATGCGAGAAATTTTGTACCAATTGGCTGCGCTATCTACAGTGTATCTCAGCTGTCTTAGTTACACAGCGTTTATCAGATCTCTACATATTAGCATTCCTGCTTTTGTGACTCGATCATGATGACAGATTTCCCAATTTACTTCAGTGATTTGAGGTCTGATTCTCTCATGAATAGGAACCTCTCATGAAGCTCTGTTTTATGTTATTAATATTCTCTTAACTGCGTTGTTATACTTTCAGTCCTTGAAACCTTATGTATAGCAGTCAAGGATATTCTAGCGATGTGTTGAAAAGGAATTTTGCGTAGGGTTTGCATTATATTCCTCATCTTCTACGATACTTTCCAGGAGCACCAGTAGCTAAAATTATCCAACTCCTTTTTCGATCTTCAATGCAATTTCAAACGTGGACAAATGACGGATCAGAAAAAGACACAAGAATAGTAGCAAATCTAACCAGTCTGTGTTTCCAAGGGTGCATAAATGATCGCCGTTTCTCCCAGAGATAGTAGCCAAAACATAAAGGAAAAAAGCCGACGCATGCACAAAAATTGTAAATCCTGCCGACATTAGCAAAATCCTGACCTTCAACAAACCACAAAAGATGTTTAATGGTACATACCCACACTCAGCAAGTAATGCTACTTTCCATTTTGTTTTTCCTAGTATTGGTAAACCACGGCTACCCTGGATATCCATCATCGCCTTACGAAAATGGACTATCCAACACGACAACAAACCCAGCCGGATCATAAGACTAATTATAAAGGAAACACGTAGACTTGTATTGGAAGAACCATCGTCCCTTTTAACTTGTTCCCCTATTAAACAAATAGTCACGAAGGAACCAAGAAACTTGTGAAGTTAGCGAGACCGGTAAGAGATCACAAAGTCAACGTCCAGGGTATTCTTACATAGAGAATAGGCTTCCAGCAGTCTTTCCAACTCCCTAAGAATAAGACCCAAGCGGCAATCGTGAGGCCGAATTGAAGTATCCGCAGGAAAGAACGCCATCTAAACCAATGCACCCATCTCGAAAAGCAGCTGTGATGTATCTGCCAGGCGCGGTCCCCCAACTCCTGGGTATCCTGAGTGCAAAACGCGATATCTCCGCAAATACAGCATCTCCAAGCACCGTTGTCTGGCAATCCAACCAACGGAATAAACATGTGCCCTCGCATCTGAAGTCGGGGGTCGTTTTTTTTGAAGCCGCAATCCACACAGATGCACCACCATTCATCCGATGCTTCATTAGGCTTTAGCAAGAAAGTAGGTGTGCGACAGTTGGTAAAGTTGTCATCAGGAGCTTTACGAAAGCAGATTCCGCAGTAACGGTCACGTTCTTGGGCAAACAGGGCTTGGCCCATCACATAGCTCAACAGCTTTGGGTTGAAGAAGGCTTGTAGCTGTGGGCATACAGCTCGTAAACGTAAGATGTCATCAAAGTTGAGGTGCTCAATGATTAGCAAAACGATATCGAAGGGAAGGTCTAACAGTTGGCAAGGTTGGCGGTGCTCAACGCTCTTGGTATTAACGATGAAACCTTGAACGTTAGGCCTCTCTGATGCGATGATCTCTTTGCCGAGACCTTGCCCCAAGTCTGGCTCCAGAGAGCGTTGAAACATCTACCCTAGCAGTTAGTTTAACTTATTGGGCTGTTTGGACTACCGGCTTTATTATCTTTAACTCATCACCTCTTTAAAGAAACAAGGGCTGCACTGAGAGTCTTGTGAAGTTTGGTTAAAGATATCAAGGATAAATCTTCTGTTTCATCACAAAATAATTCTCCGCTTTATAGAA